ACCCTAACCCTAACCCTAACCCTAACCCTAACCCTAACCCTAACCCTAACCCTAACCCTAACCCTAACCCTAACCCTAACCCTTGTCTCTCGGCAGTACTATTGGCCGTCAATGCGGGCTTACATCCACGATTACGTCGCAACTTGCGATACGTGTGCTCGCGCCAAGGTCTCGCGCCACAAGCCTTATGGCCTGCTCCAGCCTCTGCCTGTTCCAGAGACTCCATGGTCCTCTATCTCGCTAGACTTCATCGTCAAGCTTCCACCCTCGGACTCTTTCGATTCTATTCTTGTTGTCGTCGATCGCCTCACCAAAATGGCTCACTTCATTCCCTACCGTGAGGCCACAGACGCAGCAGGCTTCGCAGCATTGTTCATGGACAGAATCTTCACTCACCATGGCATGCCACTCGATATTGTCTCCGATCGTGGCTCTGTCTTCGTCTCCTCGTTCTGGAAAGCGTTCCTTGGTCACTTCGACCCTGCTGTCAAAGCACATCTGTCTACTGCCTATCACCCTCAAACAGATGGTCAGACAGAGCGAACAAATTCCACTCTCGAACAATACCTTCGGTGCTTCACCAACGCCGATCAAGACAATTGGGTCAAGCTCTTGCCAAGAGCCGAATTTGCCTACAACAACTCGGTTCATGCGTCCATCAAGACAACACCCTTCTTTGCCAATTATTCTTACCATCCTCGGTCTGGTCTACGCTTCGATGCCACTACCGATTCTCGCAATGCTACTAGCTACGACATGTCTCAACGTCTCAAGCTTGTTCAACAAGAACTCAAGGATCATCTCAAAGACGCTCAAGCTGCTCAAAAGGCCTTCGCTGATCGTCATCGCCTTGAAGCTCCTCCCTTCGAGCTCGGCCAGAAAGTCTGGCTCAACGCCAAGAACGTCCAAGCATTGCAGAAACAAGGCAAATTCTCACACAAGAATCTCGGTCCTTTTCCCATTACCGACACAATCCACGACCGAGCCTTCCAACTCCGTCTTCCTGCCTCGATGCGAATACACAATGTGTTCCACCCTAGCCTCTTGTCTCCTCATCAATCACCAGAGTCCCTCGGCAAGGCCTACCTTGAGCGACCTCAAGAAGCTCCCGAGCCTATCGTCGTCGGCAACAGCCTGGAATGGACCTACGATGAGATCATGGCTATCCAACCACGCGGTAGCGGCTTCCAATACAAAATCCACTACGAAGGCTTCCCACACGATGAGGACGAGTGGATCCCTGCTCGAGAGGCCTACCAGAATGCTCCGATTCTTGTTCACGACTTCCATCTCCGCAACCCCGATGCTGCTGTCCCATCCTACGTCAAGCTACCCACTCGACCAAGTGCGCTTCGAGACGCAGCGCCTGGAGGAGGAAGTTCTGTAACGAACACGCAGCCTTAAACCTCGCATCCGACTTTCCCGCACCACATGCTCTAGCAACTCATCGCGGCTCTTCTACCTTCCGCCCTTCAACGACGCTTATCATCTCAGCACGTTGCCTATCGTCCCGCGCCTAGCTTCCTCGCTTCCGGCAACGCTCTGTCACGTTGTCCTTACTCGCTCTCTTACTCGTCGACGACGTCTACCACGTCGTCCCTTGTTCTGTCTCTTCCTTATCCTGCAGCTCGGACATCTCCACTGGGCTCATGCAATCTCGCTTCCCCTCTTCTTTCACTGTTCTCCTGCTGAGAGTCGGCTCCCGTGGGCTCCATCCCCATCATCGCCATCCGCTCTCATGCTGGTACCTGGTAGACATAAGTAGGCAGCCTTCCGCTGTCTTGTTCCTTAGTTTACAATTTCTATTCTTGTCCCCTACATCTCGCCCAAGTCCTGTCTTCAGCACAAGCATTCGTCCTGTCCTGTTCGCCCTTCGTCACAATCTCGGATGAAGATGATGAGGACGCGCAACCCTTCCAGGTGAGGAGGGATCCTGCAGGCTGGGTTGCTGCAGTCGATGATGCTGGGTCGGTCGAGGCACCGCAAGGCTGGACGGAGTATGCCTGGTCTATGCTCGGCCTTTTGTAGTAATAACACAACTTGTACTTTTACAGCGCATCGAGTGCTTCTTTGTGAATCGGCTAGCATAAGACGCACCAGGACTGCTGAACGAGTGCACAAGATGATGAAGCGACGATCTGCTGTTGAATCAGAAGTTGTAGTTTGGCATTTTGCCATGCAGCTGTGGCGGCAGCGACACATACGCCAAGACTGATTGTCCTCGATGTCTCTTGCCTAGTCGGTCTTTCTTGTTAGCTCCCGATGGTGTCCTTGGCTGCGACTGTAGGACCTTACCCAGAGACATTGTAGCCATTTCTTGATACGCACACACGCTTCAAATCTGTGCAAGTCTATGGTCCGACTGCGACGCTTTTCCTGGAAGTAGAATGCTCGAGCAGCTTGCCATCATGACCGACGAGCTCCTGGTCACTGTTTCCCACAGAGAAGGACATTTTGACAGTAGTGTTAAGCGAGTAGTGCACACAGGCCGTCGCGCAGTCGCATAGGCTCAAACATGCAAACACGTGCAAGTCGATGGTATACAAGCACAGAGATGACAGAGTATTCACAGTATCCAACTACATCTATCGTCAAGTAGAACAAGCTCTTGCGCGCATCAAAGCTCAGAAGCTCATATCGGTGCTCATAGACGTCTTTGTATTGACACACACATGCTTACAACGCGCTCGTCAGAATTTGCTTCGTCTACTGTGCTTCTCATCTGTGATGTTGAGCTCTCCTCAAGAGTGCAACATCGTCGCCTTGACTATTTGCCAAACTGCCATCTCATACGACCAAGGCCGGCCAGCAAGCACTAATTTGCGATGCACGACTCCTGAACAAATACCCGCGGTGCATAAGTAGGCGCCAGCTGCAGAAAACACCCGCTCGTATCATCTGACGTGGTCATTGACTTACTGACTACTGTTCACGCTTCCTCCAGACTACAACATGCAGCTTTTGTGGCCCATTGGGGCTTCGTTATTCGCTATCGCCTCCGCATCTCCCACTCAATCTTCGACAACTGCTGTCAAAGGAAGCGCAGCCGGAAGCTGTTTGACCCAGACATTCACGCAATTCGAATGTGACGGCACTTTAGTCGAGCATCGCGACATGCTTTCGTACCTGCGGTCTGATGCAGATCCTGCTGATCCCATTGAGGATGCCTCGGTCATGAATAATGACCCATGTTGTTCTTGGAAGCGTGTAAGTTGTATACTAGTCTCTGACGGACTGCTGACCAACAGGGCCCGGTCTACATTGGTGCTGGGATAAACCGTGATGTTGGCTACTTCATCTTCACAAGAGCCAAGAATTCCAAGGACGTCTGTGCAGTCACCGCTCTTGCCAACGAGGAGACCGTGTGTGCGGCAGTCGAGCCATCCAATCTGAGCGCCCAAAAACCTGGGCGACACGTCTACTTCCAGTGTTTTAGCCACAAGTTCTCTCGGAAGCACATCATCGCTCAGATCAAAGCTCCTTCACAAAAAGTCAAGAAGATCGGTACAGCAATCATCGAGGCCGATCCGTCCTGCGTTTATGCCCACGTAAGTATTCTACTCAGATGAACCATTGCTGACTTGGTAGGGGCCGATGGCAATCAACGCGGATGATAAGGGTAAAAGCTACTACATCTACACTCGCGACGAAACGTCCACAGAGCCTTGTGCCGTCCAGGAGGTCAATGCCGGGGTTTGCAGCAGACATGATGTCAAGGCCTAGAGTCCTACTTGGCATTCAGAATGTTTGGTTAGGCATACCGATCACATCTTGACGAACTTTGCAGCGTACTCTTCAAATATCGTCGTAGATCTCATTATTTTAGTTTGTGATTGGTCAATACATGATCGAGCCTCGGTGTCGCAGCCAAGAAGATGAAGCACATCAAGGACAATACGAGTAAAGACTTCTAAGCTTGGGGTCCTCAAATGTTGAAGTCTTGACCGCGTCTTCAATTTGGTGAAGACATGTGGATTGACCATGCAATTGATGTGAGCCTGACCGGTGTACTGCACTTGGAGCCTGCGTGGTCTGTTCATGAGATTTAGCCTTAGCAACGTCTTTCATAGCAGACCGCTTTCTAATCATCTTGTCAGATCAACATGAGATCACAAGAGAAGATTCATGGTCCAGATGATGTTGCATGTAGTCGGATAAAGTCGGCGACACGCGCGGTGGGCGACCCCTGAAATCACGATGGACGCAAGATATAAAGGCTGTGGGCAGTCCATTGAATTGAGCTCTTGAACCAAAGCCTGATGAGTCATACGATTCCATGAAGCTTGAATTGATCGCAACGCCTCTTTTGGTCAGTGCTGCAAGTTCTGCATCCGTCACGCCAGATACTGGATGTTTGAGGGTAGGCACGAACAGCTCATTTCCCTGTCCAACTACTAGCACGTCAGCAGGCTCACTTGTCTCCAAGCTGAAAGGTCTTTCAACTGGCGTGCTCGCTGAGTCAAGCTTCTTTTCCAGTCGTCGTGTAAGATGACTGACATCTTGTTCTTTGAGGGAACTACGTGGTCATGGTACAATTTGATTGGCACTCATCTCATCAGGCTAGACCGGATGGTTCCACTACAGCAAAGTGTTCATCATCATTATCATCAAAGCATCATTCACAGAAACACACGCTTGACCGTAACCTTCTGGCAGTCCTTGTTGTCCGGCTTGCCTTTGCCGAGCTTCCAGACCAAGGATGTGTAGCTGTAGCCACCGTTTTGGTTGGCATCCAGTGCGCAAATGAAGAAGCGACTGAGGGGTGTGGTGGTACCGTTGCTGCCAAACTGACCAATAACAAGAGTGTCATTCTTGAAGTAGAACTGCGAGCCTTGCGACAGGCCAAACTTGAGGATGGCGGTGTCCGAGGTGGGCGAGTAGGAGAAGGCAAGTGGCTGGGAGACGTTGAAGCCTGAGCCATACAAAGTCCACGCGACAAGACCAGATTTGCCGAGCGTTGGATCAGTGTAGCCATCGTCTGTGGTATTGAAGACAAAAGTATTCGATGTAGTCAGTGTCCTGTTTTTGCTGCCGACATTGAGGTTCTCGATGCCTGCACCAGAGTGTGCTGCATACAGAAGACTGCTGTCGAGCGTCTGGTTGGCAGATGAGAGGACGAGTGCAAACGGCTGCGAGGAAGAGGTGGTGGGCGCGGATGAGACTAGCGCAGCAGAGATGCCTGTGCATGCGAGCAGGACACCAAGGAGAAGAGAAGGATTCGTCATATGTGCGGAGAAGTAAGTGAAGAGAACAGAACCAAGAAGTGATGGAGAATCAAGATGAAAAGGAGAGTAGAGGAGGGTCGCTTTATACTTGGTCAGCAGCAGCAGCAGCAGCAGTACTCGTGGTGCTATATTTGAAAGCTAGCAGTATTAAAGCCGGGTCGTCTCTGGTCGGTGGCCCACTGCGGCCCTGCAAGATCAGACGAGCGGATAGGCAAGCACGAAGCTAGAAGTGCCGATCAGCATGTGGCATGACGGCGTAGGGTGTCGAGCAAGCCAATAGCAGGGAGTAGCAGGAAGGACCAGCTGGTGCAAGTTGTCGCTGGGCAATTTTCAGAATTTGTGCCCCGAGATCAGCAACGACCAAATTGACCAAATTGACCAGATATCGAGCAGAGGGGAGCGAGGCCTATCCATAGAGAGAGCCAGGCAGCAGCAAGAGAAATAGGGCCATGAACATATCTCTGCCCTCCAAGGCAGACAAGGCAGCATACCGCTTTCCAGACCTCGTCACACCAGCACGCACACCAGATAGGCGCACAGGCGACACCGACACCGGCTTTCCCCTAGCGACAAACGGAGGCCTCGCTCTCACTGAACCGCCGGCCGATGCAGCAGTCGCAGCGAGTGCAGCAAAAGTAGATGAAGCCTCGGCGCAGCTCCAACGCGCCCTCAAACCGCTCCCGAAGGTGGTCTGCAATGTGAGAGGCAGGATACCCATGGTTGCAGGCTACGAGGCCTTCCTACATGGTTATGCGAATGATCAAGACAGCAAGGAGCATCTCGCGATTGTATTCGGCGATCACATACACAGCAAGTCGCTCTTCAAAGCGCGGCCCAATGAGACAGAGATGGACAGATTGGCGCGCGGTGCTTTTGAGGGTCAACTATGGCCGGGACGGACAACATCTAGGCTCACGGATGAACAACGAGCCCAACTGCCTGAGAAGATACCGCCGAGAGATCCGCCGCTTGCGAGAATTCACTCAGAGTGTTACACTGGCGAGACAATCGGGTCTGCGCGCTGCGATTGTGGCGACCAGCTCAACGATGCCGCTTCCTTGATTGCAGCGAGCGGTAATGGCGTCATTGTCTACCTACGCCAAGAGGGACGCGGCATTGGCTTGTTTGAAAAGATGAAGGCCTACAACTTGCAAGATCTCGGCAACGATACTATGGAAGCGAATCTCATGTTACATCATCCTGCAGATGCAAGAGACTATGGCATTGCCACGAGTATCTTGCTGGATCTGGGCTGCACAGAGTTGGATCTTCTGACCAACAATCCCCTCAAAATCACTGCTGTTGAAGGTCCAAATAAAGAGGTCAAGGTACGGCGGCGGATAGAAATGCAGCCACGTACCTGGCAAGGGAAGGAAGGTGTACATGGCGAAGAGTTTGACAAGTACATCAGTACAAAGCGGGACAAGATGGGCCACTTGCTGCCGACCGGCCCGAGCATCGATGGTGCTCCCCAAATTGATGTGCGCAAACTCATTCACGGCGACAAAGTACAACAGTCGACATAGACCACCACTTATATAAAAAGCTTAAGCGCCTTATGCTACTGCCGCTACTGCCGCTGCTGCTCTGTGGCCTGGCAGTAGAAGCGTATACTGAATCTCTGCATGTCCGCTCGCTGCCAGAAGACTATATACTCTTCAGCTTCCACTTTCGAAGCATTTCTCAGCTGCCACGAGCGCTACTTCATATCGCACAAGATGCAGAGGCATCGAAATTGGCTCTGCACATGACCCGCGGCCGATGGCAGCAGCAGTGGGGTCCCTTGCCGGATGAAGGGCATCATATTGGCAGCACGGGCATGGAGGTGATTGCCACGCTGCAGGATGAGCAGCAATGGAAACCGCTTGTTAATGCGCTCAGTGGTCTTTTCTGTGCATCTCTCAATTATATGGACGAGACGCGCTCGACAAGGCCAAAGCTAGCCTTTCAAGATCCTGCAGGCATCGTCATGCATGGTCTACTACCCAGCGAGACTGTCTGCACAGAGAATCTGACGCCCTTTCTCAAGCTACTTCCATGCAAGAACAAGGCAGGCATTGCATCTCTCCTCTCAAGTAGACTCTTCAATACAGACTTTTCCAGTCTTTTTGTTGAAATGCAAGACGGCATACTAGAGCAACGTATCGAACTTGTCATTGATCGTCAGCGTATCATCAACAACAAAGGCCAGCTGGAAGTGCCTGGCAGTCTACCGGAGTATCTACTCAGCTGCATTGACAAGCCATACAACAGCGACGTCACTTGTTTCCCTGCCGACTCGCGCGAGTCGCAGCCCTGGACTCTGTCGCAGCTCTTTGGCAAATCCATTGCAGGAACGTGTCCCGTTGCAACAGAAACTGAGCTTTTGGTTGACGGCGTGCCTCATACATTTTCTGACGGGTCTTATGATTTCAATCACCACAAGCAAGTCGACGCAGCTCTCCCTCCAATCCTTGCAAAGCGCAGCCTGACTTCACAAGGGTCGTCACTGCACGGGAAAATCACGCTGCTACTCAACAATACTGGCTCAAAGCCCGTGGATGTCCTCTACTACTCAATGTTGCCATGGTTCTTACGGCCCTATCTCCACACCTTGATAAGTAGCAACGACAGCATCAGCCAGACATCCTTCACCAGCGCCATCGACCGACAGAGACCAGCACGTCTAGAAATAATGCTGCATGCACTGCCTGGTCTCACGAGCGTCAGCTTCAACATCGAACGGACCGTCCTGCGCTATGCCGAGTACCCACCTGACGCCAACCGTGGATTCGATATTCCAGGTGCCTATCTCCGCACAGGCACCTATGAGCTGCGCACAACACCAGCATTGCTGTCACTTCCAACACCAGACTTTTCAATGCCATATAATGTCATCATTTTGACCTGCACCGTCATTGCTCTGTGTTTTGGCAGCGTCTTCAACCTCGTCTCGCGCAGAATTGTCTTGGCGAGCGATGTACCAAAGACTTCGTTACTCAGCACTCTGAAGCAGAAATTTCGTCGATAGCCGATAGAATACTTCCTTCAACACGCCTGGCCGTTTCTTCTGTTGTGATTTGTGAAGCCATAAAGTAGACAACGTTACCGAGGGGTCGTGCGAGCACGCCATCAGCACGCAAAGCATCAAGGAAGCCTGTTGCTTGCAATGATGTGTAACCACCTTCTGCCTTAAGTGTGAGCGCAAGCACGCTGCCAAGGCAGACCATGCCTTCAACACGAGCGTGGTGCGACATTTTGACCACAAACTCATCAGACCAAATGCTTGTAAGGTCACCCTTATGCAGTTCTTTGAGCAAATCAAGGGACTTGAGTGCCACACTGGTACCGACGGGATGAGCCGTGTAGGAATGACCATGTAGCAAGGCATCCTGCTTGCCGCCTTGATTGAAGACTTCGAAAATTTCTTTTGTAGCGAGCGTCACGGCGAGAGGGACAAGGCCACCTGTCAGCAGCTTGGCATTGACTGATATATCTGGCAAAAAGCCAAGCTTGTCAAAGGTGCGCGGCAGGCCTAGTCGATAAAGACCTGTGAAAACTTCATCTGTAATCACGGGTAGTCCCTCCCAGTCCCCAGCTTGTGCAGGCGGTGCGAGATTCTTTGCTGATCGAACGAGCTTGACGAGCAAGTGTTGAAAGAGCGGATCGACGAAAATCATGCCACCCGCGCCCATCAAGATAGGCTCAAAGAGGAGTGCTCCGAAACGCTGTCCGCGCCTGACGGCAGCATCAATCTCGCGATTAATCCACGCCGTATACTTTTCTGCTAGTGGTGAGTTGATGCGTCCAAGGTCAAACACCTCGTCAAGGGACGTTGCCTCAATAGAACCCGTCTCGGCACATGTCAAGACATACTTGCCTTGTTTGAGATGCCATTGGGGTGGATCAAAGAATAGACCTCGAGTTCGGTACCAGTCGACTTGTTCGTTGTAAACATTAGGTTCTGCCGCATCCATTGCTCCAATTGTATCTCCATGGTAGGCACCCACCAAACCAATCACACCCAAGTTGAGTTCTTCTGGTGACAACTTGGCCAGGACTGGGTCTTGCGCATATCGAATGCGTGAAGCCTTTAACGCCATTTTGAGTGCTACTTCAATGGCTGTTGCACCATTGTCGGAGTAGTAGACGCGTGATGCCCAGCCTTTGCCGACCGTCTCAAGCAGCTTTTCTGCAAGAGCTAGTGCAGGTTCGTTGACAGCAGACGGGAGAATGACATGTCCATATCGGCCTGCTGCATAGGCCGCTGTCAAGGCAAGCTCGCTGTTGGCATGACCAAGGCCTTGAGTCCACCAACTGGCCGATGCATCAAAGACCGGTCCAATCTGCTGACTTTGTGCCTTGTACACCGCAAACTCATCTTGAAGGGCAGAATCAATGACTGTTACTTTGGCTTCTTCAACAAGTTTGTGCTGCGTGAATGGATACCAAAGGACATCAAGTGCTTTACGCGGCATCTCTTCGAGTCGGGCTAGCCGCTGTGTGTGCTCAGCCTGTAGATGTTCCTTAATGTACTTGACTGGCGCAGAAACAGCAAGCAAGTCATAGTAAACGGCCATGTGCTCGCAATCGGCACGAATATCATCAAGCCGGGCTGGAGGCGGTGGTACCTGGACAATGGGCACATCGAGCTTGCCTGCGAGATATTCCAGATTGCCCCAGTCTTGCTTGAAGCCAAGGATAGCGGTCACATCGAACCCGTTGAGCCTGAGAGACTCGTAGGCCGACATGGTCGTGGAGATGCCACCGAGCTTCGTGTCTGCAATGAGCAGGACCGGCAGCCGCAGTGGCCGGAGCAGCTGGAGCTGTGAATTGCCCTCTGGCGACGGCGAATGAACGCCTCCTGCCGTCTCAATCAAAGTGATGCCCTCGCTGGGTTCAGCCAACAAGCTAGTGAGCTTCTGGATGATGGTGGCATCGCTCGGCACATCGTCACCATGCTCCCTCGCAGCCAGATGCGGACTACAGGGCCTATCAAATTGGTAAAAGAAGTGCCCGTCGACATTCGTGAACCGCTTGATGTGAGCATAGTCTGCTTCATCTAAGGGTCCTGTCGAGACTGGCTTGATATAGCGGACTTTGGGTGCAAGTGCCCGGACCAGCAGCGTTGAGAAGATGGTCTTGCCGACTTCAGTATTAGCTCCAAAGAGTGTGTAGGCTGGCTGCCGTAGAGACACGGGCAAGCTACCAGGCCGCATCTATAGACACGAAGCAGACAAGAGGAGCAATAGACAGCAAGTGGAGTAGTCGGTGGATCACACGTTGACGTTTACTAAATTTGTATACACGAGCTACTCAATGAACTCAATCTTTGTACTCTACTTCTCGCGGCCTCCAACAGCAGGGTATGCTGGCTGTGGGTATGTAGGTGGAGCAGTGCCCGGTGCATTGTAGTAGCTGTTGGCGGCTCCTCCAGTTTGCTGCTGCTGCTGGCTGGCAAGATGCTGCTGGTACTCGTAATCATGCGGCCCTCCTTGCATTGGCTGCTGCTGCTGCATCGGCTGTTGCGCATACCCAGTGGTACCGCTGTTGTAGTTCTGCGGCTGGGTAGCCTGCGTGGTGCCAGACTGCTGAGGGTGCTGGAAGCCAGGTGTTGCCCAGGCTGTATATTTGTAGGGACGCATACCGCCGCGAGTGCGGCGTCTGTTGCAGCAGCAGATGAAGACCCAGCAGAGTACGGCTAAGCCTACCAAGACGCCAACTAGGATCCATCGACCATAAGAGTACCAGGCGCTGTTGCCGTAGTAGCGTGTGTTGCCGTAGCCGTATGGGTAGTACTGTCGCTTGGCGAGCTCTTCGCTTGCGCTGTGCAGGGATGCGGTGATGAGGCCCATGCTGTGATCGTGTGTATGGTGTAGTCTGGATGTGCGCTGTGGCCTGCTTTTATATACCCTTCCTACAAACTTGGCTGGCTTGGCCTGTTCCACGATGTCCACATGCGCTCTCTCTGCGCCTGATCTGAGGCTTCTGAGCCTGAATCTGAGCCTGCATTTGAGCTTAATTTGGAGGGCGAGCGACGATGACGACGGCGGAGCAGCGAGGCGCAGACGTCATGACAGCGATGACCAAAAGGCGACACGAGGCCGCAGCATGAGTCTTGCGTAGAAAATCAGCGGAGCAGAAGGAGAAGGAAGCATGTGAGCTGGAGCAGGGTATCAGCATTGTCGCATCCCGTCAAGACTCTACGGCCTCCTCCTAACTGCCTTTTCTATGTAAACATAGATCGCACGAAAAAGGCAGTCATAAAAGATCTCCTAATCAGCTACAACTCAATCACTTCGCGGCCATTGGTCACGCCAGGCTTCTTCGAGGCAGTAGTAGACGCCTTGCTCACTCTTCTTGCAGCTGGACCCTTCTTTCTGGGACTTTCTTGTGGTATCCCAAAAACAGCAGCATTGCGCTCCGGTATCTGCATGATCCCATCGTGTATGCGCATCAGTGTGCTCGAGAGACTTGCATCCCCTTGAGCATCAGCTGGTATCTGCAAACCAAACACATTCGTCGCATGTGAAGCCAGTGTCATTGCCTTGAAGCCGACTTTGTGTGCAACAGAGCAAAAGCGCACGCTGGCTTCAACACCAAGTGAGGCAAGATCGAGCAGCAACCACTCTGCCGCTCCTTCGAGGGATGTGCCTGAGGTGGACATTAGAGACTCTGACGGTTGAGGGCGCAACTGTATCTCCAGGCCAGCTTGCCGAGTCGGGTAATAGATTCGATACAAGGAAAGTGAGCGTGTCACGATATAGCACGATGGCGATAAAAAGGTCTGTTGCTCCAGCAAAGTGAAGGCCTCAAGAGCAGGCAGTGTTGCAAGCAAGGTCTCGCCCAAGACAAGGATGGATGCGTACCGCGTATACAGTGCTTGTAATAGCGGCAACACGCGTTCATGGGGATTCAACAAGCCTGGCATCGCCGTCGACAATGCAAGTGTATCCTCCCCGATATTGAGCTGGTAAGAGCCATAGCTGAGCACAAGGCTAGCCAAAGAGGAGGCTTGTATATCCAGGCGACCAGATAGACGAGAAATGCTTTCAATGCGGCAGATGCGATCCTCAACTTGTCGCCAGACGTCCAGTACTTCACTCACAGCAGCCGCAATGCCATCTCTGACAGTGACACGCCGTGTTATGTTGAGCTGTCCATTGGATTCCAAGGCTCCCAGGTCGAGTTGAGTAGCTAGAAGCTTCTGTGCTTGCAAACTCAACTCGCACTCTTCGCCCACGCGTGTCAATGTCCATGTTGCATCTCCAGACCAAATACGACGACCTGGCGGCATATCCTTTGCCGCAACACGCAGCGCCGGAACCCGAATGGTCCGCCAGGGGCTCTTTCCTGCCACAAAGCGATATTGACAACCGCGTTCTGTCAAAGCGCGAGATAATTGGAGCAGCAAGATGCGCGCGGTAGAGAAACGCCATATCCGTTGCCAATCGAACGAGACTTCCGCTTTGACTGGTTCAAGCGCTTCTGTCCATTGAATGTACCACCCACGCTCCTCGTCGACCTGGCATTCTGCCAAGTATAACTGAACAGAGACATCAGGACCTACACGGGCGAACGTGGCCACCACAAACCAGGCGCTCCGCTCAACTGACGTTTCCTGCCAGCCCTCTTGCGCTCTTGTCAAAAAGAGACAATCTTTGGCTTGTGCACCAGAAAAGGCACGCTGGAAGTCGTCACGTTCAAAGGCCACTTGTGTAAAGCGAAAGAGTGTCCAGCAAGCAAGAGTTGCTGCTTGTTCGAGCTCGTGACGCGCGACTGCGAGTTGATATTGCCGAACGAATGCTGCTTGCTCGCCGACATTGCTTGAGCCATTGATCTGGCGTCGGAGCGTCGCAATTTGAGTATTTTGAATGCGTATCGGGCCAGGTTCGCCGAGTCTGTAAACAACGAATTGACCATTGGAAGCATCCACTGATATGCACAGCTGATTCGTGTCAGAAAGACGTACAACGAGCTCCGCATCGTTCAGTGTGCATCTCAAACGCAGTGCATCTTTGAGCGCAGTGAGGTTTTGTGTTTGGTGCATGGCAAGAACGCTCTCCAATAGACTCGATGCATCCAGACCATCAAGGGTGAAGAGCAGCGGTCTATCTTCGCCGCTGTCGTCTCGTCTATAGGCGACGAGCGCGTCCGTATTGTAGTCAAGACTATGCCGCTGACTTTTTAGCAATCTAGCCTTGGCAGGAACACTGACGGCAGCAATCGAAACTGTAAAAGAGTTACGTGCGTGCCCTTCTGAAGCACGTTGGTCTAGCCAGTAACCTACCACCATTTTGCGCTCTGCTGAAGCGTACTTGACGTCCACCAGCTTCCTTTGCCGCGGATCCAAAGCGGAAAACTGGTTGAAGAGCCGCTCAAGCTTGTATAGTACGAGCAGAGAATGCAAGCGATTGTAAAGAGAGACAAGCTGCGGTCGGCCTTCTGCTTGTGCTTGCGACATCAGTGCGTTCGACATGGCCTCAATTTCCAGCTTAACAGTATCCGGCGTTTCACTCGCAAAGCTGAAGTCGATCAAGAACCATGTCAAGGCCGGCAACTCAACGTCTTCAGAGGCAAAAGACAAGTCTGCTGTAAAGGCGTCTGGTATGTGGAACCGAGCACGTCCTGAGGATATTGTAAAGTGACGCATAGGCCAGGGAAGCGTCTCGTATAGCTGGAGACGTAAACTGATGAGGGCATTCATAGCTTGCATCGTGCGCAGCACTTGCCGCGGCTTGATCGGTGGAAGAACACGATACTGTCTCGCCAATTCACTCTGTCGAAGCCGAGGAAACGAACCAGTTTTCAAGACATCCACAGCCCCAAGCAGGTCTGGATTACGCAGCTTTGCGTGCTCCATAGACCGCAAGACATCCCACCGCAGTGACCCGTACAAATTGTCGAAGCAATTTCGTTGACCTTGAAGCCACGCTTTGACATCAATAGCACGGTGAACATCGTCTGCATTCTTGGCCCAGTCAACAAGCACAAGTACCTTGACAAACTCAGTCTTGAATGCCGAACAGTAGTCAATGATGCGTCGTTTGCGCTTTTGATCGGACAAATCTGCCGTGACGTCTCGGAGCTGCCGCAGCTCGAGCATTGCTGTCCTTACGAGAGCTGAGACGACATGCGACAGCGGTATGAAGCGCTCATTTATATGTGGTATCGCTGGCGGGTCTGGTAATTTGGCTATTTTGTGCGTAGGTGCTTCTGTAGTCGATGAAGCAGCATCCGGATGATGATTAGCCAAAGGCGACACGTCCATCTTATCCTCCGACATGCGTGTGGCCGCAGCGGTCTGTCGTTTGCCGTGTGTATCACCGCGGTTGTCGCATGAACGTCTGTTCTCGAGGCTGTGGGCGTGATACAGGCGTTCTTTCTTGCCCACTTGGCTTGAGCAACCAATGCGATGCTAGCCTGCTCTCCTGGACGTGCGGCCTCCGCTGCAATCCCGCTGTAGAAGATGTCTAGCTCTGGTGTAGCTGTGTGTGATGGTCGTCGCCGCACGTGAGAAAAGGCGACGACCAAAAGCAAAAGAAGGAAATGAAGTGCCATCTACATGTACACCTCGTTCTATGCTTTGATGATCATGTAATTTGCCCGCAAGCTACAACGAGCCTCTTAGATGCTCCTTGTCATATCTACGCTCGAAATTGCAGTCCTGCCTAGCAGGGCTGTACGCTTTGTATGTTTCTACAGTGCATACATGCACGATGATAGCTGAGACATATGTTTGAGCTAGGCATCGCCAATAACGCGGGCATCTTTTCAACTTCATTGCCAAATCTGCAATCTTCTACCTACAAATACAGATGTCATCTCTGCTAGGTAAATGATTCAACAGCATAATGTGGTCCCACTTGTGCTATTCTGTCTACAGTTTACTTGACTTCACCCCTAGACTATGATGCGAAAGCATTGCGACGTGAGTATACATATGAGAAGCAGATCCAAATCGACGGCATTGTACTGTCACAGCTTGCGACTGGTGTTCAAGTTGGCTATGGTCAGAGTCGGCCGACCCCTGAATCGAGATGGCAATTATCGCCGACGCCAATCAAGTTGACAAGTAGCGATAAGCTGCTTACACGTCTCGTTGTAGGATGTTGCTCAGGTTTGCCCCTTCTTGTCCAGTCGAGACTCGTGAGGGAGCGCTTGCCGGTGTTTGACAGTGTCGTCAGGGTTGAAAAGCCTTGTTTGCTCATCAGCATCAAGCGATTGCTGCCCCTGAAAACCGCCGAGACCTTCGTCGCATCTTTACAAGGCCTTCGGTTTCTCCAACAACTAATCGAAGTATGTGAATGGTGAGGCGCTAAGACATCCTGTCAAAGTCAAGGTGAATGAGTGCTGATACAGCTGATGTATATGTTGAGCTTGATGAAGCATATTTGCAAAGTCCCTGAAGCGCTATGGGCAAGCTCTGTCTACATCCAGCCTTGCTGGAGTCTGCCTGATGGACTTATTCGCACAAGCACAAGTCGAGAATATGTATCTCGCGTCCCATCTGAGCTCTTCCCTTGGCAACTAGTCTTACTGCGACATCGCAGCAGACCGACAAGGTCGGGAACACATCAGCCAAGAACAGGACTATGCTGACCTAGAATAATCACGACTATGCTAGATAGTCCGGCCTCCTCAGACACATCGCCTGGGTCAGTGGCTGTTCCAGAGAAGCCAGTGCTCGTCCAGTTCGACAAGGATGATCCACGCAATCCGCAAAACTTTAGCAGCGGCAAGAAATGGTTGCTCACGCTGATTCTGCTCAGTGGATCTTCTTGTGTTGCTTGTGATTCGAGCATATACACCTCTACGTATGCTCAGATCATACCGGAATTTGGAACAAATCAGAACGTCGCAACATTGGGTCTGACGCTCTTCATTTTCGGGCTCGGCATAGGGCCACTATTCCTTGCACCCCTCAGCGAGTTTTACGGACGCCGGCCCATCTATCTCATCTCCTTTGGCCTCTTCTTTGTCTGGCAGATCCCCTGCGCCTTTGCACAGAATATCGAAACGATGCTGATTGTGCGCTTTCTCGCTGGCTTGTCCTCTAGTCCGGGCCTCTCGATTGCTGGTGGCAGCGTTTCCGACTGCTTCGAGGGTCGGGCACTTGCCTTCCCGATGGCATTGTATTCAGCCTCGCCCTTTCTAGGGCCTGTCATTGGACCTTTGGTTGGGGGTTACATCAACCAGTACACGCATTGGCGGTGGACTTTCTACGTAATGATGGTCTGGACTTTCTTGCTTTGGCTTGGTATCATCTTTTTTGTTCCAGAGACATTTGCGCCTGCTCTTCTCGTCAAGATTGCTCGTGAACGGCGTGCTGCTGGCGAGAATGTTCAAGCTCCGTTAGAAGTCTCTGACAAGACCATTCCTCAAACCATTCTCACGAATCTGAAACGTCCCTTCATTCTCTTGATCGAGCCCATAGTCCTGTTACTCAACACATGGACAAGCGTGCTTTTGGCCATCCTGTATCTTTTCTTCGGAGCATTCCCAATCGTATTTCGCGAGGAACACAACTTCACCCAAGCACAGATTGGCCTAAGTTTTCTTGGGATCCTGGTTGGTATTGGTTTGGGAGTGCTCACAATTCCAACATACTGGACCAACCAACAGAGTAAACTCTTTGCAAAGCATGGCAACAAGCCAGAGATCATGCTCCTGCCAGCCATGCTCGGCTCAATTCTTGGTCCGTTGGGTTTATTACTCTTTGCTTTCACTCTTCGCAGCAACTACCATTGGAGTGCACCCATTATTTCCACGATCCCATTCGGCATGGCAGTCATTTTGGTATTTAGCAGCGTCTTTGCTTTCCTTGTTCGCGCTTACACACCGTGGGCGGCCTCAGCACTTGCATCCAATAGTGTGGAACGATCCCTGCTTGCAGGCATTTTCCCGCTCTTCGGCAGACAACTCTATGAAAACCTTGGAAACATGTGGGCTAGCGCCCTCCTCGCCTTCATTGTGCTAGCAATGCTGCCTTTACCATTCTTATTTTACGTCAAGGGTGAAAAAATTCGGGCAAAATCGCATGTCAGCAAATTGGTCTATGCTACTTGAAACAAGCGCCTCCATATCCCAATATCCAGATCCCGCTGATCTACTCGATATACGCGCTCGAAATGGTTGATAGAGACACTCCGGAGGAACTCACCAGCAGCCATCCACTCGCCGACCCACACTTGTGGACCCTGGTAGCTGTGTCCCAGTTGACTTGCTAGCCGTTCCACCAGCGCAGTCTTCTTTGACGCTGTGCTAAAGACGGCTTCATGTGTGTCGCATACAAAGAGCCATTCATATCTATCGTCAGCTGACTCTTCGGTAGGAGATGCGCATACATTTGAAAATCTTCACGACGTGAAGCAAGCAGCACATCCAACGCTTCGCATGCGCTTCGGAGTAAAGTCTCTTCAGCATTGTTCAACAGCTGCTCGAACGCCCGTTTCAGGATGTTGACCATCAGAGGCCAGGTGCTTCTCAGGTGTTCACTTGATATGCGAAGTACAAGCGTCTGCATAAGCAACAAACTCTCACTCAAAAACTTGCTGGACAACTCTTCGAGACGCTCATGCAACAGACTGATTTTTGCCAGCAATGCATCGACAGGCAATGTCATGACCACAAAGACAAGTCTCTGATTCTGCGCAATTTTGAATATCCGCTCACTTTCTTGAGAAGCAAACAAGTGCGCTGGCGCAGACGGATTGGGTTTCTGTAGGTACTCATTAACCTTGTCCTTGTCTAGCGTGAACCATGGATGTAGAACCCCTGACCAGCGACGTCCTTGTCCCCAGGAGGTTGTGAAAAAGCTCGAATCTGCGAAGTAGTCTTGCACGTCGCGGCGCCATACTTTTTGGACGCCATCAAGTTGGGAGATGGGTTCGAGCAAGCTCAACGTTGCAGCTGTAGGTTGCTTCACCTTAAGCTGCGGCTGAATAAGCTGCGTCATGATGGCGCCCACAGCACCAGACACCTTGTCGAGGTCAAGAAAGACAGATGGCAGTCGAGGTATAAGTGAAGCAAGTAAGTCGTACAATTCAGGGGAAGGCTTAGTGAGGGCATGTGTCAGCACTTTCATAGTCGAATCGTTGACATCCTTGCGCGTCTTTTTGCCGACGCCTGCTAGTTTGCTGGAGATTTCACAGCAGAGGAGCACGACGTCGTGTTCCACGCTTGTCGGACCCGCAGAAGCAAGATGGCGGAGCAAAGCAATCAACTCAGACTCAGCCTGAGCAACCACATCTGCTGACTTTGTTTCGATAACCTGGAGCAGGAACTGCACGACTCCTTCGGGCACCTGTGCACGAAGCATCTTGCTGAGCATTACGAGTAAGTGATCTGACGCTGACGCGTTGAGCTGTATACACAAGTCTTTGGCAGCCGACTTGCCCTCGCCATGTAAGTTTACAAGCTCAAGGACAACACCTGCTGGATTGCGTTTGAAAAGATTATCAAGGACGTCGTAAGCCTGCTGTTGCAAGACAGTGATGGAGTGGTGACTCGTCGCGTTTGTAGTTTCTGAAGAGGCCCATGCCCACACATGCACAGCTAGGTGAATGATTTGCTTGGATGGCGCCGATGGGATGTTCATTTGGCCTTCTTCTGCAGATGTCGCCGAAAGCAGATTGGTGAGGAAACCTGCAGGGCGGTCGGTACTGATCCGCTCTGCGTGATCTTCTTCTGAGATTCGAAGTCGGCCAAGCGTGTTGAGAAGGAGAGAAATATTGCCTTGCATTGCCAGACCACTTGTGGACTGACTCATGAGCATGGAATCCATGTCTGCCAGACTCTGATACACCAGGTCACAAAGGCAAAGAACAATTGAGTTAGGCGCTGGCCTTAGTTTGAGAACATAATCGACCCAGTCTCGCAGAACAGGCCTCCTCGCTGCCTCTTTCAGACCGTATTGGATCCAGTGCGTTTGCAATTGTTGCAAGTCTGTGTGATGCGCGGACATTGACTCGAGAAGGACTTGTTGAAGCGCCTCGTGACCATCATGAACGGCAATGATCAATCGATCGACCAGAAATCGTTCAGTCTCATCCTTGCTGCCGGAACACTTTCCGAGGATCACCAGCGCAGGCGCAGCAATTGACACCAGTAGCTCAGCATCTGTGCCTTGACAAGCCAGTGCGCTCATGGCAGTATTTTTGCACAAGTCCTCAATGCCATCATCAAGACGGACGACCTGCGCCAGACTAGCCAACAGTTTGAGGTGATACGTGAATGAAGGAATGTCAGTACTCATTTGCCACACAAAAATGTCGTTGTTGAGAATGGACACCGTGTCGCTTCTGGTCGGCGCAAACTGCTCGAGTCTTTGAAGGAGGACATCCAGCATAGCTGTGGTGGTTGTTCCTCGCATCCAACGCTTGACTGTACCTTGAACACTCAGACTTCCAAAGGCAAGGGCATCAATGACCAGTAGGATAGAATCTGGTAGAATGCTTTGCGCAAGGGCCTCTGGTAGAAAAGCCCATAATGAAGCGAATAACCGCAATGAAGCAGTGCTAGCCAAGTCAGAGGCTACATGCGATGCAACCACATGTTGCAGCTCCCCAGTCGGAACGACCGTTGACAAGAGACCAAGCAGCGAAACACCTGTCAATTCCACGAGTGGATCAAGAATGCATGCGAGCAGGTGAGCAACGAGTTGTTGTGCGAGGCTGATATTCACCGGCGTTTTTGAGGCGACAAGCAAGTGAGTGATGCCACCGACGTGTTCAATATGTAACATGGAGGAGGCCGCAATTTTGTTGCATAACGTTAACAGCAATGTAGAGCTGATGGAAGTGAGATCTGAAAGATTTAGGAGCAGCTCATAAAGTAAATGCATGACCTTGGCATCCTGAGTAGCCTCGAGCTGGGAAAAGCATTGACTTGCCCAATCATTAGCAAAATTCGCATCAGAGTTGGACGATGGATTAGAAGAAGTGCTTTCGGTGCAGCAGCCTAGCGCACTTGTCGTGAGCTTAGTAGAGACATCGCAAGCTAGACGCAATTCTGGCTCTGATCCAGTTTTCAAAAGACCGAGCATCAAGCGGGGCAAGTGCTGGGCAAGCATATCCTCCTCTTTGAAGTCGAAAGTTTGCAACGTGAATGATAAGAGGCCGAGTTGTTTCGTTGTAACAAGCAGCCAAAGATATTGAAAGATGACGCTAGAAGGGATGGCGTCAAACAGAGCTCTCGCGCTGTTGCGCAGCTCAACCAATGTGCCCTCTTGCTCGGCACGGAAACAAGCATCCAAAAGACTTTCAAGCATGTCTTGTAGAAGCAATGCCGCAAGTTCTTGCTTGTCAATCAGAGAAAGCATGACTCGACATGTTCTGGCAGGAGTAATCTGCATATCGCGCTTGAGTGCCTCTAAGAGATGAGGACCACTGTGCTTCAACTGATCAGCGCCGCGATCACCATCTTCATCAGCTGGACCTAGTAGCCAAGCCCACAATCTCTTGTTCAGGCTCAGATCTTTTCGAAGGACAATCTGTGATGCGGCACTCATGAGTAGCTGAAGTTGTTTGCCTGGGATACGATCAAGCCATGTAGCAGAGAGCGGAAGATGCGCAACGAGCAACTCCAGAAAGCCTCGTTGATTGAGAGCGTCGACGTCTGTCAGACCAGCTGAGAAGGCTCTTACGAGGATGCCAGGATCTGGGCCAATGCAAACAACAGGATCCGACATTGCTTCAGGCATCATATTGAGCAGATAATAGAGTGCTCCACCGCGTTGATTTGAGGAGGCGAGGATACAGGCGAGCCAAACGCTAGTCCACCAGAGAGTGTCGTCCTCCACAGCAAGTCTGAGTTCTTCCATGAGCCTCAAAACAGCCGAGAAGGCCTCGTCATGTTCGTCCTCTAGACCAGGCAGGATACTCAGAATGATGTCTCGTGTGACTGGCCGAAGCGTATGCCGCAATGGAACAATGAATGTAGAGAATAAGATGATGAGGGTCGACTTGAGAGAGACACTGGCAAAGCTAAGCACGGGCAAGAGACCCGGAAGCCAAACGTATAAGTCGTTTGCAAGCGAGTCTGCACCAGCAAGTGCGAAAATGTGTGCATAAATCTCCAAGGCCTTCTGGTGGACACCATTGGGAAGGGGAGGCACAAGACAAAGAGCGAGTGAGTTGGCAACTGCGTCCTTGCTTGGAATCTCAGAGATGGTAGGGTAGCTTTGCAAGACACGCAGCAGCTTTGTCAAGAAGGAGATGTTGTCTGGCCAGGACTCAATGGCCTGGAAGGTGCCAAGGACACGGTCGACTGCCTGCTTGTACCTCTTTGCATCTGGATGCGACCCAGATGCGGCCCTCAGCTCTGGTGTTGCTGCTCTGCTCATGGCATTGTAGCTAGTATGTCCGTTGAAGTCTAGAGCCTTCTATCAGCTGAATTCACGAGCAGCAGCAGGAGTAACAGCAACTTGAGTCTTGTCCAGGCCAATTTGAGGTGTTGTCGCCTTTGAACGCTCGAGGATTCGGCGAACATGACGCGTCCCTACTACTCAACACCCAGGGAAAAGCAGCAGGAAGAGGCCCACGGCAAGGGACAGAGTATAGCATAGCAGGCACATCATGGGCTTCGACTTTGGCAACCACATCCGCAATGCGCATCTCCAAGCAGCAGGTCTGCCAGCTCCAAAGGCGACCAGCACAGGAACCACCATTGTCGGCCTCCTCTTTAAGGATGGTGTCGTGCTAGGCGCAGACACGCGTGCAACAGCAGGTCCCATCGTCGCTGACAAGAACTGCGAAAAGATCCACCACATTGCACCCAACATCTGGTGCGGCGGCGCAGGTACAGCGGCAGACACCGAGTTTGTCACCGGCATGATTTCTTCGCAGTTGGAATTGCATGCTATGTCGATGAATAGGCAGCCGCGTGTAGTGACGGCCATGACACTGCTCAAGCAGCATCTCTTCAAGTACCAGGGACACGTTGGCGCGTACCTCATTGTCGGCGGCGTCGACCCAACCGGTGCGCATCTTATGTCTATCCACGCACACGGATCAACAGATAAGCTGCCGTACACCTGTCTTGGATCAGGCTCGCTCGCTGCAATGGCAGTATTTGAGACGCGCTGGAAGAAGGACATGGAGCGCGAGGAAGCTGTGGCCCTTGTTGCAGACGCCATCAAATCAGGTATCTTCAACGATCTCGGCTCAGGCTCGAACGTCGACGTTGCAGTCATTACAAAGGAAGGTACAGAGGTCTTTAGAGGATATGAGAAGCCAAATGAGCGAGGTGTGAGGGAGGAACGCTACCTCTACAAGCGCGGTACAACGCGTGTATTGGGTAAAGAGCAGCTCACCAAGTTTGTGACTATCGAGACGCTCCCGGTCGAAAGTGCGCCGGCAGAGGCCATGGAAGTAGATGCGTAGTAAATTCAACATCCATGAACCCTATGATGGCCGTTTGCTGCTACAGAATCCGCACTGTGTCCTGGATATTGGGTTGCGGTAGTCCAGCTGAGCACAATCTGTTGACTGGCATGGCCAAGCATCCAGATTCGTATCGCGCAAGGTTCCGCATCCCTCGCACGTCACTGAGCTTGCGTCATTTTCTAGTGTGCAGATAGCACATGAGGTCGTAGCCTTTGGATCAGAGGTGCCAGCAGTCTCTGTAGTCGACAGTCTGCAGGAGACCCTATTGCCAAGCAAGTCTGCCATCTCCTTCTCCAGTAGATCCTTATTCTCCGAGTCTTCATCGTCCATGGTGTACGCAGACACCTCTGTGACTTCCTCGTCACTGCTCTCGTCCTCTTCCTTGCCTTCATTCTTGACGTGATCGTCAACAGACTTGCTCACCTGCTGGGAAAACCTCATCTCAGCAGCACTGGCTCTCAGCTCCTTACCTCGCTTCGAGTTGACGACACGCGGAGTGGCTTTGCTCTTGCCACCATCGAGCATGTTGCGCAAGTCTGTATCGCCACCCAACTTGGCACCGCCTTCACCAAACTGCTTTCCTCGCTTTCGCTTGCCTGTCGTTGTCTTCCTTCGATAGACTCTTCGTTTTCTGGATCCTCCGCAGATAGTACGAGGGAGGTCTTCGCCTTGTCCGATACCACCTAGGCCTTGAAGCTCTCCTGAGCCGAGGACATTTCCTTGGCCCCAGAAACCTTCGCCGGTGTATCCTTTAGCGCGAAGTCTAGCACTATCAGCTTGATACTTGTTCAGTTGCTGCCAGAACGGCCGCGCGTGATGCATATTCGTCACATGCGAAAGCTCATGTAGCATGACGCTCACAACGAAACTCTCGGGCATCCATTGACCAGACTTTGTACGTAGAACCAGTCCAATGCATTCACCAGCGTTATAGTTGATGCCCGCATACTCGGGATTGAACTCATGCTCTTCCAGGGACGTAACTTGTAGGCCATTCGCCTTCATGATAGGATAGACAAACGCAGCAACGCGATTAAGCAAGTCGAGAGCTTTTTTCTGGTCTGCAGGAGACGCGGTCTGTCGTTGCTTGATGAAGGCAATTAGCTTATTTGGGTGACGCCCATGATCATTAAAGCGTTCAACGCGCAGTGGCAGCGGCATGCTGATAGTCAGCGCATGGAACAGATGTGTCTTGAGATCTGTCTTGATGTCGAGCTGCTGGATGATGGCGACGCGTTCAGATGAAAAAGTCAAAAATCGACTTCAAGGTCACTTTCAGCTGGCAAATGTCAAACGAGTAGAAATACGCTACGAGCAGAGAGACCGACATCTTCTCCATGATCAGGCTTCTCCTTTGCCTTGCCTTATCAAAATGCTGAAGAGTCATCAGGCAGGAAAGGAGTAGGTGTGGGCAAAGCAGGTGAGTCAATTGAGGAGGCGCCAAAGTCAGCAAGGAGTTTTGGATCCTTCTTGAGATCAGGCACAGGCGACAACGAGGGCGTTTCCGATGCCTTTGGTGGCACAACATCATTATCCATCTCAACGGATTCGTCCTCATCCTCACAGATGCAGTCATCTTCTTCCTCTGGCTTCACATCCGTCTGCAGAGTCCTTGTAGGCTTGAGCGGCTTTTCCTCTGGTGTTGGTGTAATGGACGGCTGAGGAGATTTGATTGGAACATCCTCTGTATAAGTGTGCGTTGTTTCTGTAACCACTTCCTTCTCTCCCTTCGCACCAGATTCAGTCGAGGTGGATGACCCGGCAGCTCCACCTTGTGAATCTGTCTTTGGACTGACGAGGCGACATTCATACACTTGACCAGTCGTGTCTGCAGGCGGTTGAGTAAACATGGCGGGGACTTTGAAGGTACCTTCTGTCTTGTACTCACACTTATCAGGCTTATCCTCCACATGGACATACATCATTTCAGGTGCAGCTGGACAAGGTTCTGGTGTGACGGGTGGTTGAGCAGGGAATGAATGAGCAAGCGAGACGGGCGAGCTTGGCTTGTCTGTTGGTAGGTACTTGTCAACAGGCGGATTGGCCGGTGGAGCGGGAGGGCCATATTTGGCAGGGTCACCCAATCCAGGCTTAGGTTGTGGTTCAACTGGCATGAGTCCTGGGTCTTGCTTCGGTTGTGGTTCAATTGGCGTGAGTCCCGGATCTTGCTTTGGCACTGGAATTGGCATGATTGGCAATTGCGACGCTGGCAAGGGCGTCTGCTTGGTTGTGTCGTACGTTGATGTTGCAGTTCCAGGCAATGTCACGTTCTTGTCCTTATTCTGGTCCTTCCTAAAGCTAACGTGATGCAATGGAACAGGCTTGAGTCCAAGTTGTGCTGGTGGGAGGGGAGTGCCACTCGGCATAACAAAAGTCGTTGTGGCGCTACCGCTGTCCTTTTCCACTTTTTTGTCCTTCTTGTCCTTCTTGTCTTTCTTGTCCTTGTCCTTCTTGTCTTTCTTGTGCTCATCCTTCTTTGGCTCGCTGTGAGGCGTCGGCATAGGCGTTGGCACGGCAGAAGGCTGGACAGCGACACCAATCTTGAACTTGGGCAAAGCCAAAGGTGTCGGGTCAGAAGATTGGTCAAGAAGCTTAGTAGGAGGAGGAATCGAAGGACCAGCTGTCATATTGTGCTGCATGTCCTTTGGAAGCTTTGACTTTGTGCTGCTCTTGTCCAGGGGCAGGGTATTGGCCTCCAGTGGGTCACGGACAACACCAGGCTTGGACTTGAACGAATTTCCAAGTCCGACGGTTCCAGTAAGACTTGACGTGTGTTGAGGAGAGGCAGGCAAAGTGTCTTTGTTGGCGTGGGTAGGTGGTGATGGCACAACTGCGCCGTGAACAGCAAGAAGGCCAACAAAGGCCAGACGTAACTGTAGCATAGTGTTCAACAATAAGAGCAAAGGAAGAAGAGGCCAGGGCGGCAGATGCTGGCAATTATAGCATCTTGCGCTTCTTGTTGACTTTGTCGAGCCATATTGCAAGTTTGCCAATATCCATGAATAGCACAAAGCTTTAGGTTTGGGTGTTTGGTGCTTGTCGAGGTCATGTTGGCCAACAACAAGCAATGGAAGGGAGAGCTGAGCTGGCGCTCAAGGAGAGTGATGAAGTTGATGAAGCATGGAGGTCGATCACAGCATATGAGGCAATCGGCACCATAACAGGGGAAGGGTGGTAATGGTCCTGGATAAGGAATTGGTCGTCGCCCGCATCGTCAAGTAACGGCCAAAGCAACAAGCTGCACAAAACAACAGAGAAAGATGAGACGGGGCATCGTAGGCAAAGTCATTTCCAAAGTAATAGCAAAAAAGCAAACATGCGAGCCAGATTTAGCTGGATGGAGGAGTTCCGCCATGGCTACTTGCCCCGTCTCATGAGCCATTCGACGACACAGTCGAGGTTCTTGCCCTCTTTGACAGAGATGGAGTAGCAGCTCACCTCGCGCCCTTCGACCTTGCTGAGTCCTAGCTTCTCAATGACCTCGTCGACAGTCAGGTGTCCCGGGAGATCATTCTTGTTGGCCAGCACAAGCAATGGAATCCCCTTGAGTGTGTCCTTCCGCACCAGCCCATGGAGCTCTGTTCCTGCTGTTGCCAGCTTACTCGCATCGGCTGAATCGACCACAAACACGATGGCTGTGACGTTGCGGCAGTAGCGCTCCCACATACTCCGAAACCGCGGCTGTCCTCCCAAATCCCAGCACTTCATCGTCACTCTGCCCTTTGTCACTTTGCGCATATTGAAGCCTACTGTCGGGATGGTATCTTCAGTGAAAACGCCGCCTGCAAGGACATGTAGCAGGGTCGATTTGCCGGAGTTTTGCAGGCCGACGAGGGTGACTTCCATCTCTGTTGCCCAAAGAAGGGAGAGAAGGTAATTCCAGAAGGCCTTGAAGGGGTTCCACATGGCGCGCGCTTCTTCTCTATGCTGCTGCTTGCCTGGGATTGGGTGTTGGGTCTGATGTGGTGGGAGGCGAAGTGGTGGTCTGAGTTGTGTTTGACGCTGAAACAAATAGAAAAGAGTTAAAGTATTCAGGTATATATGTATATAGATGCTTGGGTACTTAGCTGAGCTAATATAGAGTAGACAATCGACGAGGATGGCAGAAGACTGCTATAGACACCTTCCATACGCTTCTATCTGCACCCAGTCACCCAGCGCATCGCCGCCATAGAAAATGACGCACATTCACCGCGCACACGCAGCACCAAAGAGGGACGACGACCCAGCTGCCTTGCTCACACGACCACCACCGCCCTTGCTCCCCCCAGACTTGCGTCCACCTGATGACCCCTTGCTGTATCCACCTCGCCCCTTACGCTTCGAGAAACTCTGCGATGCGCTCTTGGCCTTCTCCGAACGTCTGTCAGGCTGCTGATATGCTTGATGCTGCTGCGGCACAAAATGCCCCGACTGCTCAGTCATTTGCTCATCGACATCATCCGGAATGTCCCCATAGTTCATCGCATCATCTTCCGCTTCTTGATTGAAATTGGGCTCTGAATAATTTGGACGCTCTTGCCCACGTCGCGAGACTGCACTGCTTGCTGCAGATGCACGAGCCTTACCAGCTCCTGTCGCTGTGTTCTTCTTTGCAGGTGCAGGAGCAACCCCCGAAAGCTGTTTCAGTTGCTTCTTATATTTGTCGCAGATGGTCAACAAGGAGTGACCATACAAGTCAACATTCTTTGCTTGCACATTGACAATCTTCTTCATCGCGATACTATTCTCTGGCAACCGGACACTGAAGTCGTACAACTGTGCATCGTCAAACGTCGTGGTGTAGTAGCGATGATCCTGCTCCTTCTTGATGCGATCACGCTCCTTGATGAGCTCAGCATGACACAATACTGCAAGTCTGCGTTCCTCATCCGACAAGACACGTCCAAATCGAGCAAGCTCATTCGATTCACGTGTGATGGGCGCACGGGGCTTTGCAGCAGCTGTCGTCTTTGCTGCAGGAGCTTGCGCAGCGCGTGCCGATGCAGCAATGGTCGCAGCACCAGACGCAGATGACATGGATGACGATGCCGCAGTCTGTCCATTGTACAAGAAATTCTGCAGGGATGTCCGCGATGTACGTTTTGGTGACCCACGTCCAGTCACTTTACGCTGTGCCGGCTCACCTGCTTCCTCAATATCACTGAAATCATGGTTGCGCTCAGCAGTAGAGTCCTTGCGAGATTGTCGTGGTGACTGAATGCGCAGCATGACAGGTCCTCGGGCTTCCAAAAACCTGCCGGCATTCATGCCAAGCTTGACGTACGAATTGGTGAATCCCATCCTGTTGGAGATGTGCTTCTCACCAATGGCACCCTCAGACTCCAACATCCGAAATAAACGCTCGACATTGGTTTGATCCCAGCAATTGCTATTGAGGTGGCGAATACCATTGTAGCTGGGCATATTGCACCAGCCCATATCAGTCAATCGCTTCAATTTGCGACCCATAAAAACATTGGCACAATCAAGCAAGGTTGCCTTATCCTCGTCCGTGCTCAAGATTTGCTGAACAACCAACATGGCTCGACGCGCCGCTTCCGCAACGTCCACAGTTGAATAGACCTGTCCTGACTGACAATTATCGCACGTCTTGTTGCATAGCGCCGGGTCGAAGCGTTCGCTGAAGAAGCCCAAGACTTGTGCACGTCGACAATCTGCCTTGTTCTCGGCATAATCCACCATACGCTGTATCCCTTGCTTTTGCGCAGCTTTTTGTTCTCGCGTACCAGGCGAGGCAGGGTCATCAATCATACGCGTCAATCGTTGCTTATCGGCAAAGGTCCAGAATAAATAGCACATGGCAGGCTCGCCATCTCGACCAGCACGACCAGTCTCTTGATAGTAACCTTCGAGTGATTTTGGTAAACTCCAGTGGATCACCCATCGTACATTAGACTTGTCAATACCCATACCAAATGCAATCGTAGCAACAATGATTCGAACCTTGCCAGCTTGCCAATCACGTTGAACTTGTGCGCGATCAGCTTTATCGAGGCCTGCGTGGTAGTAGGCTGAGTTTGGCAACTTTTGGGAAAGCTCCTCGCATGACTTTTTTGAGAGACAGTAGACAATACCAACTTGACCTTTGTGTGGTCCATTGAGCAACTCGAGTAGCTTGGTAATCGATCCTTTCGTGCGCACAATGACTTGATACTCCAGGTTCGGCCGATTGAAACTCTGCTTGAAGAAAGCCGGTCGATCCAAGCCAAGATTGAGCTTGACATCCGCTTGAACACGATCATTCGCTGTTGCAGTCAACGCAATCACCGGTACCCCTGGAAATTCGGCACGGAAGTCACCCAACTTTTTGTAGTCTGGCCTGAAGTCATGTCCCCATTGTGAGACGCAATGCGCCTCATCAATGACAATCCGCGCCAGTGACTGTTGCTCATGCAGCTTTTTGAATGTAGAAATGATGGTGTCGCTGACGGCGAGAAGTTCAGGCGTGACGTACAGACATTTGATGGCTTCATCACCCGATGCGAATAGATCGCGTCGGATATCGGCCTTTTCAGAGGCAGAGCGGTCACTGTTGTACGCTACTGCGCGAATTCCAACAGCGTTGAGATGATCGACTTGATCTTGCATGAGACTGACGAGTGGTGAAACAACAATCGTCGTGCCTCTAGTCGCCCCGCCATTGACAATCGAGGGAAGTTGATAGCAGAGCGACTTGCCACCGCCTGTTGGCATCAGCACAAAACAATCACGTCCAGAGAGTGTTGCATTGATGGCATCGAGCTGATGTGGTCGAAATTGTTGCAGTTTGAACACAGTGGTCAATGCAGTCTTGACTTCCATGGACCAGGGATGTTGCATACCCGGCAATGACATGAGGTCGACCGGCGGGAGAGGCGGTGCTCGGGGCTGAATAGTCTGCAGCCGCTGGACGGGCTGTCTTGGACGTGCTCCTGAAGGTGGCCATCGATCAGGCGAGGAAGAGATGAGCACATCCACAACATGTGGAGGTGGTGGCTGCGCAGGTCGTTGTGACAAGAATCCTTCGAGTGTTGCACTCTTTCTACGTCGATTCGCCGACTGAGCGTTTTGTGCAGATTGATGGAAGCGATTGAATGCTTCTTCCTGTGCAGCAAGATCAATCTCTTCAGAGCCAAAATCAGAAAAGAGCTCAAAGGCATCCGTCTCTTGAGCAGCATGATCACCGTGCATGTTGCGATCAAAGCTCTCTTGATCACTGTCAATCGCAATGATCTCTGATTCCACCTCAGTCGGTTGAGGAAAAAGTTGACGAGCCAACTTTGCAGGTTCAGTGCGGACTGTTTGGGCGAGTGGGGAAGAGGCACGCATATGCGGTAGCTGATTCAATCGTGAACTGGCCACCGGATTGAGGGCGGCCGGGGCAGAGACTGCTGAAGAGATAGACAGAGCAGACTGAGCTTGTAGCTGTTGTACCTGTTCGCGTAAGGCTGCACATTCGGCGACAAGAGCCCCAGCAACTGCTTCGCCACGCATACAACACGCAACCATGGCTTCCTCGAGTTGCTTGATGCGTTGTTGATGGACAGTGAGTTGAATCTGGCGACGTTTCTCAATGAGACGTTGTGCATCTGCGCAGTGTTGACCACGTGCAGGATCCATGCAGCATTCAAGGATCTCTGTACCGAGAGAGGCAAGGGCGGCTTCTTGTTCGGCTGAAGCTGCAGAGACAATGATGGAGGGTGTAGATGACAAGACTGGGGTCTGTACTGGGATGACCTGCGGTACTGGCGTATTCGTTTGTGCTCTAACTTTTGAAGCTGCCAAGATCTGTGGTGCAGAGACTGGTGCAAGAACCGGGATGTCTTCCTCGTCATAGCTGGGCGGTTCTTCCTCAGGCAGCTCGATATCTTTTTGTGCTTCTCCTTCCATAAAGGCAAGATAATCTGCGTCGTCATCTAGCCTCAAGTCTTCATCCTCGGCATCACTGTCTGGTACGTGCAAAGTGAGACGCTTCGCAGGAGATTTTGGCTTGTGAGGCGAGCTAGGTCCGCGCTTAGCAGCAGACATTGCTTGTATCACTGCAGGGATGGTGATGGCAGCCGTAGCCGGCGCGTCAGGCGAGTCGAGGTTGACTGTCTGCCGCTGATTTGGCACAATTGCTGAGACGGACGGCGTGATGTACGTCGCAGGCACAGCTTGTTGCTGGACATTTCGCTGCCTATTTCCTGCACTTGATGCGGATGAGGAGACCGTACCAGAAGCAGAGAAAGACTGCACTTCTGGAGTGCTCTTCATACGCGCAGAGAGTAGCTTCGGCATGACTGGACCAAAGTGCGCTTCGAGCTTTGTCGACGCGTCGATAATCGGGTAAGTCGCTGCGTGCCGCCTGATCTAAGTGTCAGTCTCTGTCTCAGTGCCAACGATGGGACGGCGCTTACGATGCTGGCTGGACAGATGGGATGCTGTAGGGTCGTTCGCGTCTGATCCACGCGAGGTGTTCGTCCAGGTTATGCTTCATAGAACATTGCTTCGATGCGGCAGTCCTCTTGCCGTCCCCCAATGCTTTCCCCGTCTATGTACTTAGTCCTTATGAGCTTCTCGTCTCGTCGTCGTCTTCACTGAGTCTCCTCTGCTTGTTTTTGTTTTTTCTGTGGCGAAGAAAAGACGCGACGCGACAGGACACAGACAGACAAACAGTGTTAGACACATAACCACAGTGACAGAGATAGACCATCCTTGGTCGCTCTGTGTGTGACGGGGGACACTGGAGAGCTGCTCATTCATCAGGTCCTGCTCCATGACCACCGCTCCATCCGTCTTTTGCGAGGGCAGCTACCTCCTTACACACTTCCTCCCGGCAAATGAGGCTGCCACAGTCTTCACTGAACTGCTAAAAGAACTTTCCTTCGAGACCATGTCTAGCTTCGGGACGCCCGTACCACGTCTTGTCTGTGTCCAAGCTGCTGTCGAGACGGATGGGACAAGACCCATCTACCGCCACCCAGCAGATGCGAGTCCCACCACAGGACCCTGGACACCGCTCATGCAGCGCCTGGTCGATCGCATCAATGCACAGCTCGGCACGCGACTCAATCATGCATTGATCCAGCTATATCGGTCAGGCGCTGATAATATCTCTGAGCATAGTGACAAGACGCTGGATCTCGTCCCTGGTTCACTCATCGTCAATGCCTCTTTTGGCGCGCAACGGACCATGACGCTAAGATGGAAACAGAACAAAGCATTAGCAGAAGCAGATACTTCGAAGCGCAAGGAGAATGTTCAGATAAAATTGCCGCACAACTCGCTGCTTGTGATGAACCTCGATACCAATGCGGCATGGACACATGCGATTCGGCCAGATAAACGGCGCACATCAGAAAGACAGCCTGAAGAGAATGCCTATGATGATCAGCGCATCTCCATCACACTCAGAGAAATTGGCACATTCATCACGTCGGATGGGCATATCTATGGCTCAGGCGCACTGGCGAAGGACAGGCAGCATGCTGAGCCGGCAAGCAAGAATCCTGTTGATTGGGAACAGCTCATCATCGCCTTCGGCAAAGAGAATAGGCATACTTCTGTCGACTGGGAGTTTTGCTACGGCAAGGGCAGTCAAGCTGTGCACTGACTGTATTTGTGACTGGCTTCTGTCATTATGTAACAGGCCTTTTTCGACGACCGGGAAAGATGACCGGGTTGCAAGACGCGCTTGTATCTACTCATCAAAAAGCCATGTCCTCTGCAGTCGAGGTCAAGAATCTGAACTTCTCCCATGCGCCAGACCTCCCGCTCTCCCTCGCCAACCTCAACCTGAAACTACCGAACCGCTCAGCAACTTTGCTTGTCGGTGCAAATGGTGCGGGTAAATCCACACTTCTGCGACTCCTTGCAGGCAAGCGAATCGCTCCAGCAGGCACAGTCTTCATCAATGGCCAGGATCCATTTCGAGAACACTCGCCTGGCATCACCTACCTCGGCACGGAATGGGCGAACAACCCAGTCGTTCGCAATGACATCAAAGTATCACACTTACTCGCTTCCATCGGCGCAGAACATTACCCAGAGCGCAGAGATCAGTTGATGAAGATTCTAGATGTTGATTTGCAATGGCGTATGAATCAAGTTTCTGATGGTGAGCGCAGGCGTGTCCAGCTCATCATGGGATTAATGCGACCTTGGACAATCTTGCTCCTCGATGAAGTCACCGTCGATCTTGATGTGCTCGCTCGTTCTGACTTGCTCGCCTTTCTCAAGGAAGAAACACAGCAGCGCGATTGTACCATTGTCTATGCAACACATATCTTTGATGGTCTCGCCAGTTGGCCTACACACCTCGTACACATGACCCTCGGTCAGATCTTATCGGTTGGCCCACCAGAGGAGTTCCTGCCTGCTGTTGCAGATCGCAATGATAAGGCCAATTCGGCATTGTTGGAGTTGTGCTTGCGTTGGTTGACGGAGGATAGGGATGAGCGCGGCAATCGTGGTGCTGAGAAGCGCATGACGTGGGACGACATCCCCGATGAGGAGAAGGCCGGTGATGTCAAGGACTCGAGTGTTTTTACCGCATACTTCAAGGCAACACGCGCACAGTAAGCTTGTTTGTCGAGGCGGAAAGGAGAGGGGCTCCTTCATGTATATCAACCATGCATCATGGCGGAAAGGAGATGGGCTCCTTCATGTATATCAACCATGCATCATGAAATGAAGAACGAAATAGACAAGACGCAACCTGCATGCTACACATTCAACAAGCTAGCGTAGATGAATTGCTCGCAAAAAGATAGACAGGGACATGCTCTGAGTACCTGACTCTTTGCTTGTTCCAGAGATTCATAAAGACTTCAACCTACCAGCACTTACTACTCTACAATCATTCCAAGCAAATGAGCTAAATTCAATCTAAGCTGCTTACCATGAGTGCTCCTCTGAATATAGTCTACACCGAGCTCGAGCCAGACGCAGTAGAAGCTCTGCACAAAGCAGATGCAGCCATCTTCCCAAACAAGTTGGCCCTCCAAACGCTACTCTGCTGGCAAATTGCTCAACCAGACCTCTTTGTGCAAGTTGAAGCAACAGATCATATTGGTAAACGAACAGGCGTCTTGTGCCTGCTTGGCATACACAAGACCTTTCATGATGCTCTCATGCAAGGACAACTCGAAGAATGTGATATTATGCCGGACATGCTGGTTCCAAGAGCATCGAAAGACCCATGCGGCTATCACGTCTGGCACATTGAAAACAACTCCGGCAAGCCAAAGACCGGACAGAAGAGGACAAACTTCATGAAGGCAGCGTTCACAGGTCTCGTGAAGGAACAACTGTCTATTGCTGCATCTCTGCAGAGTCAATCGCAAATGACTGTGTCTGCTTTGACAGCAACTGATCATGGCCAAGCTTTCTTTGAGAAACAAGGCTTTGAAAGCTGCGGTACGTGGGATTACATCGTCAAAGGCGTAGATGGACAGAGCTGCGTGCGGCACAGCAAGACACCAACGGCTCCAGCACTAGCCAAGGGAGAAGAGCTTATCCGTGCATGCAACATGATGCGGCGGAGCTATGACTGTCAACCTATGGATAAACAAGTGTAAGGATTGATGCAGACGCCAAAACGCACAATGATTGATTGGGTGATCCGTCGGGCAGATGCTACACACACTTGATGCCATCGACAGAGTAGAAGCCGCACTGTGCAACACGGTGTGCATGGCCGGTCCGCTCATCGAAGATCTGACAGCCATACTTGGATGCCCATGGTGGTGTGTAGAGATGTAGGGAGACGGCGATTTCGTCTGTCTGATTGCTGATGCGATGCACACCCAACGCGTCATTAATGTACGCCACTTGATCCTTGTCATAGTCTGTGATTCTCGTCACCTGTAAACCCTCTCCATCTTCATCCTCATCGTTCTCATGCTCATCTAATTCCTGTGTCGCTTCTTGCGGCTTCCCAGGCTCCATCGGTTTCGCACCTCTCGGCCACGCATACAGCGTCTCATTCAAGGTTCCCTTTAGTACCTTCATCAGGCAATGCGCACTTGAGTGACAATGCGCTGGACTCTGTCGCCGTGGATTCCATACCAACACAAGCAAATTGGCCTTGCCATTGACATTGCTCACCAAGTTGCGCGTGTAGCTACGCGTTGGCTCTTCTAGCGCATACTTGATCCAGTCAGATTCACAGGAGGTGTAGTCATGCATGATCTGCTGCAATTGCTGGAGATGCGCATCAGACGTGTCAATGCCTGCGTCTGCGCCCAAGCAGCTGTGGATGTCGGCAACAAGCTGCTGGAAGGGATTTTGCTTTACACTGCGGTCAATGGACATAAATACAGTCGCCGTACTGAGCTGGAGATGTTCCGGATATGGCCCGGGCTGGCTGAGTGTCCTGAGAGGGTGTCTTGACGATTAAACGGCAGGGTGGGTGTGACCTTGCTGGCCATTTGCGACAATTCAGACTCAGATGGCACAATCAAGGATTCAAGGGATCTCAGGGTGATCCAGAGTCAATAAGTTATGCATACAGCTCGCTATGATCGGGCTGGCCTACGTGGACTAGGAACAGGAAGCATACTGCTTCTCCGAGACGCTGCAGTGCCCATGATTGACGGTGCTCGCAGCTCTGGAACAGCATCACTCGTTTGTGGCCGAGCAATGCCAGAAACTCGTTCTCGCCGTGTACTCGCCAACCCAGGTACACTGCTCGGCACGCCCTTTTTCAGCGAAGGAATCCCAGATGGCGTGATGGGCCGTAGACGAGACATTCCTTGCTGCTTGACGGGCGTTTGAAATGCTGGCAACGGCGGTGGTGGCAACTTGCCCAGCTGCGGTGCCTTGGGTCGTGACAAGCGTTCAATAGTCTCTGCAGTCAGATGTGTGGGCAAAGGCGGTACAGGCGAGCGCATGACACCACTCGCTGCACGACTCGGCGTTCCCCTTGGATTCACAGAAGCACGCCTGGAGCCATGCACAGGCGTTGTCGCTCCCGAAGCACGATGAAAGCCAAGAGAAGATTGAGCACCGCCAACCCGACCAGTCTCATGAGACGCCAGCCGAGAGGCACTGCGCATGGGCGTCAAAGGGATACGCGAGTCTGGCATTCTTGCAACGGCCGTACCTGCATTCCACGGCGGCTTCTGCGGTGAGAGAGAAGTCTGCGTGCTACTACCACCACCGTGCATGCTCAGACGTGACCGACTGCGAGGCGGATCTAGAGAAACGTCTCTGCGAAACAGAGCCGGTGACGGCGACTCGCATCGCTCAATCTTTGGTATCCGTCGAGGGGTACCAGGCTGCAATAGTCTTGGGTGTGGTCCCTTGGATGCACTTTTCAGTAGAGATGCGCTGGACTTGCGCTCGGGAGACTGCCGATTCCCGCTTGCAGCGCCCAGAGTACGTCGCATCATTCCACCAGCTCTGGCACTCTCTAGTCTGCGATGCATTGCATCAATCTCCTTTTCGAGCGCATGCCATCGTTGAAGGAGCAAGTCGTATCCACGAATGACTTCTCCATTGAGTGTGGCTCGATTCTTGACACCAGCATGCATAATGTTCAGGACAGCCGGAATGGCTTTGCCATAGTGCTCTGCCTTCATTTCAAACGCTGTCGCGAGCTTCTCGGCATCGACACCTTTGAACGGTGCTGCACCGAGTCGCTTGGCCGTGCGCTCGAGCGATTCCATCATATCGGACGCCTGCTTGTTGACTTGTCGAAACACCGCCATCCACTTATCCTCTCCGAGCTCTTGCTTCAGCGTGCCAAAATCACGAGAAAGGATACTGAACTCGCCCTCAATGCTCGTGTACTTTTCCTGCAATGATACAACGGCTGTTGGGAAACATCCAGCAGCTCGCATCTCAAAGACTTCAATGCGCGGGCGAAACAAGCTGATACTTGCACGCAGAGGCTGTAGTCGACTGGACAGCTGCATCATGGTCTCTGTTAATTGCCGGTCCCAGCGACTCAGCAAGTCATCCCCAACCACTTTGCCTGGGGTACCTGTGTCTTCGCCCTCTGGCTCTTCACGCAGAATACCAGCCAACACGTCTGGTGCAATCGCTTCAGGCGGTACAGCGACGTGACGTTGTTCCTCGACTTGATAGATGGCTGTGCGCAGAGACTTGATCTCCTGCTCAATTGCATCCAGCGACCCACGACAATCTTCATAATCATCCGCCGCATGTAGCTGTATCCGAACGCGCGCCAAAGCTGGTCCTGCTTCTCGCAATCTCGCAGCAAGCTCATCATCCGCCGTCTCTTTCTGTTTTGTTGATAGAGTTGTAAACATGTCATCTAAATACGCAGCTGCTTGACGTCCCTGTAGCGCCCAAGCAATATCATCTTCCGCTTGCAAGTCCTTGAGAAGATCAGCCGCTTCATCAATCCGCTCGGCAGATGCCGTTTCGTCTTCTTCACTTGCATCCGCTTGCCCTGCATGACTGAGTTGACGCAGTGCAAGCGCCTGTAGCCGTGCAAGTCGCGCCTCGAAAGGCCCGCTTATTTGTCGTGCATTGTTGTTGGTGCGCGTAGATCCATCTGGCACGCGTCTCGCCATTTTGCTAGGTGTTGCAATCTCGAGCGATGCAATCAATTCATCATGCGTGACATGGCTCAAAAGCCCCTCTTTGAAGTGTGAAGACGGCTGCGTCGATGCATGCTCGTTATCAAAGGCAGTTGCTGGCGGGGTAGCTAGCATCGTGTCCGCTTTAATTTTTTTGTCAATCTGTGTCTTGCGCGAATGACACGAGTTAGCGTGTCACAGGCCTCTCTCCTGACACTCCTTCTGCTTCACGGCCCGGTCTCCTGTAGAGTTCTAGCTAGGTAAAGTCTCCTGGTTGCTCGTCTCGGTCGCGTCCAGGTTTTTTGTTTGTGTTGAAAGAGTTCAGATGGGATGCAGCGACAACCAAAAGCAGGCCAGGGAAGGCCAGACAAAGAAGTGTAGAGAAGTGATATAGGGAGACAAAGAAGAGCAGAGAAGTGATGCAGAGTGTATTTCCAATGTCTATTCAGTGCTAGATGCAGCTATGGAGCATAATATAAAAGAGTCGTTACAAGAAGAGGAAGAAGGCGAGAGACCTAGTACAGCTGAACTTCCTTGCGACGGTGACGCTTGCGCATCGCCATGGTGCTGTTGGAGGTACCATTGTTGACGGGTGCAAGGGTTGCAGTGGCTGTTGCAGTCGATGACACAGACGTCACAGGAATCACTGCAGGCGTGGTTGTGGTTGTGGCTGTGGCTGTCGGTGAACCGGCAACAGGCAAGACACCAGCACTACCGCCAATAGTTGTCGTAACAGTAGTCTGGATGGTGCTCGTGACAAAGACAGTAGTCGTGGAGAAGAGTGTCGTCATGGCAGTAGAAGTACCGCCGTTGGCATCAACACTGACCACAATGAGGTTGTTGATGATGACAGGCTGGATGCTGACAATGATGACATAGACAGTTGGCGTGACGACCACTTGCTGCTGGACGATAGTCGTCGTGATGGGCGTGACAGGAGCAACACCGGCGACAGCAACGCAAAGAACTTGACCAATGGCGAGGTTGGTGCAGCCGCTGTTGATGGCAGAATTGAGGGTGTAGAGCTGAGCAAGTGTCAAGCCAGGGAACTTGGCAACAATAGAGTTGCAAATGTCACCAGCAACAACCGTGTAGCTCTGTGTGCATCCACCAACAACAGGTGCAGCAGTAGGCACTGCAGAACCAGGCACAACGGCATTGTTGCCAGGAATGCCGCCAACACCAGCACCACCAGTCGCTGCAGGGCCGTCAACCGTAACAAAAAAGGTCGAGGTCAGTGTCGTGCGAGTCGTCGAGACAGTAGCAGTAATGGTTGTTGTCTGTCCAGGGGCAACCGTCACCACCTGGCCGTTGCCAAGAGTCGTCGTCAAGGGCGCAGGTGCACCAACAGTCTGTGTGATGGTGATGGTTGTCACCACAGGCTGAATCACAGCGTTGTTGACAGGGTTCAGCACAATGATGGCAGCACCAGGAGTACCAGCAACCGAAGGTGGAGCAGTGACAGTGATCGTCTGCGTTACCGTCGTTGTGACTGGAGCCGGCAAGACACCAGCAGTAGGCGAAGGCTGCAGAGTTGTCGTCAAGACAGTGGTGAAGGTTTGGATCAGGATGCCGGGCTGAAGCGTAACGGTGATGATGACTGAGATGAGGACTGGCTGCGACTGGAAGATGATGGTGACGACCGAGTTGACTTGCGTAACAAGAGGAGCCAAAGTCTGGGTAACAGTAACAACAGAAGGCACGGTGGCAGTCACTGTCACGGCGCTGCCACTGACGGTCTGGACCTCAGTGACCACCACGGAGGTCGTGATAGTCGAGATGACGCCAACAGGGCCAGTGATTGGAGCTACGCCGTTGCTGCCACTGCCAGAAGCTGATGGAGTAGGGACAAGGACGGCAGTCGAAGTGATCGAAACGGTTGCAGTGGTCGTAGCATTGGGCAGCAGAGCAGAGAACATGACAGAGGAGCTCAACATTGTAGCAAAGCCAGATGAACCAGTCGCAACACCAGGGGCCGAGCTGCCTGCAGAGCCAGAGACTGAGGCAGGGCCGATGACGGCAGCAGTGATGACGACAGGAACAAAGTTGGCACCGACACCGAGTTGGTTCTGTCCGTTGACACCGAGGGGCACAGGAGTCTGACGCTTCCTGAGTGCGTTGCCGAAGAAGGCCTGGAGCGTGTTACTAGTGATGGTGAAGAGGGCCTTAGCGGAGCCAGCTGGAACCGGCAACGAGATGTAAACGACGAAGCCGTTCGAGTTGGGCGCAAAGACTGCGACAATACCGTTGCAAGCAAGCGAGCCGTCGGGGTAGAGCTGAATAGGCGAAGGCGAGCCGACTGTAGAGAGAACAATGAAGGCACCTTCACAGATAAATACACCACTTCCAGGGGCAACCAAGGTGATTGTCTGAGGATTGCCAACAGGGACAGGCGCTGCAATCGTAGAAGATGCAGGCGAGCCACTGTTTGTCTGCGAAATTGGGACGACAACGCTAACAGTCGGTGAGACGGGTGCAACATCAGTGCTGGATGCCAGAGAAGCAGAGTCAGTAGCAGTGGTAGGAACAACAGCTGTGGTCGATTCGGTGGCTGTAGTAGAAACGAGAGCAGTGGTAGAGTCCGTTGCAGTAGTAGAGATGAGAGCCGTGGTCGAGTCAGTAGCCGTAGTAGACACAACAGCCGTGGTCGAGTCAGTAGCCGTAGTAGACACAACAGCTGTAGTCGAATCAGTAGCCGTAGTAGACACAACAGCCGTGGTCGAGTCAGCTGCAGTGGTGGACACGACCGCCGTAGTTGAGTCAGTGGCAGTGGTAGACAAAATCGCCGTAATCGAATCAGTTGCTGTTGTGGACACGACAGCTGTAGTCGAGTCAGTGGCAGTGGTGGACACAACCGCCGTAGTCGAGTCAGTGGCAGTGGTAGACACAATAGCCGTGGTTGAGTCTGTAGCAGAAGTCAACGTGATGGTCGAGTTCGAGAATGGAGCAGTTGAAGATGGGAGCGCCGTAGAGGACTCGGAAGTGGTGGTCGACACGACGGCAGTCGATGACTCAATAGCAGTGGTGGACACCACAGCAGTAGTTGACTCGATTGAGGTTGTAGACTCGGTTGCGTTGGTTGACGCGACAGAAGTTGTGGACACGACAGCAGTAGTTGACTCGACTGAGGTAGTAGGCTCCGTTGCCGTGGTCGACTCGACAGAAGTGGTGGACACGATGGCAGTAGTTGACTCGACCGAAGTAGTTGACTCGATCGCGGTCGTAGACTCGGTGGTTGTAGTGGAAACCACCTCTGTTGTTGACTCAATGACCTGGCTAGAGTTTAACGAAGCTTGACGCCTGTCGAGCTGGACACGACGAAGCTGAACACCGCGGACATTGCCACCCGGCGCCGCAAAGGCGACATCGCTCGCGGCCAGCAAAGAAAGAAGGACAGTGCTGAACAACATGGTCTACCTCTGGAAGACTGAAAGACTGGCTTGAGGGTGAGGAAGGGTGTCGACCGAGAGAGAGTAGAGAGAATGAATGAAGGAAGATGTGAGTCAAGAGGGAATCACAGACATTATAACAGACAAGCAGCAGGTCCCAAGGTGAGGCCAGGGATGAAGCAAAGGCTGTTGACTCCTTGGGCGGGAGGCGCGACTTGTCGTTGACGAAAGCGCGTACAAAGGGCAATGCACTGTGCCAGCCGTTGTGCGTCAACAAGCACGAGAACAGGGATCTCCTGTCCTGTCACCTGTGTGCTGCCGGCGTCGGGCCGTCCTGGTAAGCTGGTGCAGTGCTAGTACTTGCTAGATTGGCACTAGCAGAGCAGGCAGGGATGGCCATTTGGCCCTGCGTGCGATGCTCTCCTGGCGCGAGAGGCAGCTTAGCAGATCATCTGCGTGCCGGAGATGACGCGGTGGCCTAATCCCGACCAGCGCTTTTAGCAGCATTCATAATAGACTGAGAGTCCAGAGTGTGCAAGAAGATACTGCTGCACTCCTCTGGCAGGCAGTGGGCCAGTGGCAGCTTGAGCTTGTGGTCACAGTGGTGTCGAGGAGGGAAGGAGGTCGTGCAGGTGCAGCTTCGACTCCTCGCGCGCAGGGAAATTTCGCGCCAAGCAGAATTCAGCAGACGCGACGCGCATGAAATTGATCTTGAGATTGACGGGATCCAATCTACCGAGTCCTGCGGGCTGGATGTTCCGATCTAGCCTATAGAATAGTATAGATAGACCCAGGTGCCGCTGGATACGACGCCACTGTACAGGCGATTACGCTGCTACTTGCCAAGTCACTACAGAGTCGCTACCATCCCACGTCCCGTGGTCTGGCTCCTGGTCCTGGAAGCTATAGCTCGCAGCATGTGAATATCATTTCGAGCATGTTCAAGGCCGCGGCAGGCTGTTTGAATGTCTGGACAGATAGTGAATTTCTTCACTGCAGCATAGATGCCTTTACAACCGTAGAGTCGGCTTGATCGAATCATCAGTCAGCTTCCCTAAACGCCTCCAGACCAGTCACGTCCTGTCCTGCAACAATTGCGTCGGCCACCTTCCTTGCATTCAAGATACAGTCATTGACACTGACACCGCCATAGCTGCTTCCAATAACGCCCAACTTGCCACCGAATCCTGCCAGCCTTTCGTCCAACTTCTTCATGCGTGCAGCATGGCCGACCGTGTATTGTGGGATACAATCATGCTGTAGCTTCGCGTTCCATAGTGCCGGCTCTTGCGTCACACCCAAATGTCCCTGCATCACCCGTTTCGTGCGTTCAAGACCTTGCTCAGGCGTGGGTAATGCCGAAGGGTCAAGACCCTTCCACCAGTGTCCACCCATAATGCAAGTGACTTTTGTACCAAGTGCAGAGTCTTGGCCTGGCACAGAGGCAGAGTCAAAGACAACACCGAGTGCCCTGTCTGGATTATCTTCCAGTGGAACAGATTTTGGGATCAGGTAGCCAAACCCGTCGATTGGCAATATCGCCGGATCCTTGTAGTAGAGGTTGATGACCATGACTGTGGAGTACTCGACAGCATCCAATTCTGTTGTTTCCATGGTACCATGTAGTATACTGGAAAGCTGTTTTGCGTTCACGGCAGAAACTACCTTGTCGAATGATATCGTTTGCCCACCCTGTGTCACTGATACAGTATCGCCGTGAACCTCAAGCCGCCTGACAGGAGCACCTTGCTCAACATTGACACGACCAGATTCCTTGAGAAGTGTCTGTAAGCGATTGGTCATGGTCATCAAACCGCCTTGAAAGGAGTAGACACTGGTATCCTTAAGCTTTTCCGCCATTTCCGTATTCTCTAGCTTGAGCTTCGCGTACAGCTGCTGATCAAAAGGACTCAATGTCTCTGTTCCCCGCAGAATACCAGCAACGACGCTACCAGCTTGTCCTTCGTACTTCCAGAGCGCTCCGAATGTGCTCTTTACAGAAAGAGCATCCACAGAGCCAGAGTAGATGCCGTGCACAACAGCTGAAAGCATGTTATTGGCCATGATGGGCGAAAATCGTCGTGAAATGAAGGATCCGATAGACTCGTCTTGTAAGGACGCGGGTCGACGCTTTCGGAATGGCTCAAGCATCAATGACCCAAGAGAGCCTTTCAGGATGGGATTGGTCATTGCAAACTTGAGAAAGCCCACGAGAGAGCTAGGCAGCTTGTGTACCTTTCCCTTGTAGTATATGAAGCGGTTCTTTGCGGACGGACTGCTCTTTGGCACGAGGATGAGCTTGTCTTCAAGCTCGAGCTGACGAACGAGGTCAAGAGCACTCAGACCCGGCAGACCCACAGGCCGCAAACTCCGTGGACCTTCTTCAAAGACGACATTGCCGCCAGTACTTGCATCCAAGGATTTACTCTTGACCCAGCCGCCAGCCTCTTTGGCAGTCTCGAAAAGCGTAATATGAGCTGCTGGCAATTGTTTTTGTAGAAAGTAAGCAGCAGAGAGGCCGGCAATACCTCCACCAATGACGGCAATCTTATTCGAAGCATATCTACGAGTACAGCGATATCTTGGAGCGATATAGCAGGTTCTCCGTGGTTGTAGCATTGATGTAGTTTGTAGCTTGCATTTGGTCAGCGCATTCAAAACTTCACCAGCTGCGCTTGTACGATTTGAACAACACCTGCTGCCACGGGCCTAGTATCTCTCTGCATGGCTTTACAAGACGTCATGACACGCTACAGACTCTCTGCGCTATGCATGACACTCTGTGTGCTCTTCTTTGGCTCTCGCTACCTCTTCTCCTCTACTACAATACCACTGACTGCCAAGCAGCAACGGTGTAGTAATCTCCCACACACCTGGCGCGGCTACAACGACAGGCTACGCCCTGACTTATCTCGGGAAATCAAGATTGAGCATGTCGATCATGCTACTGTCAAGGTGGACCATCAAATACAAGTCTTGCTCGCTCGAGCGCCGATTGAGGAGTTTGATATTGAAGTGAATGTACAAACGTCGCATGAAGTGGGTAGTGACGATTTCAGCATTACGTTTGAGAATTCTGTCATGCGGATCTATACACTGCTTGGACCGGACAGTGAATTGGCGAGGGCGCCAAAGCACTGTGTAGCGATGCAGATTATCCTGCTCATTCCGCCATCACGGCCCTTGCCAAAGCTGAGTTTAGTCTTCCCAGACGCTGATGTTGCGCTGCTCGAGAGCGCATGGGGTTCATTGCCGGAGCTCGACATTGCACTCGAACGTGGGGATATCATTGCAGAAGCCGGTCAACGTCTGCATGCAGGCCGCATCAAGCTCAGTACGCTCGAGGGAAATATTCGTGGGAAATTGATGATTACAGAGCAGATGGATGTGTTTGCCCAGACGGGTCATGTGGATGTACAGGTGGGTTATTCGCCCTTTGATGTGGGTGCCAATTTGAATGTGCGTGTACAGACGGGCTCTCTGCGGGTGGATGTCGAAGATTTGCTGTATCGACCACTCTATGGCAACTATATGATCGCACAGGGTCCGTTGACACTGGCGTATCCCAATAGCTACAATGGATACCTCTCCCTCCAAGCGGCAGACGGCGCAGTGGATATCAGGGGAAAGGGACTCGAGCCTAGTGAAGAGAGTGGACCGGGAATGAAGCCTGCGTACTGGGAAGGCAGACATGGTCCGGGTCATCAGACCACCATTGCGCGTATCACTGAGCGTGGTAGCCTGCGTGTCGACATGCATTGAAGAAATGGGCACATGAACACATAGATAGTGATTGCATTACACGTCGTCTTCTCGTTTCCGTGCAAGTCTCGCGAGCTCCAGCTCAGCTTGGACGAGTTGTCCTCGTAAATCCAACACCTCTGCATGCGCACCCGCATAAATCTTGTGCATTTCTTGTCGTAGCAGCTGCATCTCCTGCCGCGTAGGCATATCCCTCTTCATACGCTCCAATTCACGCTCTGCCAGTGTGATACGCCGTACATGTTCCGTCACGGTTCCTGTCGATTCGCTGAGACTATCCACCGATGTGTGCAGCCGCTGGCTCGCACGCTCATAGTCTTCAAGGAGGTAAGCGTATCCCAATGCACCAGCAAGGGTCATGCCAAGTAGAAACCCAGTGATTCCACCGCGTAGCCCGCCAATCTGACGCTTGACTTTGATGTTTTGTACTTGCGGCTGGTGTGTGCTTGGTAGGGGTGTTGGAGAAGGTGCAAGGACTTGTGGCTGCGGTGCTTGTGCGACAGAGGTAGAGCGTGTCCCGAGGAGTCCTGCCAGTTGCCGTGATGTACTGAATAGTCTCGCCATGGGAGCTGTGGTGTTGAGTGTGAGCGTGCAGTATTCAAGCGAGCAAATGGCACAGGCACAGAAGTCTGGTCGTCGATCTTGGTCTATCCTGCTTCTACTTACTGCCAGCACTCTCCCTGCTCTGGTCGTTGATGTCTTGCTCCCATATCCTGCTTCCCAGAGACCCAGAGACCCAACAGTCCATTCACCAGCCCACTCTCTTCCTCATATCTTGATTGCATTGATGTGCATCTGCGGATCAGACTTGACAATAGACGCAAGCAGATTGTCCACAATCGCCTGCTTCCCTTCCTTGTGCGACTTCTCAATCTCCTCCAACTGCTGGATGATTGCCTTCTCTGCCTGCTTCTCTGCATCCTCGCTCGATCCAGTGTTCTACATGTCAGCGCTCTGTTGTGGGTATAGTCATAGAGGGCGCATACCTCAGACTCGTAGTCCTTGTACTCCTGCTCCTTCTTCTTCTTGTACGCGTCTACCTCCTTGGCAGCTTCAGAGCGTGCATCCTTCAGCCGCTGTGTCCTGTATGTGCGCGCCTTCTCTACAATAGCTTGTGCGTCCTTCTCTGCCTCGAGGAGCGTCTGAATGGATGCTGTCTGTGTCTGCGATGACATGCTTAGCTATCTTGCGTGTCTCTGGCTGCTGAAGACTGACAGACTACTGACTGCAGCTGATCTCTCTGCCTGGTCACCTCCCTCACTCGCCCTTCGTCATTCAGATGCACGTGCACAGTCATCACGCAGTCTGAGCTACAAGTCAGGGACAACACTCTACCTCTTTACACCTCTCTTCAAGTAACGCTCTTGCTACCAACATGGGTCTCTGGGCAGTCTATAAGCTCGAGCTGAGTTGACGTGCCACTATCTTCCTTATGAAGTGCTGCAGACATCTTCCTCCTGCTTCGTCAAGCGCTCTCAAATTTTATCTTGTGGCTCGCCAGCATGATTGAAGCACCCCTTCTGCTCTTTGCTACGGGCGAAATGCGTGTGCACCATCCTAGCCCTTTCATCCTTTTTACAAACATGAAGCACTCGGTCATCTTTCGACAAAAGTCCCCAACCGAGTATCAGTACGCTGAAGGATCATCCATCAACTACTCGCTGACGTGTCGAAAGCCGCCGTAGTCGAGTACGAGAGGCAGATGCGGAAACTCAGAGAGGTGTCTCGGGTATTTCTTTGATTCCGTGCCCGAAAGGAAAGGAGATCACGAAATCGATGATAGCGTCCTCGGAATGGGTAACATTCTAGAAGAGATGACTGCAGAGGAGGAGGAGGTGTACGACAGACAGCTCTTCTGGATAAAGCTTTTACCAATCTCCCCCCGGGAAGCGCTCAGCGTGGCACGCGTGTCATTGATACTTCCAAGGCGCCCGAAAGAGTATTCGGCCAACAGACAGACATCTGTGTTGGCTTCATTCGAGGAGTCACCGCCTCCGTCCGACGAGGCATCAGAGCCGACTACTCCAGATGCAAGTAGCTTTGTCGGATGGCGCTGAGGGAGAGTTTACAGTATCACTATGCGAAACTGTCTCATAGCATTTATATCGTATGTAGAAGCACAAGTTCAGCTTCCTCGCCCCTGAGCTTCTCGTCTGCGGCGTGAGACTTTTGCGGCTACGACAATTTTTAGAGCGAATTCAATAGACAAGAGACTCCAGTCACCGTAGACGAGCCTAGACATGGCCAAGGACGGGATAGAACGGCCCAAGACTTCATTCAATACCCTAAAGGTATGCTCTCATCATCTGCAGCTTTACCTAACACTCAGCGGCAAAAACTATTCACCAATCCGCCCAAGGACAAGAGCGCTTATCCTGAGCTTCTTAAGGCGACAAGGCCTCATACAGACTCCTTCGATGCATTGTTCGACGGGCCTCAGGGCGGAATACTAGAATTGGCGTGCAAAGATATCGGAACCACCGTCATCTTTGACAGGAAGGACGAATCCCTCAACAATGGGCTCGGCAACAAGCTCATCCTTAAAGTGGACGATGTGACTTGCGCCAAGCCCATGATTGATCGGCGCGACAGGGATGCTCTCAATCGAGAGATCATGCCGACTGAAGCTAGAGAACGACTCATTACTTACCGTGCACGACTCGGCTTCAGGCTGAGCTACCGAGTCAACGACAACAAGGCCTGGACGTCCATCACAGTCGATGCTGGACAACTGCCCGTCATGGTGCGCTCTTCGCGTTGTCACTTGCATAATCTCTCGCCGTACGACCTGATGCGCGCCAAGGAGGAGACGGAGGAGATGGGTGGTTACTTTATTGTGAATGGTAATGAGAAGCTCATCCGCATGTTGATTCTGCCACGACGCAACCATGTCATTTCACTGGTCCGCAATTCCTTCATGAACCGCGGATCGAGCTATTCAGAATTTGGTACGCAGATTCGATGCGTGCGGCCGGACCAAACATCGCAGACCAACACCGTACACTATTTGCAAGATGGCCAATGCATGCTGCGATTCTCATGGCAAAAGAATGAGTACTTGGTGCCCATCATGATGATCTTCAAAGCTCTCGTTGAGGTCAGTGATCGTGACATCTTCGAAGCACTTGTTGGGAAGGAGACGAGCAACACATTCTTGACGGACCGTGTTGAATTGCTCTTGCGTAATTACAAGAGTTACAAAATGAGCAAACGGCAAGAAACTCTGGACTTTTTGGGTGGCAAGTTTAGGATTGTCATGAATGCGCCAGAGGACGAGTCAGATGGTGATGTTGGCAAGCGTGTGCTCAATAGGATTGTGCTTGTCCACCTCAAAGACAATAAGGACAAGTTCAGGATGCTTGTGTTCATGGTGCGCAAGCTATACAGTCTTGTTTCAGGCGATTCAGCACCCGACAATCCAGACTCGCCTGCTCACCAGGAAATCATGCTTGGTGGATTTCTATATGGTCAAATCATCAAGGAGAAGCTCGAAGACTGTCTTCGTGGTATTCGTGCCCAAATTGGCATTGACTTGCGTCGCGCTGCATCAGCCCCGCACGTCAAGTTTGAGGACCCAAAGTATATCGCCAAGACCGTTGCCAAGGTCAATACTGATATTGGCACGAAGCTTGCATACTTCTTGTCAACAGGCAATCTAGTCTCCAACACGGGTCTTGACTTGCAGCAAACCACCGGGTACGTTGTGGTTGCTGAGAAGCTCAACTTTTACAGATATCTCAGTCATTTCCGCATGGTCCACAGAGGATCCTTTTTTGCAGAGCTCAAGACTACTACCGTTCGAAAACTACTGCCAGAAGCATGGGGATTCTTGTGTCCGGTACACACCCCTGATGGATCGCCCTGTGGTTTGCTCAACCATCTTGCACACAAGTGTCAGATTGTCACAACAGCTTGCGATACCTCCAAACTGCCTGAGCTTCTCCTTTCACTTGGCGTGGACGATGCGTCCAAGGTCTCTGGCGGCGGTGCAGGACGCTCAAGTGTACAAGTCGATGGACGCATCATTGGCTCTCTATCACATGGGAAAGCAGAAAAGCTTGCCATAAAATTACGTGATCTCAAAGTCACGAGAGATGCACGGCTACCCCTTGACCTCGAAATTGGCTTGGTTCCACCGTCCAAGGGCGGTCAGTACCCTGGCTTGTACCTTTTTGGTGGTGTTGCGCGTATGATGCGACCAGTCAAATACTTGAAAGTCAAGAGCGGCAGTCCTCATGAGGATCTTGTCGGTAGTTTCGAACAAGTATACATGGATATTGCGTGTATGCCTTCAGATGTCATTGACAAGGTCACAACGCATATTGAGCATACACCAACAAATATGCTGAGTATCATTGCCAACTTGACGCCCTTCTCCAACTTCAACCAAAGTCCAAGAAACATGTATCAATGCCAAATGGGCAAGCAGACGATGGGCACGCCATCTACGACACTTCGTCACCGAACAGATAACAAGTTGTATCGGATACAAACGCCACAAACACCCATTGTACGTCCTGCATTGCACGACACGTATGGCTTTGACAATTTTCCCAATGGAACGAATGCCATTGTTGCCGTCATTTCATATACAGGATACGACATGGAAGATGCCATGATTCTCAACAAGTCTTCACATGAGCGTGGATTTGGGTATGGTACGATTTACAAATCGGAAAAGGTAGACCTGAAGGAGAAGCTGCGCAAGGGCGAGTCGAACCACTTGCACTTTGGCTTCGGCAATAGCACTAAACCTCGCAAGTGTGATAACCATCTCGATGATGACGGATATCCCTTCATTGGTGCAAAGCTCAGCGAGGGTGATCCTCTGGCAGCCTACTTTGACGATGTCACTGGTAAATGCACTGTGGTTGAGTACCACGGTTCCGAAATGGCAATTGTCGACGAATGCCGTATTCTCGGCAACGACGCTGGTGACTCTGAATGCCAAGTCCTACAAATCCAATTGCGCGTCACACGTTCGCCCATTATCGGTGACAAGTTCTCCTCCAGACACGGTCAAAAGGGTGTGTGCTCGCAAAAGTGGCCTTCTATTGATATGCCCTTCTCAGAGTCTGGCATGCAACCAGACGTCATCATCAACCCACACGCCTTTCCCTCGCGCATGACGATTGGTATGTTTGTTGAGTCGATGGCTGCGAAAGCTGGCGCGTTGCGTGGACATGCGCAGGATGCAACGCCATTCACATTCGACGAGGAACACACAGCTGCAGACTTCTTCGGCAATCAGCTCGTCAAGCAAGGCTTCAACTTTCACGGCAATGAACCCATGTACTCGGGTGTGACTGGACAAGAGTTCAAGGCGGACATCTATATTGGTGTGGTGTACTACCAGCGCTTGCGACACATGGTCAGCGACAAGGTCCAAGTCCGTACAACCGGTCCAGTCAACCCGCTCACGCACCAGCCCGTCAAGGGACGTAAGAGAGGTGGTGGGATCCGCTTTGGTGAAATGGAGCGAGATGCCATCATTGCTCATGGCGCTTCCTTCATCCTACAGGACCGTCTCAACAACTGCTCCGACTACGATCAGTCCTTTATTTGCAAAACGTGCGGTTCTATTTTGTCAATCCTGCAGGTTTCATCGGTTGAAGGAGCTGATGAGGCACAAACACGCTGCTTGAACTGCGCAAAGGAGGTGACGCAGGTGCGTAATGGCGAGGATGTCTGGGAGCTGAATGACCGGCGATTTACAGGCGGCGGCAATACAGCGAAGGTGGCGATACCCTTTGTCTTTAGATATCTCTCGGCTGAGCTGGCTGCGATGAATATCCGGCTCAGCTTGAAGACTGCGTAGACTTCAGGTATTTATGGAGCTCTTGCAACTCATCTAAACACCGAACTCTCTTCCACCGCGACTTTACTGCTTGCACAAACACAAATAGCTGACGCTCGTGGCAAGGCCAACGCGGATGTTTGCTCTTGTCCCTGCTGCGTCGAGTGAAGTGAATGACCTTCTGAATGGTCGTTCTGGCTCTGCTTCTTTCTCCTCGTCACATGAACACCAAGTCTGCTCGCTTTCCTGCGGTCGCAGATGACTCTGCTGAGTTCGTTGCTCCAAAGCGCGGCTTCTTCAATATACTCAAGGCCTTCTTAAACCTGAACGCTGATGTCAAGCGCAAGCAGGAGGCGATGCTGCCGGATCAGTCTGCTCAAATGCATCCTGCAGCGCGTCATTCGCATTGCGATGTCAAAGCACAGACCAGTACGCCTGTTCCTCGAAAACGAAGCACTGATCTGTCGGCGCAAACAACCACGGACACGGTCGTCTATCGTCCATCAGCAAAAGCAGAGCGCCATCTATCTCAAAAGACGTTTGCACCTTCCGTCACGACAGTCGAAAAGGCAGTCTCTGCGCGAACGTACTTTGAGACTTATTACAACGGCCTCCTGAATCGTCCATCAGGTCGAGCTGCTCGTCAAGTCGAATTGGAGGCAATGCTTCAAGCTTGCAAAAATGATGCAGAGCGAGCAGAGATGCGCAAAGAATGGTCAAAACTCGAGACGCAATACCTACGAGAGCTGCGCGCCAAAGTGGGCATCTCTAGCTTCCAGCGCATCAAGACTATTGGTCGTGGGGCATTTGGTGTCGTGCAGCTTGTTCAGGAGCGAAAATCTGGACAAGTCTATGCCATGAAGTGTCTCAAGAAACAAGATATGCTGAGACGTGAGCAAGAGGCACATGTCAAGGCTGAACGTGATGCTCTGGCTGCTGCATCAGATCGTGGCAGGTGGATCACCAAGCTCGAGTATTCTTTTCAAGATACGGATTATCTCTATCTCGTGATGGAGCACATGCCTGGAGGTGACTTGTTGAGCCTGCTGATTGACCACGACATCTTTGAAGAATCCATGGCCAAGTTCTATGCTGCAGAGATGATATTAGCTATTGAAGAAGCGCACAACATGGGGTATATCCACCGTGATATCAAGCCAGACAATTTTTTGTTCAATGGGCAAGGCCACATTCGTCTTTCTGATTTTGGTTTATCGACTGATTTATCCTGGGAGCATGATGCAAAGTATTATCAGCTACAGCGCAAAGACTTACTGAGACGTACAGGTATCGATCTCTTAGAAGGCGATACAATCGATCGACGCAGGGGACAACTGGTCAATCAAGCCATGACAGTTGAGGAGTTGCCAACGACACACCAAATGTCGTGGCGGAATGATCATCGTCGACACCTCGCATACTCTTGTGTTGGCACCAACAGTTACATGTCGCCAGAGGTTATCACAGGTGAAGGTTACAGCTGGTCTTGTGATTGGTGGTCACTGGGCATTATCATCTTTGAGATGCTATATGGCTTTCCTCCTTTCTCATGCAAGACTCGGCACGCTACACGGATGAAGATTCTCGGGTACAAGGATACGCTCTGGTTTCCGGAATCAAAGAGAGTCTCTGGTAATGCGCGTCATCTCATAAAAGGTCTGTTGTGTGACCGACATCAGCGTCTGGGAAGTCCTCGCAGGCCCTCCCGTTCGAGATTCCAAAGACAAAGCATGCAACAACCCTTCAGTGCTTCTCAACGACATGAAACAGTCAAAGAGTGCGTACAAGACATTAAAAATCATCCATGGTTTCGAGGAATTGACTGGGAGAATCTACACTTGGCAGACGCCCCATTCAGACCGCGCGTCAGTGGCCCTTTCGATACTCGGTACTTTGAAGAGCCATCACGAGATGAGACCCTTGCTCCAGCGGGAGGAAAGCAGAAAGAACCAGAGCGAGCCAGGGATATTATGCTGCGCGACAAGACTCATGGTGCTGCTATTATGCACATACGCAAAGAAAATGCCTTCAAAGGATACACGTATCGTGGCAAACGCCGAATGCCAATCAAGCCTGTAGCTCCACTGGCAACCAAAACGGCCCTCGAGGATCTGGAAGAGTTTCACAGTATGGAAGAAGAGCCACATGGTCGTGCTATGTCTCTTTAACAATCATTACTACATAGTCATACCTAATACATGAGCCTTGATATCCTTGACTGACTTGTCCCTGTCGCCCATCTCGTCGCAACTTTCCTGAACAAGCGACCACAAAACTCAACGCTCATGATCATGCTCTAGTCGACGACGTTGACAAGGGCCTCGCGGCCGCAGCCATGTCTCTCAAAGCCTATGTCTCCGATAACCTCATTGAGATTCTAGGCCTTTCAGAACGGCATATTGAAGACTTTGTCATTGCTGCAGCCACATCAGCAGTGTCGCCTGATGCACTCGCAACGCAACTCACAGCCGTGGGTCTGCCAGCTGGAGGGCGCACGATTGCTTTCGCCCAGGGATTATTTGAGCGTGTACCTAGAGTGCAAAGTACGGCCGATGCAGCGGCTGAAAGACGGAAGCGTGAAGCAGCAACCACGGCACAGCAGTACAAGAAACGGTACAAGTTTGAGCTGACGGTAGAGGATGAGGCGCCATCGGCACCTTCCATTGAGAAACAAGATACATCAAGACGGAGAAGGCGATCAAGAAGCAAAATTCCGCGGCCGCATCGCGAATCAAGGGAGAGTGAACGGAAGGAGCGCTCTTCGAAATCTGCGCGGCGTCGGCGTCGAGACTCAGAAGATCGCTGGCAGGAGGATGAGCTACCTGAGCCAGCAGATGAGAATTTAGAGGATCAGCTTGATGAGACCGTCGAGGAGCGGGAAGAACGCGCACGTCTGCGTGATCAAGATGAGCGACGTGCGCTGGATGAGCGTTTGAAGCAGAAAGAACTCGAGTCCACCAAGAAACTCATTGAAGACCGCTCCTCGAAAGACTTTGGAGACGTCTTGGCGCGTCGCAAGCTGGCTGATGATGAAGATGCCCGCAAAGCAGCAACACCAGAGCTACGTGAGCGTGCAAGACAGGAGTACCTCAAGAAGCGCCTGCCGCAGCAAATCCTCTTGCTCAAGCAAAAAATCCGGATAGAGGAGGATATTCTTGCTGATGCCGGTGACGATGTGACTGATCGCGAACGTCAAGAGCTAGCAGATATGAAGGCAACGCTGCGAACCTACGAGGAAGCCCAGCAAATTGACACTGGCCAAGATGCGTATCAATTGCCATCAGACTACATCACAGAAAAAGGCATGATCGATAGAAAGCGCAAAGAGTCTGCGCTGTACGCTCGCTACCAAGGCGGCCAAGACACAACAAGAGAGGCCACTGAGCAAGAGCGGTGGGAAGCGGAACAAGCGCACAAGGCCACAGCTAAACATGGAGTGCGGGAAGCTAAAGACAAAATGGCAGAAGATGAATATGAGTATGTCTTTGACGATACTCAGCAAATCGACTTTGTCACTGACTTGGCTGACCGCGATCCCGGTGATCTTGAGACGCCTGCTGCAAGAATGTTGACTGAACGGGAGAAGAAAGCGAGCTCGATGAAGGAAATTCGCGAATCACTGCCAATGTTTGTCTATCGAGACGAGATTTTAGCGGCAATTGACGAGTACCAAGTATTGATTGTGGTGGGCGAGACTGGTTCTGGCAAGACAACACAATTACCACAGTACTTACACGAGTCTGGCGTCACCAAGCGAGGCATGGTGGGCTGTACTCAGCCGAGACGTGTCGCTGCCATGAGTGTTGCAGCGCGTGTAGCGAAGGAGATGAATTGCAAGCTTGGCAATGAAGTTGGCTACTCTGTTCGATTCGAGGACGCAACATCTGAAAAGACTGCCATCAAGTACATGACAGATGGTATGCTGCTGCGGGAGTTCATGACGGATCCAAGTCTGTCATCATACTCAGTGCTCATCCTTGACGAAGCGCACGAGAGAACGCTCAACACGGATGTTTTGTTTGGCTTGGTCAAGGATATTGCCCGCTTCCGACCTGATTTCAAGTTGCTTATCAGTTCAGCTACAATGGATGCACAAAAGTTTAGCGAGTACTTTGATGATGCACCCATCTTCAATGTGCCTGGACGAAAGTTTCCAGTCGACATTCATTACACTCCTCAGCCAGAGGCCAATTATCTTCACGCCGCAGTCACGACAATCTTTCAAATCCATACGACCCAACCACGAGGCGATATTCTCGTGTTTTTGACGGGCCAAGACGAGATTGATGCGGCTGCTGAAAACTTGCAAGAAACCTGTCGCAAATTGGGTGACAAAGTCGGTGAAATGATTATCGCTCCCATCTATGCCAATTTGCCGTCTGAACTACAGTCAAAGATCTTTGAGCCGACACCGCCTGGCGCTCGTAAAGTGGTCCTGGCAACCAACATTGCAGAGACGAGTATTACCATTGACGGTGTTGTCTATGTCATTGACCCTGGGTTCAACAAAGAAAATGTTTACGATCCGAAAACAGGCATGTCCAGTTTGGTGATTTCGCCCTGTTCGCGTGCTAGCGTGAATCAGCGATCCGGACGAGCTGGTCGGTCTGCTCCTGGAAAGTGCTTTCGGCTCTTTACAAAATGGGCTTACTGGAACGAGCTCGACGAATCCACGACTCCTGAAATTCAACGGACCAATCTGGGCAACGTGGTGCTTTTGCTCAAATCAATCGGCATCAACGACCTGCTTGAATTCGATTTTCTCGACAAGCCACCGCCAGAGACTCTCATGCGCTCGCTCGAACAATTGTATGCTCTCGGTGCGCTCAATGTTCGCGGGGAGCTTACCAAAATTGGAAGACAAATGGCTGAATTCCCGACAGATCCCATGCTGGCAAAATCGCTGCTTGCCGCCTCAGAGTACAACTGTATCGAAGAAGTCTTGTCCATCGTCGCTATGCTACAGGAAAGCTCAGCACTCTTCTACAGACCTAAAGACAAAGCCTTTCATGCAGATCAAGCGAGAGCTGGCTTTACTAAACCTGGTGGTGATCATCTGACCCTGCTCAATATCTGGAATCAGTGGGTCGATACGAACTTTAGTTTTCAATGGGCCAAGGAGAACTTTTTGCAGCATCGAAGCCTGATGCGTGCTCGAGATGTTCGAGATCAACTCTCTCGGCTCTGCGAGCGTGTCGAGATCCCAATCACTGGCGAGAGCAATCCAGACGCCATTGCTGTACAAAAAGCCTTGACAACAGGATTCTTCTACAACACTGCGCGACTCAATCGAGATGGGCAATCTTATCGAGGTGTCAAGTCTGGACAGACGGTGTACATTCATCCATCGTCCACCTTATTTGACAAGGGCACAAAATGGATTCTGTACTATGAGCTAGTCTTGACAACTAAGGAGTATGTCCGAAGTGTCATTGAGATCAAGCCCGAGTGGCTGCAACAGGTCGCGCCGCATTATTACAAGCAGAGCGATCTGGAACAACTCGACAAGAAGACAATCAAGCAAAAGGGTATGTCTAGTATATAGTGAAGTAACCAATCAGTAATATGGCTGCCACCCGCAAAAGATCACTGCAAGACGCTTGGGATCTGTGGCTTGCTGAATTAAATCATTGGTCATGGCGGTGGCGCTCAATGTCTTGCTCAGCTTTTGTTGGACGACCAACAAAGCCCAGCTTGCAGTCTCTCCGCCTGGCTTGTCTTTGGCTCTGGTGTCGACGACATCCGTATCGTCAACAACGGAATCGTCATTGTTTTGCTTCTTCTGCTTGTCTGGCGAGACTGACCAGTCGTAAAGTGGATCATAACGCAGAATGTCCAAAATGCTTTTGATGCTGTCCTGCTCCTTGCGCAAAACATCCATCGTGAATGTACAGCATCGTTTGTAGATTCCTTCGACACCTTGGATGCCCATACCATCAATCACATCCCGTGTCAGTCGGAAGGGCACCAGCTCGGGAATCTTGAGAAGCTTACCAGCCTCGAAACAAATACCAAGGTCGATGTGGACGATATCGCCAGAATTCCTGTCAATCATGATGTTGGAGAGGTGACGGTCGCCGAGACCAAGGATCCACCCTAGTATTGACATCGCTGCAGTACTGCGCGTGTACGCCAGTTGCGTTGCAAACCAACGCTCAGCCGCAGCGTGCCACTCGACAAAGACATGGCGCATGACAGGTTTAACGTGTTCCATGATGGCGCCATAAGCTTCGATCCGCTGAGCCTTTGAGCGATCAACAACATCACGCATTTTTTCCCGACAAGTCTTGGCATCCCAATCATCTGGCCGATGTCGTTTATGAAGATCAGGCAGGATATCGTTGAAAGACATTGTGCCAGGCACAAATTGAATGACGCCCACCTTGTCCCCAAGCGGCAAAACATGATACGTCCGAATGAGGAGCTTTCTTCTTCGTGTATCTTCGTTGCGCTGCAGAATAGCATGGACACCAAGGAAGACTTGCTGCATCACAGCATCCTGTCGCAAATCGTCTCCGCTCTTGAGCAGTTCCTTTAGCTTGCTACCGTCGTCAAGAACGCAGACAAGAACTTTTGGTCGACTGTTGCCATTTGCAACGCCTACATGGGGACCAAAGCCGGTTATGACGGGCAAGTCTGTATAGTGACAGGAGCTCCTGGGCTCAATTGTCACGGTAAGCGAAGGCAAGCGGACTTTTGCAATAGCGGCCAAAAAGTCTCGACCATATTGCACATCTTTCCATTCAGAGCGAGCTGGCAATGATCTCGAATCTGCACGAGCAAGCTTGACATACATGGCGCAACAAGAATTGATGTCACTGACCAAAGTCTTGAGTGTCTTGGACTGACTCCTGAGATTTTGGAGCAACCTTGTAGCAGCTGCTCGACGTGACGAAGTTGCAGCATCCTTTTTTCCGGAAGAGCTGATGGCATACATGGGATAAAGGACATGAAATGGATGACTTTTCGCCAAAGAGAGGAGAAGGTGTTGTAGGTTGACCTGAAAAGGCGAGTCTTCCTGCGTCAATCGAGAAAGAAGCTGCTGAATGATGCGCAGATACTTGTAGGAAGGAACCTTTTCCCAATGTGCTGACCATATAGTATTTGCCGTCTGAGAGTGACTGTTGGCAAACCATAGCGAGCAGCACCGACTGATTGCATCGTCGTGCCTGTCTGTCGCACCAAAGGCAAGTAAATAATGTTGCAGGCTTTGTAAGAGGTACACCTCCTTTGCCTTTTCCAAACGTGCCAGTTCCTCTTCGTCTTGCTCTAGCAACACCTTGCTGTTCTTGAGTTTCAACTGCAGAACTCCTCTTGCTGGATGGGATGCCCGCTCAAGAGCAGAACTCATCACGCTCAGCTCAGCCTTCTGAGTTTCACAAAGCACATGAAGTCTTTCAGAATCTTCAGAAAGTGCGACTGAGTTGAGTTGTTCAAAGCAAAAGCTGGCATACAGGTAGAACGTTTGACCAACTGAATCTGTCGATTCGTCAGACAAAGAGTAGATTGCTGGCATCAACGTGCGTTCTAAGATCTCCTGAGGCGCCTTGATGCGCGCACTTGCCATTCGGAGACCCAAATCAATGGTATTTAGTGCTTGGCTCTGGTGATGTGACTGATTATCCGAAGCAACGATAGCTTCTAGCATATTCAGGGACATGTTTGTTTCCCCATGATTCCACAGCACTGTAGAAGTCATTGCCCTGATATCCCTTGATAGGTTCGCTGGGATGATATGGCGTGCAACTGCTGCAATGTTCTCTGCTCGAGCAACGGCTGTTGTCTGCGTTTGCAAGAGATGCTCGGTCGGCAAATTGTGATAATCGTGGACCAGCAAACGAAGTTGTGCAATACGAAGAGCTTCTCTCGCCAAGCCATCTTCTCGAGAGGCGCTACTACTGAGCATGACCTGACGAGACCACAGCATACTGTCCAAATCCACGAACCTGTTCGTCAGCATTGCAATGTACACTAAAGTCATACCGGTTTGCTTGTGTCAGTTCAGTCGAGCGCCGAGTCCACATTTCTAGACAGGGCTCGACGTCGGCCTTGTTCTGCAGCAATTCGTCCAACTCAAAGATCATGGCCATGGCGACGTCCTGGTCTGGATTTTTGCAAATCATTAGCGCGCGATTGTAGCCTTCTGCAACTAATTGTTGATCGATAGACTTGAGCCCGACGTGTGCGTTGCGATAGTGCTTCTGCAAACGATATATAATTTCGTGTATACCGGGCTCATGGGAAGGACGAGTCGGCTGACTCGGTAAGTCCCATAGTTCCAAGCGCCAGGCAGCTTCGTAGTCATCCTCGTCTGGCGCAGAAGCCATCTCATTTGCTGAAAGTACGGCAGCATCAAACATGTGCATCGCTTTGAAAGGCTGCTTCAGGAACGAACTGATTGTGCTCGACGACCGGTCAAGTTCAGCTGAACGAAGTGCTATTGTTAGTTCGATAGATCAACGTATAGTCCTTACCAGATCCGAGTGCCAGCATCTTCTGTCCGTTGCGCTCGTGCCTGGCGAGCTTGTTTGCGGCTGATAACGTTCCTTCGCCTTGCAAGGAGTAGTAGGAATCCGGTTCCTCGATTGCTTGATACAGAGACAATTCGACAGACGACCTGCGAACTTTCTCTGATTCCGGGAAAGTGCTCCAGTGTTGATGCAAGCAGAGCAAGGCCTGATCAAACAAGCGATAGTGCATAGCAGCCTCAGCCGCAGCGAGAAGATCAAATGAGAAGCTGATCTTCACTTGCTCTCGTTTGCTAGCAGCTGCATACCGCAGCATTTCAAACGCCTTGAACCAGCATTGAAAGATGGCTTCGCTTTGCTTTGTGTAATTTTGACAAGTCTGTCGGAAAGTCTCAGAGAGCTCCGCATTTGTCAGCTTGTCGCTCATCTCGAGGACGATCAGGAGAACTGCTGGCAATGTAGCGCGACGGAATGTTGTCGAAAAGAGTAACAGTGGCCGGATAGCTCGCAACAATGAACTTTTCATCAGCGAACCTTCAAGCCGCTGAACAAGTAGGAGTGACCAAGTATCGAATGACGCCTCGCAGTGTAACTCTGTCCAAGCAGGCACCTTGCCCAAGGTCAAAGTTTTCTCTTGGTGGGCATCGTTTTCATAGAAAAGATTCGCATACGCTGGGAAGGAGGAGGCCAGTATCTCATCAGTCTGAATGGCTGCAAGCACTCTATGTGTCACAAACACAGTGTGAATGTCTGAGCAGCTCAAGGTCTTCAAGATGGAGGACAAGATTCTTTGACCCGGCTGCATCTCCTCAGGAACAATTGAACAAGACCAAGATCCCACAGCCGAGCACCATGCTTGAGCACGCAATCTGCCTACAAAGATGGCATCGGCGTGACTGGTGGACTGGTAATCGGTACCAATAAACTGCAAGAACTTCACTCTGAGAGTTGCCGTCGTCATTTCATGGAACCAAGAAGCTCTTTGGGCCACCAAATGTACGAACTGCTGTCTTGTCGTCCGAGTGTTGGCTGGTTCCGAATCTGCAAAGCAATCCATCATATCGTCAAGCAAAGACTCGAAGGCAACGTCCGGTTGCGCTGCATCTGAGCTGGTCGGTTTACACACGATCGAGAACGTGCTGAAACCCGACCATTTCAAAGAGCTGACAAAGTCAATGACTATATCTCGATTAGACAAAGGTTCCAGGCAATGGGTCAGAATCTGTACACATGCTTGACAAATTGCTCGGCTGCTGAGAGACTGGCGAAAGCCTTGTGTTGAGATGACGAGCTCAAAGACACTACATGCACCCAGTTTTAGTTCTTGTGGAATGCTGATGTGACGAAGAGCGTCGAGAATGAATTGCCCGATGTAGCCTTGCAGATGTTTCCTGTCGGTCAAGACCAGAAAAAATTGCAAACGAGTCATACCCGCATGTTGGATCGTCAAGCGAGTGCTCGCCACATCTGCTAGGCATGAACTCACCATAAGAAGAGTGTCAGCCTTGTTGAGCCGTTGAATTTTTAATCCTTCTTTTTTGGTGCTGATCGATAGAAGATCTTGAAATTGTAGCGTCAAGTAGCTGGCACTTTTAGGCATTCGCTTGAGCTGGTGTGTTGAAAGGTGATGAAGCCAAACTTCAGCTGTGCGAAGCCAGGCTCTCCGTGATTCAGCATCTTGCACGTACTTGTCAATTGCAGTTGTCATTTTAGTCAAAGACTTAGGAACGTCCCGGAGTGCTTGGAAAAGCATGGCAAACATCCTCCCATCGAAGAAATCTTCAGAAATTGCCTTCAAGCCGAGTAATGGGCACACTTGTCGTTCGATGGTGGACCAGTCCCCATCATGGATGATTGCACCGTAAACAAGAGTTCTGCGAAGGTGCTTGTGAAGCAACTTTGCCTCGCGGATTCTCAATGACAAGCACATTTCAGAAAATTGATCAAGGTACCCTTGGCTGATGAGCACTGGGACCAACTCGTCTTCACAACTTTGCACCCAATCTGAAATATTTTCAAAGCCAAAGAGCGTCCAAGGAAAAGCCATGATGCGTTCTCCTTGACCAAGCCAAGTGAACACAACATGTTTGCGGTGCTGAATGAATAATTCCCTTGGCGAAGATGAGGAATAATCCGCCAATTCAGACATCATATCTTGAAGCATGTTCCTTAATGCTGGAAATTGGTGCAGTTCAATCTGTCATTAGTTTTGTTCAAATCGAAGGAATTTCATACCAAGTGGGTCAAAGTGACCGATTGTAGTGCGTCTACCTCTTTGAAGATGTTTGCTAAAGTGTGCAAGCGAACAGAAAGGCTTTCTGTTGTGTTGTCAGGTGGAACGCAAGCTTCATGTATGTCATTGTAGAGTGTTTCGTAGTCGTCTTCATCCACGGTTCTGAAGAGAACGACGCAAGCTGAGGCTGTTGTAAGGCCAACACGGGCGTCTCCATCTTTGAGACGGAGCAGCAGGGTCGTTCTGGTCGATTGCATGTCTCCCTCGTTGTCTTGCGTAACGTGCATGCCATCAACATTGAGAAGAGTCTCAAGCAAGTGGACCATAGCGACACGGGTTTCGGCAGCAGAGAGGCGCGAAGTCAAGCAGACCGAAACAAGCCAACCAAATACGTTGCTTGCAAGTTTTGGATACACACCTTCTGCAGACAGCCATGGGCCCACGGAAAGCTTGAGCAGCACAATGAGATGATTATGCAAGGCTGCATTGCGTTCGAATGCATAGTCGGCCAAATACTTGCGCGCAAGATGCGATACAAGCTCACTGGCATAATCTGCCTGCTTTGCGATAGGTAAAGACTTGACGAGATTGCCAAGATTGTCGCCGACAATGAAGAGCTGAGCAGGCGATTGTAACAAGGCATGACTGGCGCACTGTTCAAACGATTTTTGGTCGGAGGAACGATCACGATCAAGGGCCAGGCAGGCCAGAAGCAGCACATTGGCAGCATTCTTTGGGTCAACACCATCAACCAAATCTGTCTCTTCGAAAGGCTTGTGTTTCAGACTGGCCTCCGTAAAGCTCGACGCATGAGATTGCACAAATGACATGCAGTGCTGCATGCTGATTTTGAGAAGTTTCAGCCGGACGGCTCGAGCCTGTGTAGTGTCATCTATCGCAAGTCCAACTTTCTTGTCTCGTTTGCTAATTTGAACACAAGCCGTGGCAAAGATTCTTGTGAATCGAAAGAGGTGGTTCGGTATGACCAACTTCAGGCCAGAATGCACCAAAGTCAGAAGCGCGTCCAATTCAACTTGTAGAGGGAGGCGCATAGAAATGGTTGCTAGCATGATTCTGAAAATGTTGAAGAGCATGTCAGGATTTTCCTGCACAAGTTGAGATTTGATGCCATCTTCGAGACGACTGACAGCCGTAAGCAGCGAGGTCTCGCATGCCAAAACAAGGTTTGGACTTAGCTGAGTCGAGTGGCGGCGCTCATCCAAATACAGCAAGAAGTGAATCATCTCGTCAAGACTTTCGGACATGGCAGCTTGAGAAGATTCGCTTAGCAGTCTCGCAGCAAACCACTCTTCTAGAGATGAGATGGTGTCTTCTGTAGATTTGACGCCGAGAGTCTCCAATGTGCTGGCATAAGCTTGTAAAAATTGGAAGCTTGATTGGTTCAGGCTGCGAAGTTGTGCCAATTCGAACACATCCTTCAAGAGACAGCTCATCGTGCTTGATCCCATCACTAAACACCTTGTCAACTGTGTAGCCAGTACACAAAGACCACCCGAGGCTGATGACAACATGATGAAACGCAAGACGGATTGCATGAGTACAGCGGGATTGACGAAGGGAAGCTTATCCTTTTGATCATGTAAAGGGGATGCACTCAAACGCAAGGCGGTGCAAACACAAGCCCAGCCTTGAATGTCGCGATCATCCGAGCTGATCAAGACTATGATGCGCTCCCAGAGTGCATCTTTGGATGGATCAAGCAGCTGTTGAGAACTTTGAACACAAACAATTTGAAGCGCGAGCAGAATCTCATCCTTGCTTTTGCCCTGGAGGAGCGATGGCATGACCTTGGGCACATCGTTGTCCAGTTTCACTCTCTTACCTGACGATTGTACTGAAAGCGCCATCTGTCGGGAGTACTCTTCCAACGCATACACAACATCTGCTGAAAGACACAAGAGGCGTAGACACCTGTAATGACGCGTTGCCAGTCCAAGATCAGAAGCAGGCGACCAACTCAGATGACTGCCGTCCGTGAGGCCAAACTGGAGATCGTTGATGCTCAAATGTACGTGGCTTTGCATCAAAGTAGCCACTAGATGGACAGCCAGACCCTGAACATTTTGCGCAATGGCATCGTCTGCTTGAGCCAGCTGCACTGCCATGGGCATGACAAGCTCAGCCAACGTGAGCAGCTGAACGGCCAAATCAGGACTGCGGGTCGACCAGGTCTGGATAAGAACTTCCATGGCGACGGTAGTCAGGTCCTGCGCGATTTCACGACTATTAGTCAATGTGAAGCGAAGCAGCGTGCACAGAATGGCCACCATGGGAACATGGGCGTTGTTCTCTCGTGAATGGTCTCGCAGAAAGTTGCTAACAAGTCTGCTCGTGCGAACAACCAAAGTCTCTGTTTCTGATGCCATCTTGGCGTAATCTGTTGCATGCCAAGTTAAGAGCAAAGCCAAACAGTCGGATAGTTGTACGACTTCTAGCTGGACTGTGCTGCCATGTTCGGAATCGTTGCCACGCTCATAATTCTCAATTGTCGTCAAAAAGAAATTGACACACTCGAGCCATAGATCCAGTTCAAGGTGATCGAGATGGGGCCGATAGGAAAGCACATCGACACAAGCTCTCAGATAATTGGCGCTGATGGGCTTCAGGAGTATATCTTTGCGAGCCGGTAGCACATGCAACATGCTAGACAGGAACGTCCTGACCACTTTGTACTTGTATACAGCTTTTGAGCCATTCAGGACATCCCTGATAAGTTGACTCGTTTGCGAAAGACGAAGTTCAATGCCAGATTTGCTAGAAGTTTTGGCTAGCAACGCTTTATCCTCTACTGTTTGCTTGTACAGTACATTGAGCAGCTGATTCACGACTTTCTCAGTCAGTCTAGCAGAATCAGTGTGTGTAAGCTGCTGTCGTATGGACGCAACAATCATGCCGCGCTCTTTCGGGGCAGCAAACTCGAGTCTGCTCGCCTGCTGCGAGATGCTCGTCCCAACATCCATCGGGCAGCTTTGCGACTAGCATAAGCCTGTAGCTCGATACTCTGCAGCGAAGACTTTGAGATGTCCTGGTCCTAAGCACACTTCAGGGAGCAGTCGTTGTCGCATGTGGCGTGCGATCCTCAAAAAAGTTCACGAGCGACGATGCCTACAAGCGACAAGTGCTACACCCAAGCAACCGGGCTCAGTCGCATGTGGATGCTGCAATTATAGTGCGATGAGGACTGACGTACATCATGCGACAGAGGCGACCAGGCGGAAACACGTCTGGAAGCCATTCTCCGTCCGTATCGAGCAAACAAGCATCGATGTCGCACATCGGATCACCAGAACACCGCTGGACGAGGCCGAGACAGGGTCTTACTTCGCGGCTGGTCTCGAGAAATGGACGGAGCTTAATCTAACGATTCCATTTGTTGAATTTCTCAAAGAGGTTGAATCAAAAGCACAAAGTCTACCGCAGATTGTGCATCATCAGGCGGAGATTCTCGATGTCTTACTAAAGGCCATCGCCAAGCAAGATGCGCTCGCACTTGATGCCCTCCTTGAGTAAGACGCTATTAGTATGTGCATTCCATGCTAACGTTAGTTTGCTGGTCCAATTGATTCGCGACCTTGGGAGCGACTTTGAGCCATGTGTTGCTCGCACATTGGATGTTCTCCTGATGCTTGCCAAGCACAAAGAGGTGGAAGTAATCGAAATGGCATTCAACACGATGGCCTATCTTTTCAAGTACTTGAATCGAGTCTTGTCGACCAATCTCATTCCTGTTTACACACAAATCGCTGGGCTGCTCAGTCAAACCGAACAACAGAAGCCCTACATCACTCGATTCGCCGCCGAGTCTCTCTCTTTTCTTCTCAGACGCACAAAAGGCGGACATCAGAGCGATGTGATTGCATACATTCTCGATGATGTGCAGCACACTGGATCAATTGCTTATCTAGAAGGTGTCTGCGTCATGTTCACGGAGGCGATAAAGGGCGTCGAGCATGCCATTCATGCTCGTGGGCTTTTACTGCTGCAATCCATTGTTGCTTATACTACAGAGGTTGCTGAGCGCATGTTTGAAGGGAGCAGTTCCGAAACAGTGTGTTTGAACATCACAACCAGCTTGCTCCACCACAGTATGCGAGATACATTTGCCCCAATCTTGGAGTTTTATCAAAGTCTCTCAAGTCCTTCAAAAGATGCGTTGTACGCACATAGGGTCGACTTTTCTTTCCGGCTGCTTTATGTCTGTTGTGCAGTCCGCAAAGGCACGCGAATTACGGATTGGCCAGCATTGTTGCAATTGGTCAAGAAATACTTTGATGTATGCGATTCGTCTTGGAATGCAGCTCGATTGGCGAGTGTGCTCTTCACTTATACACCGCTAGAGCTACTCGTTGCGCCCGCAAACGCTATCGTGCAGCAAATCTCAGGAAATACCATGGATTTACTTGCGTTCAGCATTGTCATGGCAAAGCAGAGGCTAGATGTCTTTGAGGCCTTCGTCTTGCCAAAGTATCAGCAGTCAGTCAATGACAATTGGTCGAATTGTCAGCCGGAAATTGTGCAAAGCTTAATACAGCTGAACAAGCTAGATGCACTTACCGTTGGGTCGTCTGCGTTACGAGATGGCAAGCTGCGTTTCAATGCAGGAGTCATGCAATCAATCGCTGACCAACTCGATGCAGCCCGAATCACGCAGCAATCGAAAGTCTCCCTTCGCGCGCTTGTTGACGTCTCTAATCTCTTGTCGTCGGCAAAGGATATGACGAGCCATCTCTTGTCTCTACTCAGCCGCACACTAGAGGCTAATCATCCTGGTTCGCACTACAATCTCCTTATTGGCAGCATTCTTGCACAGCTTGCTCAAGGGCCAATGCTGCCGGTCGACTCTGTCAAGGCACTGCAACATTGCCACAGTGTTTGGAGGTCTGCTGCCTCGCTGCGTGGCGTCGCAATGCTTACAGCTCGGCAGAAGCTCAAGTTGAGTTCCGGTGAACCAGCTATTGAGATGCTCATCCAAAATTTGGCTTTGCCGGGACATGAAAGACGTTTGTACTCGTTACAAGTTCTTTCGGCATTGGATTTCAATGAGCTTGATCGAGATTTAGTGTCTGTCTGTGAAATCATCGAATCGACCGACCTGACCATTGATGCGACACGCGCTCTAGGCTTACAGATACGAAAGCTCACGCAAAATTATCCCCTCGTCAAGAGTGGCGTCTTGAGACGCGTCATTCAAGGGCTATGCATGGGCTTGTTGACCACCAATTATACACCATTTTGGGACATGTGCAGCGATACTCTGGCTTCTATCGCCCAGCATGAACCAGATGTAATCTGGGCTGCAGCCAAGTCTTGGTTTGACGAACCACGTTTCCCGACTGGCGACCCGGAAACCTGTGATATCACTGATGAAGCCGATCAGAAGATCGCAGAGGCGTCAACTGATGCATTCCGCTGCTTCAACACTGCTGCCCTGCGGCAAAATTGTGTTTCCTCCCGACAAGCAGTTTTGCAAGTGGATTCGGCCAATGCAAAGGACTACAAGCGCGACATGACAATGGACGATGCAACGGCTACTGTCAGCAAGCGATCACAAGCTATTCGTGTTTTTGGCAAGGTCCCCGAACTTGCTGAGCGTCACGCACGTGAGCTTGTTCCAGTATTTTTAGAGCAGCTGGGCCGATTTGAGGATGAAGACGAAGACCACGCTATGACGGAGCGATTCTCGAGAAAAGAACGTGTGGAATTCCTTGCACTCTTCACCAAATTCAACAACCCGGCGGCCTTTCCCCAAGTAAGCAAATTTCGATCAATTATCATGGACCTGCTGTCTTCGGGCGATTCACGAGTCCAAATGCAAGCATTCACCATTCTCATGCATTTCAGGGACGCACATCTTCGCAAGTACGAAGACAACTTGAAGAATCTGCTCAGCGAACAGCGTTCCAGGGATGAAATTGTCACGTTCTTGCAAACAGACGCCGACGAAACGATGATTGAGTCGGATCACCGACCTGAAGTAATCCCAGTCGTTGCACGCATCTTGTACGGCAAGATGATTACACGTCGTCATGCGAATTCGCAAAAGAAGGGCCTAGGCAACTCGCGTACGATTGTTCTCAGCGCCATTGCTAGTATGCCACCGCAGGATCTGGGCATCTTTCTTCAGCTCTTCCTGAAGAGCTTCACAGGCGTTGCTCTTGTTGACAAGACCCGACCAGACTATGTGATCCTCGCTGGCGAGGATGTGCCTTTGCGCAAGCAGCTTGGTTATTGTACAATGATGGAGGACACCCTTGAGCAGCTTGCCGGCAAAATTCTTCCATACGTCGAAGGGTCACTCGATGCGCTGCTCTATTGCTTCGTCTCTGCGACACAGACAATCGAGACTTTGATGGACACTCCAGATGCAGAAATTAAAATTAAGGCTGCTCGATCTATTCGTCATTCAGTCTACCACACTCTCAACCTCATGTTCACTTACTGCAGAGACTTTACTTGGCAACCTTACATGAAGGCCATCTTCCAGCACTTTGTGGACCCTCGCTTGGAAAAGCTGCCGAATGAGTCTTCTCAAAATCCTTCCGGTGTGCTAAAGCTTCTTGGCAACTGGGCTTCATCGCCAAAGACATCTCCATTCCTTGTCCAGTACAACCAGCAAGCTCTCCAGAGTGTTTATCAGACACTGACAGAAAAAACGCTCAAAGACTCTGTTGCTATCTTTGTGCTTAATTTGGTTCAGGACCTTTTGGACCAGCAAAGTTCTGATCTTTCCGCGCCTATCAAAGACCAGTTGATCAAGGACAAGGTTCCCCTGTTCTTGGATTGCATGACGATACTGCTTCAGAATCAGCAATTCGCCAGCACAAATAACACCATCAATGCCGACTTTCTCAATCTGGAAATCCAGGTTTTGTCTGGAATCTCAGCTCATGTTCAAGATGGCGCAAGCGTGCAAAAGCTTTTGGATCTTTTGATGCCTTTGCTGCAAAAGCCAAACAAGGTGGTGCAAGAATCAGTCAAGGAAGACATTTTGTCTATTGTGGCCAATTTTCTTCCGTTGAGCGACGACTTTGTCAACGACTCGCCCTCGCTGTGGAGCAAGTTCAATGCTATTGGGTCTCTGTTTGCAGCTCTATCCTCACGAAGTGCACGAGCATCGCTCGTCCAGATTGTCCAGCTCTTTGCACAAAAGGATCAATCTTTGGTGTTGATGGCCTCCATCTTAGAGGAACTGAATGCATTCTCCAAACGTCGGCTCGACACACCAGACTTTGATCGACGACTGGCGGCCTTTGCAAGGCTCAACGAGGAGCAATACATGCAAATCTCTGTTCGCGCTTGGCGTCCCTTGCTCTACAATATGATCTTCTTTATCGGCGACGAAGAAGAATTGGCCATTCGTACTAACGCTGCATACACCGTTCGTCGACTATTAGAGCGTGTTCGTGAAGCGGATGACAAGTCGTCCTTGCTACCCCTGCTCGAGACGGATCTTTACCCAGCAATGAAAAAAGGTATGCGACACAAGACGGAACTCATTCGACAAGAATGGGTCGGCCTGTTGGGCACGCTTGTCAAGGAATGTAGTTTCTGGCCCACGGTTGCTGATCTAGAACCTCTCCTTGTCGGCAACGACGAAGAAGCTTCCTTCTTTGCCAACATCCTCCACATTCAGCAGCATCGTCGCATGCGTGCGCTGCGTCGTCTTGCGAATATATCCACAACTCATGAAATCCAGAGCAACAATATCGCACAGCTGATTTTGCCGCTGATTGAACACTACTGCTTCATGCCAAAGGAAGAAAGTCACAATCTTGTTGCCGAAACGATCAAGGCGGTTGGTGTGCTCAGTCGATCACTCAAGTTTAATCAATACTCGGCCCTCCTCAAGCGTTATATCGGACTTCTTCGTCCTGACGAGAAGACTCAAGCGATAGTTGTACGGCTAGTTGCTGCTGTTGTGGATGCGCTGGTTGGCAAAGTACAGGTATCTACAGAGCTGGTCGATCACTTGCAAGATAGCGAAGATGAAGAGATGAATGACGCTGCGCCAAATGGACAGAAAGTTGCAACAGGAGAGCGTCCAATCGTGAAAACACTGCATGCTTCTCAGCCGTCACCGGAAAAGGTACAAGAAACTGTTATGAACGGATTTCTGCCCCATCTCATCAAGTACCTGCACAGCAAGGACGACGAGACGGTGCATTACCGTATTCCAGCAGCGGTGACTGCCGTCAAGTTGATTGCCACATTGCCCGAGGAAAGATTGCTGGCCAAACTACCGGGCGTCTTGACGGATGTCTGTCATATCTTGCGCAGTAGGTCACAAGAGTCGCGCGACATGACGCGAAAGACGCTGGGTGAGATTGCCTCGCTGCTTGGGCCAAAGTACTTTTCTTACATTCTGGCTGAGCTCAAAGGTGCTTTGCAACGTGGTTATCAACTGCATGTGCTTGGTTTTGCTGTGCATACCATGCTTGTCAAGCTTGAAGCAGCACATGGCTCACTGGATTACTGTGTCAGCAAGATTGTTGACATGCTCATTGACGATATCTTTGGAGAGACTGGCAAAGAGAAGGAAGCAGATGACTACATTTCAAAGATGAAGGAGCTCAAGACCAATAAGAGTTATGATTCCTTTGAGCTTGTAGCCAGTGGCATCAAGTTGAGCAGCATGGGTGAAGTCATATTCCCATTGCGGACGCTTTTGGCAGAAACTGGATCCCTCAAAGTGATTCGCAAAGTGGATGAGGTGCTTCGGCGACTGACGCTTGGCTTGTTGAAGAACGAAGCTTGCCACGGCCGCGATGCGTTACTTCTGTGCTACAATATTTACGCACAAACACTGACGCAGACTCAACCTCGAGAAATCAAGGAGCTCACCGTCACTGAACAGGCTCGCAAAGATGCAGAAAAGAATTTTGTGGTGGACCTCAAGGCGCGCAAGCAGTTTAGTAAAAACCACTTTGCTGCAAATGCACACAAACTCCTCAAGTTTGCCCTCGAGACGCTACGCTCCATATTGGGTCGATTCCCGGACTTGCAAACACCAGAGAACCTGGCAGCGTTTGTGCCGCTCATTGGGGATTCAATGATGTCTGGCTTTGAGGATGTGCATATGGCTGCCCTGAAATTGTTGACACAAATTGTCAAGGTTGATCTCAAAGAGTTGGACGCAGGGGCGCCAGTCTTCATTGAACGTGCCGTTGGTTTCATTCGTGGTTCGCCCTCTACGCAATCTGAGATTTGCCAGGCATCGCTCAAGTACATTGCTGCTATACTCAGGGAGAGAAGAGAGGTGCCCATCAAGGATTCGGTTTTGGCATACTTGTTGATTCGCATTCGCGCAGACTTGGAAGAACCTGACCGGCAAGGCGTGACATTTTCAATGCTGCGTAGCATCATGGCGCGTAAAATCATGGTGCCTGAACTTTACGATTTGATGGACGCAGTGGGCACAATGATGATTACGAATCAATCGCAAGGTCCACGAGACATGGCGCGCAGTGCATACTACCAGTTCTTACTGGATTACCCACAAGGCAAAGGTCGACTGAAGACGCAACTCACCTTTTTGGTGAAGAATGTCGAGTATGTGCATGCCTCTGGTCGCAAGTCCGTCATGGAGTGCCTGCTGCTTATTGTGCAAAATTTTGGCGATTCAGTATTACAGGAATATCTGCCCATGTTGTTCCTGGCATTGACAATGGTGCTGATCAATGATGATGAAGCGACGTGTCGTGAGATGGCCGGTGCACTCATCAAGAAGATTTTGCTGCGAGCAGATGAATCGTGCTTCAAGACGATTGTGCAAGCACTCAAATCTTGGGCATACAACGATGGTGTGCTCCTGCAGCGCGCTGCGTTCCAAGCGTTTGGTCTGCTGTTTGAAGTGCGGCCGACTCAAGACACACTCAAGTTTTTTGTGGAAAAGTTCACCACTGAAGTTGTTGCTGCTGCCGAAGCTGTCAAGGAGGAAGAGGCAGATGATGAGGAAGATGCGCAACACTGGCAAGTTCTCTTTTACGGTCTCCAAACATTCGGCAAGTTATTGGCAGGTGCCGCAACAACCTATATTGCAGCGAAGCATGACAAGCTCTGGCAGGCAATCATCCAGCTCATGCTCTATAAACACGCCTGGATCCGTCTATCCTCCTCAAAATTGGTCGGCTTGCTCTTCAGCAATGCGCAAGCATCCAATAAGCCAACCTTGCACGCTGGCAAGGATTTGATCTTGGCTGATGTGGTGCTTGTGCGCATTGCTCGACAACTCTTGATTCAGCTGCGTTCACCCTTGCTGTCGGATGAACTCGGTACGCAAATCACCAAGAACCTCGTCTTTTTGCTCCGCTTTTTCAATGAGAAGAACACATTATTGCCGGTACGAGAAGATGCAGAAGAGGATGACTTGCCTGTGAGTGGTGAGACATGTACTGCTTGGCTGCTAAAACGTGTAGCGACACAATTGCAAACTGACAGGGATGTGAAGCGGGAAACAACAACATTGGTGCGAACACTGCTGCTCAAGTTCCTCGCCGTTGCCATACAGATCCTTTCAGCAGAGTCTGTGCAAGAACATGCTACATTGTTGGCGAAACCACTGTACAAATACGCAGAGGCAGATGTGCATAATCCTACTCAAGGAACACTCAAGGATCTGTCTCAGGAAGTACTCGCATTACTGAAAGCGAAGCTTGGCACGACCCTGTTTTCACAAGCCTACAATGCCGTTCGACAGGCACAAGTTGCGATTCGTCAAGAACGCAAGGAGAAGCGCACGATTGAGGCTGTTGCGAATCCTGAGCGCGGTGCACAGAAGAAGATGAAGGCTGGGCTGAAGAAGAAGGTGAAGCGTGCTGAAGTGGCCAAGGAGCATAAATTGAGACGAACCATGCGGCAGGGATGAGCGATCTTAGCGACGTGACTATTATTTTGCATAGCATTGAGCGTAGAATTGATATTTGAACGACACAACTGCTCGTACTTGCAGTGATGGTAGATGGTTCTGTCAAGCTACAGACACGCGCAGGCAAGCTGTATAGTAACCATTGTATCTATGCGCCTTCCGGTGCTCTGCTCTTTCGGTGCTCAGACAAGAAGCTACAGTGGTATATTGACAGAAACCTTGCTATAGAGACAACTTCAGCTCCGCTAGACGCATCACGCTCTGCTACCCTCACTTTTGAGCCAAAAGGACCAGGTCGCGCGAGAGAGGGTGATGAGTGGTACCTGGCAACGCAACAAGATCGTTGTGTTGTTTGTGGTTCTACTGCAGGTCTCATCTTGCTCCATATCGTTCCTGCACAATACCGCAATGCGTTGCCATTACGTTATAAAAGCCACAGTAACCATGACATTTTGCCGTTTTGCACAGCATGTACGGTAAGATATGAAGGGCATGTTTTGGCAATGCGGCGGATGCTTGAGAAACGGTACAATGCGCCACTGCACGGTCGTGGAATACAAAAAGTACAAGACGCTACAAGGGTGAAGTCTGCAGCTGCTGCATTACTACGTGGCTTTGCATTGATTCCTGAAGTGCGACGACAGGCTTTACGAGAGATTGTGGCGCGGTATTTTGATGTTGCTGCAGAGGAGGTGACGGTCATGCAGCTGGAAGAAGCAAAAGCTTGTCCGCTGGTGATCAAGACGGCGGAGTTTATCGATCACGGAACACTCGTGGTGCAGGGTGTGCTTTATGAATCAGGCGATGCTGGGGCTGCTGAGTTTGTGAGGGAGTGGCGACGCTTGTTTCTTGAAACGATGCGACCGAGGTATTTGTTGGAGATGTGGCGCGTTGAGGATCCCGTGATGAATGCATGATATGAAGGATGCTGTGCTTTATACATAATGCAAGATGGTACGACCAAATAGCAACTCGCCAAGAGCCAATCCTAGGCATACAGAGAAGAAGTAGCTCGTGACCATGCTCATGACAATCAGCATCATAAAGTACTGAAAGACGGCGGAGACAAAGGCAAACAGCATCCTTGGGACATCCACTAGCGCATTAGCAAATTGTAGTCGTTCAACAAGTATCGGTACCTTGCAATTTGAATCTCGGATGTGGCATTTCCTTGAGCACAGAAGCAGCAACACCTTGTTTCTCTAACGGTAATCTTTCCTGAAACTCACGCAGCGCAGCACGTCGCCAGGTGCGTTCACAGCGTGCGCGCCATGCGGCAAGGAGTCGGTAGACGATCCCTACTGTGATGATGGCGATGCAGGATCCGATATGGGCACCACTACCAGAGACGGTGATACCGGCGGGTGTAGGTAGCCAACCGGCAAAGACAATGGGGATGCCTTGCCATTTTGAGGTGAGGACCATACCGCCTGTCATGTTCATTTGCATGGGCATTTCATCGACCATGGCAGCATGGGACATCATTGCAGAGCTATAGAGAAGGAGAGATTGGTAGAGCAGGATGAAGAGGGAGAGAGCTGGTTATACAACGACGAGTTGAGCGGTTTAGTGGCTCCGCCTCGGGTCGTTGAGGTTTGTGCGCGCGCTTCACAAATAAATCGCGCATGGGTGAGTGCTCAATGACCAACAGTTCCTAGTACTCCCTACACAAGCTACAAGAGAGAAGGAGAGAAAGAGCATGAGATGCCACTAGCATCGCTCAAACAGCTCTGTCTAAACAGCTGCAGCAAACACATCAGACGTCTAGACTCTCTCGGTGATGAAGGGTTGCTGCCTGTTGCTGTGATTGCTCAGCTCCTCAAACACGTCTTGCCAGATCACCTACTGAAGCTTGAAGAACGATCACCGTGGCTTGCACAGACCGCTGAAGCACAGGCTGCGTGGCAAGCGCATGTACTGCGGGTGTTCCCAAGGAGTGGTGAGGAGTATGAATTGGGTGATCCGCAGCTCGATTGGCGTGCTGCGTATCAGATACTCTTGCGTGAGCGATCCGTGAAGGAGGCTGCGAGTCGTGCGCGGTTACGGGAGAAGTATATGGACTTGGATGCACGGAAGAGTGGGAAGCAGATCAAGACGCTGGAGAAGGTGCCGCGTGTAGTGAGTGGACGTGGTAGTGCTAGCAGTGTGGTGAAGAAGGGAGGATTGATGGGTAAGGCGATGAAAGGTGCGGTGAGCGCATCGCTGCGTGTGCATGCTGGGAGCAGGAAGGGCAGACGGGCGTGATCTCTGCTGTCTACTATACTCTGCTCTACTATATACTACTCTACTATGCTATGCTCTACTACAGTCTACAGTCTACTCTACTATACTCTACTCTACTATGCTATACTATACTCTACTCTACTATCCTTTACTCTACTACGTCATTTCATGCCGAGCACATGCTGCCGTCTAAGTATAGTTGCTGTAGTATGGCTATAGCAGTATTGTATGACGGTGACACAAGGCAGTAGACTGCTATCTACCACTGTCTACTCTCTCTACTACCTTCTATACTACTCTGCTCTACTCTTCTACTCTTAACTTAGTCTACCAGTCTGCTCCCAAAATAGCACATTCCAGCCACAGACTGCCACAAGCTGCCGGTATATAAAGCGAGCAGGGATCCCACTCTTTTCCTTCCCTCACCCACTCCTTCCTTCGCTGCTTCACTACACAATGCACTTCTTCACGCTCGCTACCCTCATCGCAGCTGCATCAGCACTCCAAATCACCAACCCAGCACAAGTCCAAAACAATCCAGTGCAGTACAACAACGGTTCCATCACCGTCACCTGGAACACAGTCTCCACTGACCCAAACACCTTCAATGTCGCACTCTCTGCCAACGGTGGACAGTCCAGCACACAGGTAGCCACCAATGTTGCTGCCAGTGCCGGTCAGCTTGTCATTTCACTCGCTGGTGTCGCTCCTGGTCGTAACTACCAAGTCAACTTTGTCGCTCTCCCTACACCACAAAACACGCAGGGCATCCTTGCTCAGTCTGGTCAGTTTGAGATTGCTCAAGGTGCTGGATCTGCTTCTGCTGCTACGACTACTGCTGCTACTGCTGCCACTATGACTACACGCGCTACGACGACAACTGCTGCAGGTACAGGTGCAGGTACTGGTGCTGTGGTTGGTACAAACGGTACGGTGGCTGGAACAAACGGCACAGCTGGCACTGGCTCTGGTTCAAACGGTGGTCGTGTCCCTTCTGGTTCAGGTGCAGGTAAAGTGTCTGTGACGTTTGCTGGTGTTGCTGCCCTTGCACTGGCGATGCTTGCTTAGAGATGGATGCTTGTTATGACTGATATGCCTGCATTCGTTGAGTTATTATAGACGTAGTAATCATTGTACTTGCTCTCTGTCTCTCTCTACTATATACTACTATGCTATATACTACTATATTCATCTATAAAGAATAGCAGTCACACCTCATCAACACCTTCCCCTAACCCCAACTTGATTTGTCATTCTCGACGCGCAATCACTCAGCAGCACAGGCAGCAGCATCCACTCTCCATCCATCAACCACCAACCAGCAAAGATGGCACGTCGACCTGCAAAATGCTACAGGTACTGCAAGAACAAGCCATACCCTAAATCTCGCTTCAACCGATCCGTCCCAGACCCCAAGATCCGCATCTACGATCTGGGTCGTAAGAAGGCCGGTGTCGATGAGTTCCCACTCTGCATCCACCTCGTTTCCAATGAAAAGGAACAACTCTCGAGTGAAGCACTGGAGGCTGGTCGTATTACGTGCAACAAGTACATCAGTAAGACAACGGGCAAGGATTCCTTCCACATGCGTGTGCGAGCTCATCCTTTCCACTGCGTGCGTATCAACAAGATGTTGTCGTGCGCCGGTGCAGATCGATTGCAGACAGGTATGCGTGGTGCTTGGGGAAAACCAGCTGGTCTTGTTGCCCGTGTCAATATCGGTCAAGTGATTTTCAGTGTGCGTTCGCGTGATAACAACAAGGCTGTTGTCATTGAAGCACTACGCAGGTCTTCCTACAAGTTCCCGGGACAGCAAAAGATTGTCATTAGCAAGCGTTGGGGATTCAGTGACTTGACTCGCGAGGAGTACGTCGAGCGCAGGCAGAAGGGAAACATCAGGCCCGACGGCGCCTTTTGTCAGTACCTCTCACCCCATGGACCATTGGAGGAGAACATCCGCAACTTCCCAAATGCATTCTAGAGTTTCTCTCAGTAGCATAACCATGACTCTTTTTCCTACTATCTGGGACTGCTTCTTTTGCTTCGGAGGCCGGAGTCAAGCCGTTCCGATCTCTTCCTCTATTTTATGTGTATCAAGAGTGATAGAAATAGTTTAAGCTGGAGGCCATGAGAGAGAAGATGCTGAGATGTCTTTACTGCATCCACGAGTCATCTCCATCCACAGTAACACAAATAGCCGTGCATCAGTAGCCCGTTTACCCCATATTTCGGAGATGGAGCCGCCCTGAACTCGAACTACTCAACTCAACTCAACGCTCAATCAGAGTCAATCTTGTGCTGCATCTGCTGTCATTGACAAAGTATAAGTACATAATCACCGCCAGCCTGTTTCTCATCAATCACTCCACACAATATGACAGCACAAGGCACCAAAGACCTCGCCAAGGCCAGGTCCCAACTCACCTTTGACCCAACATCCCTCACCGCAGCACTCTACCCAGCAACCGGCCGAACACGCGCTCAAACAGACCACCTCGTCAGCATTGTTTCAAAAGAAGCCATCTTCAATAAAGATGATCGACGGTACATGAACCGCGTTGAACTCCTTCAACGCGCGTACGCTATGCAACTCCGCTTGACACAGCTGTGTAAGCAGCATGGATGGGATTATGAGACATTATTGGGTGCGATGGGGTTATTGGATGATCATGTGCCCTTTGGTTTACATTATACTGCGTTCGTGCCTGTTGTCAAGTCTCAGGGCAGTGATGAACAGATTGCTCAATGGCTACCACGGTGTATGAATCTAGAAGTCGTTGGCTGCTATGCACAAACAGAACTCGGCCATGGCTCCAATGTTCAAGGTCTAGAAACACGCGCAAAGTATGACCATGCAACAAAGACATTCGCCCTCTCCTCACCCTCCCTCACTGCAACGAAATGGTGGATCGGAGGCCTGGGCACCATGGCGAACCATACCGTCCTCCAAGCACAACTCTTCATGAACAATAAAAACCTCGGACCACACCTATTCATTGTTCCCGTACGAGACTTGAAGACGCATGAACCCTTGCCTGGCATCACAGTCGGTGATATCGGTCCTAAACATTACGGTGGTTTCGCCATGGTTGATAATGGTTTCCTGCGCTTCTCAGGTGACGTTCGTATTCCTGCAAGTAATATGCTGTCTCGGTATGCGCAGATTGATGCAGCTGGCCATTATCGACCTGCAGGACATGCTAAAATCGGGTACGGCTCCATGGTTGCATTACGTGCAGGGATGCCCTTTGTTCTCGGTACAGAGCTCGCAAAAGGCGTCACCATTGCGATTCGGTATACCACTGTCCGTCGCCAATTCGCACCCGCTGCACCCATTGTGACGGATAAACTCGAAGATGGCGTTGCTCCCCCTAAACCTGCTCCGATGATTGAACGACAGGTGATTGAGTATGGAAGTGTGCGAGAGCGACTCGTTCCATTGCTTGCAAAATCATACGTCTACATCTTGACAGGTCATGGTGTGGGTAAGATGTACAAAGAGATGCTTGCAAAACTCGTTGCACCACCGCATGATGCCTCCAGACTCGCTGAAGTCCATCTCGTTACCTCTGGATTGAAAGCCGCACTCTCGTGGTCTGTTGTGCAAGGATTGGAAGAAGCGCGCAAGAGTATGGGTGGTCATGGTTTCAGCAGTTATGCAGGTATTGGTGAACGTTTCGCAAAGGAAGTTCCCGGCCAAACGTACGAAGGGGATAACTACGTCCTTGTCCAACAAACAGCGCGTGGTCTCCTCAAATGTGTTGCACAAGTTGCAAAGGGACAAGGCAATCAACTCGATCCATCCACGCAATTCATGCAAGAGGCATTGATGAATCTTCAGCAACGCAGTACAGGTAAGTGGGATTGGACGGATCGTACTGCCTTGCGACGGGTACTTGATCTTCGTTGTGCGGCACTCGCTGCGAACCTTGCGAAGAAGTTGCAACAGGGTGAAGACTTCGCTGTACTCAACCTCGAGTGTGCACGACTCACCATGGCATTCGCGGATTGTTATTGTGCAGCAACTGCATTGCAGACTATTTCTACCCTCCCGGACGCTTCTGTGCGAGCGAGGCTGGAAGGACTCGTGGAGATCTTTATGCTTGAGCAACTTAAAGCGAGTGCTGGTGATTTGGCAGAATTCGACATCACAACAGGTGGTGCGGATCTACGCGCTTTACGGCAGCATGCACAAGTCACGATGCAAAAGCTGACTGTGGATGGTGGATTGATTGGGTTGACGGATGCGTTTGGTTTCACCGACTGGGAGCTCAATAGTGTTTTGGGAAGAGCGGATGGCAATGTGTATGAGAGTTTGTGGAAGCATGTCAATGAGCGTAATCCTGTCAACCAGCATCGTGTGGTGCCTGGTTGGAAGGAGCACATCAGGCCACTTCGAGATGTTCACGCTGGCCAGGTCAAGGCTCTGCTGTAGTGTCTGCTGTAGTGTCATTTGTAGTCACCGTAAATTTGAAAGTTCCATTCTTCATCTCGACACACCACGACCTCTACCCTTCTCTAGCTACACGATGGTCTTTTCCCGTATAGGACAAGCTGTGATTCTCTCCACTACCATGTTCTGTCTTGGTTGTTTGCTCATGAACTGGACCGTCGACCACAAGACACTTTGGGAATCAGGCCCAACACCCGCTGCTTTTGATGCCGCTGAACACCATTATCGCAGCCTCTACCAAGTCCCTCATGTAGTCAAGCACACACTGCATACCATCATTGGTGTAGGCATTCTAGCGCATGTCGTCAAGATGCACAAGGGAAATCAGAGCAACACGCTCTTTGATGGTGGATCGCTCGTATTGACCATGATTGCTGTTATGTTGTATGTCAGCAACTTGGTCAAGGGCATCGAAGCACTCGCTCTACAAGCCTATGAGGACCTCACACGGGAAGATTCCATTCGAGTGATTGCAGCATCGAATGTCATCCTCGGGCTCGTCTTATTTGGTGTGTTGGTTTTACAGATTGGACAGGGCTATGCAGGTATGTTTGCTGCTCACTTCTCGATGTCTACGGAAGCTAATTTGATAGAGCAAGTTGCTGAGCGCGAGCAACTTGAGTTTGAGAAGGAGACGAATAGTGCGAAGAAGACTGAGTGAGCCTGCCTCTTCTTGTACATTGTCAGCGTCTATACAGCATGCTGCACTAGGCCACGGCCTCCTGGGCCTCGTGGACTGCCGCTGCACCGCGCTGAAGCCTGAAGCCTGAAGCCTGAAGCCTGAAGCCTGAAGCAGCAGCCTGATCTTTGTCGCGTAATAAAATTTGACACGTACATCTAAATTTCCATCCACTCAATCCACCTCTACAAAGACGCGACTAGATCGCCCAGGGAGGCCTGAAGAGAGGCCATGCTACGAGGACCATTCTTCCTCTTCTCCTGCTCTCTCTTCCTCCTTGCCCTGTTTGTTGCTGCAAAAGGCGCAGACTACTATAAAGTCCTTGGCCTGAGAAAGCAAGACAACCCAACGCTGCGTGATGTCAAGAAACGCTACAGAACCCTGAGTAAGCAGCATCACCCGGATCGTAATCCAGGGAATGCAGAAGCCAAGGCCAAGTTTGTGGAAATTGCAACAGCGTATGAAGTCTTGTCGGATAAGGAGAAGCGCGCAACGTATGACAAGTATGGTGAGGAAGGATTGAAGCGACAGGAAGCCGGTGGTCATCATGACCCTTTTGACTTGTTTAGTCAATTCTTTGGCGGTGGTGGGAACGGGAAGCGACGTGGACCGAACCTGGAAACGGTGGTGGAGCTGGATCTCGAATCACTGTATACGGGTGGTGAATTCACCTTGGCCATTGAGAAGCAAGTGGTGTGTGATGTGTGTTCCGGGACTGGCTCTGATCCTGTACATGACTTGCATACATGTGATGAATGCAGTGGCCATGGTGTCAAGCTCGTTCGGCATCAACTTGCACCAGGCATGTTTCAGCAAATGCAGATGCAGTGCAACAAGTGTGGTGGACAGGGCAAAATCATCTCGCATCCATGCAGTAAGTGTAAAGGCAACAAGGTCTACAAGGATAAGGAACAATTCACACTCGATGTCATTCCTGGATTGCCAAGGAATCATCAGGTTGTGTTTGAAGGGGAAGCTGAAGAGTCACCTGATATCGAGACGGGCGACCTCATCATCACCGTTCGTGAACGACGGGATAATGCACGCGGATGGCGAAGGAAGAATTCAGACTTGTACCGCACAGAGGCCATCTCTCTGTACGAATCGCTCTTTGGCTTTACGCGGGAGATCCAACAACTCGATGGATCCATGCTCAAAGTCGATCGACGCGGCAAGACAACGCAACCAGGACAGGTGGAGGTGCTTGAGGAATCAGGCATGCCACTCTGGAATGAGGAGCTGCAAAATGCAGCACTCGGGCATGGTCGTGCTTTCATTGAATTCGTTGTCGTGCTGCCAGATATGGAGGGCAAGGATGACAAGGGTAAAGGCAAGCAACTCAAGGATCTCCTTAAGCCTGCGAATCTGCCTGACGATGATGGCAAGGACGAGCTTTAGAAGAGTCATTTAACATCTTAATGCATAGAGATACATGGCATTTAGACTAGACTAGACACTAGACGGCCTGCTGAACAGGTTGCTTCGGGGCATACTGTATGCCTGTTGCTTGTTTGACCTCTTCCTCCAATGCAGCCAGCTGCTCCCAAGTCTCAACGGCCTGTGCCCTTTCCAGCATGGCTGTTGTGATAGCCCCTGGTAGTGGCTTGACAGTCTCTGCATGCCTACGCTGCATCTCTTCAATAGCCGCTAGATCATTTTCTGTTCGTTCTCTAAGGGCAGCAGGTTCAAGCGTCCCCGCAGCCGTTGTAGTGAGCATGGCAGACGGCTTCAACTTCTCCGGATTATACGGCGATAAAATCTCCTCCATCCACTCATGATGCTGAACATAACGCGCACGACTAATTTCCCTTGGTGTGACAAGATCCATATCATCACCGATAGGATCATCGTACTGCGAAACCGGTTGTGTTGGGTCGACCGGTAACCCACGTTTCTGTGGGATAATCGGACATCGCGCTTGGTTTTGTGCAGTGGTGCCAGGACCAGTACCTGGCTTACCCTGCTGGCCGTATCCATGCTGACCTGGTCGTCCAGCACGTTGTTGTTGTTGCTGCAAGCGTTGCTGTTGCTGATACTGCGCAACTTGCTGTGCTTGTAACGTCGCTGCACTCGCAGGCGGTAACGCAGCGCCTGGTCTCGCTGCAATCAAATTGAAGCCTTTCGTTTGGAGTTGAGGTAATGGGTATTGTCGCATGGGTTGTGGTTGTGCAGCTTGAATATTGGCTGGTACACGCGTTGCTTCATCGGTTCGTGAGTAGAAGAGTAACCAGAGCGATGCAGCGATATCGTTTGGATTCTTATTCGCTAGCCTGAAACGACGACGAGAGCGAGAGGTGAGATGTTCTTCACCCGGTAGAAAGCCATACTTGTGTTCTAGGATCTGAATAACACTACCGCCGACATTGACGTGATAATCTTGCTCGTTGTCCATATACATGAATCCATCCGGGGGCGGACGCTGGTTATTTGGCATATAGACGAGGAAGATGCTGCCATCAGGCGGCCTATCGATGTAGCTCCACTGAAAGGGCGCTGTTTGTGCGAATGTCATGCCTTTTGCGAGCATTTCAACTACAGCTTCGAGGGCAAGCTGGTTAACTGTGGGATATTGCAAAGATGCCTTGCACCATAGGGCCTGTGATGAGCTGGATGAGTTCATGGAGCCCGTCTCTAGCTTGAGTCTCTTGTCTGTTGATGTCTTTTGTCGCGTCTTGGTCGTCTGTGGTGTAGGGTTAGGCAAGACAACTATTCAACCAAGAAGTCTCTGTGTCTGTTCCTCATACTACTGCTAGAACTACTGCTACTGCTGCTGCTACATCGCTGCAAGGACCAGCACAGGTAGCTGACTCTCTGCTGTAGAACTGCTACACCTGTATTGATCAATGAAGCTGCGGTCAGCTCGAGCTTCAGATCTAGGGAGCCATCTGATATGAAACTGCCAAGTATCTCCAGACGGTGCCGATCTAGACAATCACCAATTCGCCATACATGATGATACACTAGAGACTCCGAGTAGGGAGTCTATGGGACTAAAACTGACTAACACTGACTCCCGCTGGCGATGTCTTGGTGCTCCCCATCTGAAGTCCTTTCCTGCTTCTCATTGGCTGCATTTCACGCTGAGACTCTTCTTGGCGACGGCTGGACCGTTTTCCACAACCGTCGACGGCTAGCTATAGGCTGAGCCTATAGCTTCGAGATGTTCGAGAACGGGACATTGCATTGCTTGCATCGCTCCTCCATTATGCTCAAGATTCGAACACTTGCAAGTTGCTCTGATTACTTGGGATGTTGGGAGCCGACATTCAGTCTTCCTCGCCGCCCGGCGCGCTCTGACATATGGACAATCAATGTTAGTCAGTGATCACTGGTCACCCAGGCCGGTGGCCATACCGCCAGCCATGTTGGGCTGTCATCAATGACTCATCATCCCTGACACTGTATGGTCTGCACTCCAGTCTCCAGTCTGACTCTCAGAGACGACTGAATCTATGCAGCAGTTGTAAAATGCCTGAGCACAACCTAACTCCAAGCCTGACTCCTTACGCTCGGGCCTGGAGTTCGGTGTCGTCAATCATGAGCAAGAGCAAGTCAGCCCTAAAGCAACTATCATCTGCAAGAGTGCTAGTCACTGTTACAGGAAGGGTGCAAGCATATCTAGGATCCAAAAGGCTGGCAAGAGGCAAGCTCAGTGCTCACATGAAGTTGAGCGTAGGCGGCCATCGCTTCGACTTGTTGTCGAAATGGAAGAGTCGTCGCTTGACTCAAACCGGAGCCACCTTTATTAAAATGGCCGCTCGAGAAGCCGCCATGCGCGGACACTCCAACCCGCCATTTCGTAAATAAGAAGGCTCGCTTTACCCAAAAAGCACAACGACGAATACTTGTGACACCCTTGCAACCTATACCAAACACTCGCTTTTTGTAAAACAGCAGCGACTATGACTGAGGCAAAGAGCAAATCCGAGCAGAAGCAACTCTCACTCGCCGCTATCCTTGGTGACCAGGTACGTGCGCTCCAGGCGTTTCAGCTGATCTAAGCGCCCGCTCTACAAACAAATGCTAACATACCCAGACCTGTCCTCCTTGTTCGCTCAAAGAATTCCAAGACTACCTTGTCTACAAGGAGCGCTCGGCAGAGAACTTGCAATTCTTCAACTGGATCAGCTCGTATGAACGCCGTTTTGCACGACTCGAAAGCGCCGAAGCAACCAAGATTCCAAAACCACCTCCACGAAAGACGTATGGAACACCATCCCTGAGGGGCCGTAGTGACTCGCGCTCTTCGAGCCGTTCAAATGTGTCTACCTTGGCGACTCTTGGAGAAGGCACCGAAGACTCAGAGAAGGCTGGCGCTGTGCCAGTCTTTACAAGCGACACGGCGCCAACAACTATCGTCCCCCCTGCAACGGCAGGACCTCTCGCGCCTCCCATTCTCAGCACTGGAGCAGCTATGCCAGACTCTCCCTTCGACGAGTCTGCACCAGTCCATGAGAAGCCCACCAAGATTGCGCCGCCTTCCGGCCCACTCTCAACCTTGGTCGAGCAAGACATGACGGAACTGACCGCCGAGCAAATCGAACAATTCCCACCGTCTGAGCAGCCATTCCGCGCAGAGATTGATCGTGTGGTGGAGGCCTTTTTCTTACCTGGCGGCCCAGCAGAGCTCAACGTAACAGGCCCTATTCAAAAGTATATCCGCGAACAGGCACAAAAGACAACACACCCAGAGATCTTTGAAGAGGCAAAACAACACGTCTACACCACCATGCAGAAATCCTCCTTCCCGGCCTTTTCGAAAATGGCCACAGCGAATATCAATCACGAGAAGAAAGTATTTTGGCTGTGTGTTGGAACGACTGATTTCATGCTCGGTGTTATGGTTTACTTGCTCTGTATTCTGCTCAAGGCTGGCCGTGGATGGCGGTGTTTTGGTATTCCATTCACTTGGTTTGGCTGTATGCAATTCTACTCGGCGTTGTTGGATCTCTGCTTCCAGGTCTACGGTCGAACAGCCAGACAATTGTACCCGTGGGAACTCATGCAGGATGACAAGTCCTTCAATTTGGCTACTGCAGATGCTGATTTCGGTGACAATATGGGCGGCATCAATTTCCGCACCATCAAGCAAGGACTGCTCCCGAAATCAAAAGTCTTTGAGAAGGAAAAAGTGATTGAGGATCCTATCGTCAAAGCAATTCAAAGGCGGCGGTGGATCCAAACGTATATCGTTGCAACGACTGTTGCGGCGTGTGTCATTGCCATCTTCCTCGCTGTGCCAAACAGGCCTTGAGTCTTGTAAATTTGTTTGTAGTCAATTCATCACACTTGCTTGTTATATTGGCAATGCTCTGTATGATGGGGTGAACCAAAATAGCAGACCAGGGCTTTGCAGGCGCCACTCGTCGTCAGATAGTGCAATGATAGGCAGGCACACTTGAATGGCCTGCTGCTACTTTGCAGAGACAGAGTGCTGGCCGATACGAGGGCTGCCACTTGATCTTGTCGTGACTGTCTAGGCAGGTAGAGCACGATACGCTGCGTATACTTTCCGCAAACTTGCATGAGTACAGAAGCGGGGATAGGCATGCTTTCGATGTCAAACGTACGCTGTACGTTATACTGCGGTCCACCCCATGGCGGCGACAGAAACACAAGCGGTTGCGTATCAATCTGGTCTGCAAGAGACTGCATGACAACATGCAACATCAATGCCCAGTCTCCTTCAATAAAGGTAATCTTGTCAGCAACGCCATAGATGGCTGCGTTTTGCTTTGCACAGGCCAGTTTCACGGGACATGAGTCTACTGCAACAACCATGTCTATTTCCTCAGCCGCTGCAAAGGCAATTGCATTGCCACCGGCACCACAAAAGAGGTCAATGATGACACGGGCTCCATGACTCGCGCAGACTTGAGCGATTTGTACAGCGAGCGATTCGGGAGTGACTGAGTACCAGGATTCACGGTCTAAGCAACAACCTTCGTCATAGCGGGAGAAGAGACGATAGCGTTGAGCGTAGTACTTGGATAGCTCTTTTGGCAGTGCATCAGGCTTGTAGCGTATAATTTTGTCGTGAAAGTATAGCTGCCCGTCGATTTCTCGAACATCTTCTGTAGGTACTTGTGCCATTGAGCAGGGAGAGCTTGTTACTATGCACGTTGCATAGTTGAAACAGGACACTTGTGTAGACGTCCTCGCTCCAATGCCCAGGTGGTTGAAAAAGCTGCACTAAAACTGCTTCAGATGGAGCATAAAGGGCAACCAGGAAATCAGGAGACCGTCACGTCTGTGACGATGCAGCTACACTTGTTAAGGTCATTGGGTGCCCACGGCTTGATGACAGCAGAAGATCAATGGGATACGAATTTTTTTGGGCGGGCCTTCAATCAGAGCACTCAGGCCGAATCAGGTATACGTCTTAGGGCATCTAGTCAGGCCCCAGATTCATGCCTCTAAGGGACTGAATTACTGTCACTGGCTCAAATCGAGCTCATGATGACTCATCGGAATCAGATGTCCATCTCAAGAGGCGCACTGATCCTTGCAAAGTCTGTTTCGCATATGCTGATCATGAAGGTAGTATGGCGCAATTTACTGGTAGATGGTCAGTCTAGACTGGCAGTGACAGCCTCTTGTCACAAGTTGACAGGCTGGCCCGTGCTCTGGCTGTCTGTACTTTACTTGTAGCTCACGAAAGCGGGTCTTGCATTTCCTGCAGATCAGTCGCCACCCCGTTCCCGTCCAAAATGGGAAGCGAAGGGCCGGAAGATCTGCCACTGAGCGACACTCACCGTGAGGTCCGTGAATAACCCCTGCAGCTGTCAAACGCGCGGAATATGCAGGCAGCGAGACGCCGCCTCAGGCCCGATTGTCCGGATGGACAGACTTGGTACTACTTGTCCTCAATATACTATGATTCTATGAAGTGCTGATTGACAAAATTAACTTCGTATGACTCAGCAGTGTACTGATCCTTGGCAGCCATATTCTTGTACGAGTCCAACACGAGCTAAGTATAGCGAAGGCAAGCCTGACCAGACGTAGAACTCGCCAAAGCGGATAGCTATTGACTCGGACTCGCAAGTATGGCTCTTGCGCCTTGGCCCTTGGCCTGCTTGGTTGCCCTTTTGCGTGGGCTGTGTGCTCGCGTGCTCGTCTTCGAATTCGTACAAGCAGGGCAAACCGAAAAGCATGTGCAGCACTGCCAGCAGCAGGTGCTTGCTATTTTCAGGAAGAACAACTTGAACGAGATCTTGGTAAGGGTAATATGGTAGTCCGTACAGAGTAAGCTAGCTAGCCTTCTACTAGCTCAAAGGAGGACGAGGCGTGTTGCACATCACTTACCGAATACTTGTCAGATTGGCGATTTCGTGGTCCCGCCGGCTTTCCGAGTCTGCACTGACTTCCAGCAAAAGTTCGAGACCTCTAGTCGCGTTGTCTTGACAGATGGCCGATGGCGTACACACAGCAGGCAACCAGACACCCTCGTAAACCTCCGATCTGCGTAACGAGAGTCGAGGCACGTACGATAATCCGCTCACCACATAGCGGCACACTCAGAGTCAGAATCTTGGTAGCAACTTACTAGCAACGGCATGCCTCTTGCACGAATGCCGAACAAGCGGTACCTGAAGGCGCCATCTTCACCTTGACTGCGTATACTTGCCCTTTTAACTCGCAGATCGCTTGTCTTCTATGCACAGATCTGGCAGCTTGGTTCAACCGCCCAGGCCTGACCCCACTGTCCAGTCTGCTCTCTACGTTGCCTTGATAAGGTGTGCGTCGCCAATCCTTTCTTGACTTTAATCCTTTCTTTCAACACATATAGTGTCCTACCTGCGCTCATCTGCTCGTCTCTCCCCTTCAATGCAGGTGCAGGTCCGCAGACTTGCCATGGCAACCAACGATGAAGAGCAGCAGCAACGAGCACTGCACGCCAAAGCGACGTCCAACGCACCAATACACTACCCTCATCATGGAGCAAGCGCGAACCTCAGGAGAGATCCAACACTCTGTCGGTCAGTTCCGTCGCGAGACGACGCGACCGCAACGGCACTCTTGCGCTCCCCTGGCGGTCATGCAGGCGGCAACTCTTTTGCTTGGTATGCCGAGTATCTGCGCAAACTCGCAGAGGAGAGTCGAGAGCGTGAGTTTGAAGAACTACTAGAAGGCGACGCGACACCGGATGAGGCAATGCGCGCAGATGAACAAGCGTCCGTCAAGTCTGCGCCGCGACTTGTCCTTGATATGCGCGAACAAGGCGCGACGCAGTCATCCGGGGGGACTTGACGCGTCTGTGTTTGGTTCAGCAGACACCCTTACGTCGCGATCATTTGCCTCGTCGCAAGACGGGCACGGATCGCATCGCATCGCATCGCATCGCATCGCATCGCATCGCATCGCATCGCATCGCATCGCATCGCATCGCATCGCATCGCATCGCATCGCATCGCATCGCAGTCGTTGCGTTGCGAGCGAGTGGGTTCACGAGTTTCGGTTTCAACTTTCTTCGCTGCCGATTTGCCCGAACACGAGCACGTTGCGCGCGGACCCACCACGACTCGACCGTTACCATTACGGTACCGTACTACCGTGCCATTGGCGATTCAGTTGCGAACTGTGAGACTTTACAGCCAAGGCTGTGGCAAACATATGCTCGCGTAGCCGCTCGCTAGCTTGCCATGTTTTGACTGTCAGATGAAGCTGTCAAGACGGTAGATGACTGGGTCGAGGACTCGAGGCTATCCATGGCAACAACATCTCAGCTCTCGCTGAAATACATAGTAATAATCTTCAATGATAAGTCCATTGCTGAGGGAGATGCCTACAAATCACCTAGATCGTTCCACATTTTCCTGTGTGCATGACGGACATGACCTGCTGCGATGAGGTTGCCTTCAAGCTCTCTTGCACTGAGACTGGAAGCGATGTTAGATGTAGCGGACGAATCTTCTAGCCGCAACGTGTCATACGTATCTTCCTCACCACACAGCTTCATGAGATCAAAGCAAGTGCAGGTATCAAGTCATGGATGTACCAGGCGACTGCGTGAACATCGCGATCAATAGCAATGGCACGCCGGTATGCAGAGCGATCCTTTACAGGCTCCATGAGCTGAGATGCGTCACGTAGGTGTCAAAAGTGATGGAGCTGATGAGATATAGGCTTTCAAGCCTTGGCGAACTGCGATGCACCCTGTCCAGCGTGGAGGCACTTTCAGGAGTCTGAGTCTTTGAGAGTCCCAGGAGTCAAGAACCTCAAAAGTGGGCAGTGAGCTGGGTCCAGGCAGCAGGCTGTCCAGCTCATTAACCTGCCCTGTAGGCTGTGTAGGCTGTCAGTTGGTGCTGTAGTCGCTTCTTTTCGCTTCTTTGGCCAGGATCTGGGGACGTCATCGAGATCTGCCCCCCCGGAGACGTCATCGGAAACCAGCAGCTAGCAGAGTATAAGTACAGCAGAACATCCCTTTATAGCAAGGTATCATAGAAGCACAGCTATGGCTCATATCAATCTCCCTACACACAAGACACACCCAGAGGTTGCACCGCCTATTGCAACCACAACCAACGAGCATGTCCAGCAACATTTGCAGCATGGCGAGCGCGGCCAGTCTCACACGACAACAGCCGCGTCCTCAGGTCTTGCTGCAAGTGGTCTGCACCAAAATACACACTCTGGTGCAGCTGCAGGAACAGGCCTTGCTACAGGAGCAGGCCTGGCTGGAGGAGCTGCAGGAGCAGGCTTAGATTCGCACCACGGCCAAGGCTCACATGGTGGTATTGGTTCAGGTGTTGCTGGAACTCATGCTCATCCAAATGACTTGAATGCTCTACCAGGAGAGCCAAAAGAAGAGCGTCACATCGATCACCACCCCTTTGCACACACAACAACAGAAAAGGGTCAAAAGCTGATGCCTGTTGCTCGGGATCGTTCAGCACCTGGCAATGAGCCTGTCCCTGCTGAAGCTGCAAAGTTGCCATACGGTGTGACACACACGCATGATGCAGGTACGGCCGGACGGACAATGCCAGACAAGTCCGTGCACCTTGCGCATGAGCATGAGCACAAGACGGATCTTAACAAGAACGGCAAGGAGAGCATCGGTGCCAAGATTAAGCATGCTGTCGCTGGTGGCGGCTATGCCTTGGAGAAGTAGGTTCATACCACGCTATTGTAGTTTTAGGAAGCAAAAGGAGCTCTTTATAAAAATGGCTTTATGCATGTGTCTGAGGTGAAGTTCAGGAAGACATCAGGACCCATGATACCAAAATAGACTAATAATATGGATTCACAAGGCCGCATTGTCAGCAATATGGCTGCTCTTCTGCTTATTCTTGCCAAGCGTACCGTTCGCCTTTTGCATCTTGCGCACATTTCGCCGTTCCTGATTGCGCTTCAACCGAGCAAGTTCATCCTCGATCTGCTTCTTCTTCCGCTTGTTGCGCTCCTCATCGTCACCGGGGGCCAACGCTGCCGTTTCACCTTCAAGCGGTGGTCTCTCTTCCAACGCCTTGCGCTTCGTGACATACGCATGAATGACATGCGGATCTGTGACAATTTCTGTTATGGTCGTTGTCAGCCCCGTCAACTCATCTCGCGTGACGCGCTGAATCTTGAGCACCTTGTTGGCAGATTGCGCAGACATGCCCGAATTGAGAGACATACGATCATCCTCGACATCCGCAGGCGACGCAGCAACACCCGGCGACTCTGGAAACGGACTCGCGTGATCTGTGTCATGGATATTTTCAAGCGCCTCCTTCTCAATGACTTGCGCACGAGACATGGATAAGCTTGTCTTTTGCGCTCGCCAAATGCGTGAAATCTCCTCTTCATAGGCTTTTGCTTGTTTCGCGACATTGTACGCATGCGCACCTTTTGGCAGACTCTCCTTGCTGACTTCATCGAGTGCTTCACCAGCTGGACGGAAACCTCCCTTCATCGAGGTACGAATGAAGCTGATACCTTCGCCTTTGCCGGTCGGATCGCCTTCGCCATAGAGCTGCAGCATGGCCTTGCCCTGTGTTGCATTGATAAAGTTTTTAGATGCAAGCCATGGTGCAAGTTGTTGCTCAATTGTCAAGTTTTCATCCTTCTCCTTGCCGTTGCCAGTACCGCCCGTACCATCATCTTCATCACCCAAGGCGGACTTGCCATACCCGGAATCTTCGAGATGGCGTAACCCAACTTGCATTGCTTCAATCAAACATACTGTCTCTGGATCAATCATAGAGCGCGCCGCTTCTTCAGTGGGCAAGATGTCGCCTTGCTTGAGGCGCCAAAAGCCTTGATCCTCACCTTTACGCTGATACTCCATGAATTCCTTGAGACGCTGACGAATTTGCATCTCATTTTGGTCAGGGAAATGCTTCATGAGGTCACGTACTACCAAGCGGCCTTGCTCATTGCGACGTACAAGACGGTAGGTGATCATCTTGAGACGATTCTTGTAGGACGACGTCACTTTACGTGAATGCGGGCCAGGGATATCGACAACGGGGAAGGTCTGGCCCACCGTATACGTGTGCTTCATGTTTCTCAGGTAGAAGCGATTTCCTGTTCGTGTGGCTGCTTTGATGAGCAGAAAATCTGTCTTTTCAGGCGCATGCTTGAAGATGGGCGCACGAACAAGTTTGTTGTACAGCGTCGGTGTCGTTTCGCCTGGCTCAACATGCCCAAAATTCCAGAAAGGTGAACGATCGGAAGGCGCTAGAATCTGTGCCTCACCAAGCTCAAGACGTGGTCGAAATTCATCATCGTCACTGCGTTTTCGATAATAGTTGAGAATCTTGCTGCACATGCCGGCATTAGTCAAGACGGGTGGATACTCTTCCGAGTACTCAAGACAGACGTAGCCCGTATTGTCAGATAGGGAAATGTCCTTTGTCGTTTTGAGCGCAACGGCAGGGTCTCGACTGCGATCCTTCTTCTTCTTGCGCGGCTTGAGCTTCGAAAAGCGTATCTCCTGGTTCGCCTTGAAGTGCATCGAGGGCCGATGGAAGGATCGCGCCTCAGTCTTCGAAAGCAATGTCTTGTAGTACGGGCTCTGCAGTCGATCCGCAAAGCCAGCATGCTCGATTGTCAAGGTCGACAACATAGATCGTACGCTCGACGTGTGTGTCTCTTGCAGCATAGCATACGCTTCATCGTTTGAGAAATTGTATCGTTTAGCAAGTGGCGGCGCGGCAGACCCTTTGCGTGTACTGAGCAAGATGCGTGGATCATTCATATCCAGCACAATCTTGTCGGCCTCTGGCTTTTCCCTCCACCCTACCGCTCGCAAGTTGGTGGAAGCCTTCACGTCGAATTGTACTTTTCGCGGGCGTTCTTCCAGCATGCTCTCCCAGTCTGCGCAGGCCAACAATAAATTAACATCGAGGTCGCCTTCCTCTGAGATGGTCTGGGCCGTCTGTGCGTCTTCCTCGAGCTCTGGTGTCGACGCGGTTCGCACCACGCCCGTGATTTTCCGTCGCTTAGAGTGCTTGAAGAGCGACTGATCGCTGTGCTCGATATCCAGTGATGCAGACGGCACCACAGGACGCGGCTGTTTCGGTATGCGTGTCGTATATTGGCCAGGCTTTGGACTAAAGAGTTCGGAAAAGTTGAGAATCTGACCTGCACTGAAGGAAGGGTAGAATTCGCGCAAGATTTCCTCCTTGGAGAGCATATCGTCGTACATTTCATCATCCTCACTCTCATCCGGCTGCTCGACACCTGAGATCCAACGCGCCATAGCGCCAGATGCACCGGGTGGCAATGCGCCAAAGTCTGGAAGATGCACCGCACTACCTGCATCATCATCCGCCTGATGCCGTTCTGCCTGTCGAATGAGATCTTCATAATCAAAGTCTTCTTGCGGATGCGTTGCCTCTTCCTCTTCAGGCAAGCTATCATCATCCAAGCCATCAGAACCAAGCGACATGACTTCAATGTTCTCCTTCTTCACCTTGCCATCGGCCTTGCGCTTCGCTGCAGGCGCAACAGCCGGCGCGTCGGCCGCCTTTACATCTGCAACGCCAGGGAAACTCGCGCTGACTGGGGAAAGGACAGGTTCGGCTTGATAATGCTCTGGAAGGAAGAAGTGGTCTTCGTCGTCGCCAAAGAGATCATGCTCATCCTCCATTTCGAGCGAATCACTTGGCCGATCCGGCGGCGCTACTTTTGGGGAGAGAGCATGGCAACGAACGCGCTCAGAGGGCTTCTCAAGTTCTCATGTCTGTTGGTTGTGTCGAATGGATGAACTGTGGTGGGGTTAGCGTGTAAAACTCAGATGGGCTGGCAGAGTCCTCGAATTCATCCTTTGGCCATGGTTTCCGTGTCTGGCAATGTTATACTCGTCCCGGTGTCCATCAGACAGCTTGTGTGGACTTCATTGCGCGGCGGCCATGTCAAAGAATGCGATGGAGTCGAGACTAGGCGCACAATTGGCCGTGATGTGAGACGACAGTTGAGCTAGACTTGTGCCTTGGGACAGCAGTGATGCTATCCAACAGTGCTTCCTATGCCTTCCTACAAGACTGAGACTATGGGCGGAAGCGTTTTGACTCACTGCGTACCATACTGTCTGATAGTGCTCCGAGACCCGCTGCACGGGAGCTGGCAGGTCGAGTAAGCCCGTCCAGTGACTCTGCGTCTCCATTTACATACTGTTGTCCTACCTCCAAGTGAGAGACATGATATCAGACACTAGCTGGTCTAAGTGAGACCAGCACGGAACAGGACAGATTTGCAATAGGCCAATAATGACCACAAGTTGACCCGCCAACTTGGAAGCAGAAGCAAAGCCCGCGGCCATCCATTGCACTGACCAGAGTGACAAGCAAGCTGACATCTGCCTCACTTAAAGTCTGCTGCTCTGGCCAATGGGCCGCGCTTACCTGGTGCGATTTAAGACCATTCATTCCCTTTGGCCCGTAATATTTTGTGCGTGGCTGGACAATCACGAAGCAGCAACCTCGAGGGCCCCCATATTGCAAGGGCCTCCACAGTCCACACTGGCCGGTGCGGTCAAGAGCTACTGTGCAAACTGATCTTGCTTAAGAGCTAGCACTCGGCCATGTCTGTGCTGGGGGGACAGTGACAACCTGCTCATAACCTTCGCTTTCTAGGCTCTTTCTCTTTGTCTTCCTCAACTCTGCTAGGCTCAACTGACGGGAACCTCTTCTTTTTGACACGCGCACTGTGCAAGGAAGCAGCTCCAAAGACTTCTCCTTCATTGTGGTCTTCACTTGGAAAGGGCAGCAGCACGCACCAGCTCTTTTTGTCCTACAGCGCTATTGAGACACAAATTCGGGTGTCACCCATACAACGGGTCTTACATCTGAGACATCTTTCTGACATTCTAAGCGGTTAGACAATCCCGTCATCGTATATCTACAATCAATGGTCCTGTTTCCTACAGCATTCAAGGCAGAGATGCCGCCAGCTATTGCAGTGACGCTGGACAAACAGTCTGCCGTACTACCTTATGCGAATCCAGCCAGTGCAGGTTTAGAAGCGCCTGCGTATGTTGCGATTGGCCTACCAGAAACATTGACGATTCATGCGACCATTGTCTTGAAATTGACGAAATCCACCAACATTACATCTCTCAAGTGTGCCTTCAACGCTAGTCAAGTCGTGGATGACAAGCAAGAACGGCGATTCGGGGTCTACGAACTGCATCGACGAGAAGTAGACCTGCTTAGACGCAAATCAGCAACATTGAGCGCAGGCGTGCATACTTTTTATGCCGCATTCGAGGTACCGTCTTGGCTACCAGCAACCTTTTTCTCAGCCAACAGCCAAATCACACATGCCGTCACCGCCACGGTTCAAGTAGCACGACCTGCAATCTATCTTGGTTTACGAGATACACAGGCGTCCAGTACAGCTGCGTTCAGTTTGACGCGGGGGCCACCAGCGGATAGTAACAGCCTTCGATACTGGTCTGGCGAGCGGACGTCGGCAGACACGGCGCTGGCAGTCAAGACGTCGAGGTATGTACGGGTAGGTGGCAAGCTGAGGCTGAGTTTACGGGTACGGTCAAGTGCACGCATTGAAGCGTGTACGATTGATTTGGTTCAGCAAGAGAGTATCTCCAGTGTTCCTGAGGAAGACTCGATTTGGGCGACGCATGGTGGGATATCAAGGAATCCACCGATGAGCTTCTTTTTGGATCAAAGCTCGTTGGAGGAGCAGACTATTCGCTTCAACCGATACCCAATGCCAACCATTGAAGCGGCATTCCCTGAGCAAGAGACAGAAGAGGGAGAATCGACAACCCTGTCACAAGTCAACATGGCATTCAAGTTGCTGGGTGAGAACCTACAACCAGACCTAGCATCGCCCATGCTAGATATCTGCCACAAGTTGCGGATTCGACTGACACCTGAGGGCGCCAAGGAGATTATCATCCATGTGCCTATCACGGTGTATGCTGGATCTGCCGCTTGTGATGACATGCCTCCATTTTACGATGAAATTGATGAACGCCTGGTGCGCAGTCCATCGAGAGCCGAGTCGGTGATGACGCTGCCACTGTACCGGAAGGAGCAGGCGGAGGTGATTGAGCGGGAAGAAGAGATGACACGGGCATTTGACGAGCATGATGTATGTTTAAGAGCATGATTGATAGCAGACCATAGCAAGCGATGGCATTCTTTTTGTTTTACCGGTACAGGACTACTAGACTAGGCCATAAGTATCCTGAGTGGCCATCTGAAGTAGGAGGACGCGTAATTGGGCGAGAACTCATCCAGCAGCTGGACGTCATCTAAGCAGCAGACACGAGCAGGGGACGCGTCAGCACGCGGCTCCATCAGGATACAAAAGTCCCGGCAGCCATACCTATAGAGCTGTGCTTCTTCGAACTGCTTGCTCCTTCTGCCCATCCGGGAACCACAAAGCGACAAGCATGGCCATACAGACTCTCATGCAAGGGCGCCAAAAGACCTTCCCTTACTTCAGCACGCTCCCGTACCCCATCGAATCAGCGGAGGAACGTCTCACGAACCTCAATGTCATCACAGGCCAGCTTTATCTGTCGCTCGCCGCTGAGGATTGGCCGAGAGCCATTTATTGGAACTCTGAATTGCGTGACTGGCTTGGCCTTAAGTTTGTGCTACCGAAAGCAGTTCGCATAAAGCTCATTCGCATCTACTATGAGGTGGTCACGGCATTTGGTGTCGACCCGAGAGCGCATGCTCGCTTCATGTCCATGTTCCTGGAGCTTACAAAGTGAGCCTTTATTTTAGTGTTCAGCAGATACTAACGCATGCAGACGGCGGTACTACCTAGATGGTACACGAGATCTTGTATTAGACTGGCGTCCACTGTGGCATGTCATCAAACGTGTCGTGATACCCTCGGGCGAACTCATTGTTCGTGCAGTCGCAGCCGAGGACTTGCACCATCTCAAGACGCTCGCACATGCACAGCACTACTTTGACGTTGACCAAACGCCAGCCATGCTGGAAGAGTTTCTTCCACTCTTTCAGACAAGTAGTCTTGGTGACGCTTTTCTCAGTGTCTACCTCGTCTGCAGCTTTCTTCCAACAAGCTCATACCGCTACAAAAGAAAAGTACTGCCGAGTATCTTCCATCTCTGGAATTTGCTTGCCTCTAGTCATGTTGCTGATGCTGTTTTTATCGAGTTTCTCTCTCGTTGGGTGCGCGACACGGATGGCTGCAGTGAACCCTACGAGCCGATGCTGGATAATGAACAACTCGACTACATCATGACACACTCCCTCAGACTCATGAAAATTCCCGTCGGCAATAGCTCTGGCTCGTCCAGTAAAAGTCTCGACTCTTGCGCGAGAAATCTCTTCTTTAGCAAAAAGTATCAGACAGCCAAGGATATGGCTAGGCTACTCATTTATCTGCTGCCCGACAACGCCGTCATGGATCATCTTGAAGTCTTTTTCGAAGCGACAGAGACATTCTATCACCCCTCCAATGCTGGAGCGTGGATGTCACCGCTTGTGTCGATTTTGTTTGAGCTCACAACTTTTGCTCAATTGCGCATCAATCGCGAAGCATCAGGCGAGCAACCTGCACGGTCGGGACGGTCGCTGACTCAATGCACTCGACGACTCGTACTAATGCTCCGGAAAGTCACATTCATGGCAACCTATGCTCGTTCACAAGATGTGCAGAATCTAGCACAAGCTGCACTTCAAGGCCTTGCATTCATGGAACCACAACTTATTATACCGGGCGCACTCAAACGCATCTATCCTTCATTACAGGGATTGGTCGAGTCTCATCGAACCACAGCGTCTCTTCACTATCTTGCAAGTCTGACACCCATCTTGGTGGCGAGTCCCGTATGGCGAGCGCATTTGACAAGTTTGATCACACTCAGTTTGCCGGGAATTGATGCCAATGATTTGATGAAAACGGGCATCACTTTTATCTTTCTCAATCAAGTCGTCAATGTCATCCCTATTGAGGATCTGAGTGAGTCTGGCGAGACGAGCGAAGCGCTGCAGTGGGTTCAAACGGAAATGGCCAGACTTGAGGAACTGGTCGGTGATGATGATGACTTTGAACACGATGTTTCGACCATGGAGCCGATTGTCAAGAGCTCAACAGCCGCATGGCAAGACATTGTTGTCATGTTTCTGGATCGCATATTCATCTTGCTGGAAAATCTACCACCTTCGACTAGCTCGCGGTCAGGGGAATCGCAGGTACAAAACGACCTTGCAGGACTCCTCCCGCCCTTCTTCAAAGCACTGTCTACGGACCTGCTCAAAGTGGCGCTCGACAAGGTTCTCAAATTTATCATGTCATACACACTTTACAATGTTGCCGATACCATGTCTGCTGTCGTCAATGCTTTGTGTAAAGCAGATGCAGCGACTGTCTGGCACGACTACTTCAACGTTCTAGACAGTGCTATCCGCGCAGAAGTCGAGGATAATGGTGCAGGATCGACACGGTCTGGTGGTATGGAAGTATTGCCTAGAGACCGTGCGCTTGTTTGGTATATTCGTTCCTTGGAAGGAATGGTGGATGCGGGTGGTCCCATGTTGTTTGAGTACAGGAAACCTCTGCGATCGCTCATCCACTTCCTCATGGAGCATTGTGTCAGTCAAGCTACCGAATATACTGGCATTTTGATTGCTAGCTTCCAAGAGGGTATGGTCGAGACATACACAACCGATCAACGTCGCATCAACCCAGAAGAAGAAGGTATGCCAGACTCTGGCCTCGCATCCTGGGGCTTGCAACCTTCAGCTAGCACTCTCAAGATTGACTGGCACTGTCCGACACGACCAGAAATCGAAGAGGCAGGTGATTTCTTCGGCGAAGTGGCTGATTTGCTCATTGGAAAAGTCCGTGCTTCACTCAATGCAAGTAGGCAAGCGAATGGCAAGGTTGGTCAACAGTGGACAGATGTGCTGGTGAGCCAGTTGTCTTACTTGGAAAACCTCTTGACGGGCGCAACGGAGCTGTTTTTCTCATCTCGAACTCGACGAGCGGACGAGGAAGTCGATCTGTCTGATGTCCAGTACAGTGCGCTATACCCAAAAGGTTACGTTTTCGCGGACAAACAGGATCCCGTCCTGCTCGCCATGACCGCGAAACGAAATGAAATTGGCGAACTGCTCCATGAAGCCCACAACTACCTCACTGCACATCATGCTGACGATATTCTCTGCTTCGATGTACTGCTCCTTGTCATCAAAACTTGGATCGGGAACGTAGGCTACCAGCGCGCTGACGGGAGTCAGAGCAAGCTGTCGAGTATCTATGTTGAGGACATTGCAAACTTTAAAGTTCCTGGCAGGCGAAAGCAGTATCCGCGTGCTTATTTGCTCAGACGTGCATTGCTCTACCATGTTTCGCGTACGAAGCACTCGACCATGACCATTGAGCGGACGGCTTTGCATGATAAGCTGCTGCAAGATTTGAAAACGACTGCTGTTGGAGCATACACAGAAATCCGCATCATTGCTCAGTCGGCGCTCAACCTGGCCCTGCGAGCCATTGCAGACATCAAAGCCAGGACAATTCCATTCTTCTTGGAAGCACTCAAGAGTGGCGAAGAGGACCGCGTCAAGGGTGCTCTCTACGTTCTCTCCGGTCGCGTTTTGAAGAGCTACATTGGCAGAGACTATCGCTTCTTTCCCGACTTTTTGAAGCAACTCGTCCTCCTCAACAATGCCGAGAAGCCATCCATGATACTTCCAGTCAAGCAAGCGTTCTTGGAGTGTGCACTCAAGAGCAGACCACCGCCTGCTGTCTGCGTTTATGAGAAGCAAGAGCTGCAAATAATCAAGCCAGAGGACGATGCACCTGTCGAAACACTGACTCAGCGTCGCCGAGCAGCCGAATCCTTCAGGGAAGCAGAGCAGCTCAAGTTGAGAGACAACCTGATTGAGTTGACGGAAACAAAAGACTGGCGTATCGCTTGTGCGGCAGCTTCTGCGCTCGGAGCGGGGATCAGTGCGTCGTCGCTGGCGCCGACACCGTACCTGGCACGAAGCATCATCAAACTATCTGTTTCTGATCACCCATCATTACGTGCCATTGCTATGAGCCACTTTTCTCAGCTTTTGGCAGTCTGTTGGCTCCGTGTTCTGACAAAAGGCGATTTACGCGATGCGACACTGGAGAAGTTGACAATTCCCGGGCGGATCGTGCTGACATCGCGAAAGGATGGCAGTTTTGGCAAACAGATTCTAGAGAGCTTGAAAGATCCCAATCCCGAGTATTTTGTGGATAATGAGCGTGCCGGTTGGCTTGCTTGGCCAGAGACGTTGGAGGCCTTCGAGCGGGATAGTGCTGGTGTTCCTGATGAGCTCGATCCACTGACCACAGAACTCTTTGCAGCGATGGGACCGCTCCTTGATCGAGAATGGGTTGGCAAGATCATCGACTTTTGGAAGGAAGAACCCAAGGAAGGTAACGGCAAATTCAGAGCCACTTTGCAGCACATTGTCCGGCTGTTCTTCGTTTGTTCTCGTCGGATGCCAGGTGCAGTGACGCTCGATGAGCTCAAACCGGAGATTGAATCGCTCTGTGCCAAGGGCGCTTTGCATTACCACAGTCGTGTTGGAGCAGAGTTACTCTCAGGGTTGATTGGATCGTTGCGCTATGAGACTGGTGCCGTTCATGATGACACTTGGGAATGGGCTGGCAGCATCATTAAAGAAGTCCTCACTTCGCGCTTGACGCCCGACAATGTGGCGTATTGGCAACAGGCGTGCTCCATCATCTTCCTGCATCGCGATCCGCGCCGCTTCTTCCCATTGCTAGAAATGATTTCAAACTTGCCGCTTGATATGGAGTCCTACTCGGCTTTCGCAGAGAGTGCCAAAATCAGTGTCTTACGCAAGACTGTCGCTGCAGTAGGTTGGCACTATCAATCTGGCGACAAGGCAATTGAAAAGTTCATTGCCCATGTGGATCACCCGTACAAGCGTGTTCGAGACGAGATTGGCAAAGCACTCAACAACCTCTTTGCCATGCAATACTTTGAGTCGCATGCATCCGTTGAGGCATTCTTGGAGAGTAACCTTCAGTCTGGCTCGTCATTGGGTGTGGTGCCTTACCAGCCGAATGCAAAGCTGACGGCAGTCATGCAAGACATGTTCAAGAAGCTGCATGCATGGCGACTTGAGCGGCCGGTTGGCCAAGAAGCGCCTTCGCAATACACAATGGCTTCCAAGACGATTGCTACTTGGGTGTACAACTCTGTTGATATGACAGAAGCCTACTTGCTACTGCCCTTTGTGCCAGATCTCATTTTGCCAGAGATTCTACATATGATGGATGTCAAGGAGGACCACGACCTGCTTGTTATTGCAGTCGGCGTCTTCAAGCAGCTCGGCAATATCGTTTACCCAACCAGTCAAGTTCGGTCGATGGTGGATGCACTTGTTCGCATCATGTCGACAGACCCCTCTTGGCACCACAGATTGCGTGTCATGGCTGTTGTTCAAGTCTTCTTCTACCGCAACATGTTCATCCTGTCTCGCGAGGATCGCGGCCGCTTGTTTGACGCTGTGGTAGGTTTGCTCTCAGACTCGCAATTAGAGGTTCGCGAAGGTGCAGCAGGCACCATCTCTGGTATGATCCGTGCTTCTTCGCATGATCGTGAAAACACCATCAAGCGCCTCATTACCCGTTTCACTGACATTCTCGACAACTCGCCGCTTCCAAGACGCAGACGACTGAGTCAAAGGCCGTCTGATGTAAGCTTGCAGGAGACAAATGAGCTCTCGTCGGTCATGATCCGGCGTCATCTGGCATGTCTTGGTCTTTCGGCTCTTGTTACTGCATTCCCGTATGGTACACCGCCGCCTTGGTTGCCGCCCGTTCTTGCACGTCTTGCACGGTGCAGCGACAATCCACATCCGATTGGCGTGTCCATCAAACGGGTGCTTGCAAGCTTCAAGAAGACGCACAATGATACTTGGCACTCGGATGAGAAGGTATTTACGCAGCAAGAACTCGAAGACCTCGCAGAGCCCAGTCACACGTACTTTGCATAACGGGAGACCATGAAAAGCAATACTGGCGATTCAGCAAGACTGAAGGCAGATCTAATGGTAGAATTGGCTTTTAGCGAGTAGATGGCTGGTGTAGGCCGGTGACAGATCTGACAGCTCTCCAGTAGAGAACATCCCGGTTGATAGTAATGTCTGTTGTATAAGTAGCATCTTCTGTCCTATCTACGGAGCTGTAGGCCCCCTGTACTGTCTCCGTTGCCCCTCTGTTGGGCATGTCATCGGGTGCTCGTCTGTCGTGTGCTGAGATTTCCAGGCGACATTCGCAACACCACCATCAAGACACATCCAGGGCATCTGCCAAGGCCCAGAGACAGCGGCCTGCTCCCGGCTCGGCCTCACACCGTCCTTCCTTTATCCGACACTCGAGGCACCACCCATCAGAGTACTCTCGTAGCCCCTTCTTTTGTGCTCGTCTTCCCCGGTTCGCCCAGCACCTCCTTTTTGTGCTCATCCTGGTTCGCGCAGCCTCATGCGGCATGCTCGCCAACGAATGGAAGTCTAGGAGCATCTATCAAATCGTCACAGATCGCTTTGCTCCTTCCACCGCCGAGGATGAGGCCCGTTTAGGACCCTGCAATCCCGGATACTTGCAGGGACAAATATGCGGCGGCACTTGGCAGGGGATCATACGGAAGCTTGACTATATCCAGGGCATGGGATTTGATGCGATATGGATCAGTCCGGTAGACTGCCTCCACATGTCACGGGCTGCGCGCTAACCTTAGATCACAAAGAATATCGAGGACCAGACTGACTATGGCTATGCGTATCATGGCTACTGGCCTGAAGATCTCTATTCCATCAACCCGCATTTCGGCACCCCAGACGATTTGTTTGCCCTGTCTTCAGCGTTGCACGCCAGGGGTATGGCGCTTATGGTGGACGTCGTTGTGCAACACATGGGCTCACCAGCGCAAATCGATCTAACCCGCTACACGCCCTTCAATGACCCGTCACATTACCACAGCAAGCAATTCATCACGGATTACACTAATCAGACGCTGGTGGAGCAAGGCTGGCTTGGAAACGGCCAAGTACCGCTACCAGACCTCAATACGGAGAATCCCGTCGTCATTGACACGCTCAATGCATGGATCGCATCTCTTGTACAACGCTTTAAAATTGATGGATTACGGCTAGATACTGTCAAGCATGTCCGCGCTGATTTTTGGCCAGGCTTCATCCAAGCGTCTGGTGTCTTTGGCCTCGGCGAAGTGCTGAGTGGCGACCCAGACTACTTGGCTCACTATCAACCATACACAGGCGGTTTGATCGACTATGCAACTTACTACCCGCTCTTGCGTGCATTTGGTCCGCTCGGCGACATGGCTGAGCTTGGCCAGTTGCTAGCACCTTCGTATCGAACCAAATTTCGCGACACACAGCTGTTGGCGACGTTCATGGAGAACCACGACAATCCGCGCTTCCCAAACACGAGTAAAGATCCGGTCATCGTGAAGAATGCACTTGCGTATACAATATTGTCCGATGGCATTCCCATGATTTATTATGGCCAAGAACAAGGCTTTTCAGGACTTGTGGATCCTGCGTGTCGAGAACCAATGTGGCCATCTGGCTGGAAACAAACGGATTTGTACAAGCATATTTCCTTGCTCAATAAGGCCAGGAAGGCAGCTTGGTCTGTTGGGTTTGGTCAGAATCTTGCGCTTGGTGTCTATTTGGACCGCAACATTCTCGTTACTCAAAAGGGTCCCATGTTGCTGGTCATCAGTAACGCAGGTAGTGCTGCAGCGAAGAAGACAATCACTTTTCCGACGAAGCTTGCGAACGGTACCTTGATGGTCGACATTTTCTCGGGCAAGTGCATTACTGTTGGCAAATCCACGACCAGCACAACAGTGAGTGGCGATGTGCAAGTCTATCTTCCACTGGCATTGGCACAGAGCGTTCGTCTTGGTCTGGACAATACAGCACCAACCGTGAGCTCACCCTCTGGCTTTCGATCAAGGTTATCGAGCATCTTTGGCTCATCCAAGTCTGCCGGGCTTGCAGCCAGCAAACTTGTCTCAACAAAATATGCATCTGGTATCCCTGCGCGTGCGACGTCGAGTCTCGGATTATCGAGTCGTCTTCCTGCCATTTCCACGACGGACAAGGCGCTTCGTCCGTCTTCCACAGCCCTCAGGAACACACAATCTATTTTTCCATCAGCTCCACGAGCTATACGTCCTGGTGCAGTAGAGACACAGCCAGTTTTGCGGAAGAGCAGCTCCCACTCGTCGCTGCAAGTGCCTTCTCCGCGAGCAGTGATCAACACGGGCAACTCACGCACCTCCTCCCTGACGGATTCGTCCACCATGTATCACCAACAAAATAACAGTACGGGCATGCTCAACAATGGTCGAGTACCTCCGCGCAGTACGACACCGCTCGTCAATGGCCGTGCCGGTGTCGCAACAACGACGTCTCCTGGAGCAAGTCCCGGACAAACCATGTCAGCAGCGATGCAAGCACGTCGTCAGCACGCACGACAAGTCACAGCACCGCCTGCTTCATTGAGTCAACACTATCGTAATGCCTCACCATCCCCACAACTCAGTCCAGCACAGCAACAACAGTACCCGATTGGCTCTGCACAGACTTCGCCGGAGAGTACTCAGCAGTTGTCTAGCAAGTATACGTATGGCCAAGGTGGACATGGACACACATTAAGCCACGGTCATAATGGTGCCGGATATGCACCGCATGTGCAATCTAGATTAACGCCGAGCATGCGGTCGAGCAGCGAGTCGAACTTGAGGTACATGAGTCACGGCAAAAATCAAGGACATCCTCCGATGCCCACAGGTCCTCTTAGAAGAGAAGCGTCGAGCCAATCACTCGCTCAAGATGCAAGGTCTAATTCGATGCGCAGTCAGACGGATAGGCCACCCATGCCGCCTGTGCCAACCTTGGAAACGCGAAAAGCTCTATTGGATGGCAATGCCCCGTATGCGCATACATTCTCCATGTCAGCAACAAGCCTGCATAGTGCCAATGGCTATGGTGGATACCCTGCAACAACAGCTTATGCGCGATCTCGACGCAATAGTAATGCAAGTCTCAGGTCGTTTCATACTGTTGGTGGGCGCACCTCGACCGATGCTGCTCGAGACAGACATGCCTTACTGGCTGCTGAGACGGGTGCACCGATTCCTGCTGGTTATCATCATTATGGGCATGACGCTGCTGACGCGGGTCATGAGACGAGTGCACCGCGACATGCACCCAAGAATCTGCCTGTACAGGGGTACCAGCAGTACACGCGTAAACGGTCTGGTAGTGCGTTGCAGTATGATTTATCGCATGCTGGTCCGATGCAAGGCTATCCAGACATGACAAGGCATGCATAAGGAACGCTAGAGGGGATCGACGATAGACGGAAAGAGGAAGAAACATGGACGGAAAAGTAGCCTTCATTCCAATTTGCATTCATTAGCGAAGCATAGTAGTCATCCTTTTGCCTTTGTCTTATATGTGACTGCGCCCTGAAAATTTCACCTGTAAAAAAAGGAGGCGACGACAGGAATCACCCAAGAGAATGCCTGCTCTGCTTACGAAACTGCTTAAAAGTCCCAAGTAGGGGGTCCAAGCTATAGGCACGCTTACTTTTATTTGCAAGACAGTCAGCTGATATACTTTGACAAACACTGCTGCTTCTACGTGCTCAGGAGGCATAAACACACGCTGCTGACAAGCCAAGCATTTAAAAGCTCAGACCGCACTCCTGTAACTTGAGCGTGCTGCTCACTCAATTGAAACATCGCATCGTCCATTGACTCAGACTCAACAGCGCTTCATAACGAAATGGATCGCTGCCACGACGATCCTAAGACTTGCGAAACAAGCGCCATTGATTGTCTGCAGGACGGCAACGAAGGCATCCTCGTCCCTGAGACTATCCCTCTTTCGCAACCCACAGGACAAGGCGGTCCTTTTGCCAAACGCTTGGAAAGGCCTGGTGGTCACGATTCACCTGGCTCCATTGAGCCCATGACACCGACCGGATCGCCGGTCCAAAGCCGCAGCAGTTCCCCTGCTCGAGAGCGAAAACAGGGGTCGCCGACTACAACAAAGACATTTGCCGTGTGTACACAACGTCGTCGATCCTCAGCGACAAGGATGCGCAGCGAGTTGTGAGTCTTTTCTTTCCTTCTCATTCATGAGATGATGCATATCTCGCTGCATTGTCTGACTCGCCTTTTTATGTAGGTTAGAAACAGAGAGCATTGTCGATATGGATGAACAGGATACCACGTTTTATCCTGCTCCCATTCCTGCGAGTATGCGCACACCGCCTGCGCTTGTAGGTTCGCCTGTTCAGGTGCGCAGCATGAGTATGCCCACAGAGTGCTCACCACTGGCCAACTTGTGCATGCCTTCAGAAGATGAAGCAGAGTCAACAGAAAATTGCCAAGACGGCCAACTTGAGCCTGAAGAGATGGAGGCTAGCGAGACCAAGTCAGATGCCTATCGAGACTTCGCTTTGCCTAGCCAATACAGCCCAGCTACTCTCCTGCTCAGCACTTTTCTCGAACAGACTGCAAACGAACCAGTTCCAACGGATGATGAGATTCATCGAGATGCAGTAGCCATGGGCGCTCTACTCGATATCGTCAAGCTTCGTCACCAACGACAAAAGGAACGTGCCTTGCCAGGCTATACACTCGACGCGCGTTCATCGCAGCGCATGGATTCAATCACACGACTGAGCATGGGGATGCCAAAGTGGGATGCGCCTGAGGCGAAGAAACGACCAACACTGCTGACATTGGACATGGAAAGGCGAGCACTGCAACGATCTCAAGGTATCTTGGAGATGCAACAAGCACGATCTGGCCATCTCGCTGGTAGGTCGACACACTCGTTGCCTATGCGTAGCAAGCGAGAGAGTGCGGGTGTCAAATCTGTGAATGAAGCATTGCGATTCAGCTTGCAATTGAATTTGGGAGACGAAGACGATGATGACGATGTGCCGCTTGCTGAGCTATGCGCTCGAGACCAGCAGCGAATGTCTCCCGTTCATGGAGGCTCTATGCTTTTAGAAAGCGCTGAGCAGCAGGTTAATGTATTGTCAAGCTTGTTTGCAGGGGAGCAGTCGTTGGCAGCACGAATGGAAGCATTAAAGGTCAAGCAGCAGCAGAATTTGAGGTCTCCGGTGGGTGAAAAGGAGCTTGGAAAGCCTCGAGAGTTGACGCTTGCTGAACGCCGTGCAAAGCTGTTGAAGGGGAAGGATGTTGCAGGACGAAGAGAAGGCCCCTATCGACTTTAGGCATCCACGGATAGGCGTCTTGTGAGTCGTGACTCTATGCTCAATGTTTCATTTTCGCGATGACGATGCCAGTCTTCCCCGCGCTAAGAAGTTGGTCAGGGCAACGGCAACTTCGAACTTTCCGCCTGCAGATCTGCTGGAGGCGTCCACGTTCAAAGTCCGGGGCGGCTCTCCTGCTCAAATTTTCGCAATTCAGCTGCTGCCATTGGCAACCAACTTCCACTCGGCCTCGGGCTCAAGTATCCAAGTTGCGGGTTGCCTTTAAGCTTCTGTCTTCTCTCAGTGGGCCAGTGGCAAGTTGGCAATTAGCAACTCGGCCAGTATGCGACTGGACGACGGACGTGCATGCACTTTTTGGCACGCTTTTGACAGCTCGCATCTGATTCCCATGATGCCGCCTTAGACAACAAATGGCCTCATATGATCGGCCTTGTATATATACCCATCGCCCTCGCTCTTGTCTCTACAAAGAAACAAAACATGATGTTGCAAACACTCGCCATCTTCCTTGTTTCCAGTGCCGGTAGCGTCTTGGGAGCTGCCGTCAACCCTCACCCATGGATCCCTGCCGGTGCAGGTGATGTGCGTTCACCATGCCCGGCACTCAATGCTCTCGCCAACCACGGCTTCTTGCCTCACAATGGCCGTGGCATGACCGTTCCTATCCTGGTGCAGGGTCTGTCTGAGGGCCTCAACGTCAGCCCAGACTTCACGATCGCCATTGGCTCGTTGGGACTTACCGCTGGTAAGCGTCAATTGGGTGCCTTTGACTTGGATGAGTTGCAACAGCACAACTTCCCCATCGAGCACGATGCGTCCCTCTCAAGGCAGGACACCTACTTTGGTTCCGCCAACCCCTTCAACAATGCGACATGGCAGCAATACCTCGCGTTCTTCAAAGACGCTGAAGTTGTCTCCATCTCGGCTGCTTCAAACGGAAAATACGCTCGTGTCAAGGACTCCCAGCAGAGGAACCCAACATTCACGTATGGCCCACAGCAGTTTGTGCTGAGTTACGGTGAGGTGGCACTCTACCAATCTGTGCTCGGCAATCCATTGACTGGAACGCCCAAGACTAGCTATGTCCGCACCTTCTTCGAGCAGGAGAGGCTTCCATATGAGGAAGGATGGACCAAGTCGCTCATTCCTACAACCCTCCCTTCGCTTGTGGCCTTGGTGCTTCAGCTGAATGCTGCAAATGGCGAGGCTATCCCCGAAGGTGTGGTCTTGACGACAAATACATTGAAGAATGCCTTCTCGGGTCTTAGTGTGCTGACTGGACTCCCTATTGTTGGACCTGTTGTTGGAGAACTTCTCGGCGCATAAACTAGTGATAGCACCTTGTAAGTAGTTGTACTACCAGAGCTAAGCATGGAATAGTCCGAGTTGTCTTGTACTTTCCATCTGAAATCCTTGACCTCTTCCATTGACCGACTCAGACCGACCTCCATTGCTATATTCTTGAAGGGAGGGTTTCTACACGCTACATCTCCTCAGAGTCCTATAAACATACCTGATGGCTGCAGCAAGGCAAGATTACTATACAGACTCGAGCGACGATACATCCACAGACGACCACCCGCTCGTCTCTCTCTACAAGCGCCCGACTCCACTCGGTCTTCTACGCTCCTTCCTCATCAACGCAGCGCTTCCCTTCATCAATGGCGTCTTTCTTGGCTTTGGGGAGATCTTTGCGCATGAGCTTGCGTTCATGCTTGGTTGGCGGGGTGCAGTGCCGCAATCACAGCAGACATTGGCGCGGCTTGCTGGTAGGACAGATACACGGCGGCGCGTTGCACCAGGCGTCAGTGTGCATGACAATAGCGACAGTAGGAGTCGTCGTGAACAGCGCGAGCTTGAAGATATGACGGCATTAGAGTAGAGCAAAATACGGAGAATTGAAGCATGTTGATGACCTTATACACAATTGTGAAACTAGCGTTTGCTTCCGGCCGGGCCGCCCTACAGCTCCGTCTCGACGCCTGGCTCACGACCTTTCATGCTGAAGCGGTTTTTGATCTTGTAACCAAGCACCTTTGTCTCATCCTTCAAGAATTTCAAGTTGCGAACTGCCTTGATCCCCTGCAGTCCACGGTGCTTGCGCTGCAACTCATGTTTTTGTGCGCGCTTGTCTTGACGTTGTCGACGCTTCTTGAGGTCTTCATCGTCGATTTCCGAATCTGTGACATCTTCCTGAAGTCTCAAGTCTTCGTCATCTTCATGGATCGATTGTGAGGGGGTCGATGTGTACTTGGACAACTCACCGCCAAACATCTGTTCCCACTGCGCACCTGAGTCTGTTGCATGGTAGTCGTCAATCTCCTTTTCATAACCAGGCTTGTTGCGAGGCACACGAACGATATCAACGTCCTCATCTTCCTCCTCATCTTGCTCTGCATCCGCCAAAGAAGCAGCATCCGTGTCATCCTCAGCATCGGCATTATCCTTGACCTTCCCATCCTTGACCATTTGTTTCACAACATCCGGTAATTCTCGCTTGACGATGCGTGTGCGTGTACCCTCTGCAATGACAGACTCCCACGTCTCCATTGTTTCGCGATCATCATTACCACGCATATACTCACCATGCGACTCATCCAAACCCATCTTGAATCGAACAGTCATGCGGAGCGTACCACAGCGTTCCGTAGCGACATTCTTATCTGCTTCAATGTTGGCGATATAATTCTGCGTCATTTGCTTTGGCATGGGTGTCTTGTGGATTGGAATCTCAAGCACTGTTTCTTGATTGTCCACAAGGTCTGTGAGCCAGTAGATGGCATACGCAATCGGTTTGCGATGACCCTCGGAGAAGAACTCGACACGCATAGGTGACTTGTAGCGTTCTCGAACTGGTACCATGACGCGACGTTTCTGTAGATCCAACCCATCACCGCCTTGATCATGCTGCTTGATACGCTTCAAGTCCCAGGTAGTACCGTTGTGTGGACTATTTGGATTGATCCAGTGCCGGTGAATGATACGTTTGGCAACATCCGAATGCACTGCAATACGCGTCTTGCTCAAATACCCAGCACCATCATCCGAGACATTGACAGCATCGCCAAGAACCTCCAACGATCCAATATCCCAACCCAACAAGTTTGGTGGAAGTCTAAGATCCACTGATCGGAAGAGGAGAGAGATGGTAATTCGACCATATCCCATACCACCATCCAGACTGTAAATCCCTGTTGACTGTGAGCTGTTTCGAAGAATCTCACTAAGCTTCAACGTAACAGACCCAAGCAGTGCATCGTGTTCGCGATTCTGAGCATTCCTAGCAGACACAGTAATGACGGCATTTCGCCAATCTCGAATGAATCGTTCAGTTTGAGCATTGAAAATAGGGGCTGACGAAGAGACTTTTGTGCGTGTGCGAAAGACGAGTTGATCGTTGCAGAGGACAGTGCAGTAGCTGGAGGGAAGACGATCACCTTCTTCATCGGTATTCTCGCCCGTGATTTGAGCAGGTGTCCAAGGTTCATAGGACCCAAATGAGCCTGATGGACGGTGTACCTCGAGATTATCAATTTGATGAATCAAAACTGAGCAGATGCCTGTTGGTAGTGTTGGGTCTGGGGGTGTTGTTGTAATGGCCTTTTCATCTTCCGTCACCACAACACCTTTATCATCTTGCAAATCTGGGTGATCGCGCAACTCTTTTGCGAGTGCTGTATCCTTGCCATCTGACTTCATGGAGTTCTTCCAATCGGACTTGCAGAAGTAGCCGATATCCCAGTTGAGTTTGCCCGGCAAGACTTCACCCTTTTCATCCTTCAGCTCGTCTGAGCGTGACATGATTTTACCACTATCCTCCTTGATGAGTTGACGCAAATCAAAGCTCACTTTACCAACGACATCATCAGAGGTAATCTTGTCAGAGTCCCACAATTCAACAGAAAGCTTCTCGCCAGCAGTCAACTGTTCTTGGTAGACTAGCAGACACGTCTGTTCATTCCACGAAGGATTCAATTCCTGCTCAATGATGCGTGTACAGTACTGTGGTGAACCGTATTGGCTGTAGGCCAGAGTAATGAATGGATCACTCTTGCCGCTTCGGTCTTGAGCAGAGATACCTTCTGCGTTTTTGATGCGAATGTAGAGGACACCAATGGCGTCGGTTTCCTTCTTGACGGCATCGCCTTGTAGGATTTTGGACATGTCCATGATGAGTGATTTGGGTGCCACGTATTCATCAAGAGCAGCTGCAATGGAAGAGTTGACAAAACCAGAGATGAGGGGTAAATCGAGAACATTGATTCCTTTACTCGTCATGGGAACCGCAGATGCATCAATTTTGGGTAATCCCATGAATGTGAAGGTCAAATTCTTGAGGAATGGCGGGTTGGGTGTCAACTGAAAGCGAAGACGTACTGTACCAATGATGCCATTGAGTTCCACAAAGACGGGCAATGGCACATCAAAGAGTCCCTTGATACCCAAGTAGAAGACGAGCTCGAGATGCATATTCATAGCTTTACCAATGACTCCCTTTGCAGGCGCAGCTTTGTAAGCAAAAGAAGCTTCAAGGTTGTAGTAGCGATTACTGTCATCGTCTTCGCCCTCCAATTCACGCTCCTCCTTCTTCTTGGCTTTTTCCTCAGGTGAGAGTTCTGTGCCATTGGCTTTGGACTTGCCATGACCATCATCCTCATCAGCACTGGGCAGTGCGCGCAATGAGAGAATCTTGAATGGCACCACGCCCTGTCCGATAGAACTTACGCGGACATTCTGAACGATAGACGGCGGAACAGATGCTTGCATGACATCTTCAAGCGTATCTGCCATGGCTGCGAACATTTCTGGGTTGATGAGTTTCCAGATGATACCAACAAGGCTATTCATCCATTCAACGGATTCAGGCACAAGTGATTCTGTGGCTGCTTCGGCGCGTTGACGTTCAGATTCCCAGTTGAGGGCATTGGCGTCTTCCTGTATTTTGCGAAGCCATAGATGTACGCCGCATGCAATGATGACACCGGCAAAGATGGACGCGAAGAGACCTTTGAAGCCTCTGCTCACAAAGAGCCAATTCAAAACAACAATACCAACGACAATAGCAACAGACGCTTGATTGATGGCTGATTCGAGGGCGTAGAAGGATGCCTTGAGGTCTGCAACAGGAAGTGGGTGGTAGATGACTTGGATGTTCTTTGAGTGATGCAGATAATCATCCGTCTTGTCTGGATTGGCTTCCGGTGGTGCCAAGTCATCGAGTGTTTCTCTGTACGCCTCACCATGGCCCTCTGGCAGATGCGGCGTCGGTACACCAGGCAGGATGTTCGGCAACGGCGGCTGCTTTGGGTCTACATTGGCCTTGGGCACAGTGATGAGCGGTCGCCTGATACTTGCTTCAAAGTCGCCATCGACATCCTGAATCACCACTTCATTCTTGGTGGTTGGATCGACTACCCTTCTGCGAGAGGCGTCTTTTGCCTTCTGCACTTTATCCTGGTCCTTGCCTGCTGCTGCTCTCGAGGCATCTTGCTTTTGTAGATTGAGCCGTTCAGCGAGTTCCTTGCCCAGTGTCTGGATATTGGGCACTTTGTTGCGGGCACTGTGGGTGTTAGTGCATGCGTGATGCTGCTGATGCTGTACCTGTATGGAGCCATGCCTCTGTCTGTCTCCTACTGCTACTGCTACTCCCCCTGGTCGTCCTTGCTGGTCTGTGTGCTCGTATCTGTATCCCCCTGCAGCTTGTTGGAGTTTGATTGCTGCACTTTGACGTCACTTGGAGAGAAGAGAAGCAGACCAACGAGAGAGGGAGAGAGAGACCAGCAGGCAGCAGACCAGTAGTCATAGAGGAAGTAAGAGTATTGGTAGCAGCAAGAGCAGAGCAGAGCAGAGCAGAGAGAGGACATGGCAGCAACAGGCAGACCACTCGGGAGGGTCATAGACCCAGAAGACAGTCAAAGTGCCCAGGTCATGCCTACTGCAGCTACGACTGCTGAGAGCCATCCAGTAAGCGCGTCTCAAGCAGCACATCCAGAAGGCGAGACGCTCATGGATAAGGATACAAAGGCGCAGGTGACAGTCCGCAACTCGGGCACGTCCTCATCTGCTGCAGGCGCGTCCGGTGTTCAAGCAGTTGGGATGGATGAGAAGCCAGCACGGGAGACGGGCACGCAACATGCAAAGAGTCTCGCAAAGGAGGTGACAGCCCCTGTACAAACCCCTGCAAGCTCCTCATCTGCAGGCGCAACGGTCAATGACCCTTCTGTGCCGCTTTCTGATGCTCACTTGGAGCCAAAGGATCCAATTTCTATTCAGACCATCAACTACGATGCAGGCGAGGTCGGTGTTCCCCTCGATAAAGCACCGACACCGCTGTCGCCTGCTCAACAGCTGGTCAGCTCTTCTAAAGACGGACAAGCCTCCGTCGGTGCGCCCGCCGAGGATTACGTCCTTCGCGCACAGGCCAAGGAGTATCCCAAGGCTTACTCTGAGCGTAACCCACCAGCCAATATTCAGCAGTACAAGGAAAACATCCAGGAACGTCAAGAAGCTTCTCGCAAGTACATGGCTGCAGAGGAACATGGCGAAACCAAGCAAATTTCTCAAGAAGGTGCGCGTGCTGGTGCAACAGAAGATGTCCCTATCGGTGCAGAAAAGTCAAATGTCCTCTTCCAACCTACGCCAGACATCAATTTTGACAAGGTCTTTGAGACACTCGGTAAAGATACGGTTCAGATTGCTTGGGTTGTCTTTGCGTCCATCCTACTTCTCGACGCATTGTTTATTGGTGGTGGTATTCGTGGCCTCTTCAAGAGTCTCTTCCCTGCGTCGGGTATGGCTGGTATTGTCTTTTACATCCTCTCCTCTGTCCGCAAGTCTGCCGCTCAACGCAAAATGGCACAATCAAAACCAAAGACTGAAAAATTGCGCTACGTCCCCGAAAGTGTTGAATGGATGAACACCTTGACGCAAACAGTCTGGAATGTCATTCAAGAGGAATTCTTCAATGACATGACAACCATGATCAATGACACAATCAAGCCGTACATCCCAGACAATGTCCCTGCTTCCGTCAAGATTCTCAAACTTGGTCATGGCAAAAATGCAGCGCGCGTACTGTCGATGCGCAGTCTACCAGATGAAGAATTTGGTGAATTGGTTCCGAAGCACGGTGACGACCATTCTGGTTCAGTGGAAGAGCGTAAACGTCGTGAAGAAGCAGTCATGCGTGAGGAAGGTGGTATCTTCTACAACCTGGAAATTGCAGTGGCCTATCATGCATCACCACAAGAACCACGCACCAACCACATGCACGTCGATATTCTCACCATGATTGGACCACTGCCCATTCCCATCTTTGTGGAAGTCAAAGAATTTGTCGCCACTATTCGGCTTCGTTTGCAAATGCACCCGGATTTGCCATTTTTGAAGAATGCAACCTTTGCAATGGTTGAACCTCCCAAGATCAATTCTGCTGTGTGTCTCGGTGCCCCTTGGACATTGGATCTACTCAACTTGCCCATCATTGATACATTCCTCGAATCGCAGATCAATACACTTGCAAAGGACTTTGTCCAGCCAAAGAGTATGAGTGTGGATATGACCTTGTTTCTGGGTGGTTCAGACTTGAAGCTCGATACGCAAACAATCGGTGTTCTCTGCGTCAAGATTCATCGTGCCACGAATCTCGCTCGACAAGATACGCGAGGTGCTGGTGCAGACCCATACCTGACAATTGCCTTTTCAAAGTATGAGAAACCCATGTATGCCACACGCATCATCAAGGGAGATTTGAATCCTGTGTGGGAGGAATCTGCCATCATCCTCATCAAGCCCGAACACGTCAAGCGTCAAGAAAATGTTTTACTAAGATTATGGGATTCAGACACGATGGGTTCAGATGACATTTGTGGTGCTTGTGAGTTTCCTTTGCAAGACTTGATGTTGAAATCTAGCAAGATGGTCAAGCGCAAGGATAACTTACAAGGTGATGTAGCAGGGACAGATGCTCAAGGTATTTTGGAGTGGGAAGTGGGTTACTTCCCAAGAGCAGAGTACCGCAAGGAATTACGCACCGATGCACAAGATCCACGAGATGCGCATGGCGATAAGGTGGAAGTCAAAGAGGCTGATAAGAAGCAAGATGCACAAAACACCGTGCCAGACCCGGAACTCCCCTCGGGTATTCTTGAACTGACCATTCACCAATGCATCAATGTTCAAGTTGAAAATCCAAACAAAAAGTCAATGGGCAAAGTGGCTGCGATGCATCAAGATTCAGACGGTGAAGATGACGATGAACGTGATGGAATGACGGATGTTGGGTATATTCCGACATTATACGTTACCGCCGATATCAATGATCGACTCACCTACCGCACCCGTGTCAAGTCTCTCAACAATGCGCCAACATTCAATTCAACCACAGAGCAATATATTCGAGATTGGCGTGTCGCAACGTTGACGGTGGGTGTTTGGGATACGCGCAAGAAGTCAGATGATTGTCTCGTTGGTCTCGTCTCGCTCAAAGTTTCTGACATTTTCCATGAAGCATCCTCCAGCGTCAAATTCTATGATCTAGTGGGCGGTGCTGGTACTGGACGTATTCGGCTGAGTATGATTTTCCGTTCAATGAATATGAAGCTCGACAAGAGCCTACTTGGCTTTGAAGTGGGTACTTTCACCTTCACCTCGCCACTCACAGTCACTGGTCAAGTCCACCACCATGCACTGACATTGAAAGGTTCAGGCTCAAGCAGGCGTGTCAAATCGGTGAAGAAGGGAGAAGGAGATATCGACCGCATCTGGACACTTGACAAGGATAAACTCATCAACAGGCTGCCAATCCAGTATCGCTACCACTCTCCCGTCGTTCTTGAGTTTGCATCAGCTGGTATCTCTGATGCTCTGAAAGGTCCCCTTGGCCGTCAAAAGCACTACGCTGTGCTCTGGCTTTTCAAGCTCATTGACAATCAGTCAACCAAGTTTACCCTGCCAATCTACAAGACGGACAACCCTGCACGGTTCACGCAAAATGTGGTCACTCAACCAGATGAAACCATGTCGCTTGAAAAAGTGGGTGAAGTCTCCTTCGTTGGTCGCTTCACCGCCGGTCTAGATGAATCGTTTGAGGAATTTGTCGAGGGTCACGATGCCTGGACCACATACACGACTTGGTCAGCAGCTCGAAAAGCAGGTGAGTCAGCGTCACGGTCCCTCAATATCAAGCAATGAGCATAGTGCCATGGGTATAGAATGCTGTTTGAACTTTATTGATCCTGGATTGCGTTTTCTTGTATGCACGGACTAATCTTCTAGGACTGCGCGGTGATTATGTCGCAAGGACAACAAATCCAACGGTAGACAGGCTATCCAAGAAAATACACGAAGCGCACGGCGTGGATGTATAAGTGTTTCTATGTAAACGTACTCTGTCTTTATCAATCCCATCTACCGTACGCATTGCTGTGTTCAGGCTCATCGACATCGCCGACCACAGCTTTTGCCTTGTCAAACATTTGATCCAATTCGCCCTTCTTCTTTGTTGAGCTTTCGCTCCCAGACGATGTCGGCTTGCCGACCACCTTCTTGGCTTGTTGCCGTGCAATACTCGCTTGCTTACCAATCCCAGCCGATGTCGCACTCTTCAAGCCTTTTGCATTCAGCGATACCATCTTGAAGCTTGCATCCTTTCCTGCTTGCCAGTCAGAAGCGCTTAAGCCTGGAACATACGCATCTCTGACTTCATCCGGGAAGATATCATCATGGAAGAATGCGCCCTCAGGTCGTGGAATCTCCCATCCAACAACGGAAATCTCATTCGTCGTCAACCGGTACGCCTTGGCTACTTCTGCTGCTGCAACATTGCACTCGTGTACAGGCAAGAAGGCAACACCCATCACAGGGTCTGCAGCGCTGTATGTCGGTAGCTGCGTCAATGTATCGTCCTTGATTGTAAAGGCTAGAATGTTGGAAGTACCGCGCGGTGTCAAGAACAAGACGCGCGAGACTGTGTCAAAGTAAGGCAGTGAGAAGGGCGAGGGAGAAATATCAAGCTCTGCCGTATCGAGATGTTCTGCCGTCTGTAGATTGTACAAGGCCACTTCGCGCGTACTGCCTTTGCCGAAACCAGCAGTCGCAAGATGGTGCTGACCAACAAATGCAAGACGGAAGGGTCTTGTTGAGCTGTGCGCAGATGCCAAAGAAACAATCTCGCTGCCGTCATGCGCATCAAGGACAGTAATGGTCTTGTCTGATTTGCCTACTGCAATCTGCTCTCCGTCAAGCGACCAGGTTACGTTGGCAATACCTCGCAAAGGGAAGGTAGATATTTTGTCTCCAGTGCTGACATTGATGATATGAACCTTGGTAGGTGTCACTGCCAAGAGCACATCCTTGGCGACTGGATGGTAGGCCAACGATAAGATACGATCGAAGCCAGTGATGACTCGCACAGGCGTTTCAATGTCTGCTTCGATAGCTTCGAGATCATCTGGCAATTGCCAAACCTTGATGGCTTGATCAACATGCGCAGTCACAGCACGCCCAGACACGAAACGATCGAATTCAAAGTCTGCGACAACAGCGCCGCCCATCAATGCAGGAATGAATGAAGGCATACGCCCGGGTTTCGATACTTGTAGAATTCCAACGCGTCCTCCAGGGCCTGCAAGTGGGCAGAGAATCGTGGTCTTGTTGGCATCAATCATACGCGCAGTATTAGGCAAACCAGCGTTGAGTGATGTAAAGGATGTGTATGACTCGCGCGGATGATGTGCGAATCCAGTGAGGTACTTGCGCGTATACTCTTTGAAGGGCGGAAGAACTGAATCTGAAATTTGCTTGGATGCACCGGCGTTGCGAGATTCCTTCTTTGCTGGAGCAGCCTCGTCAGCTTTGGCAGAGTCTTCCTGTGCAGGCGGACATTCTATAGAAGGCTTCTCTTCAGTAGCCACAGGCTTGGTGGCAGGCGTTTCTTTTGCAGTTTCGAGCTCCCTCTCAGCAGTCTTTGGCTTCTCAGAGGACACCTCCATGGGACTTGCTTGATTGGAAGGCTCCTCTTCATGACCGTCAGCGTCGCTCTGGTCAATCACAACGTATGCATCCTCGAGAGCCTCTCGTGTGGGTGATGCTGGCCGTATCTTGTCTTTGGCCTTGTATGGCTCCAACTCTGATTCGACAGATTCCACTGGCGTCTTCGGCTCGGGATTGCCCAAAGCGCGTTGAATTTCTTTGTTTGACGTACTGACATGCTCGAGCTTGGGAGTCGCAGCACCATATTCAGCTCGCCGAGCACTCAAATCTTCCCTGTAAACTTCCCGTTCAGCAGTGGTGACACGGGTCGGTTGCTTGAAGCTGGGTTCTTCTTTGAGTGGGGATTTGACCAGGCTAGGGGACGCGCCTGAGCCATATTCTGCTCGACGAGCCGTCAAATCCTCCTTGTAAACCTCTCGAGGAGCCGATGGTGCTGCAATAGCCTTGGTCGGGGATGTTGACTTGACAGGCACTACACTTTTGCTTGGTGTGCTAGTCTCGCGCTTGAGAGGCGAAGAAGCTGAAGCACTTGTCGGCCTGGGGGACTCACTCAATTTTGAAGGCGCGCCATACTCGGATCGTCGAGATGTCCTGTCTTCCCTAAATACCTCCTTGCTACCAGCAGACCGAGGCGATGCGTCACTCTCTGGACTTGGCTCACGCACAATTTCACCACGAGCAACTGCATCATACTGTGCCATTCTCTGTGCAAACAGGGAGCCTTTCTTAACAGTCGCACCATACTCTGCACGTCGCTGAGTAGGATCTTCGCGATAAACTTCTCGCGCACCTCCACTGCTAGTTGCATTACGCTGAGGCTGTGGTGACTGCACAACAAGAGGTGACTCATCTTGCTTGGCCTGCTTCTCTTGTGCCGCCTGAGACTCGATCGCAGGAGTCACGCGTCGAGAGCGAGCTTGCTCGAGTGCATCCTCGTCGTCCAGAGCTGGCGGTCTGCCTCTTCCAATAGATGTTTCAGCCTCCTTTTCAGCTGGCACAGAGTCGACCGCTGGACTTGGTTCCGCGATGTCCTGCTCCTTGTGTACAGACTGGCTCGGTGCTTCTTCTTGGGCCACCTCTTCGACCTCTTTGACAGCTACGGACTTTTTGACATCTTGAGCCTTGGCTGCTTCCCGATCCTTGGCCTCAGCACGCTCAAACGCCCGCTGCTCGCGTGCTGAAATGCCAGCGTCTACCGCAGTAGGCTTCTTCTGAGCGACTTGGGCTACAGATACAGGCTTGCGTGTCTCTGGCTCGGAAATGATAGTCCTTTCAAGTTTTTCCGCAATGTCCGAGTCAAGATATTGGGACTTGCTAGGTGCGGAAGCGGCAGCCTTTGACGGGACATTGCCAGCGCTTTCTGCCTTTTGCTTGCGAACAGGAGCTGTAGCATTATGAGCAATGTCTTGACCCTTGGCAGCTGCTTCCACGAGTGATGGACTCAGCTTGGCGACTTTTGCGAATTCATCTTGGCCATTGAAATAGTCTTTTGCAGAAATACTGGCAGCAATTGGAATCTCATCATACAAGTCATCGTGAAACTCGAGATAGCTTTTGCGCCCGATGCTGATTTTGACTGGCACGAGGTTGCCCTTGGTGTCGGCAATCATGAACCGATTGATTTCGCCCTCCATCAGTCTCAACGCCATTGATTGGATAAGCGTGCCAGAAGAAGATTGCTCCACACCTGTACTGGCTGCTCCCTCATTCCATGGTGCAAAAGTCTCGGCCCAACGCAATGTGCCAGCAGATTTATCGAGAAGATAGACAATGTTGCGGCCATGATCAAGGACAGGTATTAGAGGGGTCGAGGCAGTACCAAGAGACCAAGTGTGCAACGACTTGGCTGGATCAGCGAGATTGTAGAGGTTGAGCTCGCGCTCGCGTGACCGAGAGAGATTGGAGATGACGAACAAGTCATCAGGCAAACATCGTACAACAGGCTTCGACCCAACAAGCTTAGCCTCTGCGAGTGATTTTCCAGAACGAGCATCAAAGATTCGTAGTGTCGAGTCTTTGGACACAACAAGCACTTTTGCACCGTCGAATGACCAAGCTGCAGTAATGGCCGGCGAAATACAGTCAATCGTCTGTTGTATGCCTTCTTGCACCGAAACGACATCCACCTTACTGCCCGAAGCGATGAGAAAGACACCAGATACTTGCGGGTGATGTTGTATGAGCACGGGCGTACTAGCTGTCCCACCACTCGCCCGCACAGTCGATACTGGCTGTGCATCAAATTCAGCTCCTGCGTTTGGAAGAGTAAAGATGCGCACTTGTCCATCTGTCGAAGAGACGATGCCTTGCCGGTCTCCGGGAAACGGCGATACGCTCAAATCGCTGACTGTGCCGCATGCCACTTTTGGGTGTGCTTGTCCATACTTGCCGGGCTCGTTGACAGGAATGATGCCTATTGCGTTGCCTGTCGCAGTCAGTGATGGTCATAGAGAAGGCCTGAAGTTCTACCGCAAGAGAAGAGGGCCCATTCATGCGTTGCCTGAACTGTGTCACAGGATTCATTGCCAATAGCGCTATTGATGAGATCGAGTTCTGAATGCCATGCCTACAAAAGTCAGTTCGAAAGCCGTGCCCTTCGTGAAGCATACGTCGCGCTTGCTGGCTGTCAAGATCTGGTTCTTCCAGCGACTGTGCGACAGGAATCGAGAGGACATTTTGGAGATGCAAATGCAGTCCCGGCCGGTGCAAGGACTTAAACGATGTCTGATTGGCCGTGTGTACTAGGCTCAAGGACAAGGTGCTGGGCAGCCAGTCGAGACGAGTGCCAACTGCAGCTATTGCAGCATCGCGTCGACGCAGCCGGCGTGGAGTTGTTGGCGATGACGAGCAGCACGTGTTTGGCGAACTTGAGTCACCCTTTCGAATTTTGCTATGCTGCAGTAATGCACTGCAGCTGAGAGAACAGATATAGGTACCGTGAAGACTATAAGGAGAGCGCCGAATGCAGAAGAAATATTCCCAGAACAACTACACCCTGTGGTGTCGAATTGACCTCGTAATCGACAAGAAGATCCGCAGCTGCTGACTAATCGCTGAAGCACTTTGAACATCTAACCCTGAACTCACCCCTGGCCTTGAACGATATTTCTGATCACAATTGGCGAGTCGCTCACCAAACCTATCCGACTCATCTTTATTCGACATGGACATGATTGACTACCTCCGCGCACGCCACGAGCCGCTCGTCTTTGGTGTCCTCTTATTCAGTATCTTGATTCGCTACATTCCTATAGCTATAGAGTCTCAATGGCCTACGGTGTCTCTATGGCCAGGAAGTCCTGAACAAAAAGCTCCCAATGTTGCAGCTGCAGTCAAAAAAGAGTGTGTAATGCCGACATTTGAGCTTATCAACATCTTCACACCCGATAGCACGAAACCTGTGAGCTGTCAAACACTTTGCACAAAAGAGCTCGAATAGCATAAAAGGGCACTTGAAGTTCTACCCGATGATTGTCAATCGCTTCAGCTTTCTGAGAAGTCCGATGATGATTGGCTCTACCATTCCGCCGATTGGATCGTGAAGTATGATATCAAGGAAGTCACCAAGGGACTTGAGTCTCAGTATCATATATTAGATTGATAGCCAAATTCTGAAAGAGAGCAAGCTACAGCTGTCGACACGTTTTGTTTTCAGGGAGGCCAGCTGAGACGACCGCGTGTCAATGTGAAATTGCCTTTGAGAAGATGCCATGTGGCAGGAAATTGAAAACAACCCCTGGTCACTTGCTTCCGCTGTTCTCTCTCTGCCACGTCAATGCTCATGCACGTGACCTCCAGAGTCCTAGCTGGCAAGTGTTCTATACTCTTGTCTATTGTCTGTAACATGTCTTCTTGACAGCTGTTTATATGCCCGTGTCTGTTGACCTTCAACGACGGCACTTGTCTCCGTGTCAGCATGAATATGTCCAGGCTGGTACAGAATTGCACATGCATGAAAAACGCTTTGGTGGGCCTTATTGCCCATGACCGGTGCAATAGCTATAGTAGAACTTCAGTTTTGCAAGCCAGATGCTGTGCATGTGGCAGCATCACTGTTTGCAGGCAGCGATTACTGATTTCTTCCCCTGCTTGAATTGCCCCTGAGGAAGCATGCGATGTGCTGCTCAGGCGGCAAACACAACGGAATTAGCCGCATCTGCGGACTTCAACAGTTGCTCCCATGTTGCGGCATTGTTGCCCATGTTCTCTTCATTCTACATGACACACCATCAATCGCTATGGAACTAGTGGACTACCTACGTGAACGTCATGCGCCTGTGGTATTCGGCTTCATCTTGTGTAGTTGGGCGGTGCGTCATACCCAGCTGCTTTCATTGTCAAATGGAGAGCATACTCAAAAGACAACTCCAGGAGCAACAATCAGCAAGAAGTGCTCAATGCCGACATATCAGCTGTACAAAGTGGTGCTACTGGACGACATATTTGCAGAGGGCATGAACGATTATATGCATTGTCAAGCCAGCTGCACTTCAGAGATCGTAAAGCACAAAAGGGTGCTTGAACAGCTACCAGATCGGTGTCAATCGCTCTCTGAAGGGTCGGAATATGACTGGCTCTATCACTCGGCAGATTTTCAAGAAGAAAATACGGCGCTGCAAGTGCATACCACATCTGCAACCAAGAATATTGGCGACCACTCAATGAAGACTTGCGCTTGTGAAGTTCAACTCACGATGCACCGACGATTGAACAACTGGGGTGACTTCCCATATTGTGTCGATACAACACAAACCTTGTACCTTTTGCAGATTGATTCCTGGAATGTCAATTATGGTTTTGCCCAATTTGAGCCAGGTGCAGCAGTCGACTGTGACAGCATCACGAGGCTCTCGAAAGAGCAAAGAGCCGACATGCATTGGCTTGTGAAATACAACATGACGGAGGTGTTCACAAAAATTGATGCAGCTGATGAGCTTCACATTTCACAATTGTTCCGGAAAGAAAAGCGTAGTTGAAATATAGCTTAAGATTCTGGTTACTGCATCTACTGTAGTTGTACATGGCTTCCAGCATCAATAAAAGGTGACAAAGTGTAGTGCCTAGCTACAGCAATTGCATAGGCTGATGAGCATTTTGCGGTGGAAACACAAATCTGCAGAGTAGACCTAAGCAGCGCCAGAGTCAAAGGTGTTTTCAGATTTCTCTGAAGCCGTGAAATCTGCAGGATGTGTCCTGCAGCCGTTTGTTGGGCTGTTACAAGGTCCTCGAAGTTTGGTACAATGACAAAGAGCTGAGAGATGCAGCACGGCCATTAAGATGGCTACCTGACACTTCATTCTACACCTAAGATGTTAGCTATTGATAACATATGCATGATCGAGATCTTACCGCTGTACGAATTCAAGCTGACCAGCGATAGCTATAGTAGTTCGTCTTCAAAAAATGAAGATGACGAAAAGCCCCTCTTTATACACATTCGGGGTGTGGCTCGGCCACAAGCCTTTTTATATCCGTTCAATGTGATATCTCTCGGCAGTTCAAGGTCGCAGCTTCAACAGCGTGGCAGTATGACAATCGCTGCAGGAGTCATACTCCACAAAATGGCAACATTGACGGGCGGGATGTATGCTGAACGATGCTCGTCCTGCATCATGTTTATAAGAGCATGCAATCCAAGCCAGTTGTGATCATGTTGAGTGCTTTCATCACACTCGAGTTGAGAGCCTCACGATCGTTGTCAAAGGAATTTTGCAATGTTGGTGCATATGACCACTCTCCGGAAGTTCCTACTCAGGGGTTGACTGAGACTTATTCTAATCTCTAACGACAACCTCTGTGAAAAATCAGCTGCCGCAGCATTTGTGCGCCTTTTGATTCGCGACTGAAGCATCATCTAGAGTCTAGACTCTCGCTGGCCTCAAAGTAATTCGCAAGTGCTGACAAAAGACCACATGCAGCGAAGCTTCCATAAGGTCGCGTGTCAAGTCTGCGCCTCGGTGTCTGCAATCCTTGCCCACGTGCCTTCCAGGATTGTCACATCAGTGGGTCTCTCAGGCATGTAAGCGTTCAGCTGCTACTGGAAGGTTGTATCGCGTGAATGAGCTGAGACTACGCCGAGCCACATGACTCGCATTCAAGAACAAGACACGCGATTCATGAAGACGTATTCTACGAAGAGACCAGAAGCTACTCTTGTAGCATATTCCTACTCTGCCTTGACGCGAATCATAGCCTTTCCATGATTCTTGCCATTAAGCATGTTGATGAATGCCTGAGGTCCGTTCTGCAAGCCATCAGTGATGTCCTCGCGGTAGTGAACTTCGCCATTCTTGATCCATTGCGGGACCTTGGTGTAGAACTCACTGGCATACTTGGCCCAGAAGTCGCTGACGATGAAGCCTTGGAAAATCAAACGCTTGCCAACGACAGACATCAGGTTCTTGATGCCATACGGCTTTTGCGTGTTGTACTGTGAGATCATGCCGCACATGATGAAGCGTGCGTGGTTGTTGGCTGCATCAATCTCGGCTTCGAGTTGCTCACCGCCGACATTCTCAAAGACAATGTCGATACCGTCTGGACAGTACTTCTTGAGTGCCTCAGGGATGCTCTCAGTCTTGTAGTTGAATGCAGCGTCAAACTTGGAGTCCTTGATGAGACCCTCAACCTTGGCGTCACTTCCGGCGGAACCAACAACGCGGAGACCTTCGCGCTTAGCCCTGATGGTTAGTAGGACGTGAGATGAAGATGCTGACTTACAATTGGCCAACAAGCTGACCAACGGCGCCGGAGGCAGCGTTGATGTAGATGGTCTCACCCTTCTTGGGCTTACCAATCTCGTAGAAAGAAGAAAAGGCAGTCATGCCGGGCATGCCGACAGCAGAGACATAGTTGGAGAGAGGAATGTCGCCATTGTTGTCGATGACACGGTAAACAGCAGCTTGCTCTGCACCAATCTTGGTATACTCGGCCCAATCAAGCATGCCAAAGACAATGTCACCCACCTTGTGCTTGGCTGACTTCGACTCAGTCACTCGAGCGACACCCTGGTTGACGATGGGCTGGCCGATGGTGAAGGGAGGGCTGTATGACTTCTTTTCTGGTGCTCGCATGCGGCCTCGCTGGTAAGGGTCGATGGAGACATAAAGAGTCTCTGCAATGAACTCGCCGTCCTTGAGCTCGTCGAATTCATAAGGACGCTCGACATACTCGAGGTGCTCGCCGGCGACGGGGTATTCCGTAGGAGGCTTCTTGAAGAGGATAGCGTTATTAGAGGAAGGCATGATCGTGCAATATATGTGTGGAACAGAGAAGCAGACGGCGGCCTTCTCTTATAAGCAGAGGTTTACTGGTTGTCGCTCGATCGAGATAGTTTTCCGGCTCCACGAATGTCATCTTGCTCGGCGAACGCGAAAGAACTTTCTTCGCCGTCGTCATCGCAGCGGGATGTCAAATTTGAGTCAGCAGCGCAGGCCTTCGTACAGAATCACACGCCCAGCACGGCGCTGCGATATGCCGAGCCCCGAACTGTACGGTGCACCCACAATCACAAGCCCGCCGGCACTGCTCGCCACCGTAGAGCCAAACTTAGAACCTGCTTCGTAGCCGAGGACACACGGAGCCAGCGTGACATTGTATATTGGCTTCAGCTTTTGCCCTCGGCGAGGCTTTGGTGCCGTGTCTGTATACCAACTTCGCATGGCACGCTGATGAATGGCTGCATGTTGAGCACGCTCTTCAAGACGCTGCTTTTGTAGTGGTCCAGGAAACCACTTTGCTAGCAATTCAGTCACAAATCCAACAGGACGCTGTCGTAGCGCTTTCTGCCGCTTGTTGGCCAGCGTAGGAAGGTAGAAGAGAGCACCGCGGTCATCATAGCCCGGGGCACCAATGTAGATGCCCTCAAATTGACCGGCCGCTGTCAGCGTTTGGCCAAAGTGACCGAACGGTGTTGGTTCGAGTGCAGTGATGACACGTACAAGTGTCACAGTCCATGGGGTTTGTAAGGACCTTGCACTACTCGAGAATAATGGCGCCAGATGGAAGACGCGTACTTTGCCAGATTGTGGTATGTTGCCGTCAGATTCATCAGGAGAGGCGACATAGAGAAAGTTACCCTCTGACACAGCAGCGCGGCCAAAGCCAGTGTCGAGCTTTTGCTGTGACGGATCGTCCAAGACCCAGAGCACTGCATAAGCATCCTTTTGAGGCTGCATAAAGGATAGCTTGCGAGCACTGCCAATAACGAGCAGCTTTTGAGGTCCTAGATAGGTCAAGGTCAAACCAAACCTCTCATATGGCCTCGTGCCATGTAGGACGATATCAGCATCTTCCAGAATAAGACCAGATGGCCCAGTGACAAGCGTCGCCTCGCTGAACAAGTAGACTGCTCCTTGCGAAGCGCGACCAGACCAGGGTGCTAGCAGTGCTAACATGCGCACGCCTCGATGTTCGTACACTGCCAAGTTGCTTGCAATGGGGGCATTTTCATAAGCATTGGCTGCATGTGCTCTTCGGATCGTCACAAATGGTGCTGTCTCCATAGTATCATTTCGCATCTGATATAACTCGACTTGATGGTACGAGAGTACTGCGAGCGTTTCGAGGCCTGCCAGAGTCAAGTTGACCAATGCTGTACCGAAGAAGAGTGGCGTAGAATGGTCTGCATTTGTTGAGCGCAAGCGCATGTCGGCCAGAGCACATTCTGTATGTGGTTGCATGCTGCTCGCCTCATCATTTTGTATTGGGATGACAAACACGGAGCCTCGACCTGAATCTGTGCTTTCATCTGTATCAAGTGGAGCACCGACAGCAATCTGCAAGCTGGAAGAACAAGTGACGAAAGTAATGGCGCTGCCAAAGTTGCTGTACGGAACGCTTGGTGTTAAGAAGAAAGGGTCTGAGTGAATCTTTGGATCATGCGGCCGCGATAGCTCTGGAGTCTTGTGTGAGTTGGACTTTTGCTTGAAGGGTTTCGTCGATAAAATGAGAACTCCATCTTGTTCTACGGCAACCATGAGATCCAGCTCTTGTTGCAAGATTGTTTCATACTCTTCCAACGAGTCGTCGTCCGAAGCGCAGGTATTTGAAAAGACCATCTGACTAACTGATGAACGCTTCGTTATGCCAATGTGTATCGCGAGAGGCTTTCCACGAGCATTGATTGTACGCATCGGTTCGCAATAATCCCAGATTGCCTCGCCTTGCGGTACTTGACCTGATACAATCCATCCTTCCATTGCCTTCCAGCAGGGTAAGACGGACACTGCAGCCTCTCTGACTGAGCCTTTATGGAAATGCTCAATTTCGTGAATCATAAATGGCGACCTTCGAGCATATCGCTTCGTCAGGCGGTCACCGACTCGCCTCAAGGCAGAAACTGCTGCAAAGCCACGCATCATGCAGTAACGCAGCTTGATGGGGTTAATACGTATACCCATGTGTTTGTAAATGGCGAGCAAGTCGGCAAAGGGTACTTTCCAGATTTGGCTCAAGTGATCGAAACCGTTGCCGTCCTCCTGCACTGCAAACGCTTTTGCGAAGATTGTATCACCACCGATATCGAGAATACTATGCGCAGCCTCATAATCGCCTCCAAAGTCGACATCCGCCACGACGCGCATGAGTCCATCTCGAAAGCGAATCGAGTGCCAGGTACTGTCTGCTGTCTGATGGCTTGCAGTGGCCAAAAGAAAGGACAATAGCTGTTGTCCCGCGACATTGCTCGAGAGTTCTGGGTACGTGTCTTGTAGGTACTGCATAGCTATGCCAAGAAATGGTGGCCAGTGTGCCATTTCTGCAGGATCATCAGAGCCAAGGCAGCCATAACCCCAGTCAGGGAAGAAGGCACCGGGTTGGGCAAAAGCTCTGTGCTCTTCAAGCCAGTCTGCAAGAGGAAGCGATACATTCACCGGCGGCAGCGAGAGGGTATAGGCAGCTTGCCTCAAGATTTCAATATGAACCAGAACGCCAGCGCCATGCGCCAAGTGCGCTATGCCAGAGGTAGTCAAGAATAGAATAGCGCGCATACTTGCTGACAGTCAGCGTGAAGATAGCTTATGAGCTCATGCAGTAGTTCCTGGTATTGGTCTCTGTGCTCCTCGATTGATGCAGTTTGATTTGGCTGCGACGGCGTGCGATGTGAGATCTGAACAGGAAGCCAGCAGCAGCGGCAACCACGACACGCAGCAGCTGTAGATGAGAGCTGCAGGCAATAAGCTCCTCCTTCTCATCTAAACTTGTTCTTCTTGCCAGGCAGTGTCTGTCCTTTGCTCTGTAATTGGGCCGCCACTATGGGCATCCTAGATCTCAATCCCGACGACTACATCATCAAACCGCCGACATTCAAACCAGCCGCCCCTGCCAAGGAAGTCAAGGCCAGCAAGCCAATTCAAGCCCGTATCAACCCAAATGCAGGTGGCTATGACTCAAGCTACTCGGCCTCATTTCTACTGCGAAACTTCCTGCCCGACTTTGATCTCAAGACAGCCGACCTTGACTTTTTCGCAGATCTGCTGGAGCCAGACCTTGATGCGCCCGCTCGCGATCTGAGCACACGGCCGTCGTTGCACTGGCCAGGCGTGGCAGCTGTCAGAGATCGAGAGGAGCGAGAGCGCAATGCTGCTAAGCGCGAGCGAAGACACAGCCGGCAATCTTCGGATGCGCTCTACTCACCTGCCGTTCCATCACCAGGCCATGTAGATGCGCAAAGAGGGCATGTACAAGCGCACAGTGCAGAGATCTATCCTGCCGAACCTATACAAGCTGATTTTGATGTCCGCTATCAAGAACAGCGACCACAACCACCACGATTCCAGCAACATAGCGGTGACCAGCCTGGCTACAGTGGCTATCGTCCAGATGTCGAGCATGACAGAGGCTATGCAAATGGTACGAAACGCAAGTACGATGGAGACATGGACCTAGAGACTCTCAGACGGCGACGTGCAGATATTGTCGCGCGCTGTCGCCAGGAAGATGACATTCTCCTGCGAGACCCACACAATGAGGAGGCACTAGCACGCCGCGCTCATTTCCTTGAGCAGCTGCGCGTAGAGGATGAAATGGCTTCCACTCGAGCAAGACGGCCAGCACCTGTCATTCCTCCTCCCAATCCTGCTCTGCATTCGGATCCTCGGTCACGACCACCGCCTGCCCATCGACCACCTCCACCTCATGCATATCCTGGACACTCACAATTGCCTGTTGCTCCACCAGCTCATTTCGCAAATGCTTCTGCAGGATTTGCGCGCCCACCCAGCACAAACTCCCGAGCTCCTGCTCATGCTGTCCAACCATTGTCCTTCGACCCACGAGATCCTCGTGCTCGCAATTTGTCGGATGGTCATGAGCGATCTCCTAGCACTACGCGACCTGTCAACGCTGCGTCTCTCCTCGGCGAGTCCTCCAATGGTGTCCCACGCAAGCAGCAATTTCGGAAAGTTCGCTTCTTCTTTTACCGTTCAACTCCGGCCGAAGCGGACAAGATTAAACGCGAGGGAGCCTGTATTGTGGAACATTCCGAGGCGCAGGGTATTCTGGCAGAAGCCTTTCAAGGGGGCAAAGTCTTCTTGGTCTTGCGAGGGCCTGAGCCGGGTCAGTTGCTAGGATATGCTCAAATGGAAGGAAATCTTTGGCAGGGCCTCAAGCCGAGTTGGATGACAGAAGCACAAGAGAAGCAAGGTGCCAGCTTCTTCCCCATCAACTATCAACGGCCCAATTTGTTCTGGAGTGAAGATGCAAGGTTGATGATGCAGAGCGTCGTGCAAGACGGCCCGGATACTCACGGTGTGGACGAGATGTCATTTGAAGAGGGCAGCCGCTGTCTCAACCTTGTCAAAGCTGCTCGGCCGGGCTCCAACAATATTGCTCGTGGAGAAGCCTCTGAAAAGGGTGAAGCTTCGGCCACCATCCCGCTGCCAGCGCAGACTGCAGTGTCAGATGATTCTCAACTCATGGAGGTCGTGCCCCTGGAGTCTATCCAAGTTGCTGCGACAAATGTGGGTGCTCCCGACCCCACATCTACTCCAGAGGTTCCGGAACCAGCAGTGGAAGTCATCAGTAGTAACTAATTGCTTGCCATCCGGCCTTGCCAGTCTTAACGAGATGTAGCTGACCTGCAATCCCGTTAACAAAAGTCTGCAAATCTCTGCAAGTAGACTTAATGCCTCACCAACAAGTCTCAGTGATTTTCGTTCTCTTTCCACTTTTGGAATTGTGACTTTATTTTCCGATGTTGCTAATTGTGGACGTCGGACGACGGACGTAGTACTTCTTCACACCACTTCTTGGCATATCAAACAACCCGCGTTTTTTATCGTTGCATTAGAGAATTACTGCATCTCCACAGCAGAGCTCAACCGGCATGCTTGGCCTCTGATTCGCTGACTCCCATCAACAAAATGTCATTGCATGATCGCCCCACAGTTAGCTAGCTTGGTTGCACTCTCCAAGTGCCATGTTGCATTCTTTACCGTGCTCCACCAGCTTTGTTATTAGGCTGGACGATGTTTAAAGCCTCAGTTGCAGCAAAGGATTGACTTCATCTATCTGCGCTCGAGCTACCGCATACTTCAACAATCGCTATGTTTTTGTATTGTCGCACCGTCAACTTCCTAGTTGTCGTGCTCGCAGTCTTGCTCTGGGTCACTTATGCTGGAGTTCATGCCACGGAACTTGACGAGCAGAAGCAGCCAGTTGACAAGCAGAAGCAGCCAGCTGTCGAGCAGACGCAGCCAGCTGTCGAGCAGACGCAGCCAGCTGTGACAGATACTTGCCAAGTTCTTGGTCTGCACTTCAAAACTGTTGCAATGGCTGAAGAAGACATGACTTGCTTCGATGCGTGTCTCGTAAGAAAGAATCAAGCTCGTGCTGAGTTTCTTTTTTATCAGGAATTCGCAAAAGCCGGACTTGGCGAGAAATGCACCCCGCAGTTAGACGACATGTGCACTTTCTTCGAGGCCAAAGATCTCGGTCCATCTCCAACGAGCAGCATCGAGAAGGCGACAAAAGCTTTCCGGGACAACCTCAAAAAAGGAGCGAAGAATGTTTTTCAGAAGGGAATTTCAAATCTCTGCAGGTCCAGCTCTTCATCTTGGAAGCAGGCACTTACAATCAGCCCGAACTCTCTCTCCAGCTTGCAAAAGGGCTTGGGAGACGCATTGAATGCGATTTGCGACATCGCAGACAAGTTGTCTCCTGAAGTACGCTCGATGCCTGAATGGCAGCAGACTGAGTGGCAGCAGCCGAAGAAGCCCGAGCAAAAGAAAGGTGGAATGTGTCAATGTGATTTGTGGCTCACGCCACCAAGAGTATTCCGGTCTGGCCCTCCATTGTCCTTACAGTCACAAGATTGCTCGCCAGCTGAGATTGGTAAGCGAATAAGCCCCAGTGGTTGGCAGTTTGTCGGTCACATGGTGTTTCAAGATGAACTGAGTTGTTTCTTACAAGACGTCGAGTGTGTTTGCAAGGATATCTCGGTAAAGATCAAGCAAAGGTGGTTCACATCAGAAACACGCGGAACGTATCTGTCTTGTCGACCTACGACTGCAGTTGGGACTTCAGCTTCAAGCAAAGCGGTGGGCGAGACCAGCGGATCCGACGGACCAAGCGACGTTTTCCGTAAGCTAGAACTTATTTAGATTACGTTCGTTGATCTCGCGCTTCAACTCCAAAACAGTATTTTCAATTTCAGTCACTATTCTCACAATTTCTACGTCAATTTCATCACAACTTAAATGGATTCATATGGCCCGTCAGCAAAGTTTCTTATCTTGAGCAAATGTGAGTGTACGCAACAGCAAGTCACTACATTTGCGACATTGTTCCACTGTCAAACGAAACAATCGACTCCACATCACCACAACTCAAGTGGCCAGTTTGGACACCAGTCACAATGAGACTCCCATGAATTGTAGAGATTCTGCCAGTCTTGCAAGCTCAATCGCAGACAGCCGAGCACCTCAGAGGACTGTGGGCCGTAACAAGGTTTAGCATCAATAGTGTGTCTTAGACATTGTTCCAGCCCGCGCCTGTAATCTTCTGGGTAGCACGTACAGCCTTCCTGTAGCACAGGATCTTTTCCGCAAGGGATCAGAACATTGTACAACGTATGACTTTTTGCTTGCCAGCCATCAAGCTTGAGCCTATCTTGAATCCAAGAGACAGAGCAACGAAAGGTGTTCGCTCCTCCATAAAGCTTCCAGTCGGATTCAGCCTCTGGATGAACATGATAGGACTTTTTGTCGTACTTCTTCAACGGCATGTGGATCCAATCAAACCCAAGAGACAGTTCACAGGCGCAAGTTGCGTCTATCTCAGCAAAGTTACATCCTGGCTTTGAGCAGGATTTGCCAGCAGAATGATCAATGTAAGACTTTCGTATGATGCGGAATTTCTGCGCTCGGATGCAAGAGGCAGAAGCAGCTGTGAATGCAGACTGAGCTGCACACCAATTTCGAATATAACTATTGATCTGATCGGTGCAAGCTGTAGAACAATCCGCTGAGTGAGCAACAACACTTGTACTTGACTGTTCACGGTCGTCGGAGGGTCGTTTCCTTTTGCTCGGCAGCTGTAGAGGCTGAAGTTTCAACAAGTCAAAAGAGACATTGTAGCAAAGACGCTGCGAGGACTCGATTATTGAATACGTCGAGGGCATTGGCGAAGGTCCTTCATAACTGGAGCTGCCAACACCAAGGCTTTGTCGACTGCGTTCGTTTGCAGGGAGTGGGGTCCTCACACCCAAAACAGTTTGTGAGTCAGTCCAATTTGTCAAGATATGAGCGGCGAAGATGAGCCAGGACAATTGAAGCCAGACATGCCTTCCTAAGCTGAACATGGTAAAGATGATGGAGGGCATCGCCGTTGCGTTGCTAAGACGGGAATGTTGGTCGCTTATGATCAAACTTGCAATTGGAGGTGACCGATTCTCAATGAAAAAGCGTCCCAAGTGCTTAAGGAGCCCAGCAACATCGCTAGAAATTCGAGGGTTGGAGAAGAGCAGCGTTAAACATGAGTATGGATACCTCATGATGTAGCTTTTCAGTCACAAGTGCAAGTGGACATTTGCAACGTTGTGATCGTATATCTAAAAGCTTGGAGACATCAGCGGGGCAAATTGATGGCAACTAGGTCCTACTTACAGCTAGGATTTGGAGTTTGAATAGGCCTTGCTCCTGAGCCATATTGGTCAGCTGTCTAGACTCGCACTTCTTGGTGATCAACCAAACAGTTCGGGTAAAGGATCTGAGCTTGTATCATTTTGTTTGGCTCTTGGGCTCACATATGCGTGTATCGTAGAAGGTCGAGTTGATGAGCCAAAGGCAATGGGCCCACAACACCCGTTCGCTTAGTCAAAATTTCAGGGGTATTGCATGTAATATTAAGGTAACATAAGCAGACGTCTTGATATGAGTCTTTTTGTCCCGCAACTCATCCTTTTCTTCTCATCAGTGACTCATAAGTAGACAAAACAGACAGTGTCAAATTGCTCACATATGCATGTATATGGTCTACATTGTAGACTCTACAGTTGCAATATGAGCTCTACGCTGGCTTGCGGGGTTTTTGCAGAGTGCCGGATTCTCCTCAGTAAAATTATCGGAGCCCTGAAGTGACGGAATTTTGAATCAGACTCCTGATGGCAAGCTGATCCTTTTCATGTTGACTTGGGGCTCCTGTTGCATTACCTGATAGCAACCAAATTGACCCGATGCTGGCGCCACGTGCGTGCAGTGATCGAAGGTAAGGTTTGTCAGACCTATTCAGAGCTCGTATCGCATTCTCTTTGAGCCAAAACTGACGATCTAGTCCTTAGAGGACAACGCTGCAGCGCTTCAAATCCAATTTTCAGGATGCTCTCAGAAGTCAGTACTCATCAGGAAACGCCCCTTGTACCCAACAGCTGCGGGACCCGTACGCGTGGAGTCACGGAACTCATTTTTATTCACACACGCATTGCCCTCTGGGGTCTATCGATGCAAGCGTGAGATGTTCATAGGAGAAAACCAGTGAAAATCTTAAAGTGAGGTCACCACGTCAGCCTGGCTTCTCACTGATTGTCCTGTATACGCCTGCTTAGCGAGGCATCTACTGCACTTACCTGCGCTGAGGCTAAGTCCTCCTTGAACAATCTCTCTATTCAAAAGAAACAACCCTAGCAGGCACAAGTCTCATGTCCTATGGGGCCATTGCCACTTCACGACGTCTGTGATCGAGCCGAAGTAGTTCTACGCAGTTCTCACAGTCTCAGCTGACAACATCTCCGGCGGTTTGCTACGATACTGACATGGACGTATCGCAAAGCGTGTTTGAAGACGATACTGACGAGGCAAGTACAGCTAAGCTCACAAACAGTAGTGATATTGTGAATTTGCAAAAGGATGATTCCCTCCTCAAGGCTGTGGGTGGTCCAAACGCCAAGCCAGTACTGAGGTGCCTGGGATGTATCTCAGTTTTTATCAATCACGGGGACCTAGCTTCACAAAATCATCACTGTGAATGAACTTGACCGTGCCTTGCTTGTCCTTAGCAGCGTCTCCAGTCACATCTTGCTATGCATTGCGAATCGTCTCGAACGGCCGGAAAATGTTGTCGGGTGAAACTGTGAAATTGCGTAGAACTGTCTTCGCGGATGACAGATGTCGTGAAACTGACAGTGAGTCTATGACAAATAAGACTTGTAAACACTGCGGCTGATTCATTCTGCGTCGGAGGCTGTTCACCGAGAACTCAGCTTCATTTGCACAAGTCAAATAACCACAAGGCTTCTTTCAACATCAAAACGCGACAATTGCAAAGCCTTTTCAAAGAAAGGTAAAGTTGATTACCAAAACAAGAATCTTTTTCAAATAGCAATGTTCAAGCTGATCTCAGTGGAGGTGTTTGAATTTGATGAGTTGATAGCAGTCAGCAGATTGTTAATGTTTTCATTGAAGACTATGAATTAGACAGTGAGAACGCGCTTATAATTTCTGGTTTCATCAGCTGCAGTTGTGGCCTCAAGGACCTTTGTGTCTAGCTTCCTTCAACCCATCCACTGAGTCACTGCAGCTGAGCACCTGAGCGTGAACGTCATTCCAGAGCTTTCAAATGGGGCACCCATATCCTTGCATTTCTTCAGGCTCATATGCATCAGGCCACTCAGGGTCAGTATTGCAATGAACTTGCCAAGAATTGAAAAGATTTTGCAAGTTTTCCGAATTGCCCAGGCGCCACTGTTGGGAAATCCATTCTTGATCAATATGCTCGGATACAACACGATTTGTGACACCCCTCAGAGCGGAACTCGAAACCTGGCACGTTGGATAAGCTTCCAAAGGGTGTTTTGGACATTCTAGTTTGTTGTTCCTGATGTCCTCTTTTGTGCAAAGACAGCCTTCAGGGAGAACAACTTCTTTCGCGCAGGGGATCATGACTTCAAGCACTTTATGCTCCTTCACCTGCCAGCCGAATCTTTCAAACTTTTTTTTGATCTCCTCGATACTGCACTTTAAGGTGTCTGCTTTGATTTTGAAATGATCCAAATCGGTTTGGGGAGCCGCTGGATGAATCTGGTAACGTTTACCTCCTTTGACCTTTTTCATGGGCATGGTAATCGAATCAAACCCAATGACCATTTCGCAAATGCACGTATGTCCTAAGCCGACGTAAGGGCAATCTGGAGCCGTGCAAAACAGACCTTCAGGATGATCGTTGTAAGATTTGTGCATAGTTCGAAAATGATTACTCCTTATGCAAGCTTGGTTGCCAGAGTACGTATAATAGTCGAGAACAAGGTGTGCTGCGAATCCATTGGTCTGTTTGGTGCAAAAGGTGGGGCAGTCTTGATTTGCGGCTGCAGATGCAGTTGAGCTCTCTGTATTGCTGCCCTCATCGTTGTTGATACGCAAAGACTGTGCCTTCACGAGTGATAGAGAGGCGTTATAGCACATACACGCAGACTTGTACGTCATGGGAAGGATAGATAACGGCAATTTGTATTGCGATCCATCGTGCAGCTTATGTTCCGCGGCTGGAGCTGAATGCAGAAGGGAGTTTTGATGAGTTGAGCTCGAAGATGCTGACGTTTTCACACCAAGAACGACGTTGGATATGCCCAAGCTTGCCAAAGTGTATGCTGCAAGGATGATGAAATGCAGCATGGCTATTGTGATAGGGACTGTGTGCGCTTGAAGAACAGTGGAGTGCAGTAGCCCAGTGAATTTCTGCGCAGAGCATAGCCGCATTGCACCTTGCAAGACATATGGTGTCAGGAGAACATACAGCGTATGCCATATGTTGCTCTGCGCATGCATAGATGTTTCGCGGCCTGAAAGTGGATCAGCTCCTCCCTGCGACTTCACTTTGCTCTTGTGAATTGGCTCAAATCGCAATTACTTTCGTGGATATCCTGCAGCTGCTGCAAATATCTCTGCCACAGAGCGAATGTGGTCTGATGGCTTCACAGCTGGCTGTACATGTTGAGTGAACGGAAATAGAAAGCCTGAAATATCAGCCCCTAGAACTGATAAAGCATGGCATCCCCTGAGCAGTTTCAGCAGACCCTGAGGCCAAGAGACCAACTGGACGGGCCATCCTAAGACGCCCTTCAACTCGTCTTTTGTGCGAACGGCTTCAGGCCCACTCTTATCATGGGCATCAGCAATACAATTCTGAGGCTCTGTGTTCTAGCTTCCGCTGGGCTGGCCTTTCAAAACTATGACGGAGACTCTGCCTATCATGAAAAAGGGAAGCAACTTGATCCTAATCAAGCAGCTAAGGGTGACCCACGACCTCTTTCAAGCGCAGACAAAGGCCTGCTCACTTGTCGATCCATTGCGATGGTCTATGAAAAGGTGCTCCCCTTGAGGGAGGACGACGACGCCAAGAAATTGAATTGTGAAAGAAGATGTGCTCTCGAGTATTGGTTGGCGGTGTCGGTAATTGATCTAGCACATGAGGATCCTGTCGAAGACACTGCTGAGGAGGAAGGAGGTTCGGAAGAGCACTATCGCCGAGGCGCTCGCGAGCCTTGTCTTGCCGAAGACGACCTGACTTGCGCTGATTACACATGGGAAGAGTTCGATGTTGGTTTTTGGAGCCCGTCAAAAAGGACGGAGGTCGCAGGAGGTACAAGAAGCACACTGGCGGCTGATCAGCGTCGTGCTACACAAGCTTGTGAACTTCTCAACAGGGCACGCGAGGTTTTGTCTGAGGAACCTGGAGTCGTGGACAAAGCCGGTATCTCAGGTTCTGGTGTCAGTCCTGCGTTTCATTCTGCAGGTACGCGTATTGACCGGATCCGTCGCGATCGAACCATCAAAAGAGTCATCAAATTGGCGATCCAAGCTATGATGCATCTTGTCTGCCTTTCCCCTCATGTGGATGAATTTGACTTGCCTGTGGATTCGCCTGTGGATTCGCCTGTACTTGGAGCTAAAAAAGAGGCGCCTGCGACGACGAAGGTGTGTATGTGCTATCTCACGTTGTCTCCCGCCAAGGTCTATGAATCTTTCGAGGCTGCCAACATATTTTCTGGGGCATCGAAAGAAACAAAAGCAACTGCGAGCCCGGAATGGTACCTCAGAATTCCTGTCACTGATCAAGGACCTTCCTGCGATCCACGGTCTGTTGGCCAGCGCCACACACTCACGCTTGATGGGTGGCTATTTCGCGATGCCACTGTGCTCTACGACAAGATTGACTGCCATTCGTCCAATCACCCCGACGTCATGTATGAATGTAAGTGTAACGCCACGACTCCGGGTTTTTATGGAGCTTCAGCCAATCACTTGCATGAACGACCTCGCGAGGCAGCTAAGAGGCATTGTTACTTACTTCCATCTTGGTACGATGATTATCTGCAAGCTGAGAAAGACAGACTTGCCAGACTGCGACTAGGCACCTCTTCTCACCCTTCCCATATGGTCAAACGGTCGACCGCTGATCTGGAGTCTCCAGTCGCACCTCTCAGATTCGAGAATACTACGCTCTCGTCTGCGCATTGATCGTCTGCGTCTAGCCTTCAGATATACGCTGCATACTTCACTGTTCTGCAGCTGATTCTGTAAGCTGACATGCTCAGTTTCCCTCTTCATATGCATCAATAACCTCCGGTCTCTGACCTCTGACCTCTTCTGTAAGTGCGGAGCCTCGCCTACTGGTCCGCATGACTCAATGTGACTGCTTCTTTCACAGCCGTCTGCGCCTCACCATGCGCCACATGTCTGTCACCTTTGTCGCCATGACGCCGTCCAAGAAGTTGCAAGAACCAGCAAGTGGACAGACTCGATACTTACCCGATCTCGCTCCTTGAACACGCGGACTGGACTGCTTGTGTCTTCTTGCTCTCATCTGCAAAGGGCCCTGTCAGGAACCATGGAGAAGCGCTCGATTGGCTTCGGCTTTTTTGGCAAGACTCGCGGGCGCAAAGCTCGATCGGCCCTCGAGCAGGCAGAGATGCAGGCCAAGGTATGTTGGACCTTGTTCATTTGACGGTTCTGATAGTATAGGTCGCCATCAAAGGCAACAAAACACACGTTTGGGGTGAGGAAGGAAGCGCACGGATATCCTCTGATTGCGCACAGAGCACGACGCCCGCCTTGTCAAGTCTCGCACCACCGCTGGCTTCCATGCTCAACGATCGAGAGATGCTCGGCTCGAAGTTTGAGATGAATGCTGAAGCTTTGAACAATGAAGCATGTACTGCTGAGCAAACGCCAGTCCTGCCAGAGCTACCAGGACCCATTTCGCCGCTCAGCGATCCAGTGTTGCCGATCCTCGAAGTGCCTGCAGCGCCTGCGTTGCAACAGACCATTCGCAAGCAATTTTCATTTTGCCCGTCGACTCTGTCTGTTCGCGAATCAAGCATCCCTCCGCTTGTGAGCCTTCGCGAGCAAGCCGAGGCGCGACAAGGATCCATGCGTTCATTATCGACATCGTCAAGCGGCCTCTACTCACCCTATCCACGACACTCCGCTGCAGCTGCCTCAAAATCAAACCCATCGCTTGTTAATCGATCGCGCTCATACGGGTCCAGTCGCATTCTCTCCATGAATCAGCCAACACGACGAAGCAGTACCAGCCACAGTGTGCTGTCTGATCAACATGTTTCGATTTACGGTGATGATGAAAGTGACTTTGAGCTGGAAGGCCCACGTTCGCCTCATGGATCATTGCGCTACAGCCATTCTCTCATTTCACGCACATCGCACGAGCGAACAGCTCTTGGATCTCAGCTAGGATCGACTCTGTCATTAGATGGTGGCATGCCTGAACAAATTTGCCTGGCACCTGTGCCAGATGCACTTCGAACGACTCCGATCACGGTCCCCGCAAATCAAGCATTTCGAACAGGCACATTCGATGCAGATGAGTATGAGCTTGGGGATGATGATGACATGTCTTCGGTCTCTGGCATGAGTGTCTTTTCTTCACTGGGTGATTCGGAAGAGCTTGTCACCTCGTCGCAACGTCAATCGAGTCAATTCGATGGTGAGCCTGGACTCACTGCAGACTTGCATCCAGGACTTCGCAGAGCAAGTGTCAAGAGATCCATGCGTGTGAGCTATCAGGAAAGTGGCGATGGCGGCTACATTGTTGAACGCCGGCATCGTCGCAAATCCTCAATCCCTGTTACAAACAATACTGCCCTGCCGTCCATCTCAATTGGGCCTGTCGATGACCGCAGGGATTCTGATGATTTTGGGGCCTCGCCCCAATCACCTATTGACCCAGCCGAGGAGGCCTGGGCGAGCAAAGTGCAGAACATCGCCACAGTTCTGGCTGGCTCGCCAAGTCAGATAATGAGCGATGCTGCAGCGGTGGTAGAAGAAGGTGATTGGGTTGTTGAACGAGAGTATGTTCCAAGCGGCGGGATATAGTTTGGAATTCAATTTATGAGCCACTTTTGGGGCTGCGACGGCGAATGCGATTGAAGCTTTTTTTCTTGTTTTTAGACATCACTACACGCTATATGTATCGTTGAAAAATCGCTAGAAACGATCAAAGAGAAAGATAGTACTTGCCAAGGTCAGACAAACTATTGCCGTCCGAGGTGACGAGCATGTTTTGCCGGCCGAGGCTGTTATCTGTGATTTGCAACGCACCAAACCAAGCATACTTCTCAAGCCAGTCGAGTGATTCGAGATACGGCACAGCTTGGCCCATGAATGTCTTGACATCTGCAGCAGACGGGTTACCAGCTGCATTCCAATTTGTTGCGGCAAACTCAGTGAGCCATACTTTCCTGGTTGGGAAGGCGGCATGGACTGCTTGAAGCTGAGTCTTGAGGAGATCCATGTTGGGTCCATACCAATGAATCTGAATAACATCAATGCTATCCGCAAAGCCACCATTGCTTGCAAGTGTCATGAACTCTTGCAGCCAAGGAAGACCGCTACCACCGTTCGTAATAGCAGGCGTAGTCAACAAGCCAATAGCACCAGACTTTCGTAGAGGTACGAGGGTATTCTGGTACGCAGCTGCAGCCTGTGCAGCCGACATGGTCGCCTGACTTGCTGCATCTGGTTCATTGAAACCCAACAAGGTCGAACCCTTGGCAATGTTATTGACGTTTGCCATGTTATCGAGGGACCATTGTTGTGGTAGGAACTCGGCCGTCATGCCAGGACTTGATCTGGAGTTCCAATTGAAGTACCAATGGATGCCATCTGCTTTGCCAAAGAGGGAGGCCATGTTTTGTTTGTTTTCGCTCGGCCAGGCAATACCCTTCTTGCCGCCTGAAGAGACAGGTGCAGCTGAAGCAGCCGGGGCTGATGTCGCGGTCCGAAGAGTGCTGGGCGTCTTTGCCGGTGTAGTGATTGGCTTCGCTGGCGTCGTAGGGACAATAGCTTGTGCAATGTTGTTGACAGCAGTCAAAAGACCAGCTAGTGGTGTAGCTTTAGGCTGGTTGGCCATGCTCAGGTATGTGCCAGGAAGCAGACCTCCTGCGGCAGTCTCCGTGATGTACTGTGTAACAAAGTGTGTCATGTAAACAATCTCATCCTCGGGAAGAGCTTCGCGAGCATGGTGCTGGTGTCCTGGCCTAGCATTGATAGTACTGATGGCTGACAAAGCTGAGAGCAGTAGTGTCCACTGCATGATGGAAGATGTGTTGAGAAGGAAGACTTGCACTGGCCAGCAGTGTCGAATATAAGCAGGTCTGGCTTCGAGTAGCAGACGGCGCTTCGTCAGGAGCGTGAAAGACGAGAAGTGGTTGATGAGTGAAATGACACTCAAGCAGCTAGAGAACAAAGAGATTTTGTGGAAGCAGTCAGGGAGCAACAATATATGCTGGACAAGGCCTGGGTTTTGTTGCAAAGCTGTGCAAGAGATGCTAGACTGTGGGCAGGCGAGGCCAAGCCAGGAGGTAGAGAGTGATGATGCCGAGTGCAGCAGCCAAGTGGGTCTACATAAGCAAATCACGATGGCTAGTGCCCCTCTTATTGTGAGCGGCCCAGCAGTACAGTTGCATGTCTTAGTCAGAGAGCGTCTGAGCGGGTAGTAGTTCTTCCAGGCTGCCGATGCATGCCACGCATCTTGGCTGCGTGGCCCTGGCTTGGAGCTGTTGCAGTGCGCGGTGTCGGGTGGGTGTAGGCTTCTCCTCGCTTCGCTGCCGCCATTTCCCCTCTCTGCGAATTTGTCTCCTTGGCGGAACTTACACATCCACGCACAGGTAGCATCGATCGGAGGGTACGGGCTGTGCCGGGAGCATTTGGCTAATGGGACTATACACCATATGGAACTGATATGGTACATGCTCCGTCCACGATTACTTAAGACCTTGCTGCAAAGACCGTGCGAGGTGTCGTCAGTGCAACTTCTGATGACTTGATGACACCGAATGATCTACATGACTACTTGTGCCTTGTGCAAAAGGCGGTGACTTGATGACACCGAATGATCTACATGACTACTTGTGCCTTGTGCAAAAGGCGGTTCTGTGTGTATAGCCTAGCAAGGCTTGAACTGTTGCTATAATGCTGAAATGCTTGTGGGTAAGGCCTATCTGCACGGACACCAAGTGCTGCGCTCTGCAAAGCTTGCTCTTTCGACATTATAATCGTTCTGAAGCATGAGTTTGACACAGTCGAGCGGCCGCAGTTCATTGCACGCCAAGTGCCAAGCTTTTACAGCACTCTGATCGTATTTGGCTAAGGGTCCGAGACGGAGCGTCCTCAGTAGTAGCAATCAGTTATGAAGAGACCTCCAAGCTACTATACACAAACCCAATGCTATCTAAAAGTACAACTAGCGTCAATCGCTAACGAAAGATGAGATCTATGCTCATGTAAGGATAACCCAGAATGTTGAAGGCCAGCAAAAACAGTGATTTGGGCAGCAATGTTCAATAGACCCGCTCGCTGCGTTCCGTGTATCCCACGCGTCTCTTGAGCCTCGCAGGTGGACTCTCTATTGGCGTCATTGAGAGTCTACCAACCGTCAATGGCGACATGTCCTTACGCACCGTCTTGAGGACCGTCAAAGCAGGCGATCGCAATCGTACCGTCATCGCGGCATTATTCAAAGCATTCCCAGATTGTTCCTGGAGCGGACTACCGCCTGCAAGTTGTCCAGAAACTATACGGCCAGACGACCGAGTGATGGGACAAATGTTGACGGGCGAGGATTTTGGCGTTTGTGCAGGGATCTCCGAGACTGATGTCTGTTTTGCTGGTGTCCGTCGTGGTGTTGTTGGCGCCTGGTTTTCGTTACGGCTTGTGAGGAATGGACGCACATTCGCTGGTGAGAGTTGTGTGAATGGAGATGCCCGTTTGCGAACAGTCTTAAATCCAGAAACGCTTGCATCCCTCGCCTCTTCAATGTGCATTTTGTTGCTGAAAGTCTTGCGTGCGCACTGAGCTGGATGCGAGCCGATGAATGGAGTCGTTTTCTCACTTGGCGCAAACGGTAGACGTCGACTCAAGTGTGGATTCATCCTTGCTGGCGGTCGCACTGTATTGAAAGGTGTTGGGACTGGAGGATCCGGAATGAGGTACTGCTCGATTGGCGGCAAGTCCAAACATGCAGTGGCACCAGTCGATGATTGAGCAAAGTCTTTTGCTTTTGGAATCGTACCACGGCGTGCAACATGCTGCTTTGAGACACGCAACCTGGATAGAGCATGGTCTTTTGATGTTTGAGTAGGTGCAGCCATTGTGGAAGACTGTGACGAGTCGAGCGAAGAAACGACGTGAGCGTTCGATCGATCCTGAAATAATCGAGCTCGCGAGAGCCTGATGGATTGTGGTACAGGCGAACTGACATTCACAACACTACTGGGATCGCTGTATTGGTAGAACGTCGGATCTGCGCTTCTAGGCGAGGATGTGGGTGTTTGACCTTGCAAAGCGAGACGACCACGACGCCAACGATGCGCTGAGCGAGGTGTGATGTTGGGATGCAAGGGTGCCGTCATGAAGGATGCACGAGATTGCTGCGCATTGTGTTTGCGAAGCTGACCTCTTGACCAAAGACCATGTTGCAAAACAGCAGGTTCGTGCGATGCTTGCCAAAGTCGTTCGCATGGTACAGATGGCTGCATCGGGCGGTTTCGCACTGCTCGACGCGTTTCCAGTGTGGCAAGACGAGCTCGGCACGCTTGCAGGTCCTGCTCTAGCTCGCGAATCCTGCAGTCTGCAAGTTTGTCCAGATTCAGCTTTTCAATGAGCAGCTCGAGTGATTCAAAGTAGCCTGCTGGATGCGTGTCGTGTCCATCGAATGATAACGCTGGTGTGCTTGCTTCTGTCATCGTGTCAGTACGAAACATGGCATCACGCATACTTGGGCATACCTGGTTCATGTTTGAAGAGCCAATCAAACGTATGATCCGCACAATCCAATACAGGCATCTCTGTAGTCCCTTCGAAACGACACGGTTCAAATCGTTCCAATGCTGCATCTCCATCACAAGCAGCGAACCAGTCTTTCACCTCATCTGCGAGTTGCAGAGACTTGCGCGTTAGTGTCAGGATGCGCGAAACGGGTGATCGGTGTCTTGGTGGTGGCGAGGGTGTCTTGACCATTCGAAAATCCGCAGGTACAGGCGACGAGACATCTTGAGATGCACCATCTTCCTGTGTACTGGGAAGAGGTACATGATCGAGCCAAAAGGGAAGTGGTCCCAAGTCTGTTTCGAGCATGGCAACACAAGCTTGTCTTTCACCGTCTTGTACGAGATCGAAACACGAGTGCTCAACGTCGTCTTCGTGGACGCTGTCGTGGTCGTCAGCGTGTGGCGTCCCGAGTATCCTGGTCTCATCGTTGACTCGCGCGCCTTCTGATGGTGTCGCCACTGCAGAGTCATCCTTCTCACGTACTGCATGCGCCTGCGACTGTACGGCTGCGTCAGGGTCCTTGGGGGCATCGAGTGCGACCGCAACAGCTTTCTTGATACGCATCGATTCGAAGCGCATCTTTGCTTGTAGCTGCGCATTATAGTGTCCAAGACGTGCCTCCTCTTCCTTATCCTCTGTTGCAGCAGCTGTCTTGATCGATTCACGGTGTGTAGGGAGTCTGGCTCGAGGAAGTGTCTGCTTGCGCTGTCGCTTGACGGTTGCAAGTCCATTCTCTGCAGTGATGAGGGAAGCGTAGAGTGTATCTCTTGACATACTCTGAAGGATGCTCTATGAGCGATGAAGGAAAGTAGAAGGCTGAAGAAGCAGGACTATCCAAAAGGTGTCACTGGTCAAGGGGTCAAGAGTAGGAAGATGTTGTTACAAGAAAGAGACACTATCTGAGAACATGTGTACAGCAGAGAATGGGTTGATCTAGATGGAGATGCTGTTGCTCTGGCCAATCACCGGATCGACTGACCGTAGCTTATACCGATGCAATGGCCTGCGATGACCCTCATTCTCCTTGTTGACATCCACACCTTGCTCGAAAGTCTGATCCACTATCGCTTCGTAGCTGGTGGGATCCCGCAACACCGTGAGATGGCCAGTCGTGACCTGACGACGGCTAGCGAGACGTCCAGGAGCCGATTGGACGGAATCAGGTCGTGTCGTTGAGGAAGCGAACGGTAGACAAGGACGTGGCGGTGTCAGTAGTGCAACAAGCGTATTGTTGCCTTGTCCCTGCTTATACGGATGCATTGGTAGAGTGGCCTGCTCAGTAGGAGTTATGGCGCTATCCATCATTGTACGCAACACAGATCTCTCTGCATCAGTCGCAGTCGGCGTTCCCTGTTTGAGGGGCGACGGCGAAATAGGCGGTGCTGCAGGCGGACTCAATAAAGAATGGCTCGTGATGGTCGTTGGGGAGACTGAAAGTCGTGAACGTTCAGTAAGTGAAGCGAGGGGTGTTGGACGTTTTCGAGGACTCGTCCTGCCTTCTCGCATCAGGAGCGTTCCTGGCGATTGGTATGTAGGCGTTGACAGGAACGCGTGCGTATGTGGTCGTTTGAGCGGTGAACTACCGAGTCTGGGAGAACTGCCATGGATAGAAGACACAGCAGGCTGATCATATGATAGCTTAACAGCTGGCGAGTCGATGAAGACTTGGGCTTTGGGCTTCTTGGGCGAGGCAGAGCGGGAAGAGAGAGCATGTTTACTTGGGCTCGTAGGAGCTGTCTGCTGAACGTTGTGTTTTGCAAGTGCGCCCTTTTTTGGGGAGAGAGGTACTCTGAATGAGTCCATAGCTGTAGCTAGTCTTGATGAAGCAGAAGAGAGCAGGATAAGTAGCAAGCTAAGTACCTCTAGGAAGGGGTCTGTTTGGGTGTTGCTCAAGTCGCGTCGCGTCCAGAAATTCGAAATTTCAATTTTCCCGACACGCGACTAAACACAGCTCATGCCAGGCATGCCTCCCACTGGGCCCAAGTCTTGCAAGGAACATGAAGGGTTCAGGGCAGCAGACAATGTGAAGAACAGCTACGATCACTGTTATGGTGTTGCAGTGCATTCTATGACACGCGACGTATTGAACAAGTGGGCGGTCAAGCCCGGTATATGCATCCTGCTGGTGTCTGCTACTGGCGCTCACGAGATATGCTGATCACTCCTGGTGCAATCGCATCTAGCTTCATCCATGTATTCCTGCTGCCCACTGTCAACTTCGCTGCAGTGTCGCTCCCACGTAGTGCGAGAATTGCTGTACTGTAGAAGTCCAGCACTTCGGGACAGCCTAGTAAAGTGTTGCTTCATAGCTTGCATCGACATAGGTTTGTTTCAGAACTTCCCATGCGATACGTCGGCAAAGACAAGGAAGGGGCTGTTGAATGTTTCTCAAATCGCAAAGAATCAGAAAGTTGACGTCGTCTGATTCAGGGGAAGAGAAGATGGACTCTATAAACGACTATAAGATACCATAAGCTTGTAGAGTCATCCGAGAGAGCCTAGTTCTGCAGCTTGTTCTTCAGCACCATCCAAAGCAATCTGCCACGCTCGCTGCGCAACGCAAGCGTCAGCAAAACCACCATAATAGGCCACTTGAAGAACAAGGTCGAGTAGTGCACCGTATCCTTAAGCCAAGCGAACCAGGGCATATATTTACCACGCAAGTTGAACACAGCACCCGTACGCTGCATAAAGGCCAAAAAGTCACCTGTGCTATCCTCCGTTGAGGGGAATACATCCACCACACCTTGCGATGGCTCCATAATCGACAAGGCACGTCCATTGGCCAAAGCAAACTCATTCGGCTTTTCAGCAACAGGGCTTGGACAGGTCAAAAACAATGCTGCACGTACAACATCATTGATATCAGCATACACGGTACCTGCCAAAACAAGCTTGACTTTAGCATCAATGATACCAGTCTTGACGAACCAAGGGTGGATACTGTTGACGCGAACACCTTCTGCTGGTGATGTACGACGGAGTGATCGCATGAGACCCAGCATACCGTGTTTCGCGGCAGTATACTCTGGTGCGCCTGGAATCTCACCGAGCGATGCCATGGAACCCAACAAGACGAGTGCCGAATCGCGCGGTTTACCCTGGTGTGCCGGATTGGCATTGTATGCTGGCGACCTGCGGAAATAGTAGTGTGCCAACTTGACTGTAAAGAATTGAGAGCGCAAGTTGATGTCGAGTGTGCGTAGGCGTGGTTCATTCAAATTGTCTTCAATAAAGAAGCCCATCTCCGTGACACCGGCATTGGCAACGACGATATCAATACGGCCACCACCACCGGGAATTTCAGTACGCTTGAAGGCCACCTCAAACAAATTGCACTGATCCTTCCAACTGAGATTGTTGCACTGCACGAATCGCAACTTTGGGTGTGCAGCAGCGAGCTTTTCGCCATTGACTTTATCCAAATCACCAATCGTCACATAACAGCCCAGTTCAAGATACTTGAGCGCCATTTGCCTGCCAAGTCCACCAGCACCGCCTGTAATCACAACATGTTTGTTCCTAACATAACTCGTGTCTGGTTGTCCACGGGTATGGATGGGTGGTGAAATGAGACTTTTACCACGCGCAGTGAACTCCTTGAATTGCTGTTTAGCTTCATCGCTGCCTTCAGGGAACTCCTTGATGTCATCCTTTGTGATGAAGTTTGGGAAACTCTGGGCGTGGGAGAGGGCAGATTGAGCAATAGGCGCATCGGGTGCTGCTGCGGGTGAGCTAGCAGAGATGTTTTGGGGTGCTGCTGCAGCCGGGTTGTTTGCATTGGGTGCAGACATGCTGTAGGATGATGTCTTGACGGTAAAGAGTAGGGGCCTGGCTCTAGCTAGGTAGAGTACTTGAAGTCGGGAGCTGGTGCAAGTTGAGTTGAAAGTGTGGGGTCCGCCGCCTGCTCAATTTCGCCGAAGTCGAAGTCGAGACCTACACTGAGACTACACTGAGCCTACAGCGACAACTCAGCGACTACTCAGTGACAGTTAATGTCCTGGTCTCATAGCTGCCAAGCTGTCCCTTTATACAAGATCATCCCTGAGTTCACGTGTCAGCATAGCCTGCCCAACAAGTCTAGCTGGCGTGACAAAGCGCTAGAGTCTAGACTCAACATTTCTGTTGTGCTATGCAACGCATGGTCTTCAGGGGTAGTGCTGTGTCTAAGCATGGGGCTGGGTGAGAAGTGATTGAAAACAAGATCGATAGCGAACAGTCCTCGAGTCTACGACTTCTCTATAGCTACTTGCCCTGAATCTTGGCATTCACCTGTGCCCACTTCTTGAATCGGATACTCGACACCTCAATGAAGCCAGTCGACCAAGCTGGGTCAAATCCACCAAGCTGATCCATCGAAGCACCTTCCTCATCATACAGCGAGTACTCAGACGACCGACCCAGAATACGAACGCTGCCCTTGTACAGTGACAATCGTACATTACCAGTCACGCTGACCTGCGATGCCTTGATGGCCGGCAGCAACATTTGCGTGAGTGGCGAAAAGTAAGCACCATTGTACAGCAATTCCGAAAACTTTGGCGTAATGAATTGATCTCGCGTTGCACGCACATCCCGATCAAGCGTCAAGCCTTCCAAATCAATGTGAGCAGCTCGCAAGATGGTGAGTGCTGGTGTTTCATAACAGCCACGAGACTTGACGCCGATGAAACGGTTCTCAACAATATCAATACGTCCGACACCGTGCTTCCTAGCCAGTTTGTTGAATGTCAGGAACATCTCGAGCGGATCTGTCGATGCTTCGCCATCATTCAAGACAAGCTTCACGGGGATACCTTCCTTGAAGTCAATCGACAGCTCTTCGGGCGTGTCGGGTGCTTTCCTGGGGTCAACCGTCAACTTCCACATATCATCGGGAGGTGTGGTGTTGGGATCTTCCAGGATACCAGCTTCATACGAGATGTGCGCCAAATTCTCATCCTCAGAGAAAGGTTTGGCTGCCGTCTGCGAAACAGGAATACCACGCGAAGCAGCAAAGTCAAGCAATGCGCTACGACCGACGAATCGGTTGTAGAAGGCTGGGTCACGCCAGGGTGCAATCACCTTGATGTCTGGTTTCAATGCATAAAACGCCAACTCGAAACGCACCTGGTCATTGCCCTTTCCCGTACAACCATGCGAAACAAAGCCACAACCCGTTCGTTCAGCAACAGCAATCTGTGCACGTGCAATGATGGGTCGAGCGAGTGCAGTGCCGAGCATGTAGACATTCTCATAGATGGCATTGCATTGAATGGCCGGGTGACAAATCTCAGTGACAAACTCACTTCGAACATCTTCGATGTGGACTTCCTTGCAACCAATCTTGAGGGCCTTGGCACGAGCAGCTTCAAAGTCTTCCTCTTGACCGATATTGGCCATAAAGGCAATCACCTCGTAGCCTTGCTCGATGAGCCAGCCTGCAATGCAGGAGGTGTCGAGACCACCGGAGTATGCGAGACAGACTTTTCCTTTGCTCATGGTGGTTGTGAGTGTACAGAAACGCTATAGGACTTAGCTGGTGTCGGGTGTAGCTGACAGCTCTCTTGATCGGGCGAGAGATAAGAATTCTCTCACGCGGCACCGATAAAAAAGTTGACTCGGCTCCAGCAGCCCAGCTACAACTACAACTGTGTGTATAAAACGCTACTACTGCTGCAACTGCTACAACTGCTATTACCCTCATCTAGCTCTCATGGAAGGCCGGCAACATCAAAACATCTCTTCACAGCCAAAATTTAAAATCGTGAGAATGCTCGCTGGTGCTCTTCATTGCTACTGGCTTTTTTGAACGCTCGCTGACCTTACAGCTTCCTGGCGCAGCTGCTGACGGTACTGCTTCTACATTTCAGTTCGCACATGAGGATCACACACTTGGCAATGCACTTCGCTACATAATCATGAAAAAGTACGTGCCTACTACCCATGCAACATCACTAATGCGCAGTCCCGAAGTTGAGCTTTGCGGTTACGGTATTCCGCATCCCTCAGAACCGCTCATGAATCTGCGTATACAGACCAAGAGTGAAAGTCACACTGCACTGGCTGCACTTGAAAAGGGACTCGACGACCTGACTGATTTGTGCGATGCGGTTCAGGAGAAGTTTGAAGCTGAGCTGGATCACATTGGCCGGACGTAATCTTCTCTGCATAGCATACTGTACAATACAATCATCTACTTCACAAGGTTCGTTGATACATTAACGCAATCGAAGCTCCAAGACAACTTGTCGACCTGCTTTGAACGGATGTGCCATGGCAAGCATAACGCCTCGCGACGCCACATCCTCACTGCCAGAACCAGTCAGACCACCACCTGCACTGCTATAAGGCAAAATCCGTACATCCTTACCCGTGATGACCTGTCGCAATCGCCGCTTTTCAACATTCCAAACTTCCACGAAACTCGGACCAGCAGCGACAATGTAATTGCCTAGCAAGACAGCATGCTGGGGTCGTCCTTCCCATTCAAGGGTATACGCTCGTGAGAGTTGTCCATATTTGTCGACAAATAACGCACAGGCCGTGTAACAGCAAAGAAACTCACCTTCCACGGGATTACCCTGTGCGTCGGGCGGACTAGAGGCCAGGCGATAGGTGCCAAGTGGTCGTGCACCGTCAATTCTTGCCTTGAGTGAAGCAGTAGCCGGAGATGTCAGATCCGGAATCGTCATGGGCTGTTTTGAGTCGAGACTCAGGATCTCAAAGCCACGCGAACAGCGTACACAAATGGTGCTGCGAAGGTATTGCATACCGTAGCAATCAGCAGGAATGAAGAATTGGTCAAAGTCGCGAAAGAAATCTGTGCCACTGCCAGAGTGAGTCGACTTTCTGAAGAGTGACCGATTCTCTTGCTTGCGACCAACAACAGGTTCCAGTGCCTTGAAGACGGACGTGCCACTATTGTTAGCATTGCTGGTACAGATCAGTACTTACTTGTCGCGTTTCTTGTAGACAACGAGCAAACGGTCCTTCATGATCCCAACCTCGAAAAAGCCAACATCCTTACTGCCACTCAACTTTTGCGGTACTCGTTTCTTCTTTTGCCCAGGTTGAGGATAGAGCAGGTCGTCCAGCTGATAGGCAGTCAGACTCTTATCTGCCAAGACCATGGCACATCCAAATTGCTCGAGCACAGCAACTTGCGTGACTCTTGGAAAGGAAGCAACTTTTGTCCAAACAGAGGCAGCAGCACCATGGATGACGGCATGATACAGTCCATCGTCCGTACCAAGCATAAGCATATCCTCACCTGCACTACCTCGAAACATAGTGGCACACTGGACACGTGCAAAAGTCAGTGGTTGCGTATTGAGTTGCACGGCAGGTGCTTGCTGTAATGCCAGCTCGAGCGTATTTTCTGGCGGTCGTAATGCGGCAGGACTAGGTCGTGCATCAGCAACCCCTGCACTCGTCAAGCCAAGACCTTCTGGATTATAGCTGCCGAATGCCTCTGTTGCGCAGAGCTGTATCCTGAATGGTTCAGCATGCTTGTACTTTTGAAACCTGTCTTGCTTGGCTTTGCGAATAGCTTCCACCCATGCAGCGCGTGCTCCAGCCGTTTCTGCATACAAAGTCCATTTCTCATCACCATCGTGCTTCTCCCAGCGACCAGCATGCTTCACTGTGAATGGGAAGAGCATTTTTGAATTGTCTCTCGATATGCCGGGTGAGTTGGTGGATGTGACGGTGAGCGTGTGCGAGAGTTCGCTCGGCGACTTGGCAGATTCCGTCGTACTCAATGAGAAGCTGGAATCATGCGTGAAGCGACGCCCTGATGCATCCATTGGCGATGCAATACTGTGCGTCATTGTGCCACCCAAGATTTTAGAGGTGGACGCCTTGTAAATGATTTCATCATAGTCCTCAACAACCAGATAGTCAATAGGAATCGGTGGCCGTGATAAGACCCGACCTGGACCATCTCGAGAGCTCTTCAAACACAACATGTAGTGATCCAGCAAGACCAATTCACGCGTCTGCCATTCAAGATGCGACTCAGACTTGCGCTGAAGGTGCTCACGTCGCAACATAGCTCGACCAGTCTCCAGTAATCCTAGATCGCGTTTCGGCACACGCCAGACAATCTGTTCATGCAAATCCATCAGCATGATTTTATTCTCTGCACGTTCAACACAGCTGTTGCACGCATGACAGACTTCTTGCACAGCAGAAATTGCTCGACCAAGCATGCCATACTCGCGATCATCTTGCGGTGTCTTTTTGAGGACATCACTGAGTAAGAGTGCATATCGCTGCAAACGACGCGTTGGTGCGCCCATATAAGAAAACAAGTCAAGTTTTTTAGTTCGAGGGTCTTGCTCACACTGTGCAAGCCACCGTTGTGTCGCTGGATCCCGCGCCTTTCGTGAACGTACAGCACGATCGGCATGTCGTAGATTGGCTGCATATTGCAAATAAGTATCCTTGGCGAGTTCTATCCAGGAGATGAAGAGATCGCCAAGATTTTGGACACAGGGACCCTGTTCACTTTGACGGGCTCGAAGGGCTGGTTCGAGGTGCTGTTCAGAGAGCATCAAGAGTCGTGGAACCAGTCCAAAGAGGAGATTTCCTACTTCTTGTTGTCCAACGTGCCCAGCGACAAAGGAATCGCTGTAGACATCCGTCAAGACTTTGAGGGTCTCGATGTAGTCTCGTTCGGAATACACCACTTCATGAATCTGATACTGTCGTTGAATTTCATCCTTGGAAAGCGTCTTGAGTAACTCTGAATCCCCCGACAGCCCCCAGAACGCCGCCCAATCTTCACGATTCACAACGGCAGATTGCTGTGTGTGTCTAGCAGGGGTGCGTGAGCAACGAGACGCATAGCAGCGATAGGGACCATCCTGACAATATGGCGCATAGCATCCATGACCTGTCAGGAGTGGCAAGACGCCATCACCGACATCGGTCGCGAATCGCAACGTCTCAGCGCCTCGCTCGATTTGGACCAGCTCACCAGCGGAGAAGAGAGAGTCTAGTAAACTCTGTGCCACCTTTTCAGCTTGGATAATAGAGAGTGTTGGTACATGATGTGTGAAAAGACCCACGAGTGCAACCGAGATGTTGGCTGATGTTGGATCTTGCAGTGTGGTGTAGAGCCAAAGGAAGACATTTGATCGCGACCAGACGTGCGAGCAGCAATCGTAGTCTGCTGAAGATAAAACCTGCTGGGTCATCGAAACGGCTGCAGGTTGCGGCGATTGTGTGCGTGTAGGCCGACGATCAAGTCGAGCACCGAGTTGGTCGAGCGTCACAACACTGCCGGACCGACGATGATCATCTCCATGTATTCGCGGGAACGTTGCACTTTGCCTTGATTTTGCAAAGTGCTCATCCACAGGCGGTAAAGGCGATCGTTGAGGCGATGGAAGCGGTCTACCAGGCATAGCACGCAGAGTCTCGGCTGATTCCTCTAGGAAATGGTTGAGTGATGCTTGCTTTGCATGGCCTGATTGGGTAGTCAAAGCTGGCAAGGAGCCAGAACGTTGAAAGTATCCACTCTTGGGCGGAGAATGCGCCAGAGCATAACTCGAGGATGGTACAGGTGGCAAGGTCTTGTAGCCTCCCGACGAGATGGATGTTGTGGAGCGTCGGTGGTGCTCAGGTTCCTGGTGATATGCAGAGACAGCATCCCATGCGGTGATCGAATCATCGCTTGTATAGCTATAAGCGCCTGCGTCGTTGGCGTTGCCTCTACTCAAGGGCGTCGGCAGAGGTCGTGCAGATTGAGGGGAATAAGGCGACTCGAGCGATGCATAGGTACTTTCGCGGTGCATTTGCACAGGATCTCCATATCCCTGCTGTACTCCAGTGCCACGTTGGTCCACTTGTGCTTCGTACGCATCGTACATATCAACAGGGTACGGCTCTTCAAGCGGCTGTTGATATAAGCTCTCATACATCCTTCGCGATGATTCCTGCGGTTGCCATGGCTGAGACTCAAAGGAAAGATCACGCGTCAATGGATGCGGCGGTGCATAGCCTGCAGAGGAGAGTCGGTGTTGACTAGCACTGCTGCGTCTTCGTCTGGTTGCAGGCGCTTCGTCATGCAGAGTATAGCTCATTGGCGACTCTGGCATGCTCAATAGAGGCGGCGGACAAGGAAGCGGCCTAGTGCCATGTGAGGCCTGCTGCGTGAAGCCTTCATCAGGCTCATAAGCATGCGTATCATAGTCGTTTGCGTGCATGTACGCGCCATGTGCCGCTGGCGCATCTAAACGAAACGCATCGCTGTCAATATATACGCCGTCTCTGCGTCCGTCTGTCTCATAGCTCGCCTGACGTGCAAGGAACGTCGGGCTATAGGAGCTGGGCTTTGGCGGCCGTTGCGGGTAGCTGCTCATCGCCCAGACACCCTGGTGATTTCAACCTTTCACAGTGCTTGTCGCTTGATACACGTTGACCTGGGAACCTCCGTGACACGTTGAATAGAGGCGACCTTGTTGACTGGCGCTGATGAAGGGAGTATCAGGAGCGCGACAAATAGAAGTTGATGCTAGGCCGTTTGCGGATGAGCGCTTGGGCGATGGAAGGAGGACAAGAGAGACGAGGCGATCGGGATAGGCAGGCTGGCACGATGGCAATGGAGGCCGGCCCACCGCTAGAGGGCGATGTTGGCGCGATGATGTCGTTGCTGCTGTATGCTGAGCTTGAGGCTTGGACGAGTCACCCAGCAGAGTACAGACTTTGATGAGCAGGGATATGAGGAGGGCCGGAGAAGATAGAGATGCTATGAAGACTGGCTAGAGCAGAAGGCCTTGTATGATCCTTGTCTATGACACTTGCATGGGCTATCTCTTGTGTGAATACTTTGTACTTGCCATGAACGAGGCCTCTATTGAAGGAACTGTCTGAGGCTGCTGTTCATTAGCCAGGGCAGATCTAGAGCAGCTATAGAGCATATCCAGAGCATATCCAGCGCATATCTCGTTTGTGACAGAGGCAGCAGCGTAGGAGTCGTCGCCAATCTCAAAACGCTTCCAACACTCGCACCCGACAGCGACCAGGAAGTGTATCCTCATCATCATCATCCACCGGCTGGCTGTCTGTTGCGCATCAGTCCTCACCCTCATTCAAGGCACTCAACATCCACGCATCTTTGGCCGCAGCACTTCGCCACAGTCTCCATGGCGGCGCGGCAGGACGTCTTCCAAAACATCTTTGGCAATGAGCGAGTCGCCGACCGTCAAGGGGCCCAGCCGCAACGGCAGTATCCAATCGCCCATCCACCGAGCCGGCCTTATACCTCTGGTGCAAGTCGCGAGGATCCCTATCGAACGCGATCCTTGCAAAGTGCAGGCCAAGCACATCCAAGTATGCCGCATCCACAACAACAGCAACAGACCCACCCGGCGTCCTCGTCTGGTGCGCCTCAAGCTGTCCAGCAGAATGGATTCCGTGGTATGCCGCCAGGCCATCTGCATGCAGCGCAACAAGGCATGCCACTCGATAGACCGCTCCATCTGCCAGGAGGACGCATGGTCCCGCAGTCGGCACCCGTTCAACCGTCACCGTATCCAGGTTCCCATCGGTCTGGACAGCCTGTATTGCAGCAGCAGCAGCAGCAGCAACAGCAAGGATACCCGCCGCATGCGCAACCGCAACGGATGCCCTCAGAATCGTACTTTCAACCTGGCCTACAAACACAACAAGCGTACGCGCCGCAACATCCCTCACAACAGGCCCAAGTGTATGACTATGATCGTGCTCAATCCCTCCAATATCGTGATGAACGGCCAATGATGCCTAGACCGGGAGCGAGTGGTCGCACGGCGAGCATGGGTTATCTTGTCCAACATCCGCAAGACGTCCAACCGCCACAAGCCCACGCTGCCGGGTATGCGCAACCACAATCTGCGTATCCCGAGGAGTATGGATCAAACACAGGATCAAGGCGTCCAACAGATCACCGACAGGAGAATCACATGCCGCCTGTGGAGCAGCTACGGTTGCAACCTCGTGCTGATTCGCGGCACCCGCCGTCTGGTACCATCCTCGAAGAACCCGGTGCCCGTGCAAGTCAACCAAATCGATCCTTCTCCTCCTCCACCCAAGCAACACAAGTCGGCAAACTTTCCGATTCACGCAGTTACAGCATGACATCTACCTCCACCAAAGTCACTGGCGATAGAACATTTAGTTTCTCAGCCTCAACGACCACATTGCAGGAGAAGCGGCCGTCGTATGCTTCCAACAAGTCTGCGCATGCAGGAGCAAGCAGTCAGGCCGTATATACCACGTCGAAACGCGCGCCGATGGTGTATCCCGCTCTGCTCTCGCGCGTCGCTGATGCATTCCGGCAAAAGATTTTGCTCTCTGAAAAGCACAAGGATGGGCTTTCCTACAAAGACGCCTTTCTGGGGTGCGATGCAGTGGATGTGATTGCCTACATTATCAAGACGACAGACCGCAATCTAGCCTTGTTGCTGGGTCGTGCATTGGATGCTCAAAAGTTTATCCACGACGTGACGTATGACCATCGTTTGCGCGATTCTGCCCATGAAGTCTATCAGTTCAGGGATAACTTGACCGCTGGCTTCTCAGATGACCAAACGCCCGTCGCTGGTCAGCAACATGCACAAGGACATCCACTTCATGCGAGTGCGTCACATGATCGGAAACGGCCCTCACGCGCACCGACGGTCGATAGCGTCGACTCTGCCATGCTCGAACAAGGCATCGCCTTGCGTGACCCAGGCGCTGCACTCCTTGCTGAAGACGATTTACCCAATGGTGTCTTTACGCTGCTAACGGAATGTTACTCTCCGACGTGTACGCGGGATCGATTGTGCTACAGTATTGCGTGTCCTCGACGACTTGAACAACAGGCCAGATTGAATATGCGACCGACACCTGGTTTGAAGCGTGCTGAATCGCGTGGTAGTTTGAGCGAGTTGGCGGATGGTCAACAAGACAACAAACTCTGGCAGCATATGGTGAGTCCTGCCATTTTCAATACGGTAGATGAAGAGGAACGGAAACGACAGGAAGTCATTTGTGAGGCCATCTACACGGAACGTGATTTCGTTAAGGATCTCGAGTACCTGCGTGACTTTTGGATCAAACCACTCAAGACGGGTACGGTCATTCCTGAAGCGCGGCGAGATCGCTTTGTGCGATCAGTGTTTTCGAATGTGCTCGAGGTGCATAATGTCAATTCACGACTTGCTGAAGCCTTGACGCACCGTCAACATGCACAGCCAGTCATCCAGGAAATCGGCGACATCTTTTTGGAATTCATTCCGCACTTTGATCCATTCATCAAGTATGGCAGTCAGCAATTGCAGGCCAAGTTTGAGTTTGAACGGGAGAAGAGTACGAACCCTGCGTTTGCCAAGTTTGTGGAGGAGACGGAAAGGATGAAGGAGTCTCGCAAGCTGGAACTCAATGGTTACTTGACGAAACCGACTACACGTCTGGGTCGTTATCCAATCATTCTTGAGACTATTGCAAAGCACACAAAGGACAGCAATCCCGACAAGGTCAACATTCCAAAAGCTGTCATCTCCATCAAGAGTTTCCTGGAAAAGGTCAATATTGAAGCGGGCCGTGCAAGCAATCGCTTTGAATTGATGCAGCTGCAGCAACAATTAGTCAACAAGCCTGGCGAACCGGATCCCAATCTCAAGCTCACGGATGAGAATCGTCAATTGATTCACAAGGGTGCCCTTAAGAAGAAGAACGTCGGCAATGCAAATGCCGGCACAGACGCGTCGTCGGATGTACAAGTCTTTTTGTTTGATCACGCCCTCCTCATGGTCAAAGCAAAGACAATGAATAAGCGCGAAACGCTCAAAGTTCATCGCAAGGTATGCTCTCGTCGTCTTCGGCGCACGCTAACATCAGCCTATTCCACTTGAATTACTCGTTATACAAAGAACAGCAGAAGATTTGCTTGAAGCACAACAATCAAAAGCTGCGCTCGCCAAACGACCTTCTTCCTCGCTTCTGCCTGGTGGCAACAAGTCTAGCATTGGCATCTCTTCCAAGTCAAACTTTGACAATACCAAGGGCTTTGCCATCACCTTCCAACATCTCGGCAGACGTGGCTACGCCATCACACTGTACGCAACCACCTACATTAATCGGAAAAAGTGGCTCGAGATCATTGATGCGCAATGTCGAGCGCTTCGAGAGCGTCAGTCTGTCTTTTCACTTGTGGTTGTTTGTGAGCGGTACTTTACCGGTACCAATAAAGTTCAATGCGTCGTGCCGTATGATGGTGGGCGTAAGCTGATTTACGGTACAGACAATGGTATCTACGTTTCTGAGCGCAAGCCAAATAGCTTGTCTCGTGCAACGCCTGTACGCGTCTTGGCGATTCAAGGTGCAACGCAGATTGATGTCATTGAAGAGTATGGTATTCTGCTAGTCCTTCAAGACAAGACACTCGTCTCCTTCAATATGGAGGCGTTGGATGTCAATGACAACAATATCACAAACAAGCGGCCAAAGAAGGTCTCAAGTCATGCTACATTCTTCAAGGCGGGCGTATGCTTGGGTAGAGTCCTTGTATGCGTCGTCAAGTCTTCAGTTCTGTCCTCTACGATTAAGGTGTTTGAGCCTGTGGATCACAAGGGAATTGGCAAAAAGCAGCCAGCATTCCGCAAATTGCTTGCTGGAGGCAATGACCTCAAGGTTTTCAAGGAGTTTTACATTCCAACCGAGTCGACATCCATCCACTTTCTCAAGTCGAAACTCTGCGTCGGCTGTGCAAAAGGATTTGAGGTCGTTTCGCTCGAGAATCTGGAGACACAGTCATTGCTTGATCCAGCAGATTCTTCACTTGATCTCTTTCAACGACGCGAGAATGTGCGCCCCATTGCCATCTACCGTCTCAATGGTGAATTCCTACTCTGCTACGACGAATTCGCCTTTTACGTCAATAGAAATGGCTGGCGTGCACGACCAGAGTGGGTCATCCACTGGGAAGGTATTTGCGAAGCAACCGCATTGCATTACCCGTATATTCTCGCATTTGAGCCTTCCTTTGTGGAGATTTATCATGTCGAGACGGGCAGTTTGGTGCAGATTGTACCTGGCAACCACCTTCGACTCGTCCATGAAGGACGCGGCAAGATGGGTGAAGGTGGTGAGATTTTGATTGTGAGTGATGGCACAGAGATGGGACAAGACAGCGTTGTCAGTGCATTGAGCTTATCGGCCAACTTGGTGTCGCCGACACGGGACAAGATGCTCGAGTGAGACGAAGTGTAGAGGTATTGAGGCATGATTTCTGTGTTGGTACTGCTAGACAGTCGTGATAGATGCAGTCTCGGGACGTTAGATTAGGCTTTGTGCATACATTTCTGGAAGACTTGCTTGTGATACATGTACTTACTTGATGCCTGGCAAGTCATGACTTGAGGTCTGGCATTTTGCCCTGCTGGGCCAGGGGAATAGGATTTTTGCCAGTGTCAAAGGATTCGGTGAACTGCTCTCTGCAGCTGCTACACTGCCAACAACTGCTCTGCACATGGCCTTCATCAAAGCTGCATAACTTGCGCGTATTTAGCATGTCATTTACGTTCCATCACAGCATCGAGGTGGATGCGACGCCTGCAAAAGCCTATCATGTCTTTGCTGATCCTGCAAGCTTCGAGGAGATTATGGTCTCTTCCTCTGTCTTGACGCGGGACTGTACACTCACATCTTCTCCGTCAAACGAGACGAAAGAAGTGACATTTAGCACAACATGCACACCAAGAGAGCTTGCTAGTATGGCGCAACGTCTACTGGAAGCAGACGAAAGCTCCAAGTGGACAGCACAATCTCTAGGTGCTCTTGTGGTCCATGCAATGCACTTCAAGCTCACTGAGGAAGTCGTCTATCTGGGATTCAAAAAAGTGATTCCTGTCACTGGTACAATGTTTGTTCCTCGAGATGAGAGTGCACCGTTCTGTCAATTCGATCATCGCAAAACAGACGATGGGTTGGTGGAAACACGCAAGATGCGCGTCATCACACCCAGTACCACAGTTTCGACATCAGTCGCTCGAGCAGAGATTTGGGAAGAACTCATAGGCACGACATCATGGTATCTCAAGTATTTTGTGGAGGCCGAAGCCCAGAAATCACATGCGAATGTGGTCAAGTATTACGAAACACACTTCAACAATCTCAAGCAGGATCAGGAGACAGAAGGTAAAGCATAGAATATAGTAAGGGAATAGACTAGTTAGCGATGGCAGCAGCCAGGCCTACAGCGCCAGCAATAGGAAGTAGACGGCGTGTCCAAGAGCCAAGGGCAGAGCCAGCTGACTTGCCATCAATAGTAAAATCTTGCCACCTGACAAAGCGCGCCCTGAGAGCAAAGTGTGCTTGGAAGCTCGGGTACAGAGCAACATTACGGCCGCCTTGAACGTACCAAGCACTGCAGCCACCTTGCTTACCAACAATGGTGCGTTCAGTTTCGTCCTCGATCCAACGGACATCCTTACGTTCTGCTTGCTCCTTCACTTCAATCACCTTTCGCTTGTCAGCCTTGCCATTGGTGGGGATGACCTCTTCCAAGAGTCTAATGATGAAGTCTGACTGCCTTTGCGATGTGAACAGATAGGAAAAGTGGCCAGTCGCGGAGTTGGGGCCCATCGACAAGAACATGTTGGGGAAACCATTCAAACATGTCGAGAAGTAAGCCTCAGGACCCTGGTACTTCTTCCAGTGCTCTTGAAGAGATTCGCCATTGATGCCGCGGATGTCGACCACGAATTGGCCAACCTTGAAGCCGTTGGCAAGGATGATCACATCTGCCGGGTACTCCTGGCCAGATTTGGTAACAACGCTGTTCTCCTTGATCTGAACAAGTCCATCACGCGTGACGTCCATGTTATCACGATGCAGGCAATCGAGGTAGCCGGTATCCATAACGCGTCGCTTGCAGCCAATCTGGAAGTCTGGCACAACAATGTCGTGATACTTTTGCGGGCAACGATCGCGAATGTACTTGAGTGTTTGCTTCTGGTGAATACGTCGCAAGTGCTTGCCGATGCCCTTGACGTAAAACATGGCGAAGGACGCATCCAAGACAGATGCAATCAAAAGCCTGTAAATCTTCATGAGGAACGGCACGTAGCGGAAGAGCATACGCGCGAAGGAACTGTACTTGAAGTTTGGATCTGGCATAAGAAAGTGCATCGAACGCACAAATTGTCGCACTTGCTTGGCTTCCTTGCACACAATAGGCACGAACTGGGTCGCGCTACAGCCGTTTCCCACGACAATGACGTTCTTGCCCTTGAGGTCGACGTCTTTTTCCCAGCGTGCAGAGTGGAAGATTGGCCCCTTGAACGTTTCGCTGCCCTGAATGCCAATATCATTCGGCAAGTGCAAACCGCCAACAGCTGGTACGAGAATGCGAGTGCGAATGTCATACTTATTGCCTGTGAGTTGATCTTCGCAGTGCACAATCCAAGAACGGTCTTCGGCATCCCAATTTGCGCCATTGCAGCCAGTATTGAAACGTGTACGATCGTGAATCTTGAATTTGCGGCCGACTTCCTGCTGGTACTTCCAAATCTCATCACGACGAGACATGAAATGGCTCCATTCGGGATTGGGTGCGAAATCAAAACTGTAAAAGTGCGAAGGAATATCGCATCCTGAATATTAGTCAGTTCATCCGGTCACAGGGGAAGGCTGCTTACCTGCTCCAGGGTAGGTATTGAGATGCCAAGTACCGCCGAGATCTCCGCTCTTCTCTACAAGACCAATACGCACGTTGGGGCCAAACTTGCGGTCGGCTTGGACACAAAGGGCCATGCCAGACATGCCGCTACCGATTATGAGGACATCGTAGTCCAGGGTCTTTGCCATTTTGTGGTTGGCTGTGTAATTACAAGTGGGCTGGTGTGGTGTAACCGTTCTACCCCGGTGGGTGGGCCGGGTGGCTCTATATACTTTGGATGCCTTTTGCCCCCCGCGGCTCCGTTCGGTCACACTGCTTCGAGCTCGAGAGTCGAGATGGGCGATCTGACTTGTGGCACAGTTTCAGATTGACAGGTGGCGCATGCTCCCCCGCAAATTCAACGCCGACCACAATCAGATGGGAAGCCAGTTTCCGACTAGAAAGAGTTCCAGGCATTCTATACGCTCCTGAATTTAAGTTGCATGTACACGACAGTACCAAACAGAAAGCCAACACTGACTGAAACGAGTAGCGCATCAGCATATCGAAAATTCCCACCAAAGCGGCTGTAGGTCCAGAGCTCAAGCGGATGAGCGATGAGATTGACGAGACCTGCAGTTGCCATAATTCCACCGTAGAGCACACCAAACCTGTCGTTGCCAAAGAGCTTGAGAACTGTGCCTGGGAGAATACTGTAGATCCACGGTCTCAGCACGACAAAAGCAAGAATATGCAGTACTTGTGCTGCTTTGAAGGGAATGAAGCTCAACACGCCAACAATTGATGCTAGACCAGCTGTCAGCGAGTAGACAGTGACAATAGTGTAATGATCAATGATGTAGCCAATCAGTGGAATAGCAAGAATACCACCGAGAGGCAAAAGTATATCGAAGAACGTGGCGAGCGCATCTGCCTGTGCTTCCGGTAGTAGCATGTGCAGCTGAGCACCAACAGTAGCAATATAAAAGTTGACACGAACGAGGGAGACAATCATGACACTCATTGGAAACAGAAACCAACCAGATGTGATGATGCTCCACGTCGGCTGATTGTGCATGACGCCAAACAACGGATCTTGTTGCCGGTCTTCTTCGCCGTGCAAGAGCGATTGGCTCTCATGCGGCGAGTGTTCGACCAGCAACTTGGTCTCCAGAACTTCATAAGCTGTCTTGGACATGTACAAGATCTGTACTAAAAGGATGGCAGCAGGGACAACCGCGTAGACCGCAAAGAATCTGCTGATGCTGACCTTGACAAAGTTCTGGTACACAAGGCGGTAGATAAGGAACAATGCCGAGGATGCGTCGAATGCTCCAGTCAGTCCACTGACGATAATGCCTTGACTAGACGGAAAGGCCGGCGCAAGGGTGAATGCAGACAACAATAGAAACGAACCAGAGCAGGCCAGGACCGCGTACGAAACGGCATAAAGATCTAATGAGCTAGATGACGCAGCGATTCCGATCGTGCCAAGCATCATGAGACACGCACCAATGATCGAAGTGACTCTAGGACCATAACGATCGAGCAATATACCAATCGGGAAAGAACTGACATTGGTCGAAACAGCGGCGAATGTGAATAGCAGATTGAGCTTGACCTCCTGTGCAACACACGGTGCAGGATCTTTCCTTGAACACTCATCAGCGTAGACACCAGAGTCAATGAGTATAGGCTTGAGCGCCGCAAAGCCTATCGTTAGCGTTTATACCTGGCGAGGATGGTTGACTGACCAAAACAGATGCCAACTGAGAGTAGACAGTAAGTGACGGCCGTCACCACCTGAAGAAGCCGTCTATTCGTGGAGACATTGTCGTGTAGCATGAAAAGCGAGCACAGGCAACATCAATGCGGCGATGCGTCATAGCGAGCTTTTATCTGTCTTTTCGATAATTATACGTCTCGCCAATTCTCTTATCTAGCCGACCGGGCTAGCCGCGCACTCCGGCACAAGGCCGTGCCTGATGAATCCCGTTCTAGCACTGGCAGTCAAGTAGCTATGACCATGGCCAGAGCATCCAGAAGCGGTGATAGCTTAGTAGCACTGCTCTGGATTCAATCTTTGGTTCTTCTGACATGTACGACCATGTAGTCAAAGGCAGCAGGTCGAACTAGTTCAGCTGAGAGTGCGGGGTCGGTCGTACCCTCAAAGCAAATGCATGATACTCCGGTTTACTTGATGCACGAGCGTTAACTGTTATGGAGTCGCCAAAGAAGAGTTTGTGGCTCAAGTCTGGCATCTCTGCAGTTGTGAGCTCAAGATGCATCTCAGAGTCTCAGACGCGAGGTCGCGTTCTGAAATCTGACGACGCGCAGGAAATTGAAAAGCTAAAGCTACGTACCAAATCTTGGTTTTTGCACCTTGCTGTACTGTATTGTATACTTGTTACCAAGTCTGAGACTATCTGAGTGACCTGGAGTAGCGGTGGAGCTCCCGTACCCACTTTGTCTGCTGCTCCAGCTTTAAAGCACCTGCTCTTGTCGTTGCTCTGCTTTCGCCCATCAAAGTGTGCTACGTTGTATACTAGTGGATTGCTAGACGACTGATACTGTTGCTGCCCGCCTGAAGTCATCAAGCACTATACATATGGACTTGGATGCGCACTCCAGCGATGACAGCGACACGCTTGACCTCAAACGAAGCGCAGCTCGGCATCAGAGTCGTGCAGCAAAAGCTGAGGCTGATATTGCCAAAGCCTTGATGACTGCCGCAAAAGCAGATGCTGCTGCAGACTTACTGGAAATCAAAATGCGAAAGCGTGCTCAGCGTAGTGGGAAACCATTACCTGCAAGAAGACCTCTCACTCCGCCGCAACAAAAGCCCAAGCCCTTGGAGGCACATTTCTCTTCTCCGCGAGTGTTTGGCGGTCGTTCGGCTGGCGGTGTTGTTCAAGTTCCCGTTTCGCCTAGTCCTCAGCGTGTTCGGCCTCCTGTGTCGCCTGTACGAGACATCTTGGGCATCGGGAAAGGCTTGACGGCTCGACACGTTTCCCTCAAACCTTCACCACAAAAGCCAATTAAGACATTCAATGAGCGGTCTCTTGATCGAATTAGGGACTCAAAAGCAGTGTCAGACAAGGCAGTAGCGAAGGAAGCCTCGCGAGCAACCAGCTTCACGAACCTTGTTCCTGCATTTTCTGCAACCGCTACCGGCAAATTGGCAGATGATGTGTATCAAGAGCCGGTTGGCAATTTTATGATTCGCGATCCTGTCATTGCGAAGGAGGATGCTGATCGACTCTCAGACAATGTTGCACATCGCTTCAATATACGACAGTTCTTTGCTGCTGTCGGACCGCCAGACTACGAATTGGACGACGATATCGTTGACTTTGTGATAGCAGGGATCGTTGCAAGCAAGTCAGATACACGCTCAGCAAAGAACGAAAATGCTAGCAAGTACTGCGTCTTGACCTTGACCGATCTGAAGCTCGACGTGGCCGTCTTCTTGTATGATGACGCCTTCAAAGATTTCTGGAAGATGCCAGTCGGTACGGTGCTCTACCTACTGAATCCGGTCATACAAAAGCCGCGTCCAGGCGCCAGTGCGGACAAGTTGACCTTCAAGATTACCGATGCCAAGAAGATCCTCGAGGTGGCAAAAGCAGCAGATTTTGGGCTCTGTCGAACAGTGAAGCAGAATGGACAGCAATGTACACAATGGATCAACACAAGAAAGCAAGCAGAAGGTGTCTGCGACTTTCATCTAGAGCTCAAATTTGAGAAAAACACCAAGAAGCGCACAGAGTTTTCAAGTGGCACACGCGCATTTGACCCGAGACAGCCTACCAAGAAGAGGCGCAAGGAGATGGAGAATCATGCGCAGCATCGTGTATTCTTTGGCGACAATGTCACAGCCATGTCTGGTGGCCACGGTCTCGACGAGCAATACGATCAGCCCGTCAAGAATGACGCACGGCTCATGAAGGAAGCTGAAGAGCGGCAAAGGGATCGTCAAGCAGTCGCAAAATTGATGAAGAACATCCCATCATCAGCTGGCAATGCTTATTTCGACTTGGAGAAAGAACAAGGAGCAGAGGCTAGTGATGAAGAGAAGCCAACGGTGTTTTCTGCGCCGACCATCAGGAAGCTCGGCTTTGATCCAACGCGTCGTGCATACATCACAGCTGTTCAACACACCAAGCCTATTGCAGATCTTGCAGCAGAGTTGACCAAAGATGGGGATGACATCGATTTGACGGTGAAGCGCAATGCTGGTTCGAGCAAGTTCATTGTGGCCGGTATCGAGGCTGATAAGAAGGCTGTATCAAACAACTCTTCCTCAACACTGCCAGTTCAGGACGAGGACAGCGACAGCGATTTGGAAATCGTACGATAGCATTTCAGAGTAGAGTGTTCATTAATCAAGCTTGAGGCTTGCGTCTTTCTTCGACATTGAACATGTCCTTTGTAGACGCTTTGCCTGTTCCGTCAACCTGGGCTTCGCCTAGCAGTGCACGCTTCTGATTTTGCGCCCAGCGTTGTATATCACTATAGACGTGGTTGTCTGAGACGTTGTCATAGTCATTGAATAACACCATGTAGAAACCAGTGAAGCCTACAGTGAACCAAGTGAATACTTGGATACGCTTCGACCATTTAGACATCTAGTGATGCATCAGCATGAGTAAAGTAAGTCAATCTTGTACCTTGTTGACATTAATCGCCCTTTGCTCGAAGCGGGCGACGTTAGAGCGAGGATTTGATCTGCTCATGGTAGTTGAGCGAAGCTAGTGTAGTCAAGCTGGAGCCTTGTCAATACGCAGTCACGGCGTAATGTTCAGGAGAGCGACAACTCGCGAATCTGCTGCTGCCTGCTGGGTTGAAGTCGCCGGAAATTTGCAATCGCGAGATCTTCCACACAACACACACATCAGTATGTCCGCAGGAAAGGCTTCTACGCATGAGGCCTACACGGTCGATCCTCTCCAGTCGTCTGCTTCTTCATTGAACGAAGATGAGAAGCTCCTCGTAAGTTGATTGCTCCAAGCATCAACCAGGAATTGAAAATCGCATAAGCGTCCAGGTAACCACATTCTCCCTTTTCCCAACGCTCGTGTATCGCAAGATATCGAGCATCTTCATCAGCTTGTAAAACAAAGGAGCCCCACACTCCTCTGTTTCGCAAGTTGAGGTCGGCTTGTTTCGGGGTGCCCTTCTTCTGCTCAACTCCTGATCGCCTCAGCAGTCTTGAGCAGAGTCCGGCTGAGATTATACCCGTAAAACTTGATCAGGTTAATACCTGCGGAAGGAGAACAAGCCCTGGATCTCTTCGTGCGAAGAGACTCCTGTACAGACCGTAATGCGGTGGTCCTTGACTGGTCGCCGCAGTGCGGTCGTGCACTAAAGGTGTTTGTGACCGCTTGCTAACAGATAGGCACGTCTAGGTTACAAGAGCGTATGTACCAAACAATCTCTGCTGATCATGCTAACATCAGGTTCTCCATCGAAGCTTCGCACTCGTGGACAATTTTTCCGCCGCCTTTGCTGCTCTGTACTTTGTCGGCGGAGTACGCGTCACGTTTGGCCTTGGTATCTCCTCTGGTGGACCAGCAGCATACTGGTCTTCCTATGTCATCTCGTGTATCTTTACGTTCTTCACGGCTGCCTGTCTTGCTGAAATTTGCTCTGCCTTGCCGGCTGCAGGTTCAATCTACTTTTGGGCAGCAGAGTGCGCCGGTAATGACTATGGCCGTCTCGCTGGTTTCATTGTTGCTTGGTGGAGTACCACAGCTTGGACCACCTTCACAGCCTCCACCTCTCAGTCGGCAGCCAACTACATGCTTTCCGAAATTCCTCTCTTTGGCTCATCCTACAGCACTGATTCAAATGATGTCAAGTTCCGAGCGGTTCAATGGGCAGTCGCTGAAGTCTTGCTTGCAATTGCTATGCTCGTCCAGTACATTCCGCCACGCTACTACAAATTTGTCTTTCGTGCTGCGACCGGTGTCGTTGTGCTCGACTTTCTGCTCAACTTGATTTGGTTGCCGATTGGCGTTGCCAACACTTACGGCTTCCGCTCAGCCGAGTATGTCTTCACCCACAAATTCAACGGAACAGGCGCTCCTGCTGGCTGGGACTGGTGTCTTTCCTTCCTATCGACTGCAGGTATTTTGGTTGGCTATGACGCTGCTGGACACGTCGCAGAGGAAACAAAGGATGCCTCCAAGAATGCAGCACGAGGCTTGTTCTGGTCTGCCATGTACTCTGCTGCCGGTGGACTGGTCATTGTCATTCTCTTCTTATTCTGTGCACCGGAGGCAGAAACGCTTTTTTCCTATGCAATCCCGCAGCCATTTGTGGCAGTCTACTCGCTCGCCCTTGGGCGTGCACACGTTTTGCTAACTACGATTGCCGTTGTTGGACTCATCTTCAACACGAGTGTTTCGTCGGTCGCTGCCTCCAGGCTCGTCTTTGCAGTCGCTCGCGATGGTGTTTTGCCGTGGTCCAACTGGATTGCTCAGGTTGACTCACGCGGCAATCCAAGGAATGCCATCACCGTGATTTGGGTCGTCGCAGCCACATTACTTTGCACCATCTTGCCAAGTCCTGTGTCCTTCTCATCGCTCGTCTCGGCTGCTGGTGTACCAACATTCGCTGCATACGCTCTGATTCTCACTTGCCGAGCCATCATCACGCCAAATGAATTCCGCAATGGTTCTTGGTCGCTAGGACGCTGGTCGCGACCAATGAATTTGATTGCCATTCCATTCAACTGGTTCTGCGTAGCCGTGCTTGTTTCGCCCTACATCTTCCCAACAACGGCGCAAAACTTGAACTACAGTGGCATCATCCTCGGTGCCATCACCATCTTTGGGTTCATTTCTTGGATGGTGGTGCCAAAGGAGCGCTGGCTTGAGAAGAAGCGACTCCTTGGGGTGCGCAAGGCTCAGGTGGATCGCGAGGAGCAATCCAGCGTTCATGTCATTTCCGAGACCAGCTCCAAGTAGGTGGACATGGGCATTCTTGGCTCAGAAAGTTTCCATGGATCGAATTTGCTTAGACACAGTATCTCGAGCAATATAGACTATATAGGCAGTAATCTTACTTGGCCTTTTGCTGCTCTGCCATACTGTTTGGTTTAGGTTTGAGTTGCACAAAATGCCTTGGCGCAAATTCCAAACGCTCTACTAGACTACTACTGCTATACTACTACAGACTTCGATTTGAGCTTCACTAGCTTGTTGCTTGAGGTAGCCAGCTGTACTTCATGATCTACTAGTAATAGGAGCGTGTTTTTCTCCTTCCATGAGTAGCGGCTCTCGCTCACCACTCAAGCTCATCTATGCTGCAGATGACGAGCTTGATGATGAAACTGACAAGTTGCTCGGTAATGACTCTGACCACACGCTTGCACCCTCTGCATCAACAGTCCTCCGCGATGTACAGCATATCGCCAAGATGATGCCAGGCGCTGGCTTGCTGCACTCAAGCGCGGTTGATCCGCACGAATCTGCCGCGCAACATGAGCATAGCGTGGCAGAAGCAGATCTACTACAACGAGGCGCCACGCGCGGGAAGCGGCGCTGGGTAGGCGTTATACTCATCATTCTACTCAATCTCGTCTCTTCATTTGGGTAACCTTACTCTATTGTGCTTGTGCACTGCTGACAAAAGAACGATTGCTTTTGCGCCCATGGCGAGTATTGCGCGTGATCATTTTGGCTTTTCTACATTGACGGCAATCAACTGGTTGACCCTCTCTTCGGGGTTTATGTACTTTTTGGCTTCTCCTGTATCCATTTTGGTGACACGCTTTGGTGCTAAGCAAGCATTGCTGGCTGGATCAGCATTGCTCATTATTGGCAGTGTATGTGATCGATTGTTCTACATGTACTAACAACAGTGGCTTAGATTCGTTGGCGTCCATCGCCAATCATACCCTATGGTGCTAGCAGGCTCACTCCTCGTCAGTGCCTCGCAGCCTTTCGCGCTCAACTTGCCAGTCTACTATTCGGATCTCTGGTTCGATGCAGAAGAACGCGTTGCAACAACAGGACTCATGACGCTGGCAAGTCCGTTAGGCCAAGCTGTTGCTAGTCTTGTCATTCCTTTGGCAGTTGAAAAGCCATCAGACATGCCGCTCACAATGCTCGTTATTAGCATCGTCACTACCGTTCTCTGCTCCTTCAGCATCTTGATGCCGTTCCGCAAGAAGGTTCACGTCATTAGCGACTTGAGCGAAGCGCATGTGAATGCAAAGCAGTCAGTCTATCAAGGATGTGTGCAGCTACTATCGACCAAGGCATTCCTCTACATCTTGGTTCAATTCAGCATTCTCGTGGCAGCGTTCAATGCGGTTGCCACACTCAGCGAGCAAATGACAAACCCACTTGGCTATACAGCTGTCCAAGCAGGCATGTTGACTGCTGCAATGGTGATTCTTGGACTGATTGCTTCGGCCATCGGTTCTCCAATCCTCGACAAATCACGCGCGTGGAAGCTGCCAACACTGATGTGCGTCTCTACAGCAACAGTGAGTTACTTTCTCCTTGCAGGGCTCTTGACGTCTTCATTCTCGTCACTCAGGTACAGTGTTGCGATTGCGCTGTATGCTCTCATCGGGGCGAGTTCACTCATCATTCTGCCTCTTGCGCTCGAGCTCGCCGCTGATGTGAGTTATCCGGTAGACACTGAACTTCCTGCAACAATCATGTGGATGCTTGGACAGCTGCTTGGCGCTTGCTTCATCTTGAGTATGGACAAGCTGAAGAATATCTCCTCAGATGGGACATACGGTGGTGCCCTTTTGTTTTTGGTGGTAGTGCTTTGCTTACCTCTGCCTATGGCTGTCTTACTAGCTCGCAGTGGGCAGGTTGAAAAGGGTCGAGCGCTGCGAAATGGCGAAGATGGATAATTTCGTGGCATCGATGATATATACTAGATACTGCAACTTCCTGTGAATGTTCATCAAGCCAGTGTGTCGAGATCTCTGCAGACTTGGTCGATGATATTGTTTGTGAGCCAGAAGCACTGATGAAAGACACTTCCTCTCGGCGAAGCAGTAGAGATTCTCGAAACTCTAACTGCACAAGATAAGGACAATCGTGTTGAAGGGATCATTCATCGACAAATTCGACAGGAAAGTCACCGAGATCCTCGCCATAATCCGTCTCCTGCGTCTCTGAAGGTCGAGCAACAACAACATCCGCCTCAGAATCTTGCCGTGCTTGCTCAAATACAGACGCCGCTTGTCTTTTCCCCAATTCAATAGCCTCCATCTCTGCTTTGCACGCATGGTACAGAACTCGTTTCGCAGCCACGATCATCATGACTGCACTCGGCTGCAGCCCATCCAGAATAACTGTGTCAGACGCTCCATCGTCTTCTGAGAAGGGTTGAGAGCTGGTGTGTACACGCGCATGTGCTTGTCCGGGTGCTGGTAATCCTCCTCCATTGCCCGATGAACCACTTGCATCCACTGCTGCGCTTGCGGTTGATCGAGTAGCTCCAAAACCAACGGCATGGTCGAAAAAGAAGTGAGAGAGCTGTACTGCATCCGTTATAGAATCTGCTTCAAGGCCTGTATACAATGCATGTGCGAGCACTGTACATGGATCGTCATGTGCGTCTTTTAGTAATAGACTCGTCCCTCTCTGTCCACAAACCTGAAAGACTGGCATAGCAAGGAGAGTGTGCGCGTTGAATAAGTCACGCAAGCATGTTGAAAAGCTCATTGTCGTTGCCGATTGTTTATAAACGCGTGTAGCGTGTAAGACTTGTTTTGCTCGGAGAAAGGAGAGTTCTTGCAGTGCACGAACTGGGATTGACTCGAAACGGCCTTGCCAGAGCGCATCGTCTGCCAAGGTTGGCATAGAGGCGAATTGAGATTCTGTGAGGGGTGTGTATGGATACACTGACTGTTGCTGGGACATTCGATCCGGTTGAGAAGGCCGATGACGCGTTCTTTGAGAGGCACTGCGTGTCTGTGATGCACGAACAGTCGCAGTGCTGCTTGGCTTGATGGGCTCTTTGGTGTCTGCTTCATAGGCAATTTCGAGACTCGGTGCACCGGAAGCTTGTAGTTCTCTGAGCGTCTTTGCATTCGTCAAGAGTTTCTGGGTGAATGCGAAGCTACCATCAAGGAGATCCTGGTCATCCTCGTCATTTGCATCAGCATCTGCATTGTCTACTTGATCGGGAGATAAATGGCCCTGCGACAATGCACTTTGCTGTCTCTGTAAAGTACGCTCTTCTTGCTGTGCTGCCGTGAAGGGGTCTAATGCAACAGCTTGAGGTTCTTGGAGGTCAGCTGTTTCTTCGAGGAGGCCCTGTGCGGCAAAGAGGGAATCGAGTTCGTTGTCTGAGAGGGCATCATCGAGGCCATAGAGGTCGCTGCCATGAATGTCCTGTGAGCCAAAGTCATACGCGTCGTCTTCCATCCATTTGAGCGTGTATACTGGGAACTGAACAGGAAATCTGTCTCTTGTTCCTGAGTAACAGTTCCTGAGTCGGGTGGTCGAGTTGTCGAACCAACTTCCAATCGTCAGGCAACTCCCTCGGGGACAACCTCTAGACTTGTTGCTACTTCTGGACTAGACAGAGGAGCGCAGCTCAAGAGACATCATCTGGATATGGTTCGAGAGACAGACCAGCAAGGGATGCGATTTCCAAAGCTGATTGTATTCGACCTCGACTACACGTATGCAGCAAGCACCGCCATGGACCGATGAGAGAGCGCGCTGACATGCGCAGTCTATGGCCACTCTGGATCGATACCCACATCTCACCACCCCTCAAACGCGTCTATGCCAGCGCACTCAAGGACAGACATGGCGAAACCCTGGCTTTTTACAAAGATGTTCCAGGGATTCTTGTGTCTTTACATAAACAAGGTGTTGCACTGGGCATTGCAAGTCGTACATCTGCGCCAGATTTAGCAAGAGAGGCGCTGACTTTGCTGCAAGTGCAAGGACACGAGGGTCCTGTCCTGAGCATCTTTTCCAAAAAGGCAATTGAGATTTATCCAGGCTCGAAGATGAAGCACTTCAGAGCCATTCACAAGCATACGGGTATTGCGTATGAGGAGATGATCTTTTTTGATGATGAAGCACGGAATCGCGAGGTGGCAGGACTGGGTGTGACGTTTGTACTTGTACCGCAGGGCGTGACGCAGTCTGTGTTTGAGCGGGGACTGAGGGACTGGCGTGCGCAGGTGAAGAGGAGTGTCGAGCGGCCGAGGGAGGATGAGGTGGATGGGCATGAGAGGGATGGGAAGGCGGATCACAGCGAGGAGGAGGCATAGACGGGATAGACAGAGTAGATGAGGATATCGAGTGTGTAGATGAGGATATAGAGTACAGCAGAGAAGGAGCTACAACACCACAGAGCAGGAGATGAGGAGGATGCGTGGGAGAGAGAAGCAGGACGACGGCAGCGATGATCTCATGCATCTCTCTTCTTTGTCAACAAACAGCAACGACCACGACAAAGAGGCAGATATAGCTAGAGACACGTAGAGAGAGAGGGAGGCTAGCAGAGACTGGTGCAGACTAGTACAGACTAGCAGGGAGATCCATCCATGTCCCTCTCAGACAGGCAGCGGGACGACCTCAACAGAGCCATCCTGCAATACCTAGACACCCACAACCTGCATGCTGCCTCATCCGCGCTCAAGCAAGACCTCCAGCTCGACCCATCCTCCCTTCCGCTCGACGACAAGTACAACGGCCTCCTAGAGAAGAAGTGGACCAGTGTCATTCGCCTACAGAAGAAAATCCTCGTCCTCGAACAGACACTTGCTGAACTGCGCGACAGTATACCCAGCTACACCTCTGCCAGCGCAGCGCTTCATCCCTCAAAGCAAGACTTGACTGCCTGGATACCGCGTGCGCCTGCGCGGCATGCATTGAGTGGTCATCAAGCGCCCATCACAGGTGTTGCCTTTCATCCCATCTTCAGCGTCCTTGCAACAGCCTCTGAAGACTGTACCCTCAAGATATGGGATTTCGAGACGGGTGACTTTGAGAGAACGCTCAAGTCACATACAAAGGCAGTCACCTGTATTGACTTCTCACCCGCATGGACAAAAGGCGATGGTGAATCTGCCATCCTCCTTGCAAGCGCGTCTAATGATCTCACCATCAAACTATGGGATCCAGAAAACGCATATACCTGCATACGGACACTCCATGGACATGATCATGTTGTCAGCAGTGTCAAATTCATACACGGTCAACCGCATCACCTAGCATCTGCCTCACGCGATCGCTCTATTCGTATCTGGGATGTACAGAGTGGCTTTTGCATACGGACATTGAGTCAAGCGCACACCGACTGGATTCGTCAAATCGCACCGAGTCTCACTGGGGATGGATCACTCATGACTGCTAGCAGCGATGGCGCTGCGAAATGGTTGGATGGCACGTCAGGTGAATGTAGAATGACCTTTTCAGGACACGGTCACGTTGTTGAATGCTGCAGCTGGGCACCGAAACGCGCGCTCAAAGCGTGTTGTGAACTCGCTGGCCAAGCGTATCGTGCATCCGATCAGCCAGTCTTTTGTGCGACTGGATCACGCGATAAACTCATCAAAATCTGGGATGGTCGGTCTGGTCGGTGTATCGCAACCCTTGCAGGTCATGATAATTGGATTCGTGCGGTTGTATGGCATCCAGATGGTCGATACGTCTTGACGGCCAGTGATGATAAAGCCATCAAAGTATGGGATCTAGCGGCTGGTGGACGGTGTTGTCGGACCATCACCGAGGCGCATGGGCATTTTGTGAGTTGTTTGGCATGGGGTTTATCCAAGGATCAGGCAAGTTACGAACAACAAGAGAGTTCAGAAGCAGCGAATACGGGCAAGGGACGGTATGTCCTTGCGAGTGGCGGAGTCGACCAAATGGTCAAAGTATGGATGCCTTGAACCAAAGACACCCTGAATTTGACCCATGTACAGAGCATCACGCACGCTTCTCTTTTGAATTTGAATGTACACACATAACCACTCCTCCATTACGCACCTGTCTTGTGCAACCGCGCATCAGCACGCTTCATGTCCTCAATCCGGCTCCTCAGCTTTGCCGTCAAACTCGCCGCTGCTGCATGTCCCGTGATCGGCACCGTCTCGCTCTTCATCGGTGCACCATTCGATCCATACGCAGACGATGTAGTCTCCTTGGTCATTGGACGTGCTGTAGACTTACCCGGTGAAGCATACCGATTCTCCTTCTCCTCACCATCCCTCGAACTACTCCGCATAGCACTCGCAGGGACCGCTAGACTCTGCGCCGGCACAGCAGCAGTAACAGGACTCTGCTTATAACTCTCCCGCACACTCTCCTCTCTCGCTGAAGCATGTCCTGCAATGGCACGCGCATTTTGTAGTTGTTTCTTGAGTGCGTCAATCTCCATCTCTGATTTCGTACAAACACTTCGCATATGCTCCAATTCTCGCAACGTACTCATATAAGGCCCTTCAATCGCTTTCAGCTCCATCGTGTGTTTTGTATGCGATTCAATCAGTGAGGCATTCTTGCTTTGCAATTCTTGGAGTTGTGCACGCAGCGCATTGAGTTCATCGCGATCTCCGGCAGTTGCGAGCCATGCTGCTTTTTCACGACGCAAGGATTCCAATTCAAGTCGATCCGCAGGCGCTAGAACAGGTGCTTGACTCTCAAGGGATACAGGTGGTCGTGCGAGACTCTGTGCTGTAGGTCGTTGTAAGCCCGTTCCACCAGGTCTTGATAACCGTGATGCAGCAGGGGAGGAGGGGATCCCACCCACCATGGACTGTCGAGCAAGTCTTGATCCAGATGCTGCAGAAAGACTGCCAGCAGAGGCAACACCCGGCGCCATGGACGCACGCGGACCATAGCCGCTTGATGGGACAATTTTGCGCGGTTGGTTCTTGAGAGGTGAACTCGCAGGCCCCGCTGTCGGTACTTTTTTGACAAGTCGCTTGACAGGTTGTGGCTTACCAGCCGCAGCAGCAGGTACAGGTTTTGGTTTCTCAGGCTTCGCCTTGACGGTGGCAACAGCAAAACACTCAAGAATCTTTGGTTTTCGAAGTTCTTCAATTTGTTCCAGGTAAGGACCCATTGCACGTTCGCCAATGAGCTTCATCAGAGTACCGAGACACTCTGCTGCTGCATCACGAACTTTTGCATCAGATTCACCAATGAGTGCCGTGGCACCCTCTGCAATAGCCTTCACTTCGCCTTGCTTGGGAAAGACGGGAGTGACGGACAGGCTGCGTGAGAGGAAGAGGAGCATCTGGCATCGCACAGAGGGATTCTTGCTCTTGAGAAGTTCAAGTGTCTCTTCAAGCACATCTTCAAGTGTCGTGGTCAGGAAAACTGCATCGAGTGCGCCCGCAATCGCATCCAGGACATTCTGCTTCTTCTCTTTGAATCGCTCAGCACATGGCATAAAGACAACATTGCGATAGCGTCCAAAAGCGCGCTTGAGGCCTTTTGCAAGTTGTTCGAGGCAGGTGGCTGCAAGTGAGACGCAAACGACATTGGCGTCCTTTTGCACACAACGTCCCAGTAACCTTGCCACTTCCCCGAAATCACCTTCCTTGATGCGTGGGACTTTACTGCTCTCCACGAGTGCGTCCAAGACTTCCTTGCGGTCCTTCCACTTGCTGCTCAGCATGGCTTCTTCGAAGTTTTTGGGAATCGTGGATAAGACATCCACAGGCTCTGCCAGATCAAAGGCATCGACTGCCTGTTCTTCCTGCTCCTCCGCTACATCGACGGCCGCATCGTCCGCTCCACCCGCTGCTTCCTGTGCAGCTTGTTGTGACTTGAGCAAGCGTTCTTGCTTGACATCACCCACAGTAATGCCATCAAAGGCTTGTTCAAGTTCCTTGACTTGTACTGGTTTCAAATCAGCAAGAATGAGTGGTTTAACAACATCGCCTAGCCAGCGGTACAATGTAATAGCCAGATCGATTGCTTCTGCACGAACATTTTTATCAGCATGCGCAAACAATTTCGGTAACACTTGTACAGCCGGTTTGGCTTTCACTGTTTTAGCGCCAAATGCCGCATACACGCTCTTGATGCACAGCGTCGTTGCAGCCACGAGTTTTGGTAGTTTTGCTGAAAGACCCGGAATGAGATCTTCAATGACGGGTTCGCCGGAATCCAACTCGACATACATCAAGACTGTCTCAATGGCTTTTTGTCGCGTACCGGCACGTGTACTGCCTAGACATTTCTCAACGAGCGCCGGTATGACTTGTGCGCGCGTTTTGAGCGTGCTGTGCATGGGTCCATAGGTCAAATAAGCAAGCACTAATGCGACGCCTGCTTCTTGAGCGACAACATTGGCATCCTTGACTGCTTTGACGAGGAGATCAGGATCAGCGTTGAATAACTTAAAGCACGGCGCGTTATCATTCGGTGAACTGGTAAATGCGCGTGTTGCTTCTTCGTAGGCATTCAGACGGACTTTCCAGACTTTGTGAAGGAGTTTATCTTCGAGCGGGAGTGCGTCGTAGTCTTCCTGCTCGTCTGCCATGGCCTGCTGCCCTTTGTATGGGTCTGGTGCTGGTTGTTGTTGTTTCGTGTCGCTGTCGCTGTGTTGTTTTGATTCGATTCGATTCGATTCGTGAGAGACTCATCAAGTATCAGAACTACTTTTACTTGCTAGATGCCATAGTAGATGGTTACTGCTGCTAGATGACGAGACCCATACTACTCTGCTCAATAGGCAACTATGGGCCAGCTTATACCTACACAAGACATAATGCAGGTCCGTGAATCATCCGGCTCACTACTGCTCTAATTACTGACTCCAAAAGGTCACATCCTGCTCAATCTCTACATCGAAGCCATGCGCTGTCCTGCTCCAGTCCGACGATCTGACCTACAAGGTCGACTATCTAATGATAACAATGCACTGTGGCTCTTTCACTCAGATGTCGATATGAATCTCTCTGGCAATGCAGTAGCAAAAGCATTCCGCCTCTTTCAGCAGCACCAACCAACCGGTCTCTTGTGTGTCTTGCATGATGAAATGGAGATGAAGTTAGGGACTGCAAAATTACGACTCAAGGGACAAGCACGTGGTCATAATGGTATCCGGTCTTGCATTCAGCGACTAGCAACACCAGAGTTTGCTCGTATTGGGATTGGTATTGATCGACCTGCTAGTCGTGATTCAGCCGCAGTGACGAGTCATGTGCTTGGCAAGTTCACGACAAGTGAGATGCGGGTGCTTAAGGAAGAAACACTACCGGCGTTGCTTGCAGCAATTGAACAGCTTTCATTCCTGCAGGAAACATGACGTGAATTGCCAAAGACGCTGCGTATCACGGACTGACTTCTAATGCTGCTTTACACTTTGGTGAATCAATACCAGAGTCTACAACACGAAGACAACACCAGGACTACCCATGTCGTCAGGCCCAGTCCTCCCAGCGGGCAGGCCACCCGAGCAGGCGCCCGAGGCCGTGGACGCCAATCACTTGTTGCGGAATTGCAACAAAAGACGAGCAGACCCAAAAGGCCAAGGCAATTCTTCGCCTACCTTCGCCATGAACGCTGTCACTCTGTCAACTCCTCTATCCTCTCTTTGTGATGTTCGCTCATCGCATACAGAGAACTGCATGGTAGTGAAGAGTCCTTGAGAATCTTGTGGTCGTGCTTGGCATGGGACGGAAGATGCGCTGACTTGGTCAATACTGCTCTTGTCCTAGTGTGGTAGACTCTGGAATAGATTCACCAAAGTGCAAAGAAGTATCAGATTTCAGTCTGTGAAACTGCACATATATTGAAATTCTTGGCGAACCATCTGGACATGCAATCACATGCTGTGTGTTGCCGTCAAGCCATTCGTTGTGATCAGGCGGCGGTGCGAGGCTCAGGCAGCGGCTGTCAGCCTTGCACAGCCAAGGCCCAACGGCACAGCAGCCTGATAGCGCAGGTAGACCGTGTTGAATCTGCTGTACACGCTGCGAGCCACGCTCGAGGATTGCCATGACTCACAATGCTCGAAGCCCTTCATCAGTCTCTTCGACAATGCCGGTGGGATGCAAATTAGACAACATCGAGCTTGATATATGTTTCTGGTCTTTCAGCAATAATCTTGTAGCCAGGCTTGATCAGGCCGCCTCGCTTGACTGTTGCCATGATGCCAGATTTCCGTTCAACAATCTTACGCTCATCATCACGCACAATGCAACATTCTTGTAAACCAGGTTGGAACTTTTCAATCTGAGGGCATGGATTTCTAAGACCCGTCACTGTGATGATTGCATGGTCTCTGCCATTTGTATCCGCTGCATCAGCTGGTACGAAATGAAGTAAGGTGCCTTCACCTAGACCGAGTAGGTCAATCCCCTGTGTGGTGACATTCTCGCCAATACCACCAGGCGTTAAAGTCAAACCACGCTGTGCGACTTCTTCAAAGAATTCCGCATGTAGCAGATGGACCTGCCTGAGATTTGGCGGTGCAGGTTTAATCTTGATGCGGGACAGATGTTGCATGGTGGTGCCTAGATGGCTATCCCCCTCAATGCCTAGATCTGTGATGAGCTTTATGCTCGCTTGTGGTTCTTTGCTGAAGTGGTGAGCTGGGGAGGTATTGACACTGAGAACTGACATGCTGCGCTCGTTGTGTCTACTGTACTGTATGACTATATGAGTAGCACTGAGTACGGACTGTTAATCTGATGTGTGGGGGAGCCGTGAGATATTCTCATCAGATGGGCACGATCAACAAGCAGTCCCAAATCAAATCAACACAAAATTCGAATTTCCAGCGAGCAAGAAATTTGAGAAGCAGGCGAGGTTGGAGGAAGGACACCCAGTACAGACAATAAGATAAAATGGTAGGCAGCCTGCTACGAAGGTGTGCCGTCGTCGTACATGAGTCCCCTGCCTGGTGTCCTGCTCTCTTCTTAAAGGAGCAGGTACCACACCAGGAGCAAGAGCGGTTGATGAATCAATTCTCAACATGCACTTGCCAGACAGTTTCGTTGAAGAACGAAGGAGAGACTTTGCTGCTTTGCTCTTGCGAAGTGGCAGTCTTGTTGATCACTGTCTTTGTTACCCTGGCACTATGTCGAGCTGCTCTTCCTGATGATTATCAAGAAGAGAGACCTCCTCATGCCAATCTTGCAAAGAATACATCCCTTCTACATCACCACTGTCTGGCAATGCTGTTTGATTCATCTAAACATGTTCTTTCGCTCCTTCAATCGCAGGAAGGATCATGTGCGATGACTTGATCACTTTGACCCTTTGCAGCAAGTAGACTAACATATACAGGCACCAAAGAAGGCAGCAGCAAAGTCTCCATTCCCAGCCACCAAGGGCGGTGTCAAGAAGGCAGCAAAGAACCCTCTCTCCGAGAAGCGTACTCGCAACTTTGGCATTGGCCAGGATGTGCAACCTGTGCGTAACCTCTCGCGATACGTGCGATGGCCACAATACGTGCAATTGCAGCGTCAAAAGAAGATCTTGAACCAGCGTCTCAAGGTCCCACCGGCACTCGCTCAGTTCCAGTACACTTTGGACAAGAACACCGCTACAAGCTTGTTCAAGCTTCTCAACAGCCACAAGCCCGAGACCAAGGTTGAGAAGAAGGAGCGATTGACCAAGGTTGCCGCTGCCACTGCTGAGGGTAAGGAGGCCGAGCAAACCGCCAAGCCTACTACCGTTAAGTTCGGTCTTAACCACGTTGTGGGTCTTGTTGAGAACAAGAAGGCTTCCCTCGTCATCATTGCACACGATGTTGACCCTATTGAGTTGGTTGTCTACCTTCCCGCTCTCTGCCGCAAGATGGGCGTCCCTTACTGCATTGTCAAGGGTAAAGCACGTCTCGGTTCCGTTGTCGGCCTCAAGACCGCTTCTGCGCTTGCCTTGACTGAAGTCAAGTCTGACGCCAAGTCGGACCTTGCCAACGTCGTCTCTGCCATCAACGCAAACTTTACAGAGAAGTTTGACACACAGAGGAAGCAGTGGGGCGGTGGTATCATGGGACAAAAGTCACAGAACGAGACGCTTCGCAGGAAGCGTATCTCTGACGCTGCCGTCAAGGTGTAAAGTGTCGTCTTTTCTCTATTGCATAGCCAAACATTTCACGTCTGCGTATCATTTTTGAGTGTGTGTGTTTAAGGTTTTTTATGACGTCGCGACATTGTTCATTTGTATGTCTGTCTACATGCTATATCCTGCTCAGCTCCTGACTAGCACTGGCGCTGTATTCATATGACGCGCTACGGCGCAACGCAGCGCATTCATAGCTTCTCAGACGAAGACTCGCAGGACGAGTCTACATATCCTACAGGACAAGCTGAACTGAGACGTCTGCTAGATGGACCGACACCGCAAGCTAGCGTCATTTTGCGCGATGGACGACGTGTCCGGCGCTCCATCACACTGTCTTCCCTTCGAGAGAGGTCAGAGAATCTCAGTGGTGAGGAAGATCAGTCGTTGCTGCCTTCAATCGACAAGAAACGGTCTCTCTTCACGCGAGCTTATCAAGCTATCCAAGTAACAACCGCTCGCTACAGCAGCAGAGATCATGTTGCACTCTTCAAAAGTCTTCTCGCGTACTTCCTCGCTTCCCTCGTTGTCTTTCTACCAAGACCATTTGCGTTTCTAGGGACAACAGATGGCAAGCATTTCGTCGCCACCTGCTGCGTTTACTTCCATCCAGCACGCTCACAAGGTGCTATGCTCCAGGCGACTCTCTACGCACTCCTCGCGCTTGCCTGGTCATTAATTGTTTCTGCGGGCAGTATGGCTACGGCTGTTGGTTTCAATGCAATTGGACAACGCAACGCAGGACACGTCGTTGTCTTGGTTGTGTGGATCGTCGGTGGTGTTGGTGTGATTGCGTACTGTAAGCAACGTATTGGCGGTCCATTGATTGGCGTTGCAGCATCCATGGCCAGTGTCGTCCTCTTCTTCAATGTCACGCGTGAAGGATCCCTTCAACTCGGTCGATTCAATTTTGAAAAGCTGTGTGGCTATCTGTATCTGGTCTTGATGGGTCTGGGGATTAGTATTCTTGTGAATCGATTGGTAATGCCTGTCTCGGCAACACGGTTGTTGAAGAGAGAGATGATTCAAGCAACGGCGCACATGTCACAGTTATTGACACTGGTCACGCAGTCATTCCTGAAAACAAGTGGCACCGATACGGAAGAACTCCAAGCTGCAGCGACTCAGAATGGTAAAACACTTGCTGTCCTTCAGGAACAGCTCGATATGGCACGGTATGAGTTATGTCTTGCTGGACGCGAACGTGAGTATGCACTGTTGATGGATATTGTCAAGAAAATGACGCACGTTGCACAGCATTTATCAGGACTCTTGTCGAGTTGCGAAGTTCAAGCCATGCTGTTGAGTGGTGAAGCAGACCCGGAAAGTGATACAGGTTCATTGACTGCCAGGGAAGTGGCAAGAACATATATCCACCACCTTGGCCCACCCATCAAGTCACTGGCTTTCACAACACGACAAGCACTGGCTGAGATGCCTTTTGCTGAAGCAAAGTTTCATGTTCGTTTGCCTGTGCAGCTCTTTGAGAATCTCGATGCAGCACTTGCGTTGTATGAAGAGGCGAACATCAAAGCACTCTCAACACTGTACAGTCATCCAGTCTTTCACAACGCAACCGATCTCAGCCAAGTGACGGATCGTGAAGAGGTAGCAGCGTCGATGGAGTACTTTTCGCACAACTTGCAAGCTTTTGTCATGGAGACACAAGCACTCATGCGTGTGTTGCAGGCACTGGAGAAATACCAGGCGCAACCAACAAGATCCTGGTATTGGCTCTGCATTTGGCGTCGCCAACAAAAAAAGCAAAAGTCGAAATCAGCTGTTCCTGCAAGGCAGAAATCATGGCTCGATCGGGTCAAGTATAATCTATGGCGTGCGCTACGCGTCTTCAAAAACCCTAACATCCGGTTTGGTCTGAAAGTGGGTGTTGGTGCAGCGCTTTTTGCTACACCAAGCATGGTGGATGCTTGGCGTGGTGTGTTTCTCGAGTATCGCTTTGAATGGGGTTTGTTGTCCTATGTCATCATTACGAATGCTTCAGTGGGTGGTACGTATTCAGCTGCTCTATGGCGTGTCACTGGCAGTGCTATTGGAACACTCCTTGCTTGTTTCATTTGGACGGCAGCGCCTGCTCGTGCGGGTATTCTCACACCTGCTGGACTCGTCATTGCAACACCTTGTCTCTGGATGATTCTTCATCCTGCAAAGTACAACGTGCAACTAGGTCGCTTCATCTTGCTCTCCTACAATCTTTCTGCATTGTATGCATTCACTCTCTCTCAGCAATCAAAAGATGGGCCAGATCAAGATGCCGATGAAGGGGGTGTCAGGCCCATCATCACTCTCATTGCATTCCACCGCATCGTCTCAGTCACAGCTGGTTGTATCTGGGGTGCTCTGATCAATACCTACATCTGGCCCATCAAGGCTCGTGTTGCATTGCGGCAGGGACTTAGTGCCTTGTGGCTCAAACTAGGCCACGCATGGCGTCAAGATCCCTTTGGGAAGCAACGCACGGCTATCTCCGTTGAGGGCTTTCTCGCGATTCGACAAGATTTAGACAATTTGCATGGATTACTGGCACAATCACCCAATGAACCAAGACTCCGCGGTCCCTTCCCCTCAACCGTGTATGCACAACTCCTTGCCGGTACACGACAAATTGCAGACTTATCCTACGCATTGACACGATCGCTCCACGACGCATCCCACGCTTCACACACTAAGGACGCACTACTTATTCAAAAAACAAGTCAAGCACGATATGCCTTGGCAGATGCTTTATTTCTAGTGTTGTACTTGTTGGCAGGGAGTTTACAAGTCCGTGCACAAGTCCCCGGTTGTCAAATCGATGCTGCTGTTGCTGCTCGAGAACGCTATCTTGCGCGTATCAGTGAAGTGCGTGTTGAAGCGGCATCCGCACGTGCAAAGGAAGGTGAATCGGCACTTGAGTTGTTGGTGGAGCAGGAGCATACAACAGGGGCAGATGGTGCTTCAGATGGGCTTGGTGCGAGTTTTCATTATGCCCTGATGACAGGTGTGTTGCTGACAAAGCTGCGACGGTTATCTGTATTGCAGACACAGTTGTTCCAAGAAGGTGGCATGGCTGGTGATGATCTTGAGGATGCAGATTTGGAGGATGGTGGGCATCGTGTTGCATGAAGTTCATTTTTTATACAAAGGAAACAAATAATTTTCACTACAACACGCTGTCTAGAGCATTCATGATTCATCATCGTTGCCGCTGCGATCGTGGTTTCCAAAGCTTGAAACTGTTTAAGAAGGAATAACACGTCGGTCGTGTTGTTGTTGCTCGACCAGGAATGGTACTACTCGAGATGCTTGACTTTGAACGTCCTCGTGGCTCTTCGGTACTGATTGTACGACCACGGTGTAAAGACTGCGAGTGTGCACGTTCTGTTGTTGGTGCAGGACTTGGAGAAGCGTCTCGACTGGCTGGTGCACTACTACCCGAGCGAACACTTGTTCCTGGTGTCGTTACACCCTGTGTGCGACGTAGCGGTGAGCGTGAGCGAGGCAGAGTCGATGCAGTCAGAGACGTGCCACGTGGTCGATGTAACCAGTCTGGAGCCTGACCGAGACCATGCATCAGGAAGAGATCGTGTGGGTGTGTGAGAATCCACAAAGCACTCATAATCACTGTGCGACTGATGCGTTCCGGTTGCGGTTGCTCTGCTATCAGTGACAGTGGCGAAGAAAATGTCTCCGTGCTTTGTGAGGGTTGATCTGTTGAGGTGCGTGAAGGGAGATGGTAGAGGATGAGTTCATCAACAGTCAATTTAGCCACTTTGACACCGCGCGACTCGCCGACTGTGGCGACTTTATCTGGATCCACAATACGACACGTCCATTCATCCGCAGGCTGTAAGACTAATCCAGGTAGTGAGAGTCTGCGTTTTCCGAGCCCAGCAGATAAGGAAGTGGTACTCCCCTGTGCTGGTGAATTAGAACGACTTGCACGACGCGAAATGACGGAAGACGCGCTCGTCTTGCGTTGTGGTTTATAGCGATGTGTCCAGACCAATTGAAAGTTGGTGTTGGTCACACCACTGAATTGTGTCCAAAAGGTGAAGCCAGCGGAAGACTGATCAATCTGCCAGTCGCGTCCAGGCGCATCGGGTTTGTAGTGCACGCGAAGGGTGCCTGATGGACGTGTGTCGGTAGAACAGACATGTGTCAAGGCATTCAAATTGTGCACTGACAAAGGCGTTCGCTGAGGTGTGGTACTTGGTGATGCACTCTTGCTGCGCCGTGTCGTTGCTTGACTCACACGCCGTGCCAGTTTGCTCTTGGGTGACTTGAAGACTGCGAGACGTTCATCTTCGTAGCTGGTGACAATTGCTTCTTGTGGATCGAGCACATGTGAGGCTCTGCGCAGGTCGTACGCGGGTGTATGGATGCGCGTGCCACAAGCAGCTGGGCCGAGACGTTGGAGTTGGCAGATGGGTGCAGTGGGTCCCTTTGAGGTGGGTGGACGCGCAATGAGGAAGTGGTCTGCTTCTAGACGTGGCATTGATTGCAGTTGCCCTGTCCTGCTGTAGCAAGGTCTGCTCCGTGTGTACAAGACAAGAACAGGGAACGTGCGACCCTTATATGCTGCGTGGCTGTATGTGGGATGCTATGCGCAGTTGAGCCCTGCCTGCGATGCCAAGAGAAAGAGCGTGTAAGGATGTACAGATGAGTGATGGAGGGTGAGCACTCTGGCGCTTCAAGACTCGCTTGTGTCTGTGTTGTTGTCGCCCAGGCCATACACATCATCACATCACATGGGCTGTATCTCTGGCTTGTTCATGGCATGATACAGCATAGAGCAGAGTCGAGAGTATATCAGGTCCTTCTCTGTCTCTTTTCTTCCCCCGATATCCTCACAGTCGCAGCACTAGCAGCCTGGTCGCCCAGCAGCAGCAGTCTTTGTGGCAGCCAGAGTGCGGAATCCAGGCCAATCACTGAGGGAGAGCGCGCTAAAAGTAAGCACGACAATGTTCCTATACTTGACTAAGTTGACAGTCTTGTGGCCCTGACAGTACCGTCATCCGTAGAGCCAAGCAAGCAAGCAAGTCACTGCCAAGGCTACCCGGGACCTGCTGCGCTTACCCTGTAGCACTGCCCTGCTGCTCAATAAGTGCTGTTTCTTAGTGATGACGATAAAAGCGAAACCCAAAATATTCCTTCGTTCTGCTGCTGCTGCTGCTACGGACCAGACTGCAAGAGATGTCATTACCTTACACACAGACAAAGCGTCTGAGCGCATCCATCCTGTGCATGCACCCTCAGGACATCACGTATCAAGCAATGACCACGAGTTGTATCTCAGACCCCACGCAAGCACAGACCGCTTCGTGCTGGCTCCTCCAAGATCTGTCTCAGATCTATATAAGCATAGTCCGCTGCTCTGTCAATGAGCACTTCACAGAATGGACGCGCGGACAAGGTATTACCAAGCCAGACAACGACGACACAACAAAATGATTGCTAGCCTTGAAGCAAAGAACGGCCGAGACGTGGAGTACAAGATACCCTTGACGCTGTTCATCCTCGTCATCATCGGCTTCCTGCCTTCTTGCGGATGGTGGCTCTTCCTCTAGACACGCAGTGCTGTCCCTTCAAAAGTCCAGACCACCTTGGATTGCCGTACGTCGCTCGATTGTCGTCGACTTGGTCTTCTCCTGCTGCTGCTGCTGCTCCGCATGACGACGACGAGCCTTCTTCTCATCACCAATACCCAGCTTACTGATACCAGTGTTGAGACCTTCCAACAAGACGCAGGCTTTGCAGACTTCTTTGCTAGACATGTACCCGCAACGCACACACGATCCAGGCTTTTGAATTGCAGCTGCCTCTTTGATCTCAAATTGCTCGCCAGAATGGATAATATCAATGATGGCACTCGGTCGAATCGCCTCCAGATCCTTAATCAGCGTCCGTGCAGTCCCGCGAAATGCTTCAGGTGAGTACAAGCATTCTGTTGAAAAGTAATCGAGCTTTTTGAAGTGCGCATACAGGACGATTTCCTTTTCATAGGTGTATTTGAAGGGTTTTGAGCGCTTGATGGTGGATTCACCACCTTCAGTGATGATGGCCGTACAACGACCCAAACGAGCAACATCGCCACGTAGCAGATTCATCATCACTGTCTCAGCCATGTCATCCGCGTTATGCCCAGTCACAATATGCTGAATTCCCAGCATCTCTGCACCACGATCGAGCGCCTGTCTGCGAAACACACCACAGAAGGTGCAATTTGACTTCTTACCAACAGCAGCAACAATGCGATCCATATCCCACCCATACAACTCATCATAACTGACAATCTTGAGCGGTAATGCATACTCGATTTGATTGCGTTTGACAGTTTCAAGGGAATCGTCGCGATAGCCTTTAATGCCCTCATCGACACTGAGCATCACAAGGTCTAATCCCAAATCATAGCGCTCATTGAGCGTCTTGAGCATATACGCCGCAAACACAGAATCCTTCCCACCACTACTCCCAATAGCGATTCGTTCACCACGATGAAAGAGTTTATGCTTGACGATCGTCTTGTAGGATTCATGCTCCAGTGAGGTGCAGAAACAGTCTTTGCAGAGTTTCATGCCATTACGCGGTCGTCGCATCTGTGGCTTTCGCACCTGACAAAGCTCACATTGACGAGCGACCATCTTGGCTTGTTTCCAAGCCACAAGACAGGATGCGCTGGCAGATGCAATGGCCTGGTCAAGTCGTCGCACGTTCGTAAGCTATCGACTGCGGTATTTTGTGTGAAGGCGTGAGACATCAATTGCCATCTCGTCAACTCTGTCAGTCTACGGGTGATGAATTGCTTGACTAAGCCTGGTATCGGCAGCAGCTATACTGAAACCATATCATACCTATGCTATCAGATGAAACACGCTCGCTTTACATGCTAGCTCCTTGAAGTCCCGTGTCTGTTCCTCGGCCGTGTGTACGCTTGAGACTTCGGCAGCTTCTAATTTGGGCGGACCGTACTCCAGTGCCTCGAGCACTAGCTGAGTTCAGAGGCTTTTCATGATCAGTGCGAGATGAGCATCTTGCGACCTTGTGATAGCTCGCAAAGGCTCGCACACTTTTCATCAGGAGCAACGCCTGCTATAACCTGCTAAGGATCTGATCATCGCAATATCATACGCCACACAGAACAACGTCGCATCTTGGCAAGGAGTAGCAGATGTCCATGTGATGGCAACTCGATAGGTATATGATCGCGTCAGCATATTCTGATACATCACTCTTCAACTTCCGGCTCCTCGATAACAATCTGATGCTCAGTTGTCATGATAAAAGCGCCATGAGACGCTTCTCTCTCTGCACCTCCCTCAGCATATCTCTCAGCACATCTTTTAATCAAGCCTCACATCTCATGCTGCCATCATTTTCAGCTATCTACGGCGTCACTGTCTGGGTCGGCTTGACTGCTCTCATTCCTCCAGTGGCGTCAGACACGACTGCTTCACTACTCACGGAGACTGGAGGCGGCGTGGCCGAAAGTAATATCTACTACAATTGTGCGCGAGCCACCTTCCATTTCAAATCGGTCTATCCCAATCCTTTACATGGAGATTGCACTGCGCTCTGTAACAGCAACACGAAAAAGCGACTCGACAATGCTCGTAATCCTGAAATGAAATTGGATGGATGTCAAGCAGATTCCGGTGTGTGTCTTCGCGTGACTGCAAGCGGAAGTAGTACCTGTACTTGTCTGCAGCATGTCACCTTTGAGCGCCTTCATCACGACCTTAAAGAGTACCCAGGATGTGCTGATAGTCTGCTTCTGCCACGACTCGCCGAACATTTAGACATGCCGAAGGACCCGGATCGACTCAAGAATCCAAGTATCGAGAAAGAGGCTGTTCATTGTGGGATTCAGAAGAATAGCTGCCGCTGTACAGATGATTACAGTATTCATTGTCCCTAAACCTTTAATCCTCTTCTGCAACCATTCTCCTAGACTTTACAGTTCTAGCAACCAACTTTTCTAATTAGGCAGAAACTTTGGCCAGGTAGGTTCAAGCAGCTAATCAATTTTATGAGTGTTCGGGACCTGATTCTTGCTTGCGGGGCCTTTTGCCAAATGGTCTCGAGCTACGTGGTATATGCATCAGACAGTGCTAGTTGATACCTATTCGCATGTGCCCGCGGTGTCCTGGCAACATTAGACGGCGACTCGGCAAGTGGCTCATCTGGCGTCAACTTTGGGTGAATTTTGCCGGGCGCCAAGCCGATTCCCCCGCGAGTCATCTCAGCAATCTCAGACTCATCTGTACAAGCACAAAGCAGATGAAACGTTAAAAGGCTCATCCGTACATACCCACGAGCAATCACCTCGACACCACCCACTCGCTACCATGCTCGATTCCATGCGGCCAAAGGCCAAGCGGCCCGACAACGCCATCCGCACGATAGACTCGCCCGACCAAATAAAGCCCACGGCTTTTGCCAGCGACGAAAGCTTGGATACTCGTACGAGCGCACAAAAGTACTGGACCGTCGTTGTTTGCGGTATCGCACTGCTCAGTGATGGCTATGTTGCTAGTTCTATCGGTACTGTGCTTGTCATTCTCAAGCACCTGTATCCCGAAGAGTCCAAAGGCTCGCGCGGCTTGCAACTGCTCGGCTCCATCTCTTTTGTGTAAGCAAATCTTTTGTCGAATCATGCCCTAACTTGCAGTGGTACAGTGGTTGGTCAATTGTGCTTTGGCTATGTGACTGATCGAGTTGGTCGCAAGAACGGCATGCTCATTGCCACATCTCTCTTGATCCTCTGGACGGCCATGTGCGCCGGTGCTTATGGTCTGAATGGCTCCATTCCTGGTCTCTTTGCTGCCATTACCTGCTATCGCGCTTTTCTTGGATTCGCTATTGGCGCCGAGTATCCCACTTCTTCCTGTGCTGCTTCCGAGACCTCTGCAGAAACACCGTCCGGCAAGCGTCACTTTATCTTTGTTCTCGTCACCAACACAGCCATTGACATGGGCTTTGTGCTTGGCGCCTTTGTGCCATATATTTTGGTGCTCATCTTAACGGCGAATCACTTGCGAGCAGTCTGGCGCATGACGATCGGATTGGGCGTTGTTGTTCCACTCTCGCTCTTTTACTTTCGAGTCAAGATGCATGAACCAAAGGCATTTAAACGAATGGGTGGCAGGAATGTCAAGATCCCATATACCCTCATCTTGAAGCGATATTGGCTCAAACTCGCTGCCATCAGCTTCATCTGGTTCGTGTACGACTTTGCCTCTTACTCTTTTGGTTTGTACAGTGCCACCATTACAGATGCAGTATTGCCAGCAGGAAGTTCCTATGCAAAGACCTTCGGATGGAACACACTTCTCAACGTCTTTTACTTACCAGGCTCGATTCTTGGTGCATACGCGTCAGATATCATTGGACCTAAGCGTTGTCTCATCATTGGTCTTGTCCTGCAAGCGACCTGTGGTTTCTTCCTTGCAGGCTTCTACGAAAAGATTCTAGCGAATGGCATTGCTGGGTTCATTGTTTTCTATGGAATCTTCCTCTCTCTCGGTGAATTTGGCGCTGGTAACTCAATAGGTGAGGTTCTTCCTGTTGTGACTGAATGCTAACAATAGGTCTGCTCGCTGCCAAGTCGTCGTCATCTATGGCGCGCGGGCAATATTACGCAATCGCAGCGGCTATTGGTAAAATCGGCGCGTTTGTCGGCAGCTATGCCTTCCCGTCTATTGCATCTCGCTTCAGCTCTACCAATGCTGGCTATAAAGGTGATTTCTATGTTGCCTCTGCCATGGCTATTTGTGCTGCCATGGTTGCCTTCTTCTTCGTGTCGGAATTGAGCCAGGAATGCATTCAGCAGGAAGATTGCGATTTCGTGGATTACCTACAAGATAATGGCTTTGACATCTCTCAACTCAGTCGCAGCTCGTCACTTGAATCACAGGATGGCAAAGTCAAGGAGTTGAAGGAGTAGAGAGAGTGATATTCAGATCGGATGACAACGTTTTCTTTTACTGTACTGTCTGTACAATGTACATGTAGTTTACTCACCAATTTTGTGTCGCACTGTACACCTCTTGCCCTCGGATGAATGTCTTGAGAATATCTCCTTCAGCTGTCATGAGAACAAGATCTGCCATGTAACCCTTACGTACTTGTCCTTGATCCTTGAGGCCCAAGACACGAGCAGGATTCTCATTGACTGTCTGCACCACAGCTTCGATCTTTGCTTGGCTCGCATTCAGGAGATTTCTGAAGCACGTATCAAGTGAGGAAGCTCCACCTCCAATATCACCATTTGAGATGGTTGCCGCTTCTCCTTTTTTGGTCAACTGCATACCGTGTGGACCGGTGTACGTGCCATCAGCCATGCCAAGGGGACTATTCGCATCTGTAATCAGACAACAGCCTTCCGGATTGGCCTTGTAGGCGAGTGCTGCAGCAAAAGGTGAGACGTGGATGTTATCGGCAATGAGGCCAAAGAAGGGTGCCGTGCGTTGCCCTAGCAAGTCAATAAGACTTGGTTTTCTGTGATGAAGTGACGGCATAGCATTGTATAGATGCGTCAGCATCGTTGCGCCTCGATCAAGTGCTTGCTGAGCAATAGCAATTGGCGCAGCACTATGGCCGAGACTTACCACGATGTCCTGACTTACAAGCTTAGAGACAATATCCAGCAAGCCGTCCATCTCTGGCGCGATTGTGACGATAGCTGTCGAGCTGGAATAGTCTTTGCCATAGGTCTCTTCCATGGATGTGCTTGCTTGTTTCATCCAGTCCGGATTGTGTATGCCATGCTTCTCCGGGCTCAGGTACGGGCCTTCCAGATGAGCGCCCAGGATCTGAGCACCTTTGGCGACTTGCCGAGGAGCAAGTAGCGGTACCACCTGCTTATAAATCTCAGCAGTAGAGGTGATGAGAGTCGGACAAAATGCAGTGACGCCATGAGCAGGCAGTCGTCTGCAGACATCCTCGAGCTTGTCCTTGTAGTCTTCCGAGTATGTACAGAAATCAAAGTCCCACGCTCCGTTCAGCTGGAGATCCATGAAGCCAGCAGTCAAGATGTGGCCGCGACAGTCGACATCCCTAGCTCGGTGGATGGTCAAGTCAAAGTCATCCTGCTTGACAACTCGTACATCAGCGATACTGCCGCCCGTCACATCAATCACGACTTGGCAGGACGGTGTCAGCTTGCCTTCTGATGCGATGGAGCAGTTTCTCAGAGTGAGCCAGTCATGTTCCCGAGACATACGGCAGCTTGAGCTTTGAAGTTGATATATATTGATGGGTGAAGTGAAATTTGTGACTGCGCCGGAAGAAAAAAAAGTCAAAAGACGACGAAGCAGCAACGACCAAAGACTCCTCCCCTGCATCCCCCTCCTCCTCCCTCAGTCCCTCTCTGTGTATGTACCTCCAGTCATCACCGGGACACGCGCTAACATCATCAGTCCACGAACAGACCTTCCGCCCAAAAAAACCACAATCAAAAAAAAACTTGTACGCCTATTCCCATCAGCTCGACACATATCAATCAGGACGCGCGCTAACCTTCCTTGCAGAGAAAATCCATAAAAAATGTCTTCTTCTCCCGAGGCATCTGTCGCTCAGCCCGCCCAGCAGGCACCTGCTTCGCCTGAACAGGCCCAGCAGCAGCAATCCAACAACAGCGAGGACAAGAACAGCGACAACCGTTCTGCTGGCTCGCTCTACGTTGGTGAGCTCGAGTCCTCCGTCACGGAAGCCATGCTGTTTGAGCTCTTCAATGGCATTGGTCCCGTTGCTTCCATTCGTGTTTGCAGGGATGCCGTCACCCGTCGTTCGCTTGGTTATGCCTATGTCAACTTCAACAACTCTCAAGACGCCGAACGCGCGCTCGAGGAGCTCAACTACACCCTCATCAAGGGAAAGGCATGTCGTATCATGTCTTCCCAGCGTGACCCTCACCTTCGCAAGACTGGATCTGGCAATGTCTTCATCAAGAACCTCGATGGCGCCATCGACAACAAGGCTTTGCATGACACATTTTCTGCCTTTGGCAACATCCTTTCGTGCAAGGTCGCTACCGATGATCTCGGCAACAGCAAAGGTTTCGGTTTCGTGCACTACGAAACAGACGAGGCTGCCGCTGAAGCCATTAAGCATGTGAACGGTATGCTGCTCAACGACAAAAAGGTGTATGTCGGTGCACACGTCTCGCAGAAGGAGCGCATGTCCAAGTCTGAGTCGATGAAGCAAAACTTCACCAACATTTACGTCAAGAATGTCGATCTTGAGGTGACGGAGGAGGAGTTCAATGAGCTCTTTGCAAAGTACGGTAAAGTCACGTCATGTGCTCTTGCGCGTGATCAGGACGGTGCTAGCAAAGGATTCGGCTTCGTCAACTATGCTTCTCATGAAGACGCCGCCAAGGCTGTTGAGGAGCTCAATGACACTGAGTTCAAGTCCAAGAAGCTTTATGTCGGTCGTGCACAGAAGAAGTATGAGCGTGAGGAGGAGTTGCGTCGATCGTACCAGCAGGCCAAGATGGAGAAGATGCAAAAATACTCGGGCGTCAACCTCTTTGTCAAGAACCTCGATGATGAGATCGATGACGAGAAGCTCCGCGAGGAGTTTGCCGTCCATGGAACCATCACCTCCGCCAAAGTTATGCTTGACGAAGCTGGTAAATCCAAGGGCTTTGGCTTTGTTTGTTTCTCTTCCCCGGAAGAAGCCACCAAGGCCGTCACGGAGATGAATCAGCGAATGCTCAATGCCAAGCCATTGTATGTTGCCCTTGCTCAGCGCAAGGAACAGCGTCGTGGCCAGCTCGAAGCACAGATTGCCGCTCGAAACAACTTGCGCATGCAGCAGGCTGCCGCGCATGGTGGATTCCCTGGTGTGCCTATGGGTGGCTATTACGGTGCACCTATGCAACCTAACGGTTACTTCGGCGGTGGTGGCGCACCTGGACGTATGGGTCCTCAATTTGGTGGTATGCCCGGTGGTTATCCACAACAAGGTGGACGTGGCGGCTATGCTGGTCAAGGCCGTGGTGGTATGCCTATGCAAGGTATGTACCCACCCATGCAGCAAGGTGGATATCCTCAAGGTTACCCGCAACAACAACCTTACGGCATGCCTAGGGGTGGTGGTCGCGGTGGCGCAATGAGGCAGCCTACTGGACCTCGTGCTGGTGGTATGATGCCGCAAGGTATGATGCCTCCTCAGATGATGCAACAGCAAGGAGCCGGTGCATTTGATATGGGTGGTCTCAGCAGTGCTTTGTTGGCAGCTGCTACACCAGAGAACCAGAAGCAGATGCTCGGTGAGGCGCTGTATCCCAAAGTCATGGAGCACGAGCCTGAGCAGGCTGGTAAGATTACGGGTATGTTGTTGGAGATGGACAATGCCGAGTTGCTCAACTTGATTGAGGATGATGCGGCATTGAAGCTCAAGGTGGACGAGGCGCTCAAGGTGCTGCGTGAGTTCAATGAGAGTGCACAGGCTGAGGGAGGTGCTGAGGAGGATGACCAGGGGGAGAGCAGTCCTGCTGAGACGCCTGCTGACAAGACAGAGTAGATTGTTTTGGCATCGATTTCTTGGACGTAGAGCAAGCGATTCATGGGTTCTGTCGTTGTTTGATGAATGTGGCTACGTGCTAAAGAAATGCAATATATTACATGAACCATCAAGAAAGGTCGAACCCAGCATGACCGGTGATGGCCAAGCGCAACTTCTGCTCCAATGTATCTGCATCCTTGTACTCAGGAAGCTTGAGTAAATTGACGCAAGTTGACGCAGTTGGCAGCCTTGCTACATCCGTGCCTGCATGGCGAATGCTAAACTTTGGCGATAGCATCTGGAAGCCGAGGAGAGGGGGTCGCGGTGTTGAAGTGACAAACTTGATGAGCATGCGTCGCTCGTCCTCGGTGAAGCGATGCTCTAGGCAGTACCAGAAAATGTTGACTGTTGCATCATCCTTTGAGAAGCCGCCGTATTGAGTGTTGCGCTTGAGCTCGGCCACATCAATAGGAACAGGGTTGCCGCCAATGAGTGCTTGCAGCTCGCTCGTAGAAAACATGGCTAGCCACTTGGGATTGAGGACAGCGCCAAGACCATTAACGAATGCCTCGGCTTGTTTGCGATAGCGAGCATTCAGTTTATAGTGGCAAACGAGGTGAATGTATTGCAGCCGATTGAGGCGTGTCACTGGAGTATCGCTGCCGTTTGGGATCAAATTGATTGTTGTTGTACCGGTAGCTGAAGTCTCTGTCAGTGTAAAGTCCAGCGCTAAGTCTTCTTCGACATTTCCGGTGTAGTCCTTGAGCTTGAGCAGGCCCATGTAAAGATCCTTGTCCAAGGATTGCAAGTCATCCAGATAACTCATCTTGCCAATCCATTTGAGCAAGAAGAATGGAGCGAATGACGCATCAATCAGAATGCCTTCATAGATGCACTTACCAACCAGCCGTCCCAAGAATTCGTACTGCATCAAGGCCTTCTTTGTCCGAGCAGCTGGGCTTGTGACTGGATGTAATTGTCGATCTGCCGTTTCCACAAAGAGGCCGCGATCTGGATGCAAGGCTTGTTTGCATGCTTCGAGCAAGAACTCCTTGGTCAAGCCGCCGCCATCAATGCCTGCCTCTTGCATGCCAAACACATCTTGATATTCGATACTGAGTGGCTGTTTGATTGCTGAACCTGCGGGCCAGAGCACTGCAAAACCATCATCAAGCTCATGCTCCCGGCGAACAGCGACAGGGTATCGCGAAACTTGGTGCCAGTAATTGCGGAATCCAGAGCGTTCAGCATCCCTTTCAATTAAATTGCGCATTAGTTGAAGACGATCATGAAACTTGATGGTCCAAGGACACATCGTCATAATTCCCAGCTGGCCAATGTTGCGCCGAGTACTGACAGGCACAGACTCGCTGTCCTCCATCTCTTCTTCTTCGTCACTTCCGGCATCCCGTTCTGATTGATTCAACACCCAATCAATCAGGCTTCTATCTGTGGAATGGTCAGCCAGGTCAGCCAGGACCCAGTGAAGCGGATCAGGCCGTGCTTGACGACCATAGCGAACTACAAGGTGATGTAGTAGGCGCACAGCTATAGCTTCGCGAGCTGCAAGGGTAGATCTCCTAGCGGCATTATCTTTTGCCAAATCATAGATTTTGGCATTGAGAAGCTTGCCAAGTTTCCATACGAGATCTAGGGGCAAAGGATTGCGTCCAGGATCAAAAAAGTCTTGGTCTGGCATGGTAATGTACATGCGATGGCAGATTTCGACCAAGAGGAATTGTTCGCTTCCCCAGTCCTCGAGACGAGAATGAAATTTACTTTCTGCCGTCTCGTACAGCTTGAGAATGAAGCCTGTTTGAGTCAGTGCGCGCAGGGCAAGCTGTGTGAGCAACTGCTCGCGCTCTTGAGGCCAGTACTCGATGATCGCCATGAGAAGTTCAAGAGTGGCGATGAAATCCGGCCCTGAGACATGATGTTGGAGCATCATCTCAACAAAGGTTGAACTCGCGAGGAAGTGCAGAAGTTCTTGGACCTGCGGCTTAGTGTGCTCAAGAAGCCAGGCATTAGATGTCATATAATCGTCCAGGGTGTCTTGATTTGGAGCAATTTCATATTCCGTTCTTGGCATGAGCGACATTATCAGGAGCTGTGTCAGAGTTCGCAGCCAAAGTCGAGGAGGCACCATGCCGCCATCAGCTGGTGGAGCGTAGGACAAAGTTCTCGAAGCCAAATCACCTTGCCACCAGAATTTGCCAGTCCACGCAAACAGTTCCTTATCTGATGAGAAGACATAGGTGAAAAGTAACTGGGCGAAGTTGAGAAACTTCCACTCCGTCCCGTTTCGCGAGTCATACCAATCTAGCCATTCTTCCCTTATAGCTTCCCTATAGGCACACAAAGCTTCCAGGCGATCCACTCCCAACCACTTGATGTTGAGGAAGTCTGGCAATTGAACTAGCAATGGCTGGTCAAGAATGTTATATTCGAAGTTTCCCGCAGGCCCATGGCGAGGATCGCAACGCTGTCTGTTGTCCCATGCCAACACAGAAGGTAAGGCTTCAATGACCATTCGGTTCCATTCTTCATTTGGGTCCCTTGCTACTCGATCCATCTCCCTACCGAGTAGCCATGCCATCCTATCCTGGGCATGATGACCACTGACTGAATGATATTTTCCCCACGCTGCCACGATCTTGACAAGCTTGGCATGTTGCATGCTGTTAAGACGGACAAAGAGATAGGTTTCCCGAGCTATATTTGCCAAGCGATCGAACACATGAGACATGCTGGCCCCGGCCTCAGATGCAGATTCAAGATCCACATCCTTGCCCGTATTCAGTGAGAAAAAGCGCTCGAGATCCTTCCGTGGATTGAAGAAGAAGGCAATGAGTCTCATCTGAAGCAAATCAGAACCCTCATCGATCATGGCATCGAAATCTGCCCTGAGTAGATCCATCGCTACTTCTCTGGCCAGATACGCCCGGTAACACCTTTGCAAGACGATGGCAGCAGACACTTTGCGCCGCTGCAGATCGCGCTGTTGTCGGCCTGCTTCAGCTCGACGAAGAAGTTCCTCGCGCGACTGTGGCGTGGCCCGTTGACCGCCCATATTGACGCGCGGCCGCTCCCGTGCATGCCCGCCAAAGCTCTTCATAGCGCCGTCTGCTACAGTCTTGTAGGTTGGGCTGTTTTTGTGATGGCGTCTGTATGTCGATTACGCACGTCGCTTTGAAATTCGCTCCAGTGGCGGAGACTCGAAGCGAGCGAAGTTGCAATAAAACATCATGCTCGATAGTCAAGGGCGCAAGCTTTGAATAGATTAGGCAGACTATAAGGAAGGTTGCTACGACTGTGGAATGGATCTGACACCCTAGAACGATGTCAGAAGCTGGATGTATCATCTGCCAGAGACTTTTGATGTCAGTCGAAACGCACCCTTAGGGATTTTGTCTTGCAAACGGTGTCTGCTGGTGAGCCGATGCCTACATCTGACGCCGAAAGCCAAGCATCTGAGACTCCACACCCTTCTCGAGAACAAGACTTGGTCGGGCAGTTATCGCCTGGGCCGCCCTGCACAGACACACCGACGCGTCCAGAAGGCTGGACGTCAATGTTGCTGATATCATACGCGATGCTACCAGCGACGTACTTGTTCTTCGGGTCGCACCAGCCAAGCTCAAATCTAGTGACTGGATCTTGGGTCTGAACGAAGCCTTCCGGGCACCGAGCTCCTCCGCAGTCCCCATGTTTGCATGTAAACTTACCATTCACAGTCTCACATCCGAAGCGTGGTATGACCTGGACTTGCATGACACCGTATGGAATCTTGAAAATTGTTGATGAGCCAGGAAGGAGTGGGTCTTCTGACCCAAACATCTTGTCATCCTGCACATTGCGACTGAGCGACAGGCCATTGTTCCCATTTACACTCAGCTGAATCGCAACAGGCCATAAGTTTTCCGAGCCTCCGTTCTCGATGGTCAATTCCAAGTACTCTTGCGTGTCGGCTTGAGAATGACCGCCCTTATTGCCATCAGCTTTGTCTTGGTTCTTAGGGGGGTCTTCATGATGGGCAGGAGGATTCGAGGGCGGAAGGGAAGGCGTTGGCGTTGGCGTGCTGGATGGCGCAGAGAGCACTGGGCTGGGATCGGGAACAGGCTTTGTGTCAGTTGCCAGCACTGGCACCAACAAAGGTTCAGCTTTTCGCATGAGTCCAAGATCGGATCCTGTGACAACTTGTGCATCATTGTTTGGAACTGGTGTTGGTGTTGGCATAGTAGTTGGCATAGGAGTTGGCATAAGACTTGGCGTTGAGGCAAGGAGCTGGTTAGGCACATGATGATGGTGACCAGGAGACTTTGGCCTGCGTTTTGTCTCGACTTGCTTGTTCACCTCATGCTTGACTTTGCTGACGGTCACATGGCCCTTGGGGTCAATCTGGAGGAACTGCAAGGCCGTTGGAAAGGCAATGCAACATCCAATGCAAAAGGCCAAGCAGGCTGTCACAGAAGGGCGCATACTTGGCCGTGTCTGAGCTTCTCTGGGTGCCGTAGTGCTGATGAAGAAACGAGTGTGGGTAACAGCGACTCTAATGCTATTTTGCGCTGCAAGAAGAGTGCTGCTAGACAGTGGGCGAGATGAGAACGAATGTGTGCACAGTCGACGATGATGTGGAGCATGGTGCTGCCTTCTTGAGGGAAGCTTTGACTGCTCTCAGGAGGCAATTATCCTTGCGATCTACAAGCTTTGCGGGCTCATGAGGCTCGCAATCTGCTTCAGGCGGTGGTGCGCAGCAAATATCGCGTGGCTTCAAGTCAGGGGCATGCAAACAAGATTATCCCATCTGAATCGAGAGCTCCCTACCAAGGCGACTTTCGCGGAATGGTCGCGACTGGCGTATCGACAGAAGACAATGAGAAGTGTATTCTGCGACGCAGTTCCTTGTGTATCTCCTTGAGCTCATTAATGATGTCGCAAATTTTATGCAAGCTCACAGGCTATACTGTCGCACATACGTCTTTTGTCCCATTCTGAATTTCCCTCTATGTACGTCCTATCATGGCTACATTGCGGATGCTGTGAGGCATTTTTGATGGAAACGCTCTAGCACTTTTGCACCTCAATCACCTGAGCTTCCCATGGCTGCAACGTGACCGACTCTCCATGCTGTTGGCTAGCACTGGAGGTATAGTTACTGAGCAGAACCTTCCTCTCGGCCTTGCTTAACTCTGCAGGAACAGCCCATTGAACTTGTTCGCTCGAAAAGTTGCAAAGCACAAGGACTTCCCTCTTGCCATTCGTTCGCGTGAAGGCGTAAATCTGCTCGTGTGCGTCGTCATATGACTTGAACATGCCATATATGAGTACATCATTGTCCTTGCGAAACCGGAGAACCTCCTTCGTCCACTCGTAGTGTGATCCGTCATTGCCAACTTGTGCAGCGGCGTTGTACTCAGGATAGTCGTCCATGACAGCGATCCAGGGCTCGACGGTGGAAAAGCCAGCAAACTTTTCAGCAGACCAATGCACAGGCGTACGCGCATTATCGCGAGACTTCTTTTGAATCTCAGCCAAGACATCCGACATATCGACCTTTTCGGTTGGAATCTGTTGCTTCTCGGCCCGTTCTGCAATGACTTCGTTGTAGTAGTTGATGGAATCGAGATCGCGTTGGTCCTCAATTGGCCAGCTTGATCGGTTCTTCATGCCAAGCTCTTGACCTTGGTAGATGTATGGTGTACCCGCTTGGCATACAAGGAAAAGAGCCAGCATCCGTGCCGATACATCACGCCACTCGGGCGAATCATCACCGTAGCGAGAGACACAACGCGGCTGGTCGTGGTTACTCAAGTAGAGTGAGTTCCAACCATCTCCTTCCTGCATAGCAACTTGCCATTTGTTCAGGATGGCTTTGAGTGTTGACAGCTTCCAGGGTTCGTTGGTGGGTGTAAACTTGCCTCCTGGGCCCATATCGACGTCGACGTGCTCGAACTGAAAGATCATTTGCAGCTCGTTGCGTGACTTCGCGACATACTTGAGGCCATCGGCAGGCGAGACACAGGGTGTCTCCCCGACATTGAAGCAGGTTTCGTACTTGCTGTAGACCTCAGTATAGAGCTCTTGCAGATACTCATGGACATGAGGACCGTTAAAGACAAGCTGGTTGAAGGGCTGGTACTTGCTGCCAGGGATGGTGATGGGAGCGTCTGGCAAGTCTGGATGCTTGCTAATCATGTTGATGACATCCATACGAAAGCCAGCAGCACCTTTATCCATCCAGAAACGCATAATCTTGTGCACCTCTGCACGTACGTCTTTGTTCTCCCAATTGAAGTCAGGCTGAGTTGTTGCAAAAGTGTGCAAGTAGTACTGCTGGCGCTTGTCGTTCCATTCCCAGGTGCTGCCTCGGAAAGCAGCAAGCCAGTTGTTTGGTTCTGTTCGCTTGCCGTCGACCATTTTGGCATCGCGCCAGATGAACCAGTCATCTTTGCCATTGACACGATTGCAGCTGTCGATGAAGAGCTGACTCTCTGATGAACAGTGATTGACCACGAGATCCATCACAAGCTTCATGCCCTTCGCCTTGAGCTTGTCGCACATCATCTGCCAGTCCTCCATAGTGCCGTACTGGGGGTTTATTTCATAATAGTTTGAAATGTCGTACCCCATATCATCCATCGGTGAGGTATACAGGGGCGAAAACCACACGACATCGATGCCAAGCTCATGAAGGTAGTCAATCTTAGAAATTGCACCCTGCAAATCGCCTACACCATCGCCGTTGCTGTCTGCGAAGGAATGAGGCCAGATTTGATAGACGGCCGCTTCCTTGTACCATGCTCTCGACTGCTCCTGTGTGTCGACCATCTTTGAGCTTCTCGAGTGGCTATCAGCATTGGGCAGATCTCACTTCTTATGCTGAGACCCGAGCCCTTCCCCAGGACCGCCTGCACCCTTCTCATGCGCTTCGGGCCGCTAGATCGCGTTGTTCAGCTGTCATGAAGCGAGCAGTCTGAGCAGATGAGATTTGAGATTTGATCTGCACAAGATATCGGGCCGATCTGGAAGTATATAGACAGACGCTAGAACTTGCAGTATGCATAGGGCATATGCTTAGACGACATGGCAGACACAGCAAGGTCAATTATGATACATGATGAGACTGAACAAATATCTTGTGTGAAATTGTGACTTGCAATTGCTCCTCTGGCGCGTCTTTGATTCCAACGCGACGCGACGAAGCAGCGAGCACAACAACCGCCTCACCTCGCCCATGCTTGCCCAGGTCCGGGTCTTGTCTGAAGGAAAGGAGAACATGTCGCAGGACGGGCCCAATAAAAAGGTACAGCATCTCTTGGTTAGTTTATTCAGCTGACGGTAGCCGAAACTGGACAACACTGAACCCAAAGTGGCTATTTCCGCAAAACCAAAGCTGCTGAAGCAGTCTATTCTCTCCTTCAGCAAACATAATGGGGGCCAGAAAGGAGACTCTAAAGCTGTTCGCCTCCCCTCTGTTGCCCCAGCTCGACCAAGTAATTCGCCCAAATCAGAGCTCGCCCGAAAACGCTCGTCAGCTGCGATCTTGGGTGCCTTGAATCGAAAGCACAACCAGGCCGGATCGAAGACCAAAGCCGCTTGGCCTCCCAAGTTTCACAAGGTCGCTTTACGAGCAGAGCCCCTCTGGTCGATGCGCCTGCAATTACGCGAGTTTGTCACGCGTTTTGAACACCTCTTGAGCCAGATTCCTCAGAAACATCTCGTTTGGCTATGCGATCCATTTGCAGACCTCGAATTTCTCTCATTTCGTCATCTCGCTGCCGGCATGCTTCGTCTCATGCTTGATAAGAAGACTGAGCCCCTCCTCGTCGAAGAAGCAACGTTACGACTCGCGCTGTCAGAAATTGAACGAGCCACCATCCGTAACGGCCAGCTATGGCCTGTGCTGATTGACTTTCTTGGACACCAAAAAGTCCTCAAGGCATCTGTTAAGCGACATTCGGGCCCAAAGACCAAGGCACCGATACAAATCACGGACCAGTCTGGTGCAGGCTCAGAGAGTGACTTGAGTTCGTCGCACTCTCAAGCCTCTCAGGAGGAGATTGACGAAGAGGAAGAGGTCTATGATGTACAACAGCAAATCAGCGTCATCATCGACATGATGCATCTCTGTCTCCAGTGCGAGGCCGTACGCAAAGACTTGGAGTCTCGGCAGAACACTGCCAGAAGTGCAGCCTTGCAGCACATGAAGGATCGTGCGACAATGAAGCAAGCATACGAACTTGTCAAGCAAGACCTACACACTGCCCAATTCAAGACGTCCGACAAGACGGAAGTCAAGGCGTGGCAAGATAAGTGGATTACTGCTCGAGATGAGCATGAAAAGAGCCTCCTTGCTTTGGACGTTGCACTATTCATAGTCCAGCGCGCGGCTCGATTACGCACAAAGCCACTTGGTGAAGACGTCCTTGGCAACACTTACTGGATCTTTGGCGATCGCGTCCGAGAAGCTGCCGACAGGGATCTTGGCTGTAAAGTCATTTTGATGCCAAGCCATGGCCGCTGTGGACCTGAATGCGAAGCGAAGCGTGATGACCATGCTACTTGTCCTTGTCTTGATTTCAGCAAAGATGCGCTGGAGTCCATGTTTGATGACGAAGAGGAAACAAGGGCAGACTCAGAGATTGCGGCTGAGGAAGTGAGCACATGGTTTGAAGTCAGGACCGCATCGGACATTAAGAAATTGAGTGCATGGGTGCAAAGCAGCGCGCGTCAAAGGCTGCCATCCAAGCCCAAACAACAAGAGATTGCCAGATTGCAAAGAACGGCTGCTCCAGCGGTCTCTGCTTCTTCTACCATACGTCAGGAGCCTACAGAGCCGATGATCACCTCAAGTGATCCTATCACGGAAGATGATGTGGATGAGCTCGATCTGTTGGTCCACACTCCTACAATAGCGCCGTCAAAAGCAGACAAGGACATTCTCGAGCTGCTTGACCAGAGTGACTCTGACTTGACAGATCTATCCGACTTATCTTCCCTGGTTGAGGAGACGCCAACTCTGGAACGTCTTCAAGCTACCGCTGATCAGTGGCAACAAGTCGAGACATTGTCGAGTGGTCTTGATCTTTTTGCAAGCTGGCTCGCTCATGTACAAGACGACACTGCCAAGGACACGAAATAGCTTCATCTCTGCATGCACTTGCGTTTATCTGTATTCTTTACCAATCTTCTTCGCTGCCTGTAAGTGTTTGATACATCACGGTCATTGTCCTACCATCTACACTGCTACACCAGCAACGAACACAACGATTTTGATTTGCTAATGACTGCTATACGAATGAAATGCCACTCAGCTCGGCACTGCAATTGGTTTCAGGGCAGGATATTGTCGGGAATTGTGATGGGAATGTCAAGACTTGGCTGTTGCTCGTTGGCCGACAATGCAACATCAGCCGGCATAATATCATCAGGACAGTTGTTGCCCTGAGCAACACCATACCAATTGGTGGCTGGATCCAGCTTGGCACAAGTACACTGACTGCTCTTCGGCTGGTCACAACGCAGACCTGTTTTGCGAAGTATCGGAGATCCATCGACGGTCCAGTTGAGAGCTGTTGCGAGCCTCTGATGCAAGCTTGTTCGCTCACAGTTTGAATTGTCCATGTAGCCATGCAATCGAAGCACGACTAAAGCCGTCTTGCATCGGCATGCATTGTCAGGTTCTGGCCAGGCACCTTGAGCCAGGCCACCACAGGCACCGCTAGCAGCAACACATTCATCGATTTTAGGCTCTGTTGTCGCGGAGCGGTCTCTTTTCGTTGCTTCTGTCAATGCGTCCATGAATGCCGTCTCGCACAAGTCGTCGCATGGGACAATCCCGTCGACAAAGGCTGATGAATCGAATGGCAGCGCCTTCTGGAACTCGAATCGCCAGCGTTGGCAGTCATTCCCTTGATAATCAAGCATATCTTGGGATTTGTCGATACCCTTGAGTGAATTCTGCTCTCCAAGGAGTTGCTTCGCCTTGGCGGTGACGTTGACAGCCGTCCCGGACAGTGTGGCCAGAATGCAGCACAATGCCATCATCCACGGCTTCATGCCTGGCGAATTGATCAGAAGTTTTGTCTACCTCTATGAGAACGGTCACTGGGCCCTGACAATCTTATGCAAGTCTATCCAATCCAACATCATCTGCAGTGTTGCATTGCAGCACAATGAACAGTTGCACAATTTCGCAAAGTAGCAAGCTTTGGCTGAGGTGTCTACGAGGAGAACTCTGACTCCTGTTTATGGCCAAGAGTCGAAAGAGAGTCGCTGATATTGACTGTGCACACATATTTGTGTATGTGCACACGATATGGTTATGGATCATGCAGCCCTTGAATGTTATGATACCCTATTCTTCTGAGCTGCTGCACAAATCTGAATCACAACAATCTTGATGCTTGGGGAACACATCTCCATCAAGGTGTATTCTTGTCTCTTGACAACAACCAACTTAGCACAGCACATTGCGATTGCTCCACCGGCACACAGAAACGACAAGGCGAGGCACAAGAGGCAATCCGGCGGCAAGGCTACTATCAAGCTTAAATTCCATTACTTATGGCGAAGTCGTGTTGTAAGTAGTGATGCCTATGCGAGGCGGTGGAGCACAAGGCGCTGGCGGTTTCACCTCCGCAGGACATTCTTTTCCATGCGGTAACCCGTAAAGTTTTCTGTATGGGTCCAAAATTGCGCAGTTACAATGACTGGCCTTGCGCTGGTTACAATGCAGATTCTTCTTGAGGAGCTCTGGGTCTCCTTCAGTCGTCCAGCCTCCGCCAAGTTTTGAGGCAAAGGATGCATGCAGCTGTCGTCGCTCACACTTAAGACCATCCACTGTGCCATGAAGGCGAAGTGGAATGAGGATCGCCTTGCAGTAACAAATGCTGCGAAGAGAGGAGAACAATGTATCCTCAATAGAGAGACCACCGCAGGTACCACTATCGCCCACGCACTCACTGATCTTCTTTTCTCCCGTATATTGATTTGTATCCTGATCGATGGCTCCTTTCAATGCTTGAAGAAAGTCAAGCTCGCACATGGTCTCGCAATCGGGCACATATGGCCAAACTGATTTGACGGCTAGGTTCTTTTGGAACTTGAACTGCCAGCGCTGACATTTGGAGCCATTGTAATCCAAGTTCTTGTCGGAGTCTTTGGCTAGATGTCTGCTCCCAAGGTGATTGCAATAGGAGGGTGAGACCGCAGGCAGCATGGTGATCACTTCGAAAAGCCAACAAAGAATAGTGTTTTGCAGCTTCATGTGAAGCCCTTGCCATTCAGCAGCAGCAGCTGCCAGATAGAGGGCTTTGTGATTTGAAGAGGTTCAGCAAATGCGTTTTAAGCTCTCCAGGTGGTTCGGCCGCGGTCTGCAAGTGCACAGGACAATTTTCGGCCGCGTGTGCTATGGGTACGTCAGGGTGCTTTGCGTGCGCACATCGATGTTACAATATTTATGTGCATCATTTATTGCATATGAATGCTTTTAACCAAGGTCCGGACAGGCTAGCCTATTCATACAAGATGATGGCATTTGAGTACTGACTGTGCGAGCATTTGGAAATATCATGCGTATCTTTTGTCCAGATAATCTTAGTAGAAACACGAATACAAATTTTCAGGGGCAGTTCTTATGGTGGCAGCAAACTCACAAATTTGCTCTCAAGTGGCCACGGTTGCAGAGCCAGTGAACCAAGGGCAAGAATCTGGCTAGGTCTTAAGCAGTCAGAGTCTGCACCCAGTTTATGACTGTGTATGAAAGACGACATGCGTGTCCGGTACAATCGAGCGTAGTGGGCAACACTACTCTGCAGAAAAAGTCTTTCATTTGAAGGTCAAGCAGCATTCAGGCTCTTCTTTGAGTAGAAATATGTTCTGTATCATCGATATTCAAGGAACGGTAGATGTTCCCCTCACCTCGGCAGGACACTCTTTTCCATGCGGAAGACCGTAGTAGTGGTATTTTGGGTCCAACGTTGCACACGAACAATGGCTTGCCTTGCGTTGGTGACAATATAAACCTGATTGAAGAATTTCAGGTTCATCTCTAATGTTCCAGTTATGTCCAACATCTTCAGTGTTCCGGTCATGTCCAACAAGCTTCTGAGCAATCCTTTTATGCAGTTTGTCTCGCTTGCAGTCTGAGCCTCCGTGCAGACGAAGCGCAATCAAGATCGTCCTGCAGTGACAAGATTTGTCCGTCTGAAAGGTTCCTAGAGATAAACCAGCACAAACACCACTATCAGCCACGCACCCATCAAGTTTCCTCTCCTCTCCTTCCTTGGTGTTGGTCGCATTGAGAGCTGCTGTGAAATCCTCCAGAAACACAACTCTGCACATCGTCTCGCAATCGTCATAAACATGAAAGTCTTCCACCGTCCATTGCAAAGTCTTTTGGAACTTGAACTGCCAGCGCTGACATCCAGGGCCTGGGTAATCCATGTTCCTTCGGGTGAGGACCTTGTTGATTTTGTCATCCTGTCGGCCAATGTGGTCATGAAACATCGAGACTGGCAGCATGATCATTGCTCCCATAATCCAAAAAAGAATGGCTGTTGCATCTTTTTGCCTCATGTCGAGTGCTGGCTCGTCGTTGCTGAAGGTAGTGGTTGCGTGATTGGTGGCTGAGCAGCTGGTCAGCGGTTTTTATACTCACTCCTTGGGCTGACAGCAAGCTTAGAGATGAGTCGCAAAACGCTCCTGCTCATTTCCGCTATGTAAATTATGGAAGCCCTGCTCGCATCGTGCTCGAGCAGTCGCATGTCCAGTATTCAGGGGTACAAGAATTGACACGAGGATCACGAATAGGAAGGACGCGCCGAGCGAGGGTCTTTGTGTAAGAAGCGTTCCTTACCTTGCTATCACTTGATCATCGTGTAGTCAAATAGTTCCTCTGCCCATGATATACCTGCGAAGACTCTTTGGACGTAATGTAGCGGCAGTCTACATTGACGTTGTTTAGAGGTATGAACTTGGTTAACTGATGCGAAACGGCTATCAGGGACTAGGTCTGTAAATGTGCAGGGGCTCTGGTAGCAACAAATACAAGCTTATGGGGAAAAAAGTCTGCAGAGAGAAGGACCCGCGCCGTTTTTACTTTACCGGATAGGCCTACAGCAGAACTTGACGCAACAACCTGCTACAGCTCGACGTGCTGGGTTCATACGCTCACTAGAAGTGGCCTCTCATGGGCACAAGTTTATGATCATTGCTATGCTATGCGCGAACATGACGGGTACCGTCAGTCATCCAAATCAAGAGCAAATTCACCTAAAGTACCGTAGACTGAAAGGGAACGCCACCAGTGTCAGGAAGCAGCGGTGCAAGTTGAAGGCATGCATTAGATGTACCTATAGCAGTTCAGCCGATTCGGTCTCTAAGTGCACGAAAATCATGCCGACCGCGTGTGCCCTTGATACGTCCGGGCGCGTCGCCTGCGCACATCAATGTTACAACAATCATGTGCATCATTTACGGGAGAAGGATTCTAGATGAAGATCTGAAGATTCTGGCCTTTTCATTCAACACGAGGCTTCTGAGTATTCAATGGCTGCGAGGAAACTGGATCATCTAACGCGTACAGTGCTCCAGATAGTGAAAAGACCGAACCCAATTTTCAGGGGTAGAACTAATGGTGGCAGCAAACTTGCCTCTTGAGTGGTCACGGATGCAGAGCCAATGAGCCACCGGCAAGGGTACCTCTGAAATTTCATCAATCTGAGTCTTTACCCGATATACGGCTGTGTATGATAGACGAAACGCATGTCAAGTATGTTAGAGCGTAGTAGCCAATGCTACTTTGCAGAGAAAGCCTTTCATCTGAAGGTCAAGCAGGATTCAGATTCTACTTCCGCCTATTAAGTAACAATAGGATCTGCAACATTGATAGTCGAGCGACTTGCATCAGTCATAGTGGAGTGTGGCACCTGCATTTTGCCCATTGCCTCCATAGGTATTCGAAACAGTGCCCGACTTGGTCGAAGGACCGGAGGATGTTCTCCCCACCTCTGCAGGACACTCGAATCCATGCGGCAGACCGTAGTAGTACCAGTCTGGGTCCATCTTTGCACACGAACAATGTTTTGTCTTGCGTTGGTGACAACGTAAACCTGTTTGAAGAAGCCCGGGTTCGCCTTCAGTCGTCCAGTTTCCAAGCTTACTGGCGAACCTTGTATGCAAATCGTGTCGCTGGCAGTCTGAGCCTCCGTGTAGACGAAGCACAATTAGGATCGACTTACAGTCACAAGTGCTGTCCCAAGTGCTCTCCGATTGCGATCGAACGGGTTCTGAAGAGAGACCAGCACAGACACCACTATCAGCCACGCAGCCATCGAGTTTCCGCTCCTCTCCTTCCTTAGTGTCAGTCGCATTGAGGGCTGCTGTATAGTCCTCCATCCCTACGGAAAATTTGGACCGGCAGATTACCGGTGGAAATTACCAGAATAAAACCGGCAGAATACCGGCGGAAAATCCCCAACTTCGCAGGCGCAGTAACACCAGCAGACTACCGGCAGACTACCGGCAGACTACCGGCGGTAATAAGCACGCCTTTACCAGAGTCAACCGGAGGATTACCAGAGGATACCACCTGCCAACGGGTGAGCTCAATAGATGCTGTAGCGACAGTGGGGGTAGCAACTAGACCATCTACGACACACTACAGACGTGCTGCCGCTTTCTTGGCCTTCTTTGTAGACTTGCGCGCCTTTTTGCTTGTGATGCTGCAGTCTTGGCCTCGGTCATAGTAGCGCTGCCTTGCTCAGCATCCTGTGCTCTACGTGATAGTTTTGATTTTCTTCCAGACTAGAAATGCATCGTTAGTATGTCATGGTAGGAGTAGTAGAAGTGCATACCGTGCGAGATGAGGAGGCAAATCGATCTTTGCTTGACTTCTGGCCACTGGTCAGTCTTATATCACCAAAGATGGAACAGACTTGCCTTGGAAACATGAGAATTCTTGTTTGCTTGACGCTACATCTTGTTAGCCAATGTTTCCTCCGCATAATTGGCTCACATTGTGCTGAGACGAAGTTAGCTGCAACTGAATATGTTAGTGAGGCACATCAGGCAGAAGGAGGAACCCACAACTCTCGATGCAGCCTTGTCAATACCATTGTCTTCAAAGAGGACGGAAGCGTGTGTCTCGCAGCGGGTGTTCTCATTATCGACGCGAGCAGATGACGGTCCATGGGCAACGTCGTGCTCGTGGATGATATCATCGTCCTGGAAAGAAGCAGCAGTAGTAGTCTCTCTGTAGACTTTGGCTTTGCGCTTCTGTAAGCGCGTCAGTCAAGAGCTTGCAAGGTACAGAGACACTGTCACCGCTTCATCAACCACCTTCGTGTGGAGCTGGCGGATAGTCAAGGTGATTCAATGTCCATGAGCCCATTCCAGCACAGGAAAAGCCTTTTCCAACTTGTGAATGACCGATTGGAGCTTCCCAACGTTGCGGTGACGCCATGTGACCATCCTGCCTTGCGCATCGACCAGAATCTGGTGAGTGTCCATCATGTACCGTGCATGTGCAGTGATGGTGTTCCAGGTGGCGTCGCGCAATGGCGTTCGTGGCCAGAATCCCATGGCGAGTCGAAGAGTCTTTGTCGAGGGACTATCGAATCCAGAGAAGCTATGCGACGTGCGCTTGGATCTTAATGGTATATCGATATGCTCAATAGATCCTGCGAGCCTGTTGTAGTCGTCCAGACTGTCTGTGGGAGACTCCTCTTCTTATCTGGGTCAGTCGAAGGTATCGCGCTTGCAGCGTGCACAGCTCACGCGAGCAGAGGACGACATGTCTTGAGGAAAGTGATCGAGCACCTTCAGATGCCACAGGCTCGAGTGTGAGAGCTCAAGGACTGTGAGGTGTTGTCTACGAGCAGCAAGACGGTGCAGAGCAGATGCGTGTGCTGGTCATCCCATCTCGTCCTGAAGTGACAAGACAAGAGTGAAGCAAAACGGCAAAGTCAACGACTCCTAAGATCCACTAGCGCTACACTCTTCCAGTTTTCAGCCTACAAACGCCAGCTTGTGATCGTGGCCAAGATGCAAAGTGGCTAGTCGTCAGGGCACCACAAAGATCTTCGTTGTGAAGTGTGCTGCGAATGACCTCCGTTCGCGAAGCAAGGTCGCGTTCAATGAGCAGACGCATGAAGCGCCTGAGGTTAGCAACAATGCGATAGTGAGCTATGAGGAAGTTTTCTATCTGCTTGAACACGATAGCAGGCATTTTGCGATCATCAGAGTCTTTAAGACCAAGTTGTCGTGCGGCGCAAAGTCTCTCAGCAAGCAGCAAGCAAGGACACATATTGCAGGTCATTGTGCCAGTTTGCCGTCTTCTTGGACCAATTGGCCTATTTGAGAGAACAGAGCTCGACAAGAAAAGAGCAGGCAAGCTGCTTAAGCGAAAACGACGCTTACGAGAGCAGAAGCACTCTTTATGGGTAGCTGAGGGCTATCGAATTCAGTATAAATAGCTTCTAGATTTGATGATGAGCGGATGTTGGCCTCTGTTCGCTTGATAACAGTGATTGACTTGTGTGTTGTCTGCCTTTTGGCGTGGCTCAGTGATCCGCCTCTCCATATCCGCTGGTTTTCCTCCGGTGTGCAAGTTTGGAAGTCGGTTGGCTCCGGTAATCCGCTGTGCTTGGAAAATTTCTCACGGTAATCCACCGGTTGGCTCTGGTACACTCCGGTAAATTTTCCGTAGGGCATGAACACAACTCTGCACATCGTCTCACAATCATCATAATCAAGAAAGTCTTCCACCGTCAATTGCAAAGTCTTCTGGAACTTGAACTGCCAGCGCTGACATCCAGAGCCTGCAAAGTTCATGTTTTCTTTGGTGACATACTTGTCGATATCGCTATCCACTTGTCGGCCCATGTAGTATTCCATTGATATCACAGCAGGCAGCATGATCATGGCTCCTGAAATCCAAAAAAGAGAAGTTATAGCGTCAACTCGCCTCATGTTGAGTGCTGACTCGTCGTTGCTGAAGGTGGTGGTTGCGTGACTGGTAGCTGAGCAGCTGGTCAGCGGTTTTAATACCCTATCCTTGTGCTGACAGCAATCTCAGAGATGAGTCGCGGAGGCGGTGGAACACTCCTGCTCATTTCTGAGAGCCCAAATACATGCGACGCTACGTGATGTGGACCACCTGCTCGCGCTAAAGCTCCGGATGTGCAAATTTCAGGGGTACAAGAAATGAGGCTGAAGTTCACGAACACGAAGCCTGCGCCGAGTGGAGAGCTTTGTTTATGGAGTGTCTCTTTCTTTACCATGACTTGACTCCCATGCAGTCAGTAATTCCTCTGCCAATGATACAATTGCGAAGACACTTGGGCGTAAGATGGTGGCAGATTACTTTGGCGTCGTTGTCATGAAGTTGCTTGGCGTTTGCGAAATGGGTATGAAGGTCGAGAGGTGCACATGTACAGGGGCTCTGGCAGCAGCAAATACAAGCTCATTGGAGGGAAGTCTGAGAAGGAGGGCTTGCTCAGCCTTGCGCCATATTCGCAATACAGGGTAGGCCTACTGCTCAGCTTGACGCAAGATCATGCTGCAGCTCGACGCAACCCAACAGACTTTGCCGTTTGTTGTTCACAAGCTTATTATCAACGCTATGCTATGCGCAAACATAAAGGGTATCGTCATTCATCGCGAATCAAGAGCAGATTCATCCAAAGTACCGTAGAATGGAAAAGAATGCCACGAGTGTCAGGAAGCAGCCACCATAAAAGACGTAACGAGCGCCTTTCGTCCGTTGCTCAATGAAGCGAATTGTCCCACTGCTCAAGCCCATCTTGACGGCCACATCGCGGAGTCGTTCTTGAGTGCCCTTGAGAGTTGCCGTTTGATCGCGCAAATCGCTCAGACTGGCAAGCCCAGCTTCGATATACTCATCCAGCGCGCCAGATACCCGATTGAGAGCTGAGGCTTCCTTCATATTGCCTTCGTGCCTGGACAATGTGGACTGCTGTCCTCCTGCTTGCTGCGCGCCACTGCTGCTATTGCTGTAGGGGTTGTCTGGTGTTGCATTGTGCGCGGCCGCCGACCCAATAGGTCCGGACGCTTTGCATGTGCTTGTTCTCCCTCTTGCTGCCCGTCCACCTTGTCAATTTGAAATATATTCAGTTTTTTAACCATGAAGGCGAAGTGGATTGAGGGTCGTCTTGCAGTAACAAATGTTGCGAAGAGAGGAGGGCAATGTAACCTCAATAGAGAGACCACCACAGGTACCACTATCGCCCACGCACTCACTGATCTCCTTTCTGCCCGTATATTGATTTGTATCCTGATCGATGGCTCGTTCCAATGCTTGAAGAAAGTCAAGCTCGCACATGGTCTCACATTCGGGCACATATGGCCTGACCTTTTGTACGGCTAGGTTCTTCTGGAACTTGAACTACCAGCGCTGGCATATGGAGCCATTGTAATCCATGGTCTCATCGGAGTCTTTAGCCGCATGCCTGCCCCCAAGGTTGATCGCAATGCGAACATGGAGGGGTGTGACAGCAGGCAGAACGGTGATCACCTCCAAAAGCCAACAAAGAACTGCGCGCTTCAGCTTCATATCGAGCCCTTAAGCTTGTCGTTGCAGCAGCAGCAGCAGCTAGACAGATTAGCGGTACAAATTGAAGGCATGCAGTAGATGTACCTATTGCAGTTCAGCCGATTGGTCTTTAAGTGCACGAAACACATTTTGATTGCATGTGCCCTTAATACGTCGGCGCGCTTCGCCAGCTGCGCACATCAATGTTACAACCTTGATGAGCATCGTTTATTTATCAAGATCTGAAGATTCTGGCCTTTTCGTTCAAGATGAGACTTCCGAGTAGTCACTGGCTGCGAGGAAATTGGATCATATAACGCGTACAGTGCTCCAGATAGTGAAAAGTCCGAACCCAATTTTCAAGGGTAGAACTAATGGTGGCAGCAAACTTGCCTCTTGAGTGGTCACGGATGCAAAGCCAGTGAGCCACGGGCAAGAGTTCGGCTGAAACCTCATCTATCCGAGTCTTTACGCGATATACGACTGTGTATGATAGACGAAACGCATGTCAAGTATGATCGAGCGTAGTAGCCAACGCTACTTTACAGAGAATAGTCTTTCATCTGAAGGTCAAGAGGATTGAGTCTCTCCTACGACACCTTCTAAGTAACAATAGGATCTGCATCATTGATAGTCGAGCAACTTGTATCATCGATACTGGAGCGTGGCACCTGCATTTTGCCCACTGCCTTCATAGGCATTCGAAACAGTGCCCGACTTGGTCTAAGAGTTGGGGAATGGATTCCCCACCTCGGCAGGACACTCTTTTCCATGCGGAAGACCGTAGTATTTGTTCTTTTTGTCGAACTTTGCACACGAACAATGACTTGCCTTGCGTTGATTACAATGTAACTTTGACTGAAGAAGCCCGGGATTGTCTTTAGTCGTCCAGTCCTCTTTGAGTCTGTCGGCAAACCTTTTATGCACCTCGTTTCGTTCGCATTGTGAGCCTCCGTGTAGACGAAGCGCAACCAAAGTCCCTATGCAGTAACAAGTGCCGCCCACTTGAAAGGATTCAGAAGACAAGCCAGCACAGACACCACTATCAGCCACACATCCGTCGAGCTTCTTCTCCCCTCCCTCCGTAATGTTGGTCGCCGTGAGGGCTGCTGTGAAATCCTTGAGAATTGCGATTGTGCACTTCTTTCCGCAAGGAGGTTCAGTAATGTCTCCCACCAAGGTGTGCAAAGTCTTCTGGAACTTGAACTGCCAGCGCTGACATCCAGAGCCTGCAAAGTTCATGTTATTTTTGCTGGCATCCTTGTCGATTTTGCTATCCGGTCGGCCAATATTGTATTGTTGAGACATCACAACAGGCAGCGTATTCATTGCTCCAATGAACCAGAAAAGAACAGCTTTAGTGTTGTCTCGCCTCATGTTAAGTGCTGGGTCGTCGTTGCTGAAGGTAGTTGTGCAGCTTTGTTAGTGAGCAGCTGATGGGCAGGTATTTATACCTTCTCCTGGTGCTGGCAGCAAGCTTTCAGAACACTCCTGCTCATTTCCGAGACCCATAATAATTGTAAGGCCATGCACAAATACGATGCTACATGATATGGACTTCCTGCTCGCGCCGTGCTAGAGCAGGCGCAGGTATAAATTCAGGGGTATATGAAACAAACACGGAAATTACGAATACGAAGTTTGCTCCGAGCGAAGAGCTTTATTTATGGAGTGTCTCTTTCTTTACAATGACTTGACTGCCATGCAGTCAGTAATTCCTCTGCCACTGATACAACTGCGAAGACACTTGGGCGTAAGATGGTGGCAGATTACCTTGGCGTCGTTGTCTAGGAGTTGCTTGGCGTTTGCGAAATGGATATGAAGGCGCAGGGGTGCACGTGTACAGGGGCTTTGGCAGCAGCAAATACAAGCTCAATGGAGAAAAGTCTGAGAAGGGGGGCTTGCTCAGCCTTGCGCCATATTCGCAATACAGCATAGGCCTACTGCTCAGCTTGACGCAAGATTGTGCTACAGCTCGACGCAACCCACAAGACTTTACCGTTTGTTGTTCACAAGCTTATTATCAACGCTATGCTATGCGCAAACATAAAGGGTATCGTCATTCATCGCGAATCAAGAGCAGATTCATCCAAAGTACCGTAGAATGAAAAAGAATGCCACGAGTGTCAAGAAGCAGCCACCATAAAAGACGTAACGATCGCCTTTCGTCCGTTGCTCAATGAAGCGAATTGTTTCACTGCTCAAGCCCATCTTGACGGCCACATCGCGGAGTCGTTTTTGAGTACCCTTGAGAGTGGCCGTTTGATCGCGCAAATCGCTCAGACTGGCGAGCCCAGCTTCGATATACTCATCCAGCGCGCCAGATACCCGATTGAGAGCTGATGCTTCCTTCATGTTGCCTTCGTGCCTTGACAATGTGGACTGCTGTCCTCCTGCTTGCTGCGCACCACTGCTGCTATTGCTGTACGGGTTATCTGGTGTTGCATTGGCATGCGGCCGCCGACCCAATAAGTCCTGACGATTTGCATGTGCTTGTTCTTCCTCTCGCTGCCTGCCGACCTTGTCGAATTCTTGCCGCAGCTCACTATGTTGCTTCCGTAGATCTTTCAGACGGGTGAGCAAACGATCTTGTTTCGCTTCATTTGTTTCTGCTTTAACAAGAGATTCATAGTCGTCGAGCAAACGACCCAGTGAGGTAAGGGAGACGCCAATTTGGCCCTTCAGAGAAGAGATGGAGCTGTTGGTGGATGTGTTTTTAGCAAGCGCGTCGAGATCTTTGCGCAAGAGGCCGATTTGACGGACACAATTGTTGCCAATGACGGATGCCATAGTGAGGATATCTCAGCAGGCAGTCTGGGCCGTCTCCCGAACACAGGCCTGGTAGAGAGAAGGCGTATGCAGCGTCGAGTGCGTTTTGTCGCGTTGTTCTGTACAGACCCTAACCCTGATTTGGTCCCGGGAAAAGACGACGACAGAGGGCGACTCATTCTCCTTCGCAAAGACTTCTGCAAAGAGAGACCATGGCATTGACATCCTGGGTCAGCGAGCTGTTCACGGTGCATGCCGAATCAGCGACAACGGTGGCGGAGACACCTTCAAATACCGAGTCTGTGTCGAGCAAGAACGAGGAGGCAGTAGAGGAGACTGAGGAAGGTAAGGCTTTTATGCGTACACGGGTGGTGTGAGTCCTGCTCTTGTGAGATGGTCCGGTGCAGGGCTGCTTGTGGTACCAGCACCGCGATCGTCCGCGGGCCAAGGCTCTACCTGATGTACGGATGCAATACGTAGACAGACTAACGCGCACCTTAGCACCAGAAGAGGAGGAAGCAGAAGAAGAGGAAGAAGAGGAGGAGGAAGAAGAAGAAGAAGAAGAAGAAGAGGCAGAAGACGAGATGCCTGTGATTCGGGAGCAATGCGAGGGTTCCAAGGCGTGTGCACCTCTTAAGCACCACTTTGATGAGTGCCAGGAGCGCGTCATGAAGGCGTCTGAGGAGGAAGATCACCACGGCCATGAAGACTGGTAGGTCACTCTTCTTTCAACAAAGAAATCAAGTACAGCTGCTGACCAATATTTAGCACGGAGGAGATGTTCCACTTGATGCACTGCGTGGATGAGTGCTCGGCCAACAAGGTGTTCGCGAAGCTCAAGTAGAGACAGCTAGACTTGGGCTAGATGTGTACTTGCCTATATTTCTTCCTCGTTGCCTATTGCTCTTGCTCTCCTGACCACGCACCACCACTAAGACAACGTATTGAACTCAAGTTTGAGCTGCTTCTCCTGACTCGCTTCTGCTTTGTTGATGTTGCCGCGCTAGTGTTTGCTCCAGTCGCATCTCCTGAAGCCAGACTCTCTGTCTATGCTCCTGCTTCTATTCCTAGCTTCCTTCCATCAAACGCTCTCTTTGCCAATTTGCTAGATTACCGCACAACCAGCTGCTGACCAGCCTGCTACAAGACCGTTGCAGATGAGCTATCCACCTAGAGCTACACCTCTCTACGATGCGCCCTGGCCTGACGATGGTTATGATGAGCCTACACAACAGCTCAGTATGCCCGTTCCTGGTGCTTGGCAAACGATGCATGAAACCATGTACCCGCCGCCATTGCCAGTACGCTCGCCTCCACCTGTTGCTCCAATGACACAGTCGACTGCTTGGCCGCCTCTCCAACCAGCACCAGCACCAGTGCCAGCGCCAGCGCCAGCACCAGCAGGGCCAGCTCAACCGGCCGTCACGTATCATGGTCGACCCCTGCCATCACTTTGTGTGCCTTTTACCTCGCCACACTCTCAAGCACTCCTACAACAAGCCATGCAAGATGGTCTAGCGCGGATTTATTTCCCACTAGCAGGACAATACCTGACGCAATCTGAACCTGCGTTTTGCGGACTTGCTACGTTATGCATGATTTTAAATGCAGCGAATATTGATCCACGACAGACGTGGAAGGGTGTTTGGCGATGGTACACAGAGACCATGTTGAGTTGTTGTCGACCGCTTGCTACCATTGAGAAGCAAGGGATCACGATGGCTGAATTTTTGTGTTTAGCACGGTGTAATGGGTTGGATGCCTGGGCACGCAGTGTGGATGCACAGCAAGGCTTGACGATACAGGAACTTGAACGGGATATGATGGCGAGTTGTAGGAGTGAGGATCTGTTTATGGCATTGAGCTATGGACGCAAGGCTTTGGGACAAACGGGTGAGGGACATTTCTCACCGTTGGCTGCGTATTGCAGGGATGCCGATGGTCAAGCTTGGTGTCTGGTTTTGGATGTACGACCATATCCAAAATGTGTGAGTGATGGCTAACACAGGACAGGTTGCGAGGTTCAAGTATTGCAGTTACTGGGTGACGCTTGAATCGCTCTTTGAAGCAATCTGTACGAAAGACCCAGAAACCGGTCGTGCACGCGGCTACTGCCTCTTGTCGAAAAGTACAGGAGCAAGTAATTCCTGCCAGGCTGTTGACTTTCGAGAGCCAGCAATTGTGCATATCAGCCTGGACAAGAATCAGGCGCGTCAGCTGTTCAGTATTCCTGGTCTTGCTGCATCACGCACTGTTCGGGAGCTGAAGGGCAAAGCAGCTGATCTGAAGGCCTTTAGTGGGTGTATCAGCTTGGTTCCCTTGGAAGCGTATAAGCAGCACCCTGAGGCAGCTGAGCGTGTGGAGGAGCAGCAGCGTCAACTACGGAACAGTGGGTGGTCGATGCAGGATTTGTTTTATGCTGGGTTGGTGGAACACCTCAACAGCCGTGTTGGGAGGTATGTTCTAGTCTATGATTCTATGTGATGACGAGCTAACATGCAGTGCGAGTGTGCCTGGTGTGTGCCGTGTGGTGATTGAGCAGATGAAGCGGTCCCTGCAGCAGCTGTGTGGATGCTGCGAGGCTGAGCGGGCAGATGGGTGCTGTTCTGCTTCTACCATCTCTGCTGCTGCTACAATTGCTTCTACTGGTACTATTACTACTGGTACTGCTGCTACTGCTACTGCTTCTACTCCTCTGTCTGTGTATTCACATTCGCTGAGTCAGCAGGCCCGGTTCAGCAGTCGCGCGCAATAAACAAGAAATAGTCAGAAACAGTCAGAAACACCCAGCAGACAGTACAAGAGACCAGTACAATCAAGTAGACAGAACACAAACAGCCATGTCCTCCCTCGTGGTCCCAGAAAAGTCAGTCCTCCCCTGTTTCAGGCAAGAGGCCATACACTGACACATTCTGCTTATAGGAACACCTTCCAACACATCCTCCGTCTCCTCAACACAAACGTCGATGGCCGCGTCAAGATCATGTTCGCCCTCACACAGATCAAGGGTGTCGGTAGGCGATACTCCAACCTCGTCTGCAAGAAGGCAGATATAGATCTCAACAAGCGCGCCGGCGAGCTCACCGTGGAGGAACTCGAGCGTGTTGTGACCATCATGCAGAACCCACAGCAGTACAAGATCCCAGACTGGTTCCTCAACAGGCAGCGTGACTTCACCACAGGCGAGACAACACAGGCATTGGCTAATGCAGTCGATACCAAGGCGCGTGATGATCTTGAGCGACTCAAGAAGATCAAGGCACACCGTGGTCTTCGTCACTACTGGGGCCTGCGTGTCCGTGGTCAGCACACAAAGACTACTGGCCGTCGCGGAAAGACAGTCGGTGTGTCTAAGAAGAAGTAGACTAATGCTTGTCCTTTCCTTCTCACTCTAGCATTTACATGAACACAACTAAAAAGCTTTCCTTGATATCCTTCCAACGCATGCATTGACTAATTGCGTTACCTGCTATGATACTCATTCATCAAACTGCGGCGACGCATATAATCCAAGAGCAGCACCAGGTGCGCCACTCACGCTTCCTCGACAATCCACCTCCATCGCCAACCGCAAAGATGCCATCCTTGCATTCTGCCATTCAAGCTGGCCCGACGAGCGACACCGATCAGGTGGATACGGCCAACTTTTCGCATCCTCTACTTTCCGCTTCTTTCCACGACCTGTAGGAAATACGTGTGTGGCAGGGGTCAGGGCGGGTGTTGGCCAGTATGGTGTTGGTGCTGGTGGTACGGGTGATGCTGAAAGACAAGCCTGTTGATTCCTCGTATCAGTCTGTTGCAGCAGCTCCCTTGACCACATCTCTCGCTCTTGCTCATCCACATTATCGTGCATATCCAGCAAATATCCAGCTAAATGCGTATAAGAACCCTTTGTCTCTGCTTGTAGCCAGGCACTCGCATGACAAGCACCAAGTAACCCACCATGCCACGTCGGTTCAGATCTCGTTTTAGCCGGCTGTGACGCATCAGCCAGGTAGCCATGCACAGGTCGCTGCTCATCAGGCCGTGTGAGGGCTGATGTAGCGAGCGGAGTTGATTCAGGTTTCGGATGCAACGCGGGTGGTGTCTGGTGCAATGGAGGCGATCGCAAGGTACTGCGGAGTGCGGACTCATGAGCTGTGCAAGGACCTGCTGGACCTGTACCAAGCGAGATGGTCCAGCTGCAAGAAGCCGATTCGATCTGTTTCAATCCAGGTCGTGCATCCTTGGTTGTGTTGTTATTGGTAGCCTGGATATCGGATGGTCCTGCAATAGGTGTCGTGTAGCTGACTTGCATCTTGATGCAGAAGGAGAAGGATCCTTGAGCAGCAGGAGACTCTCTATTATACACAGACTCGCGCGATCGGTGAAGTCCGAACAAGGTGGAGACCTGGCAACGACGTAGCAGCGATCGATCGAAAATGTGCTTCAGCAGTTAAATCGAGACACTCCTGGTACTCTGTATCAGAAGGCCTACTCGTATATAGCTGCTGTTGTATGCTGCACAGAGTAATGTTGTAGAGACACGACACAACTCGCTCTTTTCAACGATGACCAGGTTGTGTCCAGGGACGGAGTCGCCATTTTATGAGAATTGGTAGGATTTGTGCCATTTCAGGAGCCGAGTGTTGACAAAGCATAGCGTCATGCATGGTAACAGAAGAGACTAGAAGAGCAAAGAGCATTGGCAGCTGCAGCTGCAGCGTGTACGGAGTCTTCACGGAGAGCAAAGAGTACTTTGACATCTCTCGCTTAGCAAGTGCATTAAAGTCAGTCAGGCAGAGCAAAGCATGGGAGAGCATGCATCCGATCGTCCGCATGAGCACAGACAAGCAGCAGGCCCCGGGGGCTCCCTTATCCCATTGTTGTGTGGTTTTGTGTCTTTGTCTGAATTTCAAATCGACAGAAATGACAAAAGAGATGAGCTTTGTCTCGACGTGTACAGATATCAAGAGAATATGAGTAGATGAGCATTGTCTTGAACCTAGACACTACGACTTGATAGCCGCATTCGCACGACTCGCCAAAGCCAACTTGTGTACAGCCAACTGCTTTTGAAAGGCACTACTCGTTCCATCCAGCACAGCCCCGAGTTCCTGTGCAAACCGCTCAGCAAAGGACTTGCTCGTGCGTTTCGCTGCAGATTCCAAGACCCACGTCACAGCACGTCTGCGACTTCCCTTTTGTGTGAGGGGAATCGGTACTGGGATGTTTTTGGAGCCTTGCTTGCGTTGAATCAACTTCATCAGTGGCGATACACGCTCAATTGCTTCCTTCATAAGACGTAGTGGATCTTGTCCAGCAACGGCTGCTCGTTTCCTCAACAAATTGAGCGTTTCCTGGATCCTCGACTGTGCTTGTGATTTCTTACCGTGACGCATCGTCAAGCCAACAAGATGCTGCAGGACTTCATCGTTCCTTGGTGCAAACTTATCAAGATTCGTACTGGCGCCAGGTACATCGCCATGAGATTCCTTCGAAGCAGCTTTTGATTCTCCAGAAGCGGCAGCAGCAGCAGCATCCTTGACGACCTGCGGCGCATGTTTCTTCGCCTCGGGGGATTCATTCAAGACTTCAGAAATAGGCTTCCCTTCATCCTTCTCTGTAGGTGACCGTTCACCCTTCAAGATATTATCATACGCAACGGCCTCTTCATTGACGTGTGGCATCGTCTTGCCATCTTGAGGCGCACTGGACTTGCCATCTTTACTGGATGGCGTTGCATAGTATCGTACAGCGAGCGGTCTCGCTGTGCTTGCGAGGCGGATAGATCGGAGCATCAGTACAGAGCTGATGGGATTGAAATATAGCTAGCTGGTGACAAGTCGTCGTTGAAGATGTATATGACAAGGTGTAAATAAGCAGTCATAAATTTATTGCATGTATTTGCTTATTGATCTGGCAACCATGGCCATATGTCAATGCGATAGACTTATGCGAAACCTTTCTGATAGCCCGCCATCTACATCACAACTTCACAAGCGAGTCTTGCCGGTGAGTCACTTTTGCCTCTCTTCTTCCTCCTCCTCGTCATCATCATTGAGCCAACCAACAGCACGCTCAACAGCTTTGTTCCAGAGCTTGTATCGCTTTGCCCTATCCTTCTCATCATTCTTTGGTACAAATTCAGTCATACCAAGTTGGTTGACATTCTTGAGTTCATCAATGGATTTGTAGATACCCACAGCAAGACCTGCAGCAATGGCCGAACCCAATGCCGTTGATTCACGCATCTGTGGGCGTTCAACAGAGATACCAATGATGTCTGCTTGAATCTGCATAATCACATCCGACTGTCTTGTTAGTCACACATCCATGTTTTTGAAAGACAAAGAAACTTACGTTGGTCATACCGCCATCCACGCGCAATGCAGCAAGTGCTTTACCGGAATCCTGAGACATGGCATCCAGAATAGCTTTTGTCTGGAAGCAAGTCGCTTCGATTGTTGCACGAGCGATATGCTGCTTTGTAGAATACGCCGTCAATCCCAAAATTGTACCACGAGCATCGTCTCTCCAGTACGGTGCAAAGAGACCTGAAAAGGCAGTAACAAAGACAACACCACCGGTATCTTTCACTTGTGATGCCAACTCACCAATCTCGGCAGCATCGCTAATCAAACCGAGCTGATCGCGTGTCCATTTGATGGCACTGCCTGCAACTGCAATGGATCCTTCGAGTGCGTACACTGGTTTCGCATCACGACCAAATTGGTAGCCGACGGTTGTCAAAAGGCCATTCTTCGAAATGACGGGTTCTTCGCCTGTGTTCATGAGAAGGAACGAGCCTGTGCCGTAGGTAGATTTCGCTGTACCTTCCTCGAAACATAGCTGACCCACCAGTGCTGCAGATTGATCACCGAGGATACCGGCCACTGGAATGCCCTTGAGTGGACCTGCTGGAATCTCACCATAAATCTCAGACGACGAGACAACCTCCGGCAAGTGGATGCCCTCAAACTGCCAAAAGTCCTTGACGAGTGATTCATCATAATTGAGTGTCTTGATGTTACACAACATGGTGCGAGAAGCGTTGGAGGCATCGGTAATGTGTAGACCGCCGTTGATACCACCCGTAAGATTGTACAGGACCCAGGAATCAATGGTGCCAAAGCACAAGTTGCCAGCTTCACGGCATTCGCGAACAACAGGCAAGTGCTCAAGCATCCAAGTAAGCTTGACGGCAGCAAAGTAGGTGGAGAGTGGCAGACCACATTTGGCGTGTACTTGATCGGCGCCTTTGCGTTTATTGAGTTTCTCAACTGTCTTTGTTGTTCGTGCATCTGACCAGACAATGGCATTGGTCAAGTGCTTGCCGGTGGATTTATCCCAAACAACGGTTGTCTCGCGCTGGTTGGTGAGACCGATTGCTTTGATTTGTGAGGCGCGGTAGCCTTTTTGCACAAATTGCGAGACACCACGCTCGATGCAGGTCATGATGTTGTCGAGGATCTCCTTTGGGTCATGCTCGACCCACGATGGGTGTGGGTAGATTTGCTTGTGCTCCATCTGGTGCGATGCTTCGATGCCGCCTTGGACATTGAAGATGAGGAAGCGGGTGGAGGTGGTGCCTTGGTCGATTGACCCGATGAAGGCCTCTTTGTCCATCGTGCTGCGGTACTGTGCCTGTTAGCATGACTGTTGAAAAGGATGAATTTTGGTCTGCACACACCATTGTTGGAGGAGTATGCGGAGGTTAAAAGGGAGGATGTGTGGGGATGGAGAAACAGGAAGATGGGCTCCTGTGCAGACTTTATAGACGAGAGGGGACACTTACACAGGACTAAGAGGTAGATGAAGACGGGGTGGCTGCTGCTGCTGCGGGTGTGGGGGATCGCTTTCTGCTTGTTCGTAGTTTCAATTCAAAATTCTTCCGGAGGCCACTTTCACCAAATACCCGGCAGCAACGGCTACTTGGTCCTTATATCGGTGTTGCGAGGATGTTCCAGCACCGGAGAGATGGCCAGCAGCCTGTTCTTCCTGCGCGACGGTAAGTCCGTGGTCATCTTGGCAAGTTGGCATCATTATAGCATGCGGAGAGTCGGACACATTGCCTCTGGACTCTGGAGAAGACCCCACAGAGCATGGATCAGGGGTACGGAGAATACTGTTATTTGCTGGAACAATCAGATGTCTGCTCACTGCTCTTATTGCCTGTCTTATGTCTGCCGGGGGCATTCTTCTAGCGGGTGAGCACTGAGCTGTGTGCCGCGGCCTGCAGTCTTCTGGCAAGATAGTGAGGCTGCTCCTCAGAGCATGAGGAAGAGTGACAACCTACAAGCGTAGGACTGTCAGGCTCCAGCATCGTTCAATTTTCAATAGCTTGCAGTGATTGTCGGCCTCGGCATTATGGAACTCAAGATGCAATGCCTACAGAGCCTTAGTTTCGAGCTCAAAGTGATGCACTTCAGCATGACAACACTCTCGCAGAAGGCCGGCGCCGAGTCGTGTGCTCGAGTGGGGGACATTGAGACTCGGCAGCTGCAAAGATGGTGGCCATGTAGACCTGGCACTTGTCCTGGACATCACTCTATGTGTAAGAAAGCAAGTATCCGATCGATGAAGCAGTGTTGTGACTGCTATTGGCCGAGTAGCTATGGTCGCAGTCACAAACATAGTGTAGCACGATTAATATAGAGGCCTATAGAAGAGACAAGGCCCTTTGCCTGGGAATAAGAGAGCATAGACCTGCTGATGCCCCAGTAGCGCATCCATGTCGTAGCAGGCCCATACTCCCGCTTCCGGTCTTGTTTCTTGGTTCCAGCCACGAGAAAGCAAGACAACAACCAGACACTCTCTTGCTCTCTCTCTCTCTCTCTCTCTCTTCTACTCCAAAGGACCATCCAGGATCAGCATCAGCTACAGCATAGAGCGCATCGCATCCCAACATCATCCCCCCAAAGAGCGCACCACGAGGCTCAAGCGAAATCTATTCTTGTCTCCCAGCGCGGGCCTACACAACACAAATCAGCAATCCAGGAGACTTGCGCTTGCCAACCCGCAGTATTCTGACGTCGCATTAGAGAATTCCTCTGTCTATCAATAGGCACATCCCACGTGAAAGGGTCGATCAAGTCATAAAACCCTGACAGAGCGCATTTTCTCTTGCTTCTCAAAGTATAAGAACATACAATGGGGCGCATCATCTCGTTCGCAGCGCCAGCCTATCACAGCGTGTCTAGAGCGGCATCACCTGAATCTTCAGACGAAGACGACCGAGTTTGCTCAGCGAGCTACTCATCCCATACCCTCTCTAGACCCTCAGTCGGCCTCGGTAAAGGCTGCGACGAACACTACGCATCTGGAAAAGTAAGCCTCTTGTCTTCTTCATGCTTGCGACGTATACTAACGATACAGTGCAAGAGCGCTAAAAGCAGACCCCAAAAGCACGTTCAATTCAGCGATGCACCACCGGCCATCTGTGAGATTCCAGACTGGGATCGTCGACCTTGGTTACCCAGTGCAGAGGAACTTGCACAACAGGGGCAAGATGAGGAAGAACTGCTGGCCAGTGAATCGACCTCTGATGATACGGCCTCAGATGGCGATGATTCTTGTGCATCGCAGCAGGCAAGTCCACATTGTTTGAATCAAGAGTGGACGACGGACCGTGCCATACCAGCAGGTCTGGTTGCGAGCCATACATCGTCGCTTGAAACAACAAAACCCGTTCTCAAAGAACCTGCCCTGCGTCGTGGTAGTGAAGGGACGGGTCTATCACTGACTGGCAAACAGTCGCGCAGAGATTCACAAGTCTTGCATGCTAGCCTCAGGACGCGACGAGGGAGTAAGAGTAGTGATTTGACGCTTGAAGCTGCAAATCGATGGGCACGACGACTCTCCGTCTAGCCCGTCCGTCTCTGCAGCGTTTCAGTCTTTTCCCAGCGTTTGGCCAAGCATCTTACCTCCAGCATTCCTCTCTTATTGGGAGACGTCATGTCCTCTCTTTTATGTATATCTTTGTATCCTCAAATACATACTGCTCTTGCATCTTCGGGTACATACGCTCGCCACATCTTTGCAAAGTCATCCAGTGCTATCCACGATAGCGATCCATGCGTCGACTCGATCGGTTGTCCACCATACAGCACACGCACCATGAATACCCCTGCTGTAGTTTCATAGAGCTCAAACACAATCTCCGCCCCCATTCCAGGCCATCGCACCGACGGCACTCCCAACGACCCGAGTAGAGGTCCCAAATCACCATCATGTGCAAAGACATGCGCATACCGTATCTGTGTCTCACCCGCTTTTTTACGTTCCAACAACCCCAATAGCTCTGCAATCAATACACCACGCGCTGCAGTGATGTGTTGCCGTGCAGTGGATGAGGTGCGCCAGGTATAATCCCATTCCCAATCTCCAAGGCGAAAGACTGAATCGACATCTTCTTGCGATACGCATAAAGATGCGTTTTGCGCATGACAGGGTAAAGGTTGGCCATGACATGTTTTACCCTGAAAGTAATCCGCATAATGATCAAAATCTGTCTGCCAACGACCAGCATTCGTTTGCAAGACAGCTTCGAGTCGTTGGCGTAACGTAGCTGTTTGTGTGAGATGTGCTTGCCAAGCATCAGACGCTTCCATTTCATCTCTCAGACGTGAGACTGCAGGACATGGATAGCCTCCATCCAGTGAATCAACCAAGTTGTTTTGCGCATACAAGGGAATCTCAGAGACTGGACTAGATCCATAGAAACCACCCAACACACCCGATGCAGTCGCTTGTGTCAACGCTGCTCGAGAATATCGGAAAAAGGCATCTTGCTGATCTAGATCCCCTCGTGCAGGTGGTTTTGATAAGCCGAGCCGTTGTTTGTATACAGCTGATAAATCTCGACCATGTTGCAAAGCATCTTGCAGACCGCCCGCCGTGAGTTGTGGGAATTGACACGTTCCACGCACTTGTGCAGACCATGGATTGAGAGGCGAGGTGTAGGTCTGCTGATAAATATGCGCAGCATGGCCATCGTTTGTATCGCCATCTCCAAATAGCGAAATGTCATCACAATGCCAGTCTACTGGCTCGCCTGCATCAGGGATGTTGTACGGTGTGCGTTTATGGTGACGTTGAATCACTTGAACGAGCACGAGGCGCGCATCAACAGACCTGTTACGTATCGCCTCAGGCAAGCTGTATGTCTCTGGAGAAACATGAGGCATAGAGCAGTAGTTGTAAACGAAGGACGTTCCTTTACCAATAGAACGACCAGCTGGCGCAGTATAGATGCCTCCAAACGTGCCTTTACTGTCAAGCACATGAGCGAGCTTTAGCTGATCTTCAGACAAGTACAAAGCAGTGTCAGCAATAGGTATGTTCTGAGAAGGAGGAGTCTGTAATTGGTCTTTGGTACTGCCAGCCCATGCCGTTTGGACAAGGAGGATAAGCGTGAGAGACGCAGTGATTCCCTATGCATCAGCAACAGCCACATGAGCCAGCGAGCGTACGAGGAACAGCCTGAGCTGCGCCGGTGTGAGCGAGTCACTCATATCCAAGTGATCCCCAACATGGATGGGTGGTGAAGGCGCAGTTTCAAGTTGTCGACGTCCTGAACAGCCCCTGAATCCACGTGCCAGCAGTCACAGCTTGTTCTGTAAATGGTTTAGATCAGTCGGTCGACAGCGGCCGTCTACTACTCTATCAAAATATCGCTGCTCGTTACATATACCCTCGTGTACCCAGTTCGTACTCATTCTCAATAGATCATTCAGTATGCTTCCTTGTTCAATACCGCGCTTCTGGCGGGAAATATAGCGGCGGCAGCTTCAGCGACAATCGTTCTGGACTACTACTTGCGCTGTCCAGTCGAGACCTGTCCATCATGGCCAAAGGTGGCAAGAGCTCTTGCGATTGATTTGGAGGCAGCGGCATACCACGAGGTGGTGGCACCTCAGGAGGTCCCATCACCATACCACCAGATGAGCGTCCACGCCCACCCAGCCATGAATGGCGAAACTCAGTCGGCGCAGAGGCAGGTACTTGCTGCACAACCGGTGGTGCACGGCCCATCCAAGCTTGCGGTGGAAATGAATTATTGCGCTCCGGACGAGCAACATAGCGAGCTGGTTGCACGTTCTGACTAGACACTTCAAGCGGGGGCGTATACAGCCCAGATGAAGCAGTCCAAGCAGAGGACGGCGTTGATGGCGATGGGTTGCTGAGACTGAAACTGTTGCTGTTGCGCGCAGGATATGGGTGGAAATGGGGCGCTGGTCGATCAGTCCTAACAACAAGACCCGGCCATGCAGCCTGCTTGCCTGCCATATCACGCTGCATCTCACCTGGGATGGGTTGCTCTACCTGAGCGACGGGTCTTGCCTCTTTCCGCAACTTCAAACGGACACCTTGTTCGCAAAATATGCGGGATAGCTTGGTCGATGGCAAGGGTCCAGGGAAGTCCTTGATGCCATAGACCCTAAAGTCCTCAGACCAGACATTCGTAATGTATGCCACCTCTGCAGCGCCAGACTTGAGGCTTGAGCGTGGATTAATTTCAAATAGCGTAAAGCGTAGTCGATACAGTCCCTCGTGCTTGACATAAATATCACTAAAGATGAAGAAGCCACCATCCTCGGCGTCTGGATCACGTAGTTTGTTGAGCGACCCAACGACCGTGCCAAGCAAGTCTGCGCCGCTTGCAATATCAGCAGGCAAAGAGCCTTCTTGCCGCAATCGCACGAGATCTGCCACAACAAACATGTATGGGCTCTGCATGTAGTTGCGCGTCTTGTCAGCTTGGCCATACAAGACTTGGACAACGGGCGGTGGGTCAATTGGTTTGCGCTCGCGTTCCTTGTTGCTGCACGCGCGCGCCTGTCGCGGCTGCTGGCGCATCACTAAGCGGTAGCTCGAGCTAGGAGAGGTCAGCCTTGTCAATTGACACACACATGGACTCACCTATTATCGCATGCCGGTCGCATGTCTGCCGCTGCGACAAAATTGTAGTTGGCAACGGACATGACCGTACTATCGTCCGAGTCGCTTTCCTCCCTAGCAAGCCCTCAATGCTGGCATCTTTATGGTCGCGAAGGAGGTGAAGGAAAAAGTTGTGTTAATCAAAGTGTCCCTACAGCTGGCACGGTGCAACGCGACGTGCGCTGGATCTGCTCGGCGGTGCTCGTTCGGGTAGGCGGGTAGACTCTCGTGGTCTAGGTTGCTGCCGCGAATGCAATCCTGTCCGATGATGTAGCAACAGGCCTTGCGACAGATGTTGCGCGACCCCTGTTTGTCAGGTGTATGATTGATGTCGTAGACAGGGAGGGGCGCATTCAGCTGGCCTTGTATATGCGAGAGAGCTTTCAGTTGTCAATGTGTGTACTCAGCCTGTGTGCCTGCCTTGGATCTCCGTCTGCGGAAAGGGCTTGTCTACGTAGAAGAAGAAGCCGGAGCTGCCAAAGTAGCTAATCGTGTAACAAATCGTGTTTGATACGTCGTCCAGGGCCCAGTGGCGGTTGGCGGACGGGCCGGATGGGTTTCTGGAAGGGTAAATTGACGACTGGAACCCGGCGAATGAAGGGCTGCCCGCTTGGCTTCGAGATGTGTATGGTTGACATTGGTTGTGCCAGATAGGCTGAGATCCAAGACATCCCGTCAATGATCTCTGGGTTCACGGCCCAGGGTACAAGCAATTGATAGTAACTTGATACCGATCATACGGTCTTTCAGGCTAGTACCAGCGTAGCAAGACCAGCAGTTCACCAATAATCTTCCGTTGAACGACAAATCTACGCGGTCAGCCACCCGGACCCAGCCCTCCGCAGAGCTGCAAGCTTGATTCCGCCTGAAGTTCCCTGAATCTGACTGTGCCCACTGCCCACTGCCCACCTCATCATCATGGTCATGCCACTAATGACAAGCGTGTAAAACAGTGCCCGATAATAGCAACTCGACACTGCTGTATGAGTCAATGACACTTGTGATGAGCCACAAAGACAAAGTTGTCATCTCATTACATGGATAGTGTTTGACACCAAATCAGAACTTCAACTAAGCCCCCAAGTTGTGCTCAATTTCTCTGTACCGAGATCTTGGCGCCGCTTGGGGTCGTCATTTGCACAAGTGCTATAGGAATTCACGGCCTGCACTGCTGCACACACCAAGCTTGTAGAGTCAGCAGAACGGGCTGACAATGTCATGATCCTGTGATGCCATGATCACAACTAGTAGACACTAGTCAATGGTAGTTAGTAGTCGCGGGCAATGAGGAAGCCTCGAGCTTGAGGAACAAAGATAGTCAGAGGTGACACTCGGCCCGCGGTGGTCCCACCTGCAGTCAACCGGACTTCGTGAAGCCTGGTAGCGATACTTTTTGGTGGCGCCGCCTGTTCGAAATGCCGAAGCACCAAGTTTTAAAGTTCAGCTGATCGACGAGGTACGCAGCGTACGTATGCGACCGTCGACCTTTGTTTTCAGGGCTTTGAGCTTCAGCTCAGTGAATCAGTGATATTCTATCTTGTCGTCGGTGTCCATTGTCCAAGTCGTCCATGATGCGCCCAGGACACATAATCAGAGCTTGTGGCATTAACTGGGACGATGAACTCGATATCAATCACTGCGTTGGTGATCAGGCAGCTGTCAAGGCGATGTCGATTTGCGATTGGCAACTTCTTGATAAAGCTGATAGCAGTTGAAGACAAAGAGTTCATTGACAGGACTATGAGACTTGAGTCTCTAGGGACATATGTACACGCATATGCACAAAAGCTCAGGAATGATGCCGTTTCAGATCCTCGTAGCTTGCCTTGATTGGAGCTAGAGAGACCGCACATATCAGACTGATGCACATAATTCTTGCGGTAATTACAGTCGGCGCCTGCAGCTGAGGTACTCGCGCCAGACTCGGTCAGAGACTCAGAGAGGGCGTGTCATCTGGTCAGCTGCAGATCTCCGGACCAAGGACCAGCGACGACATCCCACGCACAAAGCTATCAGCACACCTCAACCTAGCATCACGTCCTCTAGCTGTCAATCCAAACGTAGCACTAAGATATGGACTTTCTCGCTCGCAGTAGTGCTTCGTTCATTGAACTCGCTGCCATACGGCCACATTCGACGCGTGCAAGCAGCCAAGACCTCGAGCGCAAGAGACCGCGTATTGATGTCTGGGCGCCAGACCGTATGCTCTCTGCTTCCAACCCTTCTGCAGTACTGACGGAGCTTTAGCCTTCAAATTATCTGACAAGGTTGTTGATGAGGCTCAAGGCCAACCATCAAAAGCCGTCAAGACATTTTATAAGCAGCAAAACGCCAAGATTGAGAGTCTACTCAAGTCTGTGGACCAACATCGTGCATTAGCCGATGATGCAGAAGCAGCTTCGAAACTATCGCATCAAATCGCCATTTATGGGTCTCTTGCCGGTAATGTCGTGCTCGCCGGCTTGCAATTGTACGCAGCTGCTAGCTCTGGCTCACTTTCGCTCTTCGCCACAATGGTCAGTACACATGGATGGTGCTCTGATACTAATATGGCAGATTGACTCTGCGTTTGATCCATTCTCCAACTTGATTATGCTCTACTGCCACAGAGCTGCGAAGAAGCACAACGTCTACAAATGGCCATCTGGCAAAGCGCGCATGACAACAGTCGGCAATATCTGTTTCTGCTTCATCATGGCCACTGCCTCGATTGTTTTGATCGTCGAGTCGATTCGTGACATTATTGAGCATATCGCCGACAAGGCATCTGCTGATACGGAGAAATTGCATCTTGCGAGTTTGATTGTTGTGAATTGTGCCTTTGCAACCAAACTCGCCCTCATGCTCTACTGCTGGCGTCTCAAGGCCACCAACACACAGATACAAATCTTGTGGGAGGATCACCGGAATGACTTGTTCATCAATGGTCTGGGTATCATCACCTCTGTGCTTGGATCAAAAGTCGTTTGGTGGTTGGATCCTGCTGGTGCCATGTTCTTGTCTCTATGCATCATTGGATCATGGGGCAACACAGCCTTTCACGAGTTCAAGCTACTCGTTGGCATCAGCGCTGGCCCTGACTTTCTTCAACTCGTGACCTATACATGCGTGACGCACCACCCAGACATTATCCAAGTAGACACCTGTCGCGCCTACCATGCAGGCGAAGGGATCATCATCGAAGCAGATGTGATCATGCACGAGTCACGCACATTGCGGGAGACGCATGATATCAGTGAGGATTTACAAAATAAGCTGGAACGGCTGCCGGGTGTGGAGCGGGCCTATGTGCATACTGACTTTGAAGCGAGTCACTTGCCTGAGCATCGGAAGAATGTGTAGCTGTATTTACGAAGCAGTGCCAGTACTAGGCCAGTAGTCATGATCCCTGAATGGACCTGGGCTGGTCGCTGTCGGCACCTGGGCGGTGTTTGGGCCTCGGCACAAGTTCGGCGCCGCGGGCTGACAAATAGCACAGTCACATGGCCAGGTAGCATGACAGTCTGGTGGCAAGGAGTATGCGGAAGGCCCCAGCATAGCCCATGGGCCAGCTCGCGATTACCACCCGCTAGCTGCCTGGAGTAGCTGCTCCCCTCGGTCCGCTTGTGTTTGCTGGTGCGGGTGCGAGTGTGGAGAAGGGAAACGCAGCAGGAAAATCAGGTTTAAAGTCAACTTCCTCCCCTCATCACCACCACCTCATCCACTCACATAGCCATGGCATCCAGACTCCAGCAGTATGTCCAGCTCTCTGTTATTTCACATCCACTGACACCCCAGAATCGCAAGCCACGTCGGTCTCGGCAAGACAGCCATCACCTCCAAGTCAAACGACGACATTGTCATCGTCTCCGCACTCCGCACACCCATCACCCGTGCAAAGAAGGGAGGATTCAAGGACACAAACGTCGAAGACCTCCTCGCAGGTGTTCTCAAGGCAACCCTTGACAAGACCGGCATTGACCCAAAACTCGTCGAAGACATTCACGTCGGTTCCGTCCTCTCCCCAGGCGGTGGCGCTACCCTCTTCCGTGCTGGTGCACTCGCCGCTGGTTTCCCAAATACCACCTCCGTCTCCTCACTCAACCGTCAGTGCTCCTCTGGTTTGCAGGCAGTCGTCCAAATTGCCCATGAAATCCAAGCTGGCATGATTGAGATTGGTATCGGTGCCGGTGCAGAGTCCATGACTCAAGGTTACGGTGCTGGTGCTATGGGTTCGCTCTCTGATGCATGTGAAGCTGTTCCTGAAGCAGCAGACTGCACCATGCCTATGGGTCTCACCTCTGAAAACGTCGCCAAGGAGTTCAACGTCTCCCGTGAAGACCAAGACAGATTCGCCGCAGAGTCCTACCGTCGTGCCGAGGCTGCACAAAAGGCAGGTCTCTTCAAGGAGGAAATTGCACCTATCCGCGTCACCTTCTCTGACCCCAAGTCAGGTGAGGACAAGCAGATCCTCGTTGAGCACGACGATGGTATTCGTTACGGTACCACCTACGAGTCTCTCGCCAAGCTCAAGCCTGCTTTCGCCGCTGATGGTGCTACCCACGCCGGAAACGCTTCGCAAGTCTCGGACGGTGCTGCTGCCGTGTTGCTCATGAAGCGATCCAAGGCCAAGGAACTCAACTTGCCCGTCATTGGCAAATACGTCTGCGCTGCTGTGGTGGGTGTGCCTCCTCGTATCATGGGTGTGGGTCCAGCTTACGCCATCCCTGCTGCTCTCAAGAAGGCAGGTCTCTCAAAGGAGGACATTGACATCTACGAGATCAATGAAGCCTTTGCATCGCAAGCCCTCATGTCGTGCAGGACTATCGGTCTGGATATGACAAAAGTCAACCCCAAGGGTGGTGCCATTGCCTTTGGCCACCCTCTCGGTTGTACCGGTGCGAGGCAGATTGCTACAGGTTTGACAGAGCTCAAGCGTACAGGCGGTAAGACCCTTTGTGTGTCTATGTGTATCGGTACTGGTATGGGTCTTGCTGGTATCTTCACCGCAGAGTAGATGTCTATTGTGTTTACCCTTCTTCTTCGTAGGCTAAAATTTCAGTGCTCCCAAATTTTCCGTCTCCATCTGAAATGCTGACAGATGGTGACCTCGACAGTTGACCGACCCCTGACTGACCACCCCTGCATTGTTTATAGACTTCAACTTTGGCAGTGCTTAGCATCCTCCGCTGAACAAAGGTCTGAAGACTGTGCTTTCTATGCGTGAAAGGCAATATCACAAGACAGCCATGGGCCTGGCAGTAAGCGTTTTGTCTACATCAAATAGGCCAAAGTGATCTGACGCCTGTATCTGTTGCAGTCGTTTGATTGCATGATCGACCAGCCATGTGAAGCATTGCGACTGTTATGCAACGTGCATAAGAGAACAATACACCGTCGATCACGAACTGGCTACAATTGTCCAAATCCTTTGCCAATATCTCCTCTACGCACAATTGACATTGTCAAATGGTCTTCAACAAAGCTCGACAGCAGCTCGTCATGCTGTTGACAGCTTGTCTGACAATGGTATTCCTGCATCTTGAACATCCCCTGCAGGTGGCCTCAACTCAAGCGGGAAGTACCCTGCCTCCATGCAGTATACCTGAATTTCAATACGTCCAGTTCTTTCAAAATATCTACAACCAGCCATGCGAGACTCTGTGCACAGAAATGGCTGCTGAGGCTGTCGCTTGGTGGAGGGTGATCGGCGGCGACCATTGTCAACAACCATTCTGGAATGAAGAGGTTTTTTATCCAGCTCGCGCTTCCATTGGCAATGTAATAGGCAAGGTTGCAGAGAAAAGCAACAGACAAACTTATCAATTGCCGCTGGCTCACAAGCTTGAATACGAAGCGGCTCACATGTCCGACAACGAAGCGATCCGGAAGAAGCGGCAAGCCTTAACGTATTGTTCCTGCAACATCACGGTCATCCTGAGCAATATATGGAAACCAGAAGATTGGCCATGGCCAACCTGTAACGATCACGACTAGACGAGGCAAGGCGTACCGTTGGAGACAGGGAGCGTAGTAGGAGTGTGGTTTTGGCAACAGAGACTTGCAAACAGAAGATAGTATTGAATGTAAACTGATGTTGCTGACAATGCTACAAAGGTGCGAGAAGCGCTCCTTTTATACACTGCCAGCCTAAAGCAACTGAACAGACGAGATAGAAGTGGGCGATGGCAAAGACCCTGAAAAGAACACTGGCAGTTGCCGATGAAGGTCTTGGCGAAGACCGAGTGATGCTAGCGAGCGAAACGTGTCTGAGCACGAACCATGCGACAGAGAAGCCATGCGGCATGGAGAACCAATAGGAAGGGATACGTCGGAACGTGAGGTAGCGCTGAGAGCTTGCAGGTGCCATCGTGATAGCGGAAAGATAGGAGCGCTGGGAGCCCGAGTGAGACAGACGAGGCTGAGTAGCCGGATGAAGACGAGACCACAGTGCGACGAGGTCAGTGCGTGACAGAATCCCCCTCGAGGGATTCGTCTCGAATCATAGAAGCTGGACGAAGGGTGGAACCACAGCGTTGGGATGGCCATGATGAAACTCGCGGACGTAGTCTGGAAGAGAGTCGTAGATCTCACGAGCAGGCCGCCAGGAATCTTCTGAGTCGGCGTAACCTTCCCAATGAATGCGATACTGGAAGCCAAGACCCCGAGGGCGTACATCGACAACTCGTTCCACAACGTACTCAAGATGCTGGCCGACAACCAAGGGTGGAGGTGGCAGCTGAACACGACCAGGACCAGCAACGTCGCCGGTGGCTTCATGGTAAGGCTCAAGTAGTTTGGGGTGGAAGACGTTGAAGATCTTGGTGCCAGGGTCAAGTCGAAGGGCGAAGGCGCGGTCGTCGTAAGACTTGGTGATCAGGTAAGGCCCACGACGAAGAGCATCCAACTTGGAAGAAGGCCGATCGGACCGGATGTGCTTGCTGCTCAGCAACACTCGTTGGCCAACTTGGAAGTTGGGCTGCGGAAGGCGGTGAGTGTCAGCGTGATGCTTCTGCAACTCCTGAGCCTCTTGCAAGTGTAGCTTGAGCTCGGCGTGAATATCCCGCAGCCGTTGGGTCATATCGAGACTGCCAACATTGCGAGTGTCAGAGCCGTGGCCAAAGTGTAAGCCAAAACGTGGATGATAACCGTATGCAGCGAAGAAGGGCGAGGTCTTGATGGACTCTTGATGGGCGTTGTTGTAGGAAAACTCGGCCGTCGGGAGTAGAGACACCCAGTCGTCTTGTGCATGGTTGGAGTAGCATCGGAGGTATTGTTCCAAGATAGCGTTGACGCGCTCGGTCTGCCCATCAGTCTCTGGGTGGTAGGCAGTTGACAACAGAGCCTTGACTTGGGGGTCAAAGTGACTGAGGAACGCTCGCCAGAATTTGGATGTGAATACCGAGCCACGATCGGAGACGATGGAAACAGGCATGCCGTGCAAGGCGAAGATCCGATCCAGGAACAACTGTGCAAACCCGTCCGCGCTGGTAGACTCGTGGTAGGGCACGAAGTGAGCCATCTTGGTGAACCGATCAACGACAACTAGGATGGAGTCGAAACCATTGGAAGGCGGCAGCTTGACGATGAAATCCAGAGATATCGAGGACCAAGGACCATCAGCGATAGGCATCGGCTGCAGCTCACCATAAGGCTTGTGTCGAACCACTTTGTTGCGAGCACAGGTGTCACAAGAAGCGACGTACCGTTTGACATACGCGCGCATACCTGGCCAGTAGAAACAACGAGCAAGGAGCTCGAAAGTCTTCAATGCTCCCCAATGACCCGAGACGGGGCTGTCGTGGTGCTGGCGCAATAGAGACAACTTCAGATCCACACTGTCGGGGACGTAAACTCGGCAGTCGTGAAGCAAGAGGCCGTCATGTAGCTCGAAGTTGTCCAAGTTGCGCGCGGGAGCAGAGGAGGCCGGAGCTTCTGAGGAGAGTGCGGCCAAGAGCTCTTGCACAGCGTCATCCGTAGTGTAGGCAGCCATAATTTGCTCTTTGAGGGAAGAAGCGAGAGCAGAGATGGAATTCTGCGTAGCACTCAAGACAAGCTGTCCGGGACGAAGAAGTGCGCGCAAGTTGGCAGAGCCAGGAGTATCCCCCCCTGGAGTGCGGAGATCCTCACGACGCGAGAGAGCATCGGGCCGGCCTTGCTGAGCGCCCGGGCGGTAGACGATGGTGAAGTTGTAGTCCGCAAGAGTCTCGGCCCAGCGTGCCTGGCGACGATTGAGTACTCGCGTAGTGTTGAAGTACTCAAGGTTGCGATGATCTGTCCATACCGTGATAGTGTGAGCAGAGCCCTCAAGATACTGTCGCCACACGCGAAAAGCTTCCACAATGGCCAACATCTCCTTGTCATAGATTTGGTAATTGATTTCAGCTGGCGCGAACGTGCGGCTGAAGAAGGCAACAGGGTGAAGGAGCGAGTCGGAACCATGTTGAGAGAGAATGCAGCCCAGAGCAAAGTCAGAAGCATCGGTTTCGATGAAGATCTCCTTATCCGGGTTGAAGTGGATCAAGATTGGGGCCGTGGTGAAGCGTTTTTTCAAAAGTCCAAACGACGCGGCAGCCTCTTCAGTCCAAACAAAGGGTCCCGTATCTTTCTTCAAAAGGTCGTACAACGGCTTGGCAATCTTGCTGTATCCCTCGATGAAGCGCCGATAGAAATTGGCGAATCCATTGAACACCTGAACATCGTGAACTGATCGTGGAGCTGGCCAATCGAGAATGGCCGATACCTTTGATTTGTCCATGCTGATACCCTTGGAACTGACGACATATCCCAAAAACTCGACTGTGTCGCTGTCAAAGACGCATTTCTCTGGCTTGACGTACAAGGAGTGTTCGCGAAGCACTTGCAGAACCTCTCGGACATGCACGTCGTGAGCTGCTTGGGATTCAGAGAAGACCAGAATGTCGTCCAAATAACACACCACTGAAATGTCGAGAAAAGGGAGCAAGACATCGTTCATCATGGTCTGGAACGAGGCTGGTGCGTTGGTCAATCCAAACGGCATGACATTGTACTGGAAGTGGCCGTAACGCGTGCGGAAAGCGGTTTTCCACTCATCTCCGTTTGCAATGCGCAATAGATTGTACGCGCCGCGCAAGTCGAGCTTCGTGAAGACCTTCGCCCCGTGAAGACGATCCAAGGTTTCCGATATGAGTGGCAGCGGCGCACGATTCTTGACAGTGATGCGATTGAGGCCGCGATAGTCGATGCATAGACGTAAAGACCCATCCTTCTTCTTGACAAACAGAGCCGAGGCGCCAGCGGGGCTTTCGGACACAGAGATATTGCCGAGGGCAAGTTGTTCGTCGAGGTAGTCTTTCAAGACCTGCAGCTCGGCAGAGCTCATCGCGTACAAAGCATTCCATGGCGGCGAAGAGTCGGGAACCAGGGGTATCTTGTGGTCATGCTTGGTACGCGATGGGAGTCGAGAAGCTTCCACCTTTGAGAAAATTGAGAGGAAGTCATGGTATTTTGCGGGAATCGACGCTTGTGCAGGCTCGAGAGCAGTTGGACTTGGCTCGACATCGATTTCCGCAAGACCTTCGACGAGCTCTGGCCGTGCGCCAAGCAAATCCGTGAAATCCAGGTAGAGAACGTCATGATCGCGGGCAAGACGTTTGAAAGACCCCGGTGCAACAATGTGGACGTCCGCGACTGTGAGAAGGCGAGCGTCACTTGGCGGAGTCCCCGTGTGAGTGTGCAGCGAGCCGTCGCAATGTGAAGCGCATGTGTCAGGGAATTTGAGGTCGGCTGTTGACCACGTGATCTGGGGATCATGGCGCTCCAGCCATGGCAACCCGAGAACAGCGTCGTAGCGACCCAAATCCGTGACAGCAAAGGACAAGAGCTCAGTATGACTTCCTACCCGGAGGTTGAGAGGGGAAGTCATGAGCTCCACATCTGAGAGTGAACCACCGTCGATCGTTTCGAGTTTGACCGAGTATGGCAGCGGCGAAGTGGGCAATTGCAAGCGTTCGACGAAACGGGAATCGATGAAGTTGCTGGTTGCGCCGCAGTCAAGCATAGCAAAACTGTCCGAAGAGCGATACCCCGAGGAGATGGTGACAGCGAGCATGCGATGAGGAGACGCAAGGGCGAGAGTGAGGAGAGGAGACAAGCCCGAAGGGAGGAGCTTGCTTTCCGTCGTTGCGCACAGAGTGATGGAAGAGAGGATAGTCGGGACTACTTCCGATTGCCCTGGCCTTTTGGGCGTTCGTTGCAGTCATGCACCTTGTGATCAGGGCTAGCACAGTATCTGCATAAGTCCAAATCTCGTCGACGCTGACGCTCGGCATCGGTGAGGGGTGCGCGAGTTGTGGTTGCAGAAAGGTCCATTCGGTCGCCTCCTTGAGTGGTGGTGGCAACAGGCGCAGTCTTGATGACAACTTCTCCAAAGGCGCGAGGAGCGGTGGAGCGGACGACAGAGGATATTGGGTTGCGTCCTGAGAGATAATGGTCCAACCCCTCATCCTGGGCGTTCTCGAGCAAGTTTTCGTCACACTGAACCACCTTTTCGCAGAACTGGGTAAAGTCCTTCTTTGATGGGTTGGACAAGGAAAGGATCGAACGTAAAGTTGGATTCAAGGTGCGACGAAGTTCGAAGACCTTGGTCTCATCTGTCAGATCCAGAGGCGCGGTGATGGCGCGGAACGCAGCCACATGACGGGATGCGGACGTCTTTCCTTGCTGCAACTTCTTGAGCTCGTTGCGAGCTTCGACATTCTCGTCACCTCGAGAAAAGGCAGTGTCCAAGGAGTCAAACAGCTCCTTGACAGTGTTGAAAGTGAGGCGCGTCAAGCCGGGGTTGTGTGGATCGGCCACGACAAACGAGCGACGCCACTTGAGGGCAGCACCAGTGAGAAGCCCACCAACGTAAGAGATACGCTCGGCTTCCGTGACGAGGCGCTCTCGCTCGGCGGAGAGCTTCAAACCACAAGAGTCAATAAAGTCTCGTACGGGCACGGCGTCATGTCACGGCTTGACCTCCGAGCTCCCAGTGCTCCTACCTTTCCGTCGTCCCAGCCGCGTCCGTGCACCCCGAGCTCCCAGTGCTCATCCCTTTCCGTCTTCTCAGCCGCGTCTGTCTATCTCGAGCTCCCAGCGCTCCTACCCTTCCGCCATCACGCTGGCACCTGCAAGCTCTCAGCGCTACCTCACGTTCCGACGTACCCCTTCCTATTGGTTCTCCATGCCGCATGGCTTCTCTGTCGCAGGGTTCGTGCTCAGACACGTTTCGCTCGCTAGCATCACTCGGTCTTCGCCAAGACCTTCATCGGCAACTGCCAGTGTTCTTTTCAGGGTCTTTGCCATCGCCCACTTCTATCTCGTCTGTTCAGTTGCTTTAGGCTGACAGTGTATAAAAGGAGCGCTTCTCGCACCTTTGTAGCATTGTCAGCAACATCAGTTTATACTCATTACTATCCATTGTTCTCAGTCTCTGCCGCCAAACCCACTTCCACGCCTAAGCTTCCTGTCTCCGTCGGTACGTCCTGTCTCGCCAGGTCGTGAGCGTCACACGTCACTAGACCCATCGAATGACTTTGGGTCTGGGTGAACCTTACCAAGGTGTCGATTGACGTGGGCTGAGGGTGCTTCGGCCGCGGCCTGGCGCTGAAACTCCAGGCTAGCGGCCTGAGACTCGACCGTTGCTCGAAGCTGAGCATTGGCTTCTCCAAGGCGCTGCATCTCGGTGATGAGGCCACTGACTTGCTGATGCAAGTTGAAGAAGTCTTCGGGTGTTGGAATGTTGGACATGTTTGAAATGATGTCTCTGGTAAAACCTGCCGTATGGTCAGCAAACTGTAACGATCACGACTAGACGAGGCAAGGCGTACCGTTGGAGACAGGGAGCGTAGTAGGAGTGTGGTTTTGGCAACAGAGACTTGCAAACAGAAGATAGTATTGAATGTAAACTGATGTTGCTGACAATGCTACAAAGGTGCGAGAAGCGCTCCTTTTATACACTGCCAGCCTAAAGCAACTGAACAGACGAGATAGAAGTGGGCGATGGCAAAGACCCTGAAAAGAACACTGGCAGTTGCCGATGAAGGTCTTGGCGAAGACCGAGTGATGCTAGCGAGCGAAACGTGTCTGAGCACGAACCATGCGACAGAGAAGCCATGCGGCATGGAGAACCAATAGGAAGGGATACGTCGGAACGTGAGGTAGCGCTGAGAGCTTGCAGGTGCCATCGTGATAGCGGAAAGATAGGAGCGCTGGGAGCCCGAGTGAGACAGACGAGGCTGAGTAGCCGGATGAAGACGAGACCACAGTGCGACGAGGTCAGTGCGTGACACAACTTTGCCAAAATCCGAGGGTTTGTGCTCACTTCAAGCTCTAGCCCTCAGATCTGCTCCTCGTGGGTCGTGGCAGCTTGCAAGTGCGCGATACTTGAGTCAATCGGGTGTCGACTGCGAGATGGATGGCTTTGAAAACATCCTGAGCCGTCCTCTGATCACCTTCGATCTTCCTTATGCGCAGAGTTCCGCATTGGATGAAGTATCGATGTTAAAGGCAGCAATGGCGAATCACCCCGAGCTTTGGCAAGAATACGCTACAGTCATCTGGATCTAGAACTAGAACTTCATGTTCATGTGTGGAGCAGCTCTCTATAATCATAGCCATTTGAAACTTTACGACCGATGCCTACAATTCAAATAGCCATGGCTCTGTCAGTAGACGTTTTATTTAAGATAGGAGGCCAACGTGATGAACGAGGAGTCATTGAGGACCCTGCAGCTGATGCACCCGTTTGATCTGATGATCACCACACCACGTGCAGAATCGCGTGGCAACGTACATAGGAGATCAAAGCAACATCAATCTCGAAATGGCTGCAATTTCAGTCCAAACCCCTCACCAATACCTCTTCTACGCACAATCGTCATTGGCAATGGTCTTCAATATCGACAGCTTGTCTGACAATGGTGTTTCTGCGCCTCGAACAGTCCGTAGAGGCGGTCTTGATTCGAGTCAAAACTCCACAGCCGCGATGTTTTTTACCTGAATTCCAGTACGTCCAACTCTTCAAAATTGCCAAAAGCCAGCCATGCGAGCCTCTTTGCAAAGAAAAGGCTGCTGAGGCTGTTGCTTGGTGGAAGATGCTTGGCAGCGACTATTGTCAACATGAACACTGGGTTGGAAACGATTATTATCCGCCTCGCGCTTCCATTGGCAATGTAATGAGCAAGGTTACAGACGTGAGCAACAAAGAAATTGGTCTTTTTTCGCTGGTTTGCACATCCAAAAACGATAGGACCTGAGCTAATGACCAGGCAGCACCGTATTGTTCATGCAACGTCACGGTCATCCTGAGCAATATCAAGAGATCGCAAGATTGGCCGCTTTCGTCAAAGTTCAGAACACTGTGTTCACTTCAAGCTCTAGCCCTCAGAGCTGCTCCTCTTGGGTCATGGCAGCTTGCGAGCTCGCGATACTTGAGTCACTCGAGTTTCAAATGCGAGATGGAGGACTTTGAGAACATCCTGAGCCGTCCTCTGATCACTTTTGATCTTCCTTTCACGCAGAGGTCCGAATCGTTTGAAGTATCGATGTCAAGGTCAGCAATGGTGAATGAAACCGAGCGTTATAAAGATTACGCTACAGTCATCTGGATATAGAGCTCCATATTCATATGTGGAGCAGATATTTACAAATATAGCCATTTGAAAACTTGACGACCAAGTCCCACGATCAAGATGGCCATGGATCTGTCAGTAAACGTTTTGTACAAAATGTCATGAGTCTGTCAGTAGACGTTTGTACTGCACTAGGTGGACCAAAAAGATCAGTAAAGCCCCTGCATCTAATACAGTCGATTTATTATATGATCAGCGAGCCATGTGAAATATTGTAATTGGTCAGCAACGTGCGTAGGAGAACACCAGACCGTTGTTCACGGATGGCTACAACTGCAAGTCCCACCCTTTAGCGAGCCATGTGAAGAATTGTAACTGGTCAGCAACGTGCGTAGGAGAACACGAGACCGTTGTTCACGAATGGCTACAACTGCAATTCCCATTCTTTGCCAACATCTCTTTCACGCACCATCGACACCGTCAAATGGTCTTCGACAAAGCTCGACAGCAGCTCGTCATGCTGTTGACAGCTTGTCTAACAACGGTATCCCTGCATCTTGAACAGCCCCTGCAGGCGGCCTCGACTCGCGCGGGAAGAGCACCGCCGCAATGCATCATACCTGAGTTTCAATACGTGGGCATCTTTCGAAACGTCGACAACCAGCCATGCGAGACCGTTTGCACAGAGAAGGCTGCTGAATCTGTTGCTTGGTGGAAGGTGCTTGGCAGCGACTTTTGTCAACGTGAACACTGGGTTGGAAACGATTATTATCCACCACGCGCTTCTATTGGCAATGTTATGAGCGATTCAATCGTGAGCATCGGGGACGCTAATCTATACGCGAAGTTGCGTGTGGGGGAACATACTGTCCATCGAGCCACTGAGACCGCAGCGCGGTATTGTTCATGCAACGTTACGGTCATCCTGAGCAATATATGGAAACCAGAAGGATGGCCATGGCCAGCTTTGCCAAAAACCGAGGGCTTATGCTCACTTCAAGCTTTAGCCATCAGGTCTGCTCCTCGTGGGTCATGGCAGCTTGCAAGTTCGCGATACTTGAGTCAATCGGGTGTCGACTGCGAGATGGACGACTTTGAGAACATCCTGAGCCGTCCTCTCATCACTTTCGATCTTCCTTTTACGCAGAATTCGGCATTGTTTGGAGTATCGATGTCAAAGTCAGAAATGATGAATGACGCCAAGCGTTGGTTAGAATACGCTGCAGTCATTTGGATATAGAGCTCCATGTTCATATGCGGAGCAGATGTTTACAATCGTAGCCATTTGGCAGATGTTTACAGTCGTAGCCATTTGAAACTCGACGACCGAGGTCTACGATCAAAATGACCATTCCAATCAGTCAGCAGTAACATTAGGATAGGAAGGCCAACGTGATCAAAGAAGACCCCTGCAGTTGTTGCAGTCGCTTATGGTCACTACACCACGTAAAGAACCGCAACTATGCATATGCAACAATGTGCACAGGGTAACAAGACATCACGACCACAAATTGGCTACAGCTGCGGTCCAAAACCTTCATCAACGCCTCTTAAGCTTCTTCGCACAATCGATAAGCTGCATTTCTCTTGCAATTGATCTTCGCCTTCCGATCGCGTGCAAGAATCAGGCCACTACCACCGTCAAGGTCTTCACAGACATGACTCATTGAAGCACAGTAATCTCCAGTATTCATAATCCTGACGCTCATTGCTTCAGCTCACTTCAGCTGCATAAATTAGCAGGAAAACTTCGTGTCTGCTGCTGGAGCCGGCTCTCTCGAAATTGAGTTAAACACAGAAGGTCAGCTGCAGTGAACAACTCCGTAGATGAAGAAGCATCTTCTGATTGCTCGATGGATAGATCTAGATCACATTACATATCTCTCTCTCTCTCACTGTTCAATGGTGACGTTGGCGTGATAAGTCGAGGGACTATAATGCCCCTGAAAGTTTTTTTCGCGGCAAGCAAACACCTAGAGCCTCCTGAATCCTGATGCAGCAGGTGCTCCCTCATTCGTATTTTTCTCATCCCCCTTCCTTGACTTTCTAGCTGAGAGGACGAGTCGATAGCCTTCACACCCGGTGGATCAAGACCAGCCACTTTCCAAAAGTGATACGTGTCATCTCAAGCGCTTCATTCAACAAGAATTATCGGGACGGAAGCCTCTGTCGGATCGGCTTATCATGCTTTCAACTACTTGGCTAGCTATTCTACTTCTCTGCGTCATGAGCGATGGCACTCTGGCAGATCAAGATTATGATGAGGACGATTCGGACCCTTGGATTCCGCCAGATGATGGCCCGTACCTTGGGCCACCGCCAGACTACGCCGACCCCTACTGCTACACGCCATGGTTTCAGTACACCATATTCAGACCAAGTGTTCTGACGACGAGGAATTGTCTTGCTGTCTGCGACAGAGAGGTGCGTCTCCAAATGATACTCGCTGAAGAAACCGGCAGGGACTTGTGCCATCATGTGGAGTACGATAGGAAAGATGAGGCTGTTGAGTGGGACGTACTTTTTGGAAATGTCACTGCAAAGCTTGTCGACGACTCTCCTACTTGGCAGAATCTGACCAAGAAATATCAACATCGACAGATTCATTTACCTGGTATGCCAGCATTGACGTCAAGAGTGAGGGAATTTGGTTGCTTCTGTAGATTGACAGTTGTTGTCAATCGGGTGCCGAGAACGCAAGATATGTATGGTGAGAACAATCCTTATCGAACGATGTGCAAACTCCCTGCCGTTGCAAAGCGACTCCTCTCAGTTGATTGGCTTTTTGAATCAATGGGCGTGGTTGGGCTTCCGTCTAAGTGTGGAGTTGCTGTTAAAGATATTCCATTGCGGCAAGTGGTTGGTTCTGTTGTTTATGATGATCGGAAGACGGAGCATAACAATATGCTAACGTCGGCCAATATGGGGAGATTCATATGAACGCAGAGAGAGTCACAAGCTGTATTTCATGTCTGAAAGATGAAGATCACTCACAACTCACGAGAGATCCATAGACTACAGGCTACAGTACTCATTAACATCGAGGCAAGACCATATGCCATTTGCTGTAACCGGAGATTACCGCTAGAAGACTATGAAGTATGCTGCAACTGCAGCTAAAAAGATTGAACAACGAAGGGTCGAGTCAAGACACCGTTGGGAGACATCTATTGCAATACGGGAAATTTCGACGGCTAGTAAACCGTGATGAACGAAAGACTGACGCAATGAGATAAACGGGCGACAACCGATAGAATATGGCGCTGGTGACAAAAGGGCGATGATTGACGCGCAGTAAACCGGTGATTAACGGATGAGGACTGGCGATCGCTGATGACTAGCACGCAGCGAGCTACAGGTGACGAGCTAGGGCTTTGCATGGATTAGGGATAGCTCTAGAGCAAGCAAGGCTTACAATGTACTCCCTACAACTGTTGTGCAAGGTATATTGCACGCTTGCTACGCTTCCGCGCTTGTTCCACCTCGCCGGCAGTGGCGGCGCGGTCATTCCTGTCATTCGCTGCAGCCTGAAGCAGCTGAGTTTTCGCCGGCGTTGGCCGGTTGCGTTTGCCCTGTAGTAGTCAGGATGGAGCAAGACCAGCGAAAGAATTAGTGTGCCGTACGACGTAGTTATGCGGATTCCGTATCGCTGTGGTCGTCGTGCTCATGGTGTGGCGTGGTGTACTGTGTAGTGCGTCGTGCTTGTCGTGCCTGCGTGTCGTCGTCTTGCTCATGGCGTGGCGCGATGTTTCGTGGGTTGCGTCGTGCTTGTCGTGCCTGCATGTCGTACTCGTCGTCGATCGCCTGCCTCTCAGCCTCTGCCTCTGCCAGACGCTTGCTGTTCCTCGATTGTTGTTGTCAGTAGAGAACTGTTGCGTAGATTGTTGGACGTGATCACGTACGGCGACTTGCAGATTCTTGGCACCATGCTGAAAGATAGCATGGAGATCCAGTTCGCTTGTGCCCTGGCTAGTGACGGAAAGTCCCGTTCAAGATGACGGACTGCCTTCTTCAGCTCGGCATGGTCGCGTTTTTTCCAGCTGACGGGATTGCCTTGCTGGTTCTCGAGAAAGTTGTATGCATCCCTGTAGTGGCGAGCAGCGCTGAGGATAGCACTCCACTGCGTGTTGGTGGCCGCGCTTGACGGTCATAGACACAACGCTTCGCGAATAGAATCGACAGTCTGAATCTCAGTACGCTTGGAACCATCCTTTGACACGCGTCGTGGTCGTGCTGGTGCCTTGATCATGCGTGTATAGTGTGCAAGGCATTCAAACCGGTCTAGATCGTCCTTCTGAATGCGTTAGACACAGCGTAGTGTATCAAGAGACATAGAGACGTTGTCAGATGAATTCGCAGGATCGCAGATGGCTGTTTCTGCTGCGATGCGCGCTGACGCTGACGAGCTGGTTCCGCAAACGACGAGGGAAAGCGGCTGGGATCAAAGGCATTTGGCAAGTCTCTAGCATACTCATTATCTGTAGCAAGGGCTAGTAGTCGCGCTTCTTGCTTTGCTGTGGCATCAACAAGAACGAGGATGTTCGCAGTCCATTTGCTCGGCAAGTTGGGCTCTACCGCGTTACGCAGGACAGCATTGATCTGACTTTGCTGGTCAGACGCACTTGAGAGACAGAATCGAAGGAAGCACTGGCAGAGATGCGCGTCTAGAGTAGAGCGCTGCTCTGTGCAGTGACCATGAGTTGTATTGTAGTCTGTAGCTGGTTGAGAGTCGCAGAGTGGCCAAAGTTCAAAACCAACAAAGTCCAACGAGCACATCACACCGACGACTCGCCTCCCTTGCCTTCTGAAGCCTTGGGAGCAAACCCGCTCTCGTAGGACAGCTGACGTCGAGCAAACCTCATGATTCTACGACCTGCAAATGGAACCATCGTTCCATGCAGGTCGTCTTGCCATGCAGATCGAGGAATCATGTGGTTTGGACACGTCACAGATAGGATTGCTTCCATCTCAATCAAGGCGCACGAGCTGGACAGATGCCAGTGTTTGTGTCTACACGGATGTGCTCTCTGTTTGTATAGCTATAGAGCAGGCAACATACCTCACCAGCGTCTGCAATTCGTCTTCCGTCGATCGCCTGTTCTTCAACAGCGTCTGGAAGTGGTCTTCCGGCTTGCTCCAGTATTTCACCGGCGTTATCGCTCTATCACCCGTGAGCCATTCGCGATTCACCAGTGTCCACCCGTCTTCACCAGCGATTTTCCCGTAGGGTTGCAAAGGCGAGCTATAAGAGACTGGCTGCTTGTAGTCTGGCAGAGCCTTGGCCACGGTAGTGGCCTGCAGCTGCGAATTGAATGCGACCACATGTGCACCTCCGCGTGGTAATGTTGCCCTCCTGAAACAAATACAGTATTTGCGAAAGTCTCGCTATTTTTGACAGCATTGCTGGCCTATGGCTGCAGCCTATTTACTTTCGTTTGATCGCGAGTGCGAGCTCCTGAATTCTGCACATCTTTAAAGAGTACCGCATGCCCGGCTTATGGTTTGAGCGCGCCAAGACACACCCTCGCTATCATCAGCTTCAGGTAGCAATCTACAACCTTCTTCAGCTACCTGATGAATCCTCTGATGATTTTGCAGCTGGTAATCTTGCTTCTGTCTCAACTACAATGTCCAGCAATTGCAAAATCTGCAGATGAAGAGGCTTCCCAGCAACTGCAAGAGCTGACTTTTGAGATCCGAGGACTTCAGCAGCTGCGAGGAAATAGAACTTTGACCGAATCAGAGTATAATCAACAGCAACGGGCCATGCGCAAAGCTCGAGAGATTGCACGTATGCAATGTGTTGTACCAGCGTTCACCTTTGTTAAGGCTGTCAACGCCTTAGACGACAGAGGCTGTTCTTATTGGTGTTTGAAAGCGGTGGCGTCTCATCGCGACAATGTAGACGCCTTGGACTTCCACCCAATGGAAAGTTGCTTCATCAGCCACTTCAAAGCACCCTGGTTCATGCTTTATCACAATATACGAGCAATAAAAATGCCGCAAGTGGACCCTTTCACCTTGGTAGAAAGTCCCGAGGTCGAGGCTTTTCATCGTGCGACAGATGGCAGAGAGCGTGAGAATCTCTGGGCAGCTTCGCGACTCAGAGCGCTCGGAGCGCAATTCGACCCACTCGACCCAAGAAAGCCCTTGGACACATGTGTTTGCAATTTCACGCTCACGGCCAATCGTATGGCCACGCCCTTGTCTAACCCTCTTCCCTGGGTGGATAATTATATTGAACACTACAACAGTTGCACCTTGTCAAATGAGGCCGATTTTTTGGCTGATTGGGGTTGGCAAAGTGCTTTCTACTCTTACGTCTCGCAACACGTTGCGTGTGACACTTTCATGACGTTCGAAAATTACTCTGTTGCTGGTGATCATCAGCTTCTCATTACACGCACAGAAGCTGACATGATGAACGATTATGAGTATAAGACGGTTGAGGGACAGACCTATGTATGGTCATCTTTCAGGAAAGGTTTCGATAACGGCATGGTGGGAAAGAAAACCCAAAAGAGTCTTGTCTTTGATTTCCATGTTGCGCCCATAGGATTTCGCTAATTTTGCATTTCAAGCTGTTTGTAATTGCAGTTCGCAGATCAAACAGATACTTGCCCTCATGTCTTGCAGCGCATGGCTACTCACATCTTGAAAAGCGGTATGATTCCTGAAATGAATACAGGAATTGAACATTGACATGCAGGCTGAGCATGCTGCAGATGTTTGGGCCTGGTCAGTGCAGCTGAACCACAAATCTGGTCCACGATTGCGAAATCATGCCCCTGAAATTCGCTTATTACCGGAATGGCACGTGTACTGCAATTGCCATCCTAGTCCAAACTTTGCTCACAATGAATCCTGACACGTCGTCAATTGTCAGCTTACTTGAAAAGATACAAACATCGGCTCGATGAGACCTCTGACGCTCCTAGCATGTTTGCTTCTGTATCTATTGCAATCGCCAGCTGTCGCTGAGTCTGCAGTTGAAAAGACTGCTCAAAGCTTGAATGAGCTTACCCTCGAGATACAGGCTCTTCGCCGGCTGGTCAACAGAACCTATACGGAAAATCTTCGCATCTTTAAAGCTCAGAGAGAGATCGGAGCGATTGCACGTATGCAATGTATTGTGCCAGCTTTCACCTTTGCGAACATAATCAATGCGTGGGACAACAGAGGCTGTTCGTACTGGTGCTTGAAAGCTGTCACCGAACATCGTGATGCAGTCGATCATCTCGATCCAGAATGCTTCGTGAGCAATCCCGAAGCACCTTGGTTCATGATGTACTACAACTTGCAAGGCCACATGACAGAGAAAGTCATTACCGAGGGTGACCAGCCTTGGCGCACCATCAATGCTCTACAACAGGAGAGATTTGCCAAGCTTTACCCGAAACGAGTATGGGACCGATCGCATGTCAAGCAGCCTGGAATGCTACCTGACTACATCGACGAGAAAAGACCGCCAGATAGGTGCATGTGTAACTTTACACTCATGGGGAATCGGATGTATACACCGTTGTCTAATCCCAGGCCTTGGAGTGAGGGCTCCATCATGGACTTCAACGCTTGCACCCTGCCAAGAACAGCAGCTCAGCTAGCTATCGGGTATTGGCAAAGTGAGTCCTACTCTTACGTTCAGCAGCACGTCGCGTGTGACGAATACTTGAGGCCCGAGAATTATTCTGTTCCTGGGCTGGAACTCCCCATTGTTCGCACTGGTGTAAAACACAAAGATCGAGGAAACAGGTTTATCGATGGTAGAATGGATCTATGGCGATCAATCAGCCTTGTCTTTGGGCTCGATACTCCGCCACTGCCATATTTGTGATATTTTGATTATGCATATGGCCGAGATCGATCGTTGTAGTCTGTCGTAGTTCTAATGCTGTCGTAATGACATGAAAGCCTGTTAGACTCCAGCGGTATAGGACGTGAAACTAATTCTAGTGTCATCAGAGCCGAGCATTGGCACTAAACGGCTCTGCAGGTCTGAAGTCGCAGCAAAACAATCAGACCATAGGCATACGCTGGACTGTCCCTAGAGTGAGCATTGAAGAGCTTTGTGAAGTGCGAGCCTAGGCTTGCAACGCCCCAAATGCAATTGCACATGGCAGGCGACAAAGACGCCGAGATGCATCCGGAGCAGACACCTCAAAGCACTGCAAGACACGGACCTGTGAACGATATCTTCATGGTCAACGCTCAGAAAGGACGAGTCAGCCGTGCGTTGCAGAGATGGGCTAGACATGTCTCATATATTTGCGTATTTCGGGCTAACAGCACACGCTCATTTCAAGCCAGCATGCGGGTATTGCACACTCTGCGCCATCAGTAACCTACAGCCGTCGCAAATAGCTCAAGCACTTCTTCCGCCTGACTGCCAATGCTCTCTAGAGCCATAGCAACGTCTTCATCTCCCTCTATCCGAATCAAATCGCCATCCTCATCTCGATAGCGTACGCGAAGCGTTGTCAACTCACTGGCCTTCGACGAACATAAGCGTACTTTGCGAACAACGCGCTCAACGAGCGAATCATAACTTGCCGCATCCGCAGGAAGAGCAATCAGGAAGGCATCATCTAGGTAGTGTACCTTGACTTTGTAGGACTGCCGAGAACCACGCTTATGAGCGTTGTCCTGCAGTACAGAAGCTTCACTGCCGTAAGATGGCTGTCGCGAGCCGAGGTAGACAGCCGAGTGTGTTGGTGCAAGAGGCATTGGAGGTGGCATTTGAGGCGCAGCGGCTGGCCTGTAGGACTGATGTGGGCTGCTCAACGAGCGCATCCGAGCATGCACGGTAGACTGATTGGCTGGTTGGCCGCTGACGAACGAAGTGCCCGAGTTTTGCCTCGAGTTGCTGTTGTACAATGGCCGGTAGCTATCGCTTGAGGTGGTCCTGTTCATGGGTGCCGATCTCTCAGAGTCGTGTAGCGATGAATGACTGCGATTGTTTCCGCTCGCTCGATTGCGATACATGCTCTCAGCAGATTCCGCCGGTGAGAAATGGCTAGGCCCATTGCTTGCTGTCCTGAGACCAGTCAAGGGAGCGCCAGATACGCTGCGTGAGAGAACGCTGTTGCCAGACACTTCTCGACTCATGGGAACACCACCGAGCGAGTCGCGGTCCTCGTACGTCTCCTCCGTCTGCTCAGACTCGTCAGACTCGTAGCCACGTCTAATATCGTCTAGCTTGACTTGCTCAAGCGAAGCAAACTGCGTATTGCTGACTCCTCGATGGTTGGCTTGTTGTTGCGCCATACGCTCCACGGCCAGCCGTCTAGCTTCGGCAAGCAGCTTCGCTATTTGATGATGCCACTGCTTCAATTGCTCCTCGTGCTTGCAGCGAATCGTAAAATATTCTTGCTCCATGTCACCGTTCCAGAAAATCTGCAGCGTATGCGCGCCGCCTTTGGAAGAAGGAACAACATCAGTCACATTGTTGATGAAAATGCGGCCTTTGAGCTGGAGTGAGCCTCTTTTCGGCGGCTTCCGGCTGATGCTCATGCTCTTACTACTTTTTTTGCTTTGGCCATTGTCCTTGCAACAAAGTAGAATGCGATCAAATAAGTAGACGCGGTATTCACGCTCGACATCACCCTTGAGGACGATAAACAAGTCTTGCAGTAAAAGTTGGCCAAAGGTGTTGAGAGAATGACCCTTCCAGTCTTCGACTCTTTGCTCAAGATCCATACGCACGGCATCATTCTCCTGCCGTCGCTGCGCTTCATTGACACTATCGGTGACGCGCTTGATGGCAGCCTCGCCTGCCAGTAGCTCCTCATAGAGTGGCGAGTCGCTACCCGTGGCTTTGAGAAGCTCACGTAGCAAGAGTGGATACTTGCAGATTCGCTGCACAGGCTTGATGAGCAACGAGGGCAACTCATACGTAGGCTCAACAAGATGCGAAAGGCGTTGTAGGTTGGGAGTCTCTTCCAAGACGAGTTCTGCGGCATTGCTGTAGTTGGCACAAAAAGGTGTATAAACCTCGAATGCTTCTTCCAAATTTGCAAAGACACTACCAATTCGCTGCTGGTCTGCCGGTAGTGCGCAGGTGGACTCGATACCGATCAAAAAGCGGCGCTGGAAGTCAACCAGGAAGTTGAGATTGCCGAAGATTTTGTGGACGCGATCCTTTGAGATGACTTCGCCAATAACAAGCTCTCGTACGTAATTCTGTGGTTAGCCATGAATTGCGTGTAAATGAAACATACTTGTAGAATTTCTAGTGATTGGACGTATTTGCGCTCTGTCTGCAAAAGCTCTTGGACCACCTTGGCACGATTATCCTTGGGAGCCTCTTGCTTGTCTTCAATCACAGAGTCGCGCTCAACCAGCAGCTTGCGGGACTCTAGCAAATCCAAAACAAGCGACACGGTCCTGGTCACCTTGACAAAGCCATTTGTATTTTCAGAGAAGAGTTCGGAAATGGTGAAAATGTCGTCGTCGCCAAAGGAGAGGTGGTCGCGACAGGCAATGATGAAATGAAAGACTTCTGCTTTACAGGCCTTGAGGTTATCCTCTGTTGGGTTCTGCCTAACGGCAAGTTCCACCTCTGGCAAAGTAGCATTGTACAAGTGGCAAAGACTAGCGCCCAAACGGAAGCACTTCCACAGTTCGCTGACGGGGTCCATGATGGGCGACTGCACCGACCCATTATTGTTTGTTGCGCTTGCTGGACTAGCAGGCGATGGCATGAAGCGCTCCTCAAACTCTGGGACGCGCTTGAGACGCTCCGATAGAAATCGGCAGGTCTGATAGAGCGAAACAGAGGCTGGTTTGTTGAACATGGATCCACCTACAGCGGCTGCTGGAGCCTGTCCAGGAGGCTGATCGCTGTTGCCTTGAGAGAAGCTATCGGAAGTCATAGATCGTTGAAGCAGGGGCGGGAAGATGCTGGCGTTGCTGTATGATCGTCCCGACGCAGATGCGACAGAAGTAGTGGAAGCATTTCTGAAGCGGCCCTCCATTCGGTTCCCTACACGCGAGCACCGCTGTCAACCGGTATCCAGGCACGCCTTAGGGTCGCACGCTACAAGAGAAAAGGGGTTAGAGACTGCGCGGATCGCGTTGGTGGACGTTTGTCTCGCGTGCGCAGAGGGGTATTGAGGCAGCGTTGGTTGTTGCCTAGCTTAACGAATTGCCAGAGGACTGAAGCGCAATAGAGAAGGCTCTTATGCTAGTCGTCAATACACTGGCGCAAAGAGGCCCTACGCGCTGTAGAGCTGTAGACGGGCGACGAGCAAATGGCGTGTTTGTTGCCGCAATTGGCGCAAAGGGCAATGCTTGTTGGTCGGAGATGGCGCCGCTCAGGGGTGGCGAGATTAATGCCCGGGAGGTCCTTGGCGGTATGCAGGCTGCTCTGTGTGAAGCTAGTCCTGTGCAATGCGTGCGGCCATGGCGTCGCCTCTTGGTCGCCTGCTGTCTGCGCGTTTTCGAGATTTCTGGCGGCGAGGAGACGAAAATGTCGCGACAGAGGACAAGTTCAGTGTACAAGCTACAATTACATAGGTAGTCTAGTGCAGTCATCAGGTGAGCAGCGAAGGCGTCTGCGGCACACTCGGAGAACCCATAGGCTGGTGCCCCTGCGAATCCAGCAGCAACTTCTCAAGCCGCTTGATCTCCAGGTAGTCCTGCTGCTCACGCCTGGCATGCTCGCCGCGCAAGTTCTGGACCAGCTTCCGGAACTCCTTGCGCAGCTGGGCTGTTGTAGGCGGCTCAACAGGGCCAGCATCCTTGCCACCCACGAGGCCGAGTGTCTGCACCTGAAAGTCGGCCACCTGTGCCTCGAGCGTCACCACCTTCTCCATCAACGCATCTGACTTATTCTCCGACTTGGTCCGTTGAGATTCATAAAACAAAGCTGATCGCGTCATAGCCTCATACTCCATCAGCATCGCATCCAATTCAGTCTGCAAGAGCTCGCACCGTGCCTCAAATGCTTTCTGTTTGTCATCTCCGCGCTGAGTCTCGCGCTGGGCGGTACGCGTCGTTTCCACCATTCGCTGAGCATGGCCCAAGTCGTCCATGAGAGACGCATGCCGGGTCGTGAGCTCGACAATCTGCTCCTGCATGGATGCCTTTTCTGCCTCGAGTGTCATGACGAGCGCATCGCGCGAAGCTTGAGCTTGAGCCACATCGCGCTCCGCTTGAGAACCCTGCAGTGCCTCCAGTTCTGCTTTGAGCACAGCGTTGGCCTTGGTCAATTCAAGAACATCCTTCTCCAACTCTTTGAGCATCGTCTCTTGCTCTTCAAATGCTTTGACTTGCGTTTCGAGTTGGTCGATTTTGGTCTGTGCTTCCGATAATGCTTGTTGCGCTGCTGCAAGCTCTCTGTCCTTGCCTTGCAACTTTGCAACAATGGCGTTGCGGTCCTGTGTCAGATCAGACAGCTCAATCAAAGACGCCTCATGCTTCTTTGAGACATCAAGCAGATTGCCTTCATGCTCCTTCTTCAGCTCTTCCACGCGGGCCTGTAACTGCAATACTTCTTGATCCTTCATCTCGAGCCTATCGCGGTGGATGCGTACCTCTGACTGATGCTTATTGACTTGCTTCTCGAGTTCATCAGCTCTTTGTCGCTGCTTCTGCAGCGCATCAGCATCTGCACTGCGTGTCGTCGACGTTGTCTGCAGCATTTGCGCCAGTGTTTCTTCATGTTGCTTGGCCAAAGAGCGGTCCGTCAAGGCTGCATTTTTGAGGGTCGCTTCACGCTGAACAAGCTCATCTAGCTGTGAATGAGCGTGCGTCAGATCGTTGCTGTGCTTCTCAATGGTGCCTTCATGGTCTCGTACTTTACTCGAGAGTGATTGGACCTCGCGCACCTTGAGATCATGTTGCTCATGAATATCATCCAGCTTGTCCTGTACCTCATCGAGTTCCTTTTCGTACAGAGCCTGCAGATCTTTCATAGCAGCGGCGTGTTGCTCGTCAGCTTCGTCCTTGTTGGCCGTCAACTGAGCACGCTCCTCGGTCAACGTCTGGAGTGCAGCTTGCAATTCCTGAACCTTGGCAACAAGCACGTCCTGCGTCACTTCAACAAGCGGATCACCCTTAAGTGCATCCCAGAGCGCCTTGAGCAACTTCTCCTGTTGTTCCTCAAGCAGAAGCCGTTCTTCTTTTTGCTGTAAGTGTTGCTCCTGGAATGTCAAAAGCGACTCGTCCAGCTTGGCAACTTGCTGCTCGAGACGCTGACCACTGGAAGCTTCGTCAGCTTCCTCATCATCTTCGTCCTGTTGCGAAGCCTTGTGGTCCAGGAAACTGCGGAGTTGCTTGTGCGTATCTCTCAACCTTGCTTCAGCACGCATGACCACTTCTGTTGTAACAAGATCCGGCTTGGGTGTACTCTCCTCCCTGACCCAGCTTCTCTCTCGAGCGAGGTTGACTTCCTTGTGGGCGCTGTCCTCCATGGCAGTACTCTCATGGCTTCCGTCGTGGCCAGATTGGAAGCTCACGCTCGCATCGAGATAGAGATGCGCCTCGTCAAAGTCTTGATATGTTGCTAGCTGTCGAAGCTGCTCTGCTTGACGAACACTCCTCGAAAGCACACCCGCCGTATGTTCCATCAACTGCTGTCGCGTCGTGGCTTCACGTCGTTGCAACCGCCATAGCTCCGTCGCAAGCTCGTCTACTTTCCTTGAAGCCACATGCAATTGCTCCTCAGCTTGCTTTGAAAGCCGCTTGTTGCGCGTTTGATGCAGCTTGACCAAGTTCTGGCTTGCATCTCTCACTTTTGACTCAAGGGCCAACTTGCGTGTAGAAGACTCGATGCGGGACTTGAGGAGGATGTGTTCGCGCTTGAGTCGCTCAACCTCCTCTAGACTCAGCACAGTGTATTCGGCAGAATCAAAAGCTGCAGCAGAGACTAGGAACTGCAGGCCAAGCTCGTCACTGGCATCCAGCAGCAGAGAATTGCGGAATGCCGGCGAGTCTGGTGTCGCGCTATCCTTGGACGAGAAGCGCGTTGTTGATGTGGCAGCATCCTTTGCGTTTGACTCTAGCAAAACAAGAGCAGGCGGTGCCATAGGCGGGCCGTACTGGTCAATCAACATTTTGTCAGATTGTCGTGGGTCCATGTTTGGGAATGTATATGCACTGCCAGTGTTGTGGCTCGGCATGTTTTCCAGCTGCAACGTTTATAAAACCCCTGCGCTGCTCCTCGCCTGCCTCCTGACCATGGATACCCTGCCACGTCGCTCTGTTTGCTCGTGCGTCGGCTTCTTTTTTGTTGATGTCGTCGGAGGATGCGACAGACAGAGCACAGTCACGTATACACCAGGTGTACATCTACACGATGACTGTACGCACTACATATGACTACTGGCTGTTATATGCCTGCACAGCAACCTTGATCTTGGAATAGACAAACTTGCGGCCAGATTCCTCCTGGATGGGAATCAGGGGACCACGCTGGTTGCCCTTCAGGATCAGCTTCAACCCTTCCTTCTCCATGAGGATCGTCTTGAGGTCTGAGAAGCTGATGTCCCACTCGACGTCGAAGCCCTTGAGCTTACACAGCATGATGGTCTCATATGTGATGAGCAGCATGGTGCCGTCAGTCAAGTTGTAATGAGCAAGGTAGTTTTCCTTTTGGAACTTGCCATTGTTGAGCTGATGCAGCCAGAACAGGCCAAGTGCTTCATTCTCATTGTATGGCCGAACCACACCATCCTTGCCAACATGCCTGGGTAGTCGCACCTTGTCAATGCCCTCAGAGTCAAATACTGTTGTCGTGTTGCGGATGCCCTCGCTGACATTGCTGGCCAAGTCAAATACGCCAATGACAGGCTTGGTGACGAGGCCCAAAACACCTTTGCCGACACCTTTGAAGAATCCAGCTGCACCCTCCTTCTCTGCACCTTCAAAGGGCTGTCGAGCAAGTCCTTCCACACCACTGCCAAAGCTGGAGAGCAGGGCCATTCCGCCAGATTGCACGCCATAAAGAGCATGCTTTGGTCGATTCCGCGCTCGCGTCATTCGGCGCCTCTCTTGGAATTGCTTGTCCATCGTTGCAACAGACAAGCCTTTCGAAACACTGCCAGTCACCTTTGAGAAGGAATCGGAAATACCAAACACAGTCTTCTTCACGAACGACGCTGTGCCTTTGGCTATGCCAATTGGGATTTCGCCACGACGGTCGCTTAGAATGAAACCTTGGTAAGGCTCATAGAAGATATCCGCAAATCCACTCGTGATGTTGTTGAAAAGGCCAACAGGATTACCCAAAAAGTCGGCAGACCCTAGAATTTTGTGCACCTGGAAGAAGAACTCTTCTCCGTAGTGCGACTGAATTGCTTGAGAGAGCATGGGATACGATGTGAGTACATTTTCCATGAGTAACGCATTGAGACGGACCGGCGCCTCGTTGATGTTGCCGACTGCCATGGTCAATATGTTGAAGAAGAACATGAGAGGATTCTGTGACGAGGTTTTATCCTCGACGTTGACGCGCTCTGTTCGCACAAAAGACAGATTGAGCGAGAAGGGATGCAAATGCAAGACTTCAAAGTAAATGTCATTGGACTCTGCCTCCCGATTGGGCTCTGGCAGTGTCAGTCGCGCATCACATAATTGACCTTCTTGTGCCTCTGCCCAACTTGCACCAGGTACTTTGGAAAAGTCGAGCACGGCAAAGAGGAAGTCTTCGTCGACCTCCAGGGTAAACTCTTGCATCAAAATTGAAGCATACTTGACAAATATGACTCCGTGCGAGGTATCCTTGGCAAGTATAATCTTCTGATGGAATGCAGGCCTCAGGTCAATTTCCCGCCCGGTCTTTGGAATGACGGTTGGGTACAGCAGAATTGGATAGATGCCGCCATAGAGCTGATTGTCAATCTGGATCCATTTGCAAAGCACATCGTATGTCGTCTCGCAAGCTGAATCTGAGTAGTTCACCTCGATTCCTCTGGTCGTCAAGTAAGCAAGCTCCTTGTGTCGACTGTTGATAAGAGACAGACCAATACCTTCGAAGCGCAAACTTGCCTTCAACGTGACTTCAGCTGCTTTGCTGTCAACGACAGCTTCAAACTCGTCCTTGATTGAGCTAGAGCTGTCTGTTCGAATGAGCTTGTCGCGCTCTCGGTGCAACGGTAGCGTGCGCTGGCGGTACAGACTAGTCTTTGGATCGCGATTCTTGATGATCAACTTGCGCGTCGGACCCTCAGCAACAACATTCAAATCAACGATGCCTCCATTGGTCTGGCGCTTTGGATCAGCGGGGACCTTGAAGGGTTCCAGGGCACCAATTTCGCTGAGACGCAGGTGACGGACGCGTGCATCATCTCTTGTTGGCGAAAGAATCAAGACGGGACTCTTGGCAGCAGGATAGTCCCAAGCATACGGCATGATACTGCGCGCCGGGACCTTGTAACGCTGTGGCTTGTATGGCACTCGTTTGCCAGTTTCTTCTCCATCCTCAATGTAGGGGTTGCCTTGGTAGTAGATGAAATCGCAGCTACTCTCGTTGCGAATGATGAATGGCCAATTCTTGTCTTCTTGATTGATGTGTAAGAAGAGCGTTGCGCCTTCGAGGAGAATCTCAATTTTGAGTAGCTTCTGGTGCTCACCACGTCTTTGGACCTTGACATAGTTGCGACCGACATCTTGAATGTTGAATGGGTTGGACCAATCATTGTCTGCACCCGGCAGGCAAACGGAAAGTTGCCGTGCAACTACTTGCCTCATAAAGTGGACTGGTAGCAGTTCTCCGGCCTTCAGGTAGAGAATATCAGAGGATGCAGGCTCTCTAATCATCAAGTCATGCGTAAGATTAGACTTCAAGACAAAGCGCGGCGTCAATGTCACCACCTTGGTTAGTTTGTATTTGCCTTCGCCTTCATCCACCTTGATACCGAGATGAACCTCCTTGTCATTTGGTGCAGTGATGGTCACCTCCGAGACCGAGCCAATAGCTTCGAAACTCTGGGGAGACGACCAAGAAGAATCGCCTACCCGTAAAACGGCACGGTTTTTTCGGTCATCGTTCGCATAAGAGTGCAAGTATGGGAGAGCAGCCTTGTCTTTGCTCGAAGGCATGACGCCTGTTCCATTTCGGCTCTTCTGGAGAAACATTGAATTGGCTGAACGAATCTGAATATCGAGCCCAGTCTTGTTCAGGATGAGGTACGGCGCAAAGACAGATACAACAAATGCACCGCCCGAATCAGGCACCTCTGTGAAATGGAGTCCAAGTTTGGTCTTCATGCCATGACCATCAAGGAGTGCCAGTCTCTCTTCTCTCCTGAAGTCATCGGGATTATTTGTGTGAATGACAGAGTACTGCGACGGTTCGTAAGCAGGCTGAGAGTCTTGCACTTGGATAGCCAGCAGAAGTACATGTGCAAGATCAACAGTATGAACGGGGCTGCGTAGACCTTTGCGTAAGAAATTGGACCAGTCCTTCTTTACCGTATCATCGTAGATCTTGAAATTGAAGTCATATGGCAACAAGTTACTGATCTCCACAGGCGGACTGATGCGTATCCGCTGATAGGGATACTTGCCACTCAGGTTGCCTGATGTGATTCTTGAAAATACTTGAAAGTTAAAGGGCGTCGAGTCTTGCTCGTCGAGCGGCTTGCAGTTGAGTGTTCTGCCTGGCTTTTGCGACAGCTCTTTCCAGTACAGAGTTTGATGTGACCATTGATAGCGGAAGCCAGGGTCTGGACGAATCTTGATGCCACAATCGAACGCAGCTCTGATAGGTGCGGCACAATCCTCACCGGGGGCGACTTTGTAGATTTTGGTCTGCTTGTTGCCAGCCTGGTCAATCCCAACCACTTCAATGGGTATCTGAGTTCGATTCTCAAACAAGAGAGCTGACCGTAAAGTGACAACCTTGACGTAGTCGGCTCGGAGCTTGACCTCGACCACCATACGATGCTGGGGACTGCTTTGAGCGCCTGAAGCACTCTTGAGGGAATACAGCTTCTCACCCTCGCGATTAACTGGAACATCTGCGAGAGCTTGCCATTCGGAGTCTTCGATCTTGATGCCAAGATGTGAGTGAACAGCGTCCACGGACAGCGACTCTCTCTGGAAATGCCAATCAGAAAAGCTCCATGGAATTTCTTCGCCGTCGGCAATCTTGGAGGCGCCGGGTTCCTCTCCTTCTACGCCCTCAGACCATATACTCAAAGGATAGCCAGTCATATTGATGATCCGGTAAGATGCATCCACGCCGCGTGGCTTGGACAGGACATCTTCGTTCTCGTTGAAGTACTGAAGGGCCTTCGAGGCGAGCGCAATCGTGCTAGATGTCAATGTCATCTCGATGCGTTTCCGTGAATAGACGTTGATATCGGTCCGATTATTGGAAAGAGACCGCCCAATCTAATGTTAGCTTTGATGCAGGTGATGGCAATATACATGAACGCCCATTTGCCAGGGTTCAATCAACGGTTCCCAGTGCGAATTGGAAAAGTTGTACACATTCGCGTATGCCTCAATGTTGGTATCGAGTGTCATCTGTTGTTAGCAGCGTATTGGGCAGGAAAAACAAACGTCAGAAGACCAGTCCCGAATATTGACCAAAAACTTGCCGATGCTCATATCGAGTATGGGGAGCTCGTGGAGATCACCAATCAAGACAAGTCGTAAGCCTTGGAATGTCGCTTTGAGCTCTTCTCGGTTGATGATGGTGGAAATAATGCCTGGCTGGTCGGAAATACGGCTCAGTGTGGTCTTCTTGTCCTTGATGCGAGTGGCAAGCGTCTGGTTGGGCACAGTACTGCGGTTATCACCATGGGAGACAGCGACACTCGATCGTCGCCGTGTACTACCCGACATGCTGCCCCGGCGAGTCTTCAACTTGTCTTCACTTTGTGGCGGCGGGGAAGCAGCAGACAATTGGGAGGCCTTTTGCGCAATTTGTAGAGCGATCAAAATATCACGAAGCGAGACTCGTAATACGAGCGGCTCGATATCAATCTCGATGAGCTTAATCGTCTGCTGTGCTGTGTTTGTTCGAGAATCCAGCGAGAGATTGATGGCAAAGTTGTCCAGTAAGCGAAGCTTCAAGGTATCTGGCTTGTCCATACGACAGAGGTACATCGAGACGCCGTCGACAGCTAGCATCATAACAGACTGTTGCGTGAGCAAGACTTGCTTTGCACTCAGTACAATGGCCTCAGAATTCGACGAAGTGGGATTTGCCACAAGGATGATGGATGGATCCACAACGTTGACGCGATAAGCTATGCTCATGCTTCCCTGAGCAGGCTGAGCTGGAACTCGCTTCGGCTTCGGCTTGGTCTGGGATTGCATTTCCTGCAAGTCCTGGCCGTCTTCGCTGATGTCAGGCATGATCATTGTTGCTTCTGGCTCCTCGTTTGTGCTTGCCAAGGATTGCTCTGCTGGGTCGACAAACGCTGTCTGCTCAAAGGCCGACATGGCCCAGTGTTGCAATGCAAAAATGTGTTCGAGGGAAAAGATGATACGCGGTGTATCGATGGTGAGCATTGCCATGAGCGCACGTTCGAGTCCGCCAGATATTGTTACGCTTGCGTTGAATTGATGACCATCATGTTGAACTGCTGGAATGACCTCACGGAATTTGCTAGGCTTGTCATGGCGGGTGTCGGACACAGTCAGCGCCTTGACATTGACTTCTCCTTGCGACGACCCATCCGAGCGTGTTGCAAACTTGGCTTTGGTGGTAGAGAGCAAAAACTTGGACAACGAAGCTTTCTCCAGATCTCCACATGCATGGTGCTCGTCATTTTCGAAGATTTCCAGACTGAGGGTGCCGACTGTGAGCACAGCATCCAAAGCATTGGAAACATCGACTGCATTGCCGGCTTGCTGCGGCGTACCAAGTTCGGGTTCAAGATCAACTACGGTTTCCTGACCAACCGGCGTCGTCACTCCAGAAGTGGAAGGCCCTGAACGTGTGCCTGACAGATTCTGACTCAATTCGCGCTCCTCTTCGTCAGCACCGTCACCGACGAATACACCAGGAACGGTGCGAGTCAAGTCCATCAAAAACTTGTACTGCGAGCGTGTCAGCTTCAGACTGATGTCTGACACATGCCCAGTCACTTGTGTCTGAGGTCGGTCAGAATTTTGCTCGTGCTCTACGAGCATAATGTCAAACATGGCATCCGCATCGTCAATCATCTGCAATTCCTCAACTTCGCCTTTTGCATAGTGTAGTTTGGAAGACAAGGCAATATTGCGAATACCAGCTTGTATCTTGTTGACGCTGGGCGACTCTTCTCTGTCGTCCAACGGACCGAATTGGTTATTGGCAAACAGTTCACCTAGATTCGCCACAACGACATCGCGTTCAGCCGTCGCCTCTACCAAACGAGGAAAGACAACGATTGGCGTCCGAACAAGGAGATCAAAGTGCATCTTGCCAGCTCTTTGTTGAACCTGCTGAACTTGAGAGAGGGCGGCATTCCGCGCATCATCAAAGAGTGCCTTCATGCGCGCAAACTTGGCACCGAAGTTGAGAATCTTGCGCAATGGTTCCTCCAAGAAATTGATCTTGATCGAATTGAGGCGAAGGTAAGCGGAGCTGTCATACCCAGGATACGTTGCCAAAACCAAGGGGTCGAATGTCTCATAACGAAAGTCTGCGAGTTCATCACCTTCGATACTGATGATTTGTCGAAAATTGGATAGGCCACCAGCACCTTGATTGACATCATCTCTAACGGAAAAGTTGCCAATCTTTGCTCCAACACGCATGCTGCCTCCATTCATGAAAACACCGACATCTCCCTTACTCATCTTGATGGTTGCAAGTCGAATGCCATCTTGGTTCAAGACGAGCACGATACTCGTTAACTCGACTTTGACACGCATCTTGCTGATTTGCTCGGGAGGCTGAACCGCTTCAACAGCGATGTCGCCATCAGCGGCTTCAGCTTCGGCTGGGGCATCTGGGCTTGTGAATGTAGTGAGGACAAAGTCGAACAGAGTAAGGATACTCTTTTGCGTGACAATGACATTGATGGTTGAAAGTGCTACATCAACGTGCTTCTCAATGCCTCCATACGTGCTTTGAAAGTCTGGCGAGGCTGGCTTGACTTGGGTGTATTTGACGTGCACGAGATCTTTCTGCTCCTGATCATCTTCGCCAATTTGCTCTGATGTGACGAGTTTTTGAAACTCTCGAGGTGATTCGACATTCATGCGATCTTCGACAACTAGCGAGCGCAAAACAACATCGGCCTGCATGTCATACTGTCGCAAGAAGAAGTTCAGAGCAAATTGCTGAAGGACAACGTCTACCAATGGCTCATCTTCCTCTCCTTCTCTTGGACTTGCCTTGTACAGCGATCCTTTGAGCTCGCCAACAGTAAATTTGAGCTCAAACGTTTTCTGCTGATAGAGTATGTCTTGTTCGCCCAACGGACCTTCAGGAGCGGGAAGGAACTTGTCGTCGTCGTCATCATGCTCTTGCTTTTCAGGGAATACAACCAGATCTGGCACACGGCTGAAGGCTGACTTGAATGCCGTTGATCTGCGCCTTTCAGCAGTCTTTTGACCTTTCTCTGCCGCTCGTGTCTCCAACGCAGTCTCAGTATCGTCCTTTGGCACTGCAACATCAATGATGCGCATCATGGTCTTGTATTTCTCATCAGAAACGCGTGCATTGAGGCTTGGCAAATGTCCAGAGATGCGAAATTTGGTAAGAGTGAGAGAGGCCGCTTTGGGTAAAATGCTGATTTCCAGCAAAAAGTTCATGTTGATGCGGTCAACGACATGGAAGCGACGATCGCTCTCTGAGCGCAACGCAACGAGTGCTTGGTCAATATCTGGGCCAATCAAAATTTGTGTATCTTCAAGACGAAGCATGAATTTGTCGTAACATAGTGATTGAAGTTCCTTCATTTCCAGCTCGTCGAGCTTCTCCTTGTCTTTGGATTGAATTTCTTTGATCTTATCATGCTTGACCAAATCGCTCTCGATGTGAATTTTACCAGCATCAAGGACGATACAGGGAGCATTCTTGCGTGTCACACTCTCAGGTACAATGATAAGAGGAGCCTGTAGGTCGAGGTGTGCAGCGACTGTCTTGTGTTCAGAGAGCGCAAACTCCAAAGATGCCCTGCCTTGTTCGCGATAATCCTTTGCGGCTTCACTCGCGGCAGCCATGAGTGCATTGATGGACTCGATTTGCGATTTCGGCGGTTTAATGAAGCGCAAAAGCGTTTCGATACAGATTGGATTGTAGATGATTTCCATAGCCTTGAGGCGGGCAACCACTTCAGTATCGGCAATGCGAGACAGGGGTTGACTTTCAAAGCTGGCATAGAAGAGCGGGTCTTTGATGTCCAGGGCACTCTCAGCCTCCTTTGACGGCTCAATAACATCCACCTGGCTGAAGTCGCCGTCTTTGAGTTTTGCCATGTCAGTGTAGAGGGAGCCTGGTGTTGTGCCATCAATGAGCCTCAGTGAAGCAAGTGCCAAGTTGGCATAGAAGGACTTGGGCCGTTGCTTGACCTGAGCGCCAAACGTATCAAAGAGCAGTCTAATCACGTCGTCGCTGCCAGAGCTTTTGGCTTTTCTCAGTGCAAATGAGCCAGTCTTGAGACGTGCAGTGATTTGCATCTTGACTGAATCCTCTGGCGCCTCAAGCCCATCTGCTAGAGCTTGCTTTTCGTCCCACTCAATGGCTTCGTAGAGTTCCTTGCGCTGCTCATCCGTCATCACAGTTTCTTCTTCATGTGATTCTTGCGAACGACCAGCCGCGCCAGACCAGGCCCATGAGAGCCAGCCTTGCGCTTGTTGCTCGACATGCTTTGGCTTGAGGGCATTTTCTTTCTTGAGTTCATTCTTAGCGAGTGAGCGGTAGAATCGAATGTCTTCATAGGCAAGGTCTTCCTCGAGCTTCTTGAGCTCTGACGAATCATCCACTGTGATCTTTTCAGTCTGCTTGAGCTTATAGAGCTCAATGTACCGCTTGCGTTGATTTCGACGCTCACGCATATGGTCCCACGTCCAAACCTTGCGCCTCTCGTGAATGCCGCGATGCACAGCATCAAAGCCAAACTTGAGCCACGCTCTCGGATCGTCCTTGATGGAGGCTTTCGGGCGGTACTTGCGATATTCTTGGTGCCGCAGAAAGAAGTGAAAGGTGTCTACCATCATGAGCGCATCGCGATACTGGTCCTGATCTACAGCAAGTGCAATCTCGTCAAATAGCAAGCCGATATCGACACCTGGTAGATCATATGTTTTGAGCTTGTTCATAGTGATTTTTCCGGTACCGTTGACTGGTCGCAGGACGTATTGATGGTCTGCAATGTCATCTTGCTTTGAAATGAGCTGATCAAAGGTTCGAATCATATCGATTGTATCCTTGCCCGCGATAGACTCGGCGTCCGTATTCCAATAGACAGCCAGGGAACTGAGCTTGGCAAGCTTGTATGTCAACTTGTCGCTGCCTTGCACAAAAGCCGGCTGCCAATCGCTGTCCGTTGACAATGCGCTGAACTCGGCAAGGGTCAAACCCACCGAGAATGGGTTCCCTGGTGAACTGAGAGAATCTTCGTAACGAATGTGAATATTGCGAATGGTGATTTGCAGATTATCGATAATCTTTGTAGTCAATGACTCTGCGAACGACTGATTCTTCTTGGAGTCTTCAGAGGTCAACTCGAGTTGCCGCCGATTGAGAATTTCCGCGCTATCGAGCTTTTCCTGCTTGACTGCTTGAGCGCGCCGCTGATCATCTGCTTCGTCGTACTCTTGATTGATCTTTGGCGTTGCTAGTAGGAAGATGTTTTCCATGACGACCCTGACTGGCTTCCTGGCCAGATTTGACCAGGGAATGGAGAGTGTCAGGTCGCCAACATAGCCTTCGCAGGCATCAACCGGGAGCCTGAACTTGTCGAGCGCCTAGAGTCAGTGATCTACTTGGTCCAGTGAATGCGCCTACCTCGCGCTTGAGTTTCAGGTTGCGCAGCTTGACGTCGCCTGACCAGATGCCGACATTGAGCTGTTTTGGGTCAAAGTTTTCAATGTACGCGCCCAGGAAGCGGTTCAGGAGGGAAGAGACGAGTCCTTCCAACATGCGAGCGCGTCTCTCTTATCCCTGCAGTCTATGTATGTCTGTATCGCTACTTGTGGTGTTGTTGCAGGCTGTCTGTCGTTCTCTTGGCTCCACACTCAGCGACAAATGACGTCGAGGCCCATTCACATCCACTCTGCATATACTGTAACTCCTACTACTAGGCTAGATGTACAGGCCTGCCATGCACTCCCTCCTCAGGGCACGGGCCCTTCACGCACGAACCATCAGGCCTCAAAGTCTACTTCTCAGGAAAGTAGCCCCGGCGATCAGCCTCCAGCAGCGTCTTGCATCCTCGGATATATTCAAGGGCTTCAATCGTGATGAGAAGAAGGTCACCAGCACGTCAACTACCACACCCATCACTACAGGAACGCATGCAGAGCAGCGTTCACCCATTGTGCCTCCCGAGGGACCGGCCACCTCGCAGTTGATTCGAGAGATCAAGCAGGTCGGGCAAGCCATCGATGGTATTCCCATTCCGACCTTGCAGGTGGGATTGGCAGGCACATTGCCATACCTAGGCACGGCGATTGGGTCGCTGTATCTCTCTTGGACGGCTGCCAAGTGGAGTCAAGACTTTACGGGTGCCTTTTCCGAGAAGTTTGTCTTTTTCACTGCTGAACAGGCCGAGTACCTCTTGCCACACCTACAGCACATCCAAGTAGGTTATGGCGCTTGCTTGATTTCCTTTATTGGAGCTATTCATTGGGGGTTTGAATTTGCCGGTTATGGTGGTCACACGGGCTACCGACGTCTCCTGTACGCAGCCGTGCCCTCCCTCGTGGCATGGACCTCCATCATGCTGCCTGTAGACTATGCCCTCGTTACGCACTTTCTCGGCTTCACAGGATTATGGTTTGCTGATTCGGCTGCAGCTCGACGTGGCTTTGCACCGGCCTGGTATATTCAGTACCGTTTCCTGCTGACTTTTATTGTCTGCTCCAGTATCCTGCTCACACTGATCGTCTCGGGTTGGCTTGGTGACCCAGCTCAGGCAACTGCTCACTCAAGCAGACTCGAGAATTTGAGGGAGGAGCAGCAAAAGCAATACATTCAGGATGAGAATGCTGCAGCCGCTTCTCGCAAGAAGCAGAGCAAGCGTCAGGGAGATAGTCAGGAAGACTTGACTGAGAAAGTCAAGGCTGAGCAAAAAGCAGAGAAGAAGGATGCAAAGCGACTGAAGGGCGAATCGGAGGAGAAGGATGTTAAGAAAGCCAACGCAAAGGATGAGGATGCAGTCGATGGCGTTGAGGCAGCCAAAAACCAGGCTGGCGGGACGAACAAGGTCACCAGTAAGGACGACCAGGACAAGAAGGCCACAGAGGGTAAAGCAGCAACAGCTTCTGCTGATAAGAAGAAGTAAGTTTGTATTTGTATTGATCTCATATTTACGTTGACGAAATTGCCTAACAGAACGCGTCGAAGGTTTATATCACTGCAGGCTCATTGATGCTCTTACTTGCCAGGGTCAGGAAAGGCATGTTGCCGCAACCAAGTCCTGGTGGTTGGACTAAAGTTCTCCAACACACCAGCACTGATAGGCGGTCTCTCGCCATTTGCGTCTGCACTCGCCGGCGCACCCTCTGCTGTGTTCGCACTTGTATTGTTGGTGGGCGTTACGTTGTTGGCACTACGCTGCTCAGCCGCCCTAAAAAGATTCTCTGCAGGTGGTGCCATTTGATTGAGGGCAAAGCTCGTTGCAGGCGACAAGCCAGGTTCATTCTTGTCCCAATTGTAAAACAAGGTACCGACATCTGTTGCAATACGTGGGACGGTCACTTGACTGCCAATTCCATTCAAGTTGCCACCACCACTGCCGAACAGTGTACTAGCAAAACCACCAGGACTTTCAATAGGTGTTAAATTATCCCCTGGATGCAATGCTCGTGACAGTGGACCGCCTGCTGAACCCGAACCAGCGGGATGTAGCAACAACGGAGGTGCTTGCGTTAAATGCGTCGCACTCAGTCGTGCACCTTCACGTGCATCACCGCCACTCGAGCCGTGATGTTGGTTCGGGATGATCAGGGGCGGACCCATCGGCCCCCCGCGCATTGGAACCGGTCGTTGCACGTCATTCGACGGTTGTGCCGGTTGTTTGATGGGGGCTGGCAAGTCTGTTTCGCTCTTGAGTTGTGGGACAGGCAAGCGTGGACTATGCCCACTATTGTTGCTTTGCAGACTGCTCACAATGCCTGAACGTTGCGTATGATACTGCGGTAGTGGGTTGGGATAATGCTGCATCGACGGCAACACAATCTGTGATGAGCCAAGGGGTGGTGTTGATGACATTGGACTGAGATTGGTGGTATCGCTGCTTTCTTGTCTCGGCGAGTCACGCACATCCGAGAGCAAGTGTCGTGATGAGCCCGCATCCTGCTTGACATATTTTGGACCATGCCCATCGCTCTCGTTTTGCGCACGTTGATCTCGTGACTCCCTTTGATGATGACTGGCCAAAGGTGACCTTGGCCTCTTTCGACCTGCACGCTCGAGCTCTGGTGTTGAACCACGCGATCTACTGCTTGGACTGCGATGGGGCGTACTCTGGGGACTCGGCATCATGGGCGAGCCAAACCCAACTGGCGCACTGATTGTAGCTATCGCGCTAGGATTGTGATCTGACGGCCGTCTCTCTGGTGACCGTCTCGCCTGGTCTGCTGGACGGCCATCTACTGCTGGCAGTGTCGCTTGCGTTATGCTTGAGGACCGGCGCATTGCTGCTTTAGATAGACTGCCTTTTCGCGCAGAGTTTGGCTGCGACGTGGCTGCATCGTCGCCGTCGCTCTCGTCGTCCTCCATACCGAACTAGACATTAGCAACCGAATCATAGAGCGCATAGGAGAATGGCATACATCATGCGGTAGCTTTGCTTCGATGACGGCATCCTGGTTGGCGAGGTAGCGAGCACAGATTTGCGCAACGGGGTCGGAGGAGTAGGTGAAGAGCCTGTCTTGCTGGCTAAAGACAATCACGGCAATCTGCGTACCCGTCAAGACACCCAGCTCATGCGCCTTCTTAAAGAGGCCCGTCTTGCGCTTTGCGAAAGTCTATTGGCAGAAAGCATGTTAGCGCGCGCGCTTATTTAGTGTTGGTAGGGAGGGCATACGGTTCCTCTGGCCTTGTCGTCCTTGATGTACTCGATATCGATCTTCCTGCGACCCATATGAGGCTCCCTATCGCTCACTGGCCGTCTTGGCTCTTGCGGCTGCTTGCTGGCCTATGGATGGTCGCAAGCTGCTTTTCTTTTTGGGCGTCGACGTGGAACGCAAACAAAAAAGGCGACAGACAACAGACAAGGGCCTGGCAGCAGTGGCAGGCGACAGGAGAAGGCCTCAAGATAGACATTCAGAGAGATAGGCTTGCTATGGTTTCATATGGACTCGTCAATCAATAGATACTTCCGGGAACTCGTGGGTAGCTCATCAGGTCATACAGAAAGACCTATAGCTTCGGCTGCGATCCGTCGGCCAGTCACGACTGGTATCGCTTGCCGGCAGCCTCCCAGTTGATGACACTCCAAATGGCCTCAAAGTACTTGACCTTGGCATTCTCATACTGCAGGTAGTAAGCGTGCTCCCAGGCATCCACACCAATAATCACCGTGTCGCCAGTGATAGGGTCCTGGTTTGGGGTCGTGGTGACCTTGAGCTTCTTGCTCGATGCATCCTGCACGAGCCAACCCCAGCCAGAGCCTTGGATGGAGGCAAGAGCAGCGTTGAAAGCAGCCTTGAACTTGTCGAGGCCACCAAACTCTGCCTCAATGGCGTCGCCCAAGGGGCCTGTGGGAGCCTTGCCACCAGCACCAGAGGCAGGAGCCAAGTTTTCCCAGAAGAGAGAGTCTGCAGAGGTTAGTCATCAAATGCTTGAAAGCGACGACTTACGGTTGATGTGGCCTCCACCGTTAAATTTGATGGCAGCTTGGAGGGCAATAGAGGTCTTGACATCGCCGGCCTGCACAGCATTGGCGAGCTTCTCCTCTGCAGCATTCAGGTTGGTGACGTAGGTCTGATGGTGCTTCTGGTGGTGAAGCTCCATGATTTGCTTCGAGATGTATGGCTCGAGAGCATCGTATGCGTAGGCTAGATGTGAGCTCAATCATACTAGTAGGATAGAGCACATACGGAGCTTTGGGAGGGTGTGCTTGGATGCCATTGTGTAGTATGGCTTCTACTCTTCTACTCTTGCTGCTGCTTCTTCTTGTGCTTTTGGCTGAGTGCGGAGATAGATGCACGTGCAATGAGACGACAGCACAAACAGCAGTCACATCTATTGCTAGATTCAACTACCCACGCTTCTTGCTCGCACGAAACGCCTCAATCGCAGCACGCACATCGTCCGCAGGAATTACATCTTCCAGCTTCAAGGGTGTCCGGTTGAATGGATCCGTCGCGTCATTCAGCAAGTGGCGCTTGATGGTACCCCGGTCGATCACTGTCTTGCTCGCCGGCAGGATGACAGGATCCACCATAATCTCACCCATCAACGGATCCAAGAATTCATCCGGCACCTCGCCCAAGTCTTCTTCATTTTGCTCCAGTTCAGCCTTGCAGGCTTCCACTTGCACAACGAACCCAGCGAGCGTATCCAGATCAGTACTGCTCCTCAATGCGAACTTGCTGAGAATACCACGAGCACGCTCAAAGTTGTCACGCTTGTATGAGCGACCATCCTTTGCCACAGCTGTGATGAAAATAGGCTGACCTGTCATATTGAGGAAAATACCGATAATGCCATTCAGTAGAGCTTTCGGATCAAAGTGATACTTTTCAGGGTTCTGCACCTTGAGACCTGTACATTTTGGACCTACCAGCGCATCCAAGTTGTAGTCTAGCATTGCAGCGAGGCGATCCACAATCTCGGCTGTGCAGAATGCAGAAGGGATACTAGCAGTAAATAAGTTGAGCATACTCAGCGTCTCAGTGCCCAGCTGCAGATAACTTGTGGCGGAGCGCTCAGATTGCGATAAGTGGGTCTGCTGTTCCTGCGTCTCCGGCGTGGTTGCATCAGCACCCTGCAATTCATGCTGCAGCTTGTGAATCTCTGCCAGTTTAGCGAGAGCCTCGTCAAGCAGATAGGTCTGATCGTTCAGTAGCAATGCAACAAACCGAACAAACAAGTCGATGTTGGTCTTGAATTCATCCTCAAGCTTTTTCCTGTGCGCAGGATTGTCCCAGATTGTCTTGAAGATTTGCGAAATGTGATAGCGAATGTTGAATTTGTCGTAGAATTGTGAAGACAAACCTGTACTTTCCACCTCGATGTAGAAGCTCATGAGTGTTGGGAAGAGATGTTGCAAGGCAAACTCGTGAGAATGCAAAATACCGCCGAGAGCCCCTTGAGTATCGCCATGCCTCAGTGGTCGCGAGCCATTGTACAAAACCTCAACCAGCTTTGCCTTCAAATATGGGTTCTTGATGAAGTTGCTGCTCTTCAAAAAAACGAGCGAGAAGATGACTAGCTCCGTATTCGTCGACGAAGCCAGCAACTTTGGCGTGAAGCGTGACACGTACACGAAGAATTCGGCAATGTCTTCCACAAAGTACTCTGGAAGATTGCGATAGGCGTCTGCTTCAGCCAAGTCGACAAGGGGTAGTGCGACAAGCTGTTTGGGATAAGCACCCTTGCGGTCAACGAGCCTGATGAGCCACGACGCAACAAGCGTCAGAAAGCTGAATGAACGCGCCTGGCTCGCTTCGTCGCACAAGACCGTCTCGTAAGTGTAAAAGATCTCCCGTACTCTGGCGAGAGAGGCCTCGATACGTTGAAATTGGGCCACCATCATCATTGCTTGCGGTCCTTGAAAGGGTTGCTGCGATTGCATCTCAGCATGATACTTTTCCAAATCACGCATACGCTGGAGCATCTTTTCATGCGTTGCCATCGTTGCACCAAGTCCATAATGGTGGTAGGCTACATTGAGAAAGAAGATGTGAGAAATGAAGTTGCTTTCGCCCTCTTCGCGTTTGGCGTAGTATTCTGTTGTTGCTTGACGATCAGCGGCCAGCCGCGTCTCGTCCTCGAGCTCAATCAATGAGTCTCGGCGCAGGTACGCCACATCGATGCGATCAATCTTGTTGGTGTCTGACACGAACGGTTCAGCGAATTGATTGAGCACAGCGGTAATGTTCACCATGAATCCGTCTGAAGAAACAGTGGTTGGATCAACTTGGATGGCGTGCCTTTTGCGGTTGAGATTGACTGCTTTGGCAAAATAGCGAAGAAGCGCCATACGTGTCTCCCCTGAATGTCGAACCAGCAAATTGCAAATGGTAAAGAGCTGCGCTTGCAGAACTGGGAGTGTACTTCGTAGACTGCTAATGGCATTGTTGAGCTGTGCAGGATTGCTGCCAGACATGTTGGCAAAGGTTGTTTGCGCAACGACAGCATCAATAGGAGAAAGTTTGAAGAATGGGCCGAGTAGTGAAACATGCTCCATGTCAGCTGGGCTGTTGCCAGAGTCGAAAAACTTGGGCAGCGTAACAAAAAGCTGGGCTAGCTGGCTGTGCTGCAATAGCATACGCAAGACTGCAAAGTGGCGGTAAAAGTTGGCTGTCAGTCGCAAACGACCTACAGAGCTGGACAGGTCATTAAAGAGGGGCTCAAAGAATTCTGCGAGCGCATCATCCTCAGCATTCTTCTTTACGAGGTCCGCCATGAAATCCCCTGGCATGCCTCGAGAATCTGACTCTTCACGCAGAAGCAAAGAAATCAAGTCTGCTTGCTGATGCATGGCACCAAGCAGTTCAGGCATGGTGATGCTGAGACTTGCATAGCTGACGCAGAGCCGCTTGATTTCGTCAATGGCTGCAACCCGCTGTTCTGCCATACTTTTACGCTGAACCCTCATAATCTCGTTACACTGTTTGTATGCGCCTAGGAGATATTCAAATGGCGATGTAGGCAGCTCGTCAGCAAGTCGGCAAAGAATGGCTCGATCTAGTGTGTCGAGATTTAGACTTGGACTTTCTTGACTGCTTTCCATCTCCTCACTCAGCTCTTCATGTAGTGTCGCTAAGTAGTACTTGGCCTCCTGTGTCGGGTCCAGTGTGATCTTGAGCACATTCGAGATGATGGTGGATATCCACTCCTCAATTGATTGCTCGACAACAGGAGCTTTGACGCGCTCTTGCTTGACTAGTTGTTCTGTCTTCTGAACTGGCGTGCTACGCTCTACCGGCTGGCTCTGAGCTGGCGCACGCGCTGTAGTCGGTATTGGCGATGACGTTTCCACATGATGCCTCTTTTCGGGCCTAGCAATCGCTTCCTGATCGCTGCTGGGTGAAGAAGGCGAAGCAGCAGCGAGTCTTGCTAGCCTCTTGGCGCGTTCCTTCTCCCTGCGCTCGGGATCCATGCAGGAAGTCGCGGTCGCTTGTTGCAGTTGGTCGTTGTGACAAAGGCGAATCCAATCTGAACGCGATCTGCAGTGAGTCTGCTAGCTTAGCCTAGCTAGAGCCTCATGTGCATGAGTACAGGCTCAGATAATGTTGTCTGAACTGTTGACTATGGCTGTGATATCTATCTACATGTGCTTAACCCAGCTTATTCTTGTCCTCGGATAATGACCTTGACGGTGCCCTCTGCGGCAGCTGCCGTCGTGTCGAAGGCCTTGGCAGCATCTTCAAAGGCAAAGGTATGCGTGATGAGGGCCCTGACATCCACAAGACCACGTTCAACGAGACTGATGGCTTGTTCATAGCAGCCTTCGTTGTATCGGAAAGAGCCCAGCACAGTTATTTCGCGAGCACAAATGGTAGCAATGGGCAAGACAGCAGTATCCTGGCCCATGCCGGCCTGCAGAAAGACACCGTTCTTGCGAGTGACCAAGAGGCCGGTTTGCGTGCATACCTCTGCGCCAGTAGCCTCAACCACACAGTGAGCACCCTCAAACTGTTCCAACCAAGCGTGCTCAGACAGGATTTTGGCTGCGTTGCGCTTAGAGTAGTCCATCTTGGTCTCATCCTTTTGCATAGGGGGAGGCAAGTATGTCTGTGCACCCTTGATATAGGACTCTGCAAATTTCAGCCTGCTTGCATTCGCATCAATGAGCAAGATATTGGCGACACCTCGAGCACGAGCGACTGCTGCACATAGCAAGCCGATAGCACCAGCTCCAAAAATGACCATGTTGCTAGCAAAGGTAATGTTGAGCCTCTTGACAACATGTACCGCGACAGACAGGGGTTCCATTAGTGCTGCCTCGTCAAACGACATATTGTCTGGAACCGGCTTGACAAAATCCTCTGGCACCAAGTAGTATTTCTGCAAAGTTCCGTCAATCGGCGGGGTAGCAGCAAATCTCATTTCCTTGCAGAGATTGTACATGCCTTCCCTGCAGTAGGAGCAATTCCTGCACGGTACGCCTGGTTCAATTGCAACTCTTTGACCGACTCTGCGAAATTTGACATCCTCAGCAACCTCCACGATGGATCCGCTCGACTCGTGCCCAAGAATCATGGGCGATTTGACCACAAACTCACCAATAGCACCATGCTTCAGGTAATGCACGTCGCTGCCACAAATGCCAGTTGACTTGACTTGCACCTTGACAAAACGCGATGGCAGTACAGGGTATGTCGACTCGTTGGCCTTCACCACAAGGGCCTCCTTCTTTTCTAGGACTACTGCGAGGCCGTTGTCAGAAGACATGTTGCTAGTGCTAGTCAATAGGGATGTCGCGCTCGTTTTGTAGTCGACCGGCTTGATGTGGAGTTTGGGGTGGGATGGTTCGGCGGGATCAGGAGTAAATCAATGACTCAACACAAACTGCAGGGTCCTGCTCTATCCTGCACCAGGCCTGTAACCAGAGACTAGCCAAGAATGAATGGAATGAGTGACTGTCACAGTAGAGTATCAGACCTAGACGTCTCTTATTGCTAGCAAGTTGTCAAAAGAGCGCAAATCGGAGAATAAATCCAAGAATTATGCCCAATTAATTGAGCAAGCACTTCAAAGCTAGAAATACAAGGCCATCATTCCTGATTGTCCTACCTTCGGTCTTTCAAGCTGCTATCGGCACTTTCCGCTGTGAAGACTCGAAGACCCTCCGTCGATCAATGAGGTGGCTCTACACATGCAGGGATGCTATATTCTTGGTCCATGGCATGCCGCAAGCCGCATATTGGAGTTTTCAATTCACTGTGATTATCCTCCTGTCGAGCAACTCACTTTACAATTGCAACAGGTAAGTACTGTACTTGGACAGCACGAGAAGGAAGGTTCCAGATTTACACTGATTATACGAACTCTGCATCTCCATCCTTTGTCTCTCGGCTTTCGTGGAATTGGTGGCACGGAGTCAAGGATCGATCGATGGTCTTGCCAGGAGAAGCGGTCAAGGCAGTGAATCTTGATCAGGTTAAGGCCCTGGTTACTCAAGCCAAAGCCCAATGAGTCGAGGTGGTCCTCACTGAACCGGCATGACGAGGCGCAAAGCAGTGATAAGACAGGTGTTGGAGCACAATCGCCAAGAAGGCGAACCAGAAGAGAACGACCATAGGGCTTGACAGTCTAGCATTTCTACGTGTGCTTTGCCTAAAGGGCAAGTCTGAACACATCTGAACATCTAAGGTTAGGGTCAAAACTCGAAAGTCATGGGCTCGAATTTCTGGCCATTTGCCTCAAAATGTTTAGAGGCTGCCTCGACCCAGTGGAGTCGCAGTGAGTGTAGCATGGCGCTGGTCCCCTCCATTACAACAAGGACTGAGATCGTCAGAACTAGCCACATCGTAAAGGACGCCGTCAACATGACAACACCTAGAGGACCTCGTGTAGCAAAAGCATTCTCAAGCGTCATGGACCAGAGCACTTTACTCAGCTGATTGTGCGCGAGTGACAGAGCCCACAGCCGCAGGTACGAGGCTGTATGCGAGACGCAGTTGAGGCAAAACTCAATTGTGTGGATGACCTGATGAATCATGATTTCTCCGAAATCAAACTCTTCTTCTTCGTGCATTTGCTCGGCAATGACAACACCACCGCCTTCGTCGTCGTCATCGTCATTGGAGTGAGAAATGCGCGTGTTATCATTCAGGGCAACGCCTTGGTAGCCTGCATCCCGTGCCTTGTTGTGTTCTCGACGAAGAACAAGAGGCTTCATCAGCAACATCCACGGCACACAAACAAGCGCGATGAGCAGCAGTACAACTTGAATTTGAGCTTGGCCAGGGTACAAGGGCTCCTCCACAGTGCCCGGAGACAAGAACATGTAGATGAGCATGTTGAGCAAACTTGGCGGCTGAGCATCCGTTTTGGACCAATCCACCGACCATTTGTAGATGATGCAGATGACGAGGTAGACAAAGATGCTGCATAGGAAGAGCATGCCGGGAATGAAGTTGGCGACAATGTCGAGCTTGCTCTTAAAGAAGCGGTGGTTGATCAAAGAGAGGCACAAACTGAAAGTCATGTGAATCACACCAATGCAAACCGACAGTTTCATCTTGAGCGAGTTGGAGAAGAGCAGGCCGTTGTCTGCTTCTTCCCAGGCAGGGTCGAGACCAAAGGCGTATGTGCCAGTTTGCACACCGCTAATGGTTGCTGCATTCGAGTCTTCTGGAAACTTCCACTGTGAGCCAAACAAGTTCATTGATTTGGAAAAGATGTCGTTGTAGACGAGACCAGTGTACATGGAATAGATGCCCATGAGCAGCATGATGTATCGGCCATAGTACGCCATGTCGAAAATCTCTCCATATTCGCGACCAGCTCGAGCAAGCTTCTTTTCATTCAAGACGAGGTAGAGTGCGGCACAGAGCAGGAAAAAGCCGTGGCCAAGATCACCAAACATGATGGCAAAGAGGAAGGGAAAGGTGACAATGGCAATGAGACCAGGGTTGACTTCGCGATACGTGGCGATACCATAAGCATCCATAATGGACTGGAAGGCTTGAGTAAACTTGTTGGTTCGCATAAACGTCGGTGGCGTCTTGACGGTGTGGATCTCGCTCATGATACTGGGTTGCAATGCACCAGAATTTTCAGCAGAGATTCGCAGGCAGTTCTGCACCTTGTGCAGATCATTGGTTGGGCACCAGCCTTCTGCAATGAGACACTTACGCTCGCTGTCATAGTTGAACAAGTTCATTGTTTGATAGATGACCTTCTCCTTGCGAGCAAGCACCATCCAAGTGTTGACATTGGCAGCTAGGTATCGCAATTCAGCGTGAGCAGTTTGGCGTGTGTTCTGCAAGACTGACATGATGTCTCCGATGCGAGAGTTGACTTCAGTCAGCTGTTCACGGCGCTGGCGGGGGTTCTCATCCACTTGGTAAAGCGTTGCACCAAGACTTTCCGTGATTTTGCGAACCTTGGCCAAGATCTCCTTGCCGTGAGCAAAGATGGTAAAGACATTCTTGTCCACAGGCTCATTGGTCACTGGGTCATTGATGGGCTCGTCAATTTCGACCTGGCTCATGTAGAGATTGCCACGTAGAATGCGCCACAGAATACGCTCCATGGCCATGGTCCGCGCTCGTGGAATTACGCCAGAGACGAAGCCAATGTTCATGACGGCCAAGCTCCCATCTGCTGGCTGCTGCTCCATGTCTGCAGCATTGTCAAGCAGACTGACCTCTTCAGATTCTTCTGGCAGTATGCTTTGCGTTTGCTGGTGAGCTTGGTCGAAGAAGCCACCCGTCTGTTTCAAGACATGACGCAGCTCAATCAACTCAACGTAGCGCCTCTGCAGTGTTTCGTGGGAGCCATTCAAGGAATTGATGCGTTCCTCATAGTGTCGGGTACGTTCTGCAAGCTCGTCAACCTCTTGAACAGTCGGTGCAGCTGCACTGATGTTGTCGTAGTCGAGGGGGGCGATTTGGATGCCGGCGGTCTCAATCTGCTTTCCAAAGAAGCGCAGTTGACGCTCAATCTCGTCGACACGACGCACATCCTTGACAAAAGAACGCTGGAATGCACTCGTCTCTGCATTGAGGTCTCGGAATTGCACACATCCCAGCTCACCAAGGGCACTGACGGTCGACCGCGCTAGTTCGCTTGGGAAATACTTTTGTTAGCGGTGGCCGGAGCAAGACTGACATACAAGTTGGACGGCGGAAACTTCCTCTGAGCGGAAGAGAGTAGCATACGGCATCTTGACGATGCACTGGATGCGGCGCTGCTCGTGGTCCTTGATTCAGCAGAATGTCGTTGTGGTGTGCCTTGTGCCGTGACGTGAGCAAGCAGGGTTAGAGTAGCAATCAGATGGAGCCTCAACTCAGCTACCTGGTCAGGCTGGTCTCATCTCATATCTACACATCATTGTTCATCATCGTTACCTGCTACAGGCCGAGAAGACTTATTTGCCTTCTTCTTTGCCCTTTTTGGCTTGTCTTTAGTCACGGCACTTGCACCAATTGCCAGGCTTCCCTCTTGCACCTCCTTCAACTCTTCTTCTGGCATCTCCTGCAGCTTCTCCATAGACGACATGTGAAACATGAGATCACGCAGCTGTTCTTGCAGGTCTCGCAGCTCAGCTTCTTGGTGCTTGTTGAGCGCCCGTGCCTCTTGTCGTTGCTGTTCCAGGTGGCCAATGCGGACCATAAGATTCGCATTGATGCTCTTCTCCTCCTTGTACTGAGTCTCCATCTTGCGCGCCAGTTCTGAAAAGGTCTTGGCCTTGCCTTCTGCTCTAGTGATGAGACGACGCTGCTCTGTTGTTTCCTGCTGCAGCTGCCCTAGCATTTGCTTTACTTCCCGCATAGAAGACTGTAACTCGTTGATGCAAGCATCCTTTTCCTTTTCAGCGCGTATCGCTTTGGAAGCTCGATCAGCAGCGCTCCTGAGCTGTTCGTCATAATAGATGCGCTGACTCTCTAGCTGTGTGGCCAGCAGATCCTCAAACTCTCTGCCCTCATCATACATGGCATCCTTCTCCCAGAGACTCTGCTTGTTGGAAGGTGGCTTAGCGTCCATCTTTTCTTGCACCAAGCGATGCACATACACATCACTCGCATAGTCCCAAATGCGGCCGCTCGTAATGTCCATTGCAAAAGAATGGCGCGTACTTTCAAAGTGCTGTATTGCATGCTGCTCATCATACCGACCACACGCCACATTGCCACAAATCAAGCACATCCACAGATTCTTATCAGACAGGCACATAGAGCACGACCGCTCGGCTTCGGCGCCGTCAATCATGTCTTTTGCAGCACTAAAACGACAGATGGGGCACGTTGACTGTGTATCGACCCATTTTGAGATGCAAGAACAGTGAAAAGTATGCTCGCAGAGCATCGTCAAAAGACCCGTCACCGTGGCATCCATGCGCTCCAGGCACACGACACAGGTCGGTAGTTCCAATAAGCTTCCCGTCGCAGGGGGCAGCGGCTTGCCTGTACTGTGCTTTTGCGCATCGGGCACTTGATCTAGAAGTTCAGGAAACGAATCGGCCGACTCGAGTGAGCCTTTAAAGGAGATGCTTGCAACATTAACGGCATGAACAGTCTCAGGGTCCATGGAATTGAAGGAACGGCCATTGAAAAGGTTGAGAAATTGCTTCGCTTTGGATGCCTCTCTGAACTTGAGCAATACCATGTATCGATTTGGCTCCTTGGTACGAATCAAGCGAATGTGAGAGACTTCCTTTTGCTGCTCAGGCCCAATGAAGCCGACAAAGTCTGACGAGTGCATGTAGGAGGGCACAGCCAGGACGGCAACCACGGTTCCCTGCGTTTCAAGGCATAGATGCTTGAGTCGCGCTACCTTGCGCTTATTGTCTTCATCATCCTCTTTGAAAAGGTGTACCACGCCACCGCCGAGCTGGCTATTCGCAGCGCCCGTCTTGACGAATTCTCCTTTGCAATAAGACATGTCGATACTCTCGACAGTGATCTGGCCAAATCTATAATCGTACCAAGTGTCGCTTTTGTTCAATTCCTGTGAGACTTGATGAGACTGATTCCCAAGTCCAAGCTGGCACAGACTATCTGAGTCGAATATTGAGTACGGCTGCGCCTCGAGATGCTGTCGCAGATGGAAGACAATGCTATACTGCGATGTATGCATCAACGCGACACGGATCTGACGCCAGCGCGACCCAGCTGATGCACCGAGCGGCAATGAATGACTCTGGTAGCACTACTCGTCTTAAGCTTGAGCGTTTGGGCTTGGCAACAGCATGAAAAGAAACAGTCACAAAACTGCTGAGACTGGTAGAGCGGATTGACACGTTTGTGCTACAACAATGCGTACAAGTATATCTGCAGAGGAGATCTGTAGAGCACACGCTCGTAAGAAGACGACGTTATGTCTACACATCAGGCTCACCAGCCTCTCACTTAAATGTCATTGTGAACGGTACTCGAGCACCGTGCTCAGCTGCAGGACTGTAACGATGATCTTGCAGTTCGGGAGTATAATCATGACCCCAGTGGCCGCCAGAAGTTGCGCTCATACCCTGTTGGCTTGTCAGTTCGCACTTGATCCGGCTGTCGTGAGTCGTGACGCTTGCCGTGTGCGTCTGTCAGAGAGGTAATCAGTGTGATAGTATAAGAGTTGCGGGACGGTAGCGGCAACCATGCGGCGAGACATTGATGCGGGGAGAAGCCTGTCTAGCTTGTCGCCCCAGACTCTTCCTTGATCAATCTCGAGCAAATATATCACTAAAGAGCAACACTATAGCGTCAAGGCAGCAGATAACAGCAGACTCGTCTAGCAGACGTCAAGCACGAGCCTCAGAGCAATCAGACCTGATCTTGTCATGCACCGAAGCTGAATATGTGAGCTGTTTCCTCAAGCGACGTTGACGTTGCCGTGTCTGGTCTCGAAATCAAGCGGGACCGGACTAGGCATGGTGTCGCATTGCAAGTGTGCAGTCACGGGAGGAGAGTCTATGCGTAGGGTGTCTCTGGCTGCCGTCTAGAATCGTGGTGTCCTGCAAAGCGCGAATTCATCGACTCACGCGTCTTTGTCTCGCGCGCTTCCCCCCACGCGTCTTTTGCTGAGGAGAGATCCGCTTCCGGGAGAAATAAGCGAATTGTCTCCTGTAGGCACAGCGAAAGAGAGGCCTCCTTACTGACAGGCGCTGACCCTCACTCTCACAGTATCAGCAGCAGGCTACTTACAAGTCTACTAGCTGCCTCCTGTGCGACGATGCGGCCATCCACATTTCTGCAGCCAGGAGCTACTACAGGAGCTACTGAGAACACTCCGATGCCAATGTCTCTACTATGGCTAGACTTATGCAGTGCCAAGGCGTTTTAAGACGTTTGAAGCCTGGAGTGTTAAAGATAAGCTGCAAGCGGAGTCCTAGCGCTGACGCTATTGCTAGCGGACGGGTCAGTGCTACGGATCTACCGCCGCAAGACACCCAAACTTAATGGATGTCACCAGGCCGCACCAAAAATTCAGCGCCGTGCATACGCTCGAGGCCCCGAGAGCATGCGCATCTGCATGTGCCGCTCAGAATCATGGCATTCTGGATTCTGGAAGCACTGTAGCAGTAGCACTCGACACCTGATCATGATCATCACTCGTTGAGGCTGAAGCTCGTGGACGCAGAGGCTTCGCGGCTCGCAAGCCTCAGTGAAGACTTACTTCGCTGACAAAGGCCATACCGTTGCGGACAGCACTTCTCTTTGCTGCCTCCTTTGACAGATCTCTACAAAGAAGCCCATCACTTTCCTTGGCCGGTCAATGACGCTATCTACACTTCTATGTGATCTTGTTCTTTGCTGCATTCGGAGGTCCTTGATAGCAGAAAAGCATGCATGGAAGCCTGCTGGAAGGAGCTGTCAATCAATGGTCTTCCATGGACATTCGCCTTTGCGAGTGTAGGAGGCTGGTGCCCGCGGTGGCTTTTTTGTTCTGGGCCGCAAAAGTGATCGAGGAGAAGCGAAAGCGCGAAAGTTGAGGTTTCAGATGCACCGAGAGAGAGACAGCCGCCTGCCGGAGAGGGGGACACGCACCGCAAACTCACCCATCTGCAGGCAAGACATCGGCGAGGAGGGTATGGGTGCTCAAACCCCTGTCAGCGAAGGATGGTTAAGAGTATCCATGCCCGCATCTCCCTCTTGATTCCTCATTGTACACATCACTTTTGCGACAGCCCAGCACCTTCAGCGAGTCTCTGACAACCTTTACCTCGTCTCTGAGCATCTACCAGCAGCAGCTTGTCGAACAGTCGAGCAGCACAAGTCGGCAACCGTTTCTTGTTCACATCTCAGACTAGCCGGTCTAGTCTTGTCCGTCGTGACACACACTCTCTCTTCGTCTCAAGCGACTCTTCATCATGTACATCAACCCTGCTGCGGTGATGGCCCTCTTCTCTGGCCTGGCAAGCCCGTTGGACAAGCGCGACGCATCGCCGGCCGATGCGCATGCCGCCCGTCCAATGCATCTCCACCACGCCAAGCGCGCGGTGACTATTTGGAAAACCGAGACTGTTGCCTACACTGTTCCTGGAGGTCAAGCGTTCAAGGCCCCCTCTGCAACAACTGCAGCTGCTCAGGCAAACAACGTCGCCCCAGCGCCGACTACCCTTGCAACACAAGCGGCTTCCGCTGTGCCTGTCGTGCAACCTGCTGCAGTCGCAAAGCCCGCCGACTCCTCGACCATTCCCATCACCGGATCTTCTGATGGGCCCAAGAAGGTCTTTGCGCATTACATGATGGGCAACTCTTACGCAATGAATGTGGCCTCCTTCCGTGGCGACATCAACATGGCACTCGGCGCTGGCATCGACGGCTTTGCCCTCAACGTTGGCCCCGACGCTTGGATGGCTGATCGCGTCAACCAGATGTACGCTGCTGCACAGGGAACTCCCTTCAAGCTCTTCATCTCCCTCGACATGGCCGTCATGGCTGACCAGTCCATCTCGGGCCTCACCCACTGGATCACTGACTTTGCTCAGCACCCCAACCAGTACTTTTACCAAAACAAGCAGTTTGTCTCTACCTTTGCTGGAGAGAGCGTTACCTTTGGCCAAGGCTCCGCCAATGCTGGTTGGTCGAACTTCAAGAACACGCTTGCAGGCATGGGTAACCCTATCTACTTTGTTCCTTCGTTCACGGCCCTCGGCGCCTCAGCTGCCATGGGTATGTCCTCCAACGATGGCGCCTTCTCCTGGGATGCATGGCCCACCTCCAACAACGCCATGTCGACCGCTTCTGACAACGCCTACATGAGCGCCCGCAACGGCAAGACCTACATGGCTGGTGTCTCTCCATGGTTCTACACCCACTTCTCCTACAAGAACTGGATCTACAAGTCGGACGACCTCTTCACCACCCGTTGGGAGCAGGTTGTTGCCATGCAACCCGACTTCTTGGAGATCATCACCTGGAACGACTATGGAGAGTCGTCCTACATTGGTCCCCTCAATGCCGACTTCCCATACGACTCTACCCTGAACTCTCGTCAATGGTGCACTGGTCACGAGCACACTGCTTGGCTCGAGCTCTCTTCCTACTACATCCAGGCCTACAAGAACGCCGCCTACCCAGCTATCACACAAAACAAGCTCTTCTGGTGGTACAGGACGCACTCCAAGGATGCCACTGCCACATCTGACCCATACGGCAAGCCCACCAACTGGGACAGCTCCGCCGACAACATTTTCCTTACAGTCATGCTCACTGGTTCAGCGACTGTGACTGTCACATCGGGTGGCTCTTCGCAAACTTTCACCGGTACTGCTGGACTCAACAAGTTCCAGTACAAGAACTTCCAGACTGGCACACCATCGGTGCAAATCGACATGGGTGGCCGGACTGTGCTCAATGCGCAAGGACCTCAGCCCATTGTGTCCAACCCGACAATCTACAACTGGAACCCAGTTGCCGCGTCTTCTTCCTTCTAGATGCTTCAATTTCTTTGCTTTCCTGTACCAGCTTATCACCACGGTCGCTACGCATAGCCTTTGCATAACAATATTCACAAAATGCTTGTTCATGAGTCGTTACATTATACAATCGTGACTATATCCATTAAATCATTGAGTGAGCTGCTTGATGAGCTCACTGGCTCGTTCAGCTGCAATCATCACTGCGAACTGTGGGTTCACCGTCATCGGTGGGATGATGGAGGCGTCCACAACGTGAATGTTTTGCGTTCCAAGTACTTGAGCATTGACATCCACACAGGCGTTGTTGCCTGCGGAGCCAAGACCACAACTGCTGCTCCAGTGATTCACCGATCCACGAGCGTACTTCGAGGTTGTTGTAATGTATTGCTGAATTTGCTCAACAGTGGCATCTGGAGAAATGTTGAGCGGCGTCAAGCCTGTGCCTGGAAGCCCATCAAATAGTCGCCTGATCCAAGTGGCAATCGCAAGCGAATCCTGCTGATTGGCATCTGAGTAGTAAGTATCGTCGCTATGCCCAGCCTTGAAAGACGCATCAAAGATGACACGACCACGGCTCAGAAGGCCGGAAGTGCCATATACATTGAGGGTGATGGTGTTATTGTCGGTAAAGTCTCCGTAACCTGCACTATCGATGGTGCCTTGCATGCCAAAGGTGTGGCCATTGAGCTCCACCGTGTCCCAAAATACGCTCGTTTCGCTGGCAAAAGTGTAGGGACCTATTCTGCTAGACACATAGCTGGCGGCGTCTCCCGCGGCAGGTGAGTCGTAGCTGTATGTGTAGGATTGGACCGCTTCGCTGCGTAGTTCAATGAAGGTATTGGGATTGTCAAACAATTGTTGCCCTACAGCATTATTGATGATCCACTTCTCTCGCGGCAGACCATTCAGCTTGTTTGCCGTTGCAAGGCCAGTCAACGTAGCTTCGTCTCCGATTCCGGAAAAGAGCAGTAGCTGTGGGCTCATCAATGCACCGCCACTTGCAATGACTCTACCACGGAGCGTGAGGTTGATGGTCGTCTCGACGCCATCGACATTGGCCACCACGCCGGTTGCCCGCAGTCCATCGTGCACGATGCGCAGTACACGAACATTCGTTTGAAGCGTCACATTGCGCTGTAGGGCTGTCTGCAAGTAATCTGTTGCTGGTCCACCGCGCTGTCCATTGCGGTAGTTGAAAACCGGGTGACCAAACACCTGGGTCTTGCGCGATGCCTGTGCATTGATGTCCACCTCCTCAAATCCTGCTTTATCAACCAACCATCCATGAGCAGCGTCATAGCCAGACTGCAAATATCGAATGCCATCTGCAGAGGTTGTGTTGGTAGACGGCTCACGGTTGTAGACTTTATTGATGGCACCAACTAGATTGGGAGCTCTCCACAGATCCGGCAGGCTTTCCCAATCGCTGTCCGGCGGCTGGAAGAAGAGACCTGCATTCACAGCGCTGCTTCCACCGACGCCGCATCCTGTGTAGTCTGTAATCCATTGAGCGCATGACAGGCTATCGCCGTTGGAGAAGAAGCTCTTGTAGAGACCCGGTACATCGACTCTGCTGAGGCCAGAGTCGGCCGGTATCCATGAGGGACGTTCAGTACCGCCGGTCACGCCATAAGTCTTGCCGCCGCCCTCGAGAAGAAGAACGGACCGACCATCTTCAGAGAGTCTATCTGCGACAACGATGCCGGCAGTGCCAGCTCCAACAATGATGACATCGTAGGTCTTTGCAGTCCAGTCTTGTGCATCAGAGAAGCTGACGACACCGAGCACGATTGATGCAGTGATCAATTGAATAGCCTTCATGACTATGATGACTGATGTAGAGCAGCTGGATAGAACATGGACTGGTGGGACATTTGGCAAGCTTTATATGTTGCTCTAGCTGGATATGCCCACTATTTTGGGAAGATCTGCCGCATCGGCCTCTGTCGTAGGGCACGGTCCGAAGCGAGTCTTGCTGGAGCCCTTCATGGTTGGAAGTCTTATTCGTGGTCTTGGTTGTCGAGCTGTCGCCAGATTTAGCCCAGCGGGATGAATTGAAAGACGTCATTCCATCTGACTCTCTCACCGCCGCTGGAAAGTACAAGGTCACCTCTTCTTTGCCACGGCCAGACATGCAAGTATGCTGTGAGGCTGTGAATGCTAAAGTCCTAGTCATACAGTGCTCGAGCTATTAGAAGAGCTCGATCCCGGGCTTTCATTATGCGTTGGCTATTGGTGACATAGGGCTCTTTAAAGGCACGACTTGTGTAAGTATACACGTTGCTTGGCCATAAGATACTACTGACCTCGACTGTTCATGCGCAGTGCTTTGACACACGACGCAGTTACTCGTCTGCGCTAGGACCTTGCGACATGTAGAAGCATTCTTGGTCAGCACCCATCTGATCAGTCTCTACAGAACTGACCCCGTCTGAACGCTCCTTGACCAGACCTCAACAGCGTTCTATACCACCAGGGCAAAGGCTCTTGCTAGACCATAGATGTCTAATCTAGAACAATGGGCAATTCATCACGTCAAAAAGCTCGTAGACTACCTGGATGATGCTGAAATCAGCCAGCTCGTCGCTGCTGCAATGTCTCTTTCGACGCCTCAAGCAGTCATCAGTCATTGGAGCAGCCTTCTAGGCCAAGATCCAGCTGTTCTTAACTTCATCTCTAGCTTCAATGAACGCAAATTCCCGGCTGCTGCAGCTGCTAGAGCATCAGTCCCTGCTACTCAAAAGCAAAGCCAGCGTCCAAAGAAAGCTGTACAATCAAGTAAAGCATCCATCATGACGTCTGATCTTGGCAACTCTACTGCATCAAAATCAAAAGAAGTTCCTCCTAAGACTCAGCCAAAGCCAAAAACGCGCAAGGTTGATGCGCTTGCAGAGATTGACGGCGCATTACGAGAGCTTGAATTGACGGAGCACGACGTCCAAACTCACGCCGTCATCACATGCGACTGCCAAGCGCGGCGTCATCCGCTCAATGAAGTTGCACCCAATTGCTTGCATTGTGGTAGAATCATCTGCAATGTCGAGTCCTTTACGCGATGCTCATTCTGCAAGCAACCACTCATGTCTCGCGGACAAACGCAAGATCTCATTGCTGAGCTACGACGGGAGAAGGGCGTTGCTTCCGCTGAATCGAAGCAGCAGCCACGTAAAGTACGAGCTGGCACAACGCAAAAAATGCAGTGGAGCTCCAAGCTTGGCGCTAACCTGGCGAGTATGGATGAGGACGATTTGCGTATTAAGGCGGAAGCTGCCGAAGAGCGCAAAAATGCGTTGCTTGAACATGTGGCAACGGGTGCAAAACGTACGGTGATTGATCAAGCGGCCGACTTTAGCAGCACTGCCAACGATCGATGGGCGTCGACAGAGGAGCGAGCGCTGGCACTTCGCCGCCAAATTGCAACACTCAAAGCAGAGGAGGAATCAAAAGGTGCGCGCGTGCTGACACTCAATCTTGGTGGCAAGGGCAAGCCCAGCATTTCTACAGCTGCTCGCGAGAAGCGCAAGCCCGAAGAGGTGGATGCTGGGATTATTGCTGCGCAGCGTAGTATTGATGAAGGCAAAGCACGAGAGGCTCAAACGCAACAGGCATTGAGCAAGAGTTTGAGTCGCGGTGATTTGAGCCAAGTCAAGGTCATCCACTACGAACAAACCAAGCAGCCCAAGCAAGACTGGGCACTCAGAGAGCGACCTGTGTATGGTGGCGGCTGGCGTCGTGTGCAAGACGAGGATGAAGACCGTGAACGGCTGGCAGAAGAACTCATATTGAATGGCAGACCATAAATTAGCGCAATATTAAGTGATTAACTACGGGACGGCTGGTATAGTACAAGCGTCATTAGATATGAGATCTACAGAGGCTGTCCGCGAATGATGGGCGGAAGCAAGTCAGCTCCTTGCGAGGGCAAGACTGTGTTGCCAGCAACAGACTGGCCGTGGACGGCAGTGAGGCCTTGACCAGCAGTCGTGGCATACTCGTAAGCGCCAGTCTGGCCAGCGTTGGCAGAGTCAATGGCCGTTGCGCCATTGAGACCAGAAGAGCCGGTGGTGGTGTAAGCGCCAGTTGGGTAAGCGCTTGAGCCATAAGCGGCACCAGCACCACCGAGACCAGCACCGCCAAGACCAGCACCACCAAGACCAGCACCGCCAAGACCAGCACCACCAAGAGCAGCACCGGCAGCGTAGCCAGAGGCAGAGCCAGACTGACGGTGGCCAGTCTTGTCAACAGGCTTGTTGGGGCTTCGACGCTTGACCTCACGCGGCTTGGGCAAGTTGGAAGTCTCCTTGGCAGAACCAACGGAAAAGATGGGGCAGTGCCAGGCATCACCCTCACGAGCCTTCTCCTTCATCTCGGTGGCCAAGTTGGAGGTCAAGCCAGGTAGCTTCTTCTGGAGCTGAATGCCATCAGCCGTGGTAGCAACATTGACTTTCGTCTTTGAAGCGCGCTTCTTCTTCTCCTCGGCAGAGCGGTTGAAGCGCTTCTTGAGCGACTCGACATAGTACTTGGCCTCGTTGGCAGCTGCTTCTGGGTCATCCCTCTTGGCCTTCTCCTTCAAACGCTGAGCCTCCTTGTACATGTCATAAATTTCGGCATCGGCGTCGCGAATGGCAGAAGCGATTTGCTTCTCGGCAGCCTTGGCAATAGCTGGGCGCATGGTGGACATGAGGAGAGGACGGAAGATGCTGAACAAGAGCTTGTGCTTTGACTTTTGCAGCTTGACGTCCATGTGGTGGATGTTGACGTACACCTTGGCGGGCTTGAAGAAGTGCTCGCCAGCCTTTTCGTCGGCAGTCTCGAGGCCGATATCGACGGTGAGACCAGAGCCAGAGATCAAGACATCGACAATACCGGTATCCTTGAGGCTGGGGAATCCCTGCTTCTTGTGCACGTAGTAGGCAATGTCCTTGAGGTCGAGCTGGATTTGCGAAAGACGAATCTCAAACATGTGGGTGTGCTTGCTCTTGATCTTGCTGTAGGCAGAGTACTTGAGGAAGTTGTCATTCTTGACCTCAATCAAGTTGGGGATGATGTTTTGTCCCTCGAGAATGAGGTTCTCAATAACAACATCGACAGCAGGGTCCATGACTTCAATGCGAGGCACTGGGACGTAACGAATGCGACGGAAGAGAGCAGGCAAGATGACATTGCCGACGTCCTTGAGGAGGTGCTTCTTGAAGGCAGGCTTGCCGTCCTTGTCCTTGCCGAGGTCGTCAATCAAGTGCTGCACAGCGTTGCCGAAACGCACATTCTCGGGGTCTTGGGCGAATGCATCACCGAAACGCTTGACCTCATCCATGAGACGGTCCCAGTGCTCCTGGTACTTGTCTTGGAGGAAGTATCGGCCATCCTTCTCGAGCTTGTTGTATTCCTCGGTGGACTCGTCCTTGAGAATGTAGCCTGTTTCCTTGAGACAACGACGGATGTACTTGTCAACCTTGGACAACCAGTTTTTGAATTCACGGTCGTTGTCGGCATCCTTGTAGAGATCATCCAACGCATCGAAAAAGTCGTCTGTGCTTGTTGCATTGGCAAAGTTTTCGAGGAGTGACTTGAGCTCTGCCTCTGCCTTTTGCAAGTTGCTGCTGGAGCCGTGTGCCTGTTGGACTTGGCCACCCGCCTGCTCGGCCACCTTGCGTGAGTGTCCGGCGTACTTTTCTGCCATGTCGAGGAGCGTCTCGATTGCATCGTTGTAGTCTTCATGGTCCTGAATTTCAACGACCATCTTCTTGAGGCGGTGGATGGCAGCATCACGACGCTCTTCGGGGACTTTTTCCTTGAGGTACTGCTTGGTGGAGTCTTGAGCCTCGGCCTTCTTCTGCTTTGCATCATGCTTGAGCTCGTCCTTCTTTTCGAGTGCATCATTCTTGAGCTTCTCGGCGTCCTCCTTGTGCTCCTGAGGAACGGCATTGGCGGCGCGGTCGGCGGCACGGTTGGCAGAGTCTTGGTTGTCGTTGCCTTCACGTGCACCTTGCTTGGCCTCTTGCGCTGCATTTTGGCCAACAGACCTTGCTGTGCGGGCGGCCTCTTTTGCTTGGTCGAGGCCGTCCTTTGCCTGCTGCTTGAGGCCTTGCACGTCTGGCTTCTCGTGCCACTGGTTGTCTGGTGCTGGCTCGTCGAGGTTGTTGCGTGCCTCTTCGTCTGGGCGAATACGCTCTGGCAAGTTGGCTGCCTTGTCGACGGCCTTGCTGCCTGCATCGGCGACCATGTCCTGGAGGAGGATGCCTGCGTCTGAGAGCAGCTTGCGGAATTGTCCGTTTGTGATCATGAGTGTGCCGAGGGTTTTGAGGCCGTCGACTGCCTTTTGACCATCGCGCTGTGCCTCTGACTGGGAGACGGGCACATTGGGCGTGGATGCATTGACGTCTAGGTTTGCAGAGTGCCAGATGAAGTTTTGGAGCTGCTCGTCGTGGTTTTTTGTGAGGAGGAGGACTTTTGCCTGGTCAATGACCTCGCGCAGGTCCTGGACGAGCTTGCGGCCTTCGGCAGACAAATCGGAGGATGGCTTCTTGAGGATGTCTGAGTCGAGGGCGGAGTTGAGTGCGACATCGATCTGCTTGTTTGAGGGGAGCTTCTTGTTTGCAAATGCGTTGTAGATGCCAAAGTACTGTAGCTTGCGCTGTACGTCTCTGTCGCGGACCTTGCGGTCTACGGGTACGGTGACTTCCTTCTTGGATGGGTTCTCGGTGGCTGCCATCGTGTATGCTTGCACTGCTTGGTGAGAGGAGGAGGTGGAAGTGGGCTGTGTGTTGCTTATAGTCTGGCTGGCTGGTTCTGTCACTTTGACGTCATCCTGCTCATCGTGATTTGGTGGCTGCAACTTGACTCAGTTGACTGGCTGCTGCTGGCTGAACTGGCTGGCAGAGTACTCAGTACAGTGGACAGACTAAGGAGAAGACAACGCAGAATTGACCACCGCAGCACACGCGTCATCCATCTCCATACCCAGCGCCAGTGCATGTCCCTCCCGGCTCATCTTCCCCCACGTCTTCTGCACAATCCGCACAACCTTCGACTCCTCGTGCTCCCTACTAAAGGCCCCAAACTCACTCTCCAGAAACACAAGGCACGCAACATCCTCCAGCACCTGCGTCTCCCCATCTGTCTTGTAGTTGTCCTTCCGTATCATACTCCCAACCCGCGCACCCTCCTCCTCACTGTACCCAGCCTCAACACATATAGCAGCAGCCCTATACTTGTTAGTCACTCATACACAATCTCAACTCAATACATATCGCCCTGCCGCTTCTTCAGAAACGTCCGCCAAGCCAAGTACCCAGCCTTCGTCTTGGGATAACTCGAACGCGGTACTTCAAACCGCCGGAAATGCTGCGATCGAACAGCAAGCTTCAGCAACTCACCTGCCTCAGGACATCGCTTCTCTAGCCAGCTCGTGCACTTTTCAGCATACACCAATTCATACGGGCGGCCATGCACCAGCGTTGGATCAAGACAGTGACCCGCGTCAATCGCCTTCATAGCAGCTTCAAAAGACATGATTGCAATTGCGCTTGATATGCAGTAGCAGCTGCAATACAGTCAATACTAGCTCAATCTAGCTGTGTCGTCGTGCAGGCTGCTGTCCTGCCCTGATTCTGCCGAGATCCGCGCGCAGCTCTCATCCACTCATCGCCGTCATCGCACCTGTCAAACCTTAACCAGAATTCAAGCGCTTGGTAGTAGCCCTCTACTAGTGAGACTCTAGAATGACTACTGTACATCCATAGACCATCTAGCATCAAGCATTCATCACAACTTTCAACGCATCACACAAGGTCATGCACAACAGACCCTCCATCAACTCCTGATTCTGCATCACCTCAAACAACACAAGCGTCGCTTCATTCGTCGGCGTGGCCCCCATCAGCGACTTGATGGCTTGCGGCACACCTTGCCTCAACAGGAGCACCTTGGCCGCTTCAGCCCGAGCATGCGATTCCGTCTTGTCAATCTTCAACGACGGCGGCGCATCGCTAAAGAGCTGCTCAGAAAGATATCGAACGTGTTGAGCCAGGGCATGCCCATCCACCCACGCATCAAAGATCCCCTCCACCTGCTTGACAATTGTTTGTGCATAACTGCTATTGGGACTGAGTAACAGCCCTCGCAGCAAATTGAGCAGCTGCCGCCGAATCGTCCAAGTCTTGTTTGACAGCGCAAAGAAGGACCCCAGCAGTGCCATGGATTGATCCACCAACCCTTGCACATCCAACTCACTCGATCGATCGCGCCATGATCTTGAACCAGACAACATGAGTGACTCGGCAGACACTTTTGCAGGCGACACAGACCGCGACTGGGCTCGACTATGGCTCCGTTGCGACCTCGGACGCTCCACAGGCGGAAACGCAAACGTGCTATTCCGGCGAAACGGAGACAGCGGCTTGGAGGGAGAGTTAGGCCGTGTGGGTGTCTCTGCCAATGTTGCTAGCTCCTCCCGCGGACTCACCTGCTCAATAGACGCACCCAAGGCCTTCATGCGCGCTTCAAAGTCAAGATCTTGTCGGCAGAATCGCACAAAGGCATCTGAACGCGCGAGTGCCTCAGTCTGCACGATGCTCGATAGATAGCGAAGGGAAGCCTGTTCAAGCTCGCCATAGCTCATCTCCGTCCAGGCTGGAAACCCATCCAGGGAAACATTCCCAGGAATCCTCCTCAAATGCTGATCCAGCATCTCCAATTCCTGTACGCTCTTTACAATGCAAATACCCTTCGCGGCAGACTCCTCGCCCGGTGCTTTGGTCGGCGACAGCATCACCGTCAGTTGTGGTGGCAAATCCATGCGCACTTTGCGGCTCATATCAATCGCACCATCATGCTCAGAAGCATCATACACCGCCATTTCTGCCAGGTACAAATCAATCTGCGTATTCGAGCGAGATCCAAGGGCCGGCCGGGAATTGGGTGACTTGACTGGTGAGGCACTCCGTGAGCGCGACTTGCTCAGAAATGAGCTGGTCCGTGCAAGGAGCGAAGTCTTTCGCTTGTGCCTCGACTCGGCATCATCCAAGAGTGAACGCACAGCTTCAGGCGATTCAACACCACTCAACCGCTCCTTGAAGCTCAGCCTTCGCCCTCGTTTTGGACTTGAGGGAGTCATTGGAGGGAGATCTAGCTCCTTGGTCTCGTCAATGACCGCCTCACTCAAGCCTGGTTTCAGCTCGAGTGTCGACCCAAGCTGCTCAGCTGCGTTGGCAATCGTCTCCTGTAATGCGTGCCCGTGACCAGACGTGGGAGAAAAGTGATTGATGATGAGCTGATTGATGGCATCCTTATCCGCGATTGCAACAATGCTAGGTGCCAACACTTGGAAGGCAAGGACTTTGCGGAGAAAGATAGAAGCTGGAAGACAATTCGAGTCCTCCTGATCCGTATATCGCTTCAGAAACTAGACGTTAGTCGAATATTATAATACTAGACTCACTCTGCTCGCTGTTGCTTCCAAAATGGTGCGTCGATGGGCCTTGTCAAGAAGCTGTGCTGTGATGGACTCTGGATGAGCTTCTGCGTATAAACTTAAATCGCCCGGATCAATGGCCTCCAGCTGAGCCAGTCGAATGTCAGATAGAGAAGCGCCTATCGTTGCAACCACTTTGGCAAAGACAATGTCAAAGATAAACACGCAATCTTTCTTTGACAAGGATGCATGGACGTTGCTGGCAATATCTGCAAGCTTACTTGCACAGATGGCAGGAAATTCCTCGTCAAACTCAAACGCCGGTGGAGCATACCACCACTGAACGTAGTTCTTGATTAATAGGCGTATCGCATCGGTCAGTGCACTGCGCAGCTCCACTGACATCTGTTCATACGGTTGATCTTTGCATTCGAGCTTATCGAGCGGCTCGCTGTCTTTCACGCTTGGATGTTTGTCGTGTCGAAAGCTGCTGGAGAACGGATGTAGCTGAAGGATGATGGCACTGCCAGTTAGAGCGCCGACTACGAACCAGAAAAGTGTTCTCGAGATGAGATATAGAAGAGCGCAGACGCCTATAGCGAGTGCTATGCTGCTGTTTGGTACCTCATTGACAAAGTTCATGATTCTCTAGTAAGCATCACGCGGATTGCGTCTCCATGGTTCAATGATGCAGCGGTGATTACAAGATAAGAGCGATACAAGCTAGAATGCGTGGTATCGACCGATACAATCGCAGAAGAGAGCTGAGCTGTTGTGTCAATACGTCGTTTCAGATTGGAATCAGTGCAAGCGCGGTATGTGCACCAAAACAACGACTTCATTTCAGCTCGTCGTACTTCACGTGACGTATTCAATCACTACGTAGTACGCACTGTACCTTGGCTCAATCCTTCATTATATAGTCAAGCGCCCTGAAAAGACGGCGGATGCCCTGATTGTGCTGTGGACCACCCGCGCAACCTCCTCGCACATTCAGGCGGAATCGAAAACAATGGATGGAGGGTTGTGACGATAGTCTGCTCAGTATCGCTCCTCACATGCCAGTTATACGCATGAGAGCCCATGTTCTCATCCAATGTATCATCTGAATGGAAGCTGAAATGAGATTGCGTAATAGATAAACCAGCCAAGCAGTAACAAGTGTGATAGTAGTCGGCTGACTTGCCTGGCTTGTCTCGTAGTCCACCTCGTTTTTCTGATTGACAGCACTTGAGGATATAAGCCGAGAGGGCTGACCTGTCAAACAATTCCACTGAGCCGCCGAGCGCAGTCTCAACAATGGCAAGTTGCGCCCCTGTCCACCAACTGTAGCAGCCGTCCACAAGCTTGTTGGTGCGGCCTGAGAATCCACCCTCGACTGCCATTTGGCAATGCGTCAACCACCGCAACAGAGCTGGCAGATCAAGTGCTTCTTCGAGCCTTCCGGGTTTGTCTAGGATGCACAATGCTGCAAGGGCGCAAAAAGAAGGGCCAGTATGAGCTTCCCCATCAGGACAACCTGCCAACCCACCCTCGTAGCGTTGACATGAGATGATCCATTGATATGTGCCAGAAACAAGTTCCTCCGTCATGAGGTTGAGAAGCGAGGCAACAGTCAACGCAAGATAAGCTGCTCGAGTGTCGACTTCTCCGCCATGCTGAATCGCAAAACCTCCATTGATCTGTTTGAGTGACATAAGCCAGCCATACATGGCTTTCCGATCGATTGCTGCAAAGACGTCTTCATCTCCAACGATTGCTGCTGCCAGGACGGTGGCATATGTTGGTGCCAGATGCGCCAGCTGACCGAATCCGCCACCAATTCCTCCATCAGGATGTTGACACTCCAGGATAGCAGACTTGAGACTGCTGGTCAGCTTGGACAAGGCAATGACTTAAGTTACCTTGAAGCTTTATCTGAAATGGAACACGATGGTCCCTTGAGCAAAGCCAAACCATTGAGGCACCAGTAGAACAACCAGGGACGCGCAGCATCCAATGTAACAAAGCCTTCATTAAGCGGCTCAGTACCTTTGAACAGGAAAGAAGCATGTTTCTCAGCACGCAGTCTAGCGCTTGGACTATGAAGGAGCCGCTCGCATTGGACCTCCACAGCACTCTGCTCTCGTGCAGACGCAAAGAGCATGATATAGTGAGACAGCCTAGACAGATGGACTCTGCATGTCTCCAAAGATTAAGGGGATGATCCGATGCAATCAGATCAAGCTAAGTTTTGACGTCGGCTTTCCGAGGTCGTTGCCAAATGACGAATCATAAACACAACAATCGGCCAATCGCAACGTCCGTTAAACAGCCTGGCGAGTGGTCTAGTGTGCAAAGCAGGACAAAGCTAGTTGTTCATCAGACACTATGATGAAATCTTCGCCAACCAAGTCACCACGGAAGCTGCTCGGAAAGATGCTCTTTTCTTCACCAGTGTTGCGGCCAAAATCATCAAACGCGTCGCTGGCCGAGTCAATTGAACCGAACCACGAGCCATTTGAGGATTTGCTAGCTCTTGAAAATGTGCCTCCAGATTTGCGAGAGAAGCTGAGGGCTATGGACCCTCAAATCAAACAGACCATGGTCAAATCTTCATCGCCGCGAGCTTCATCGTCGCTCGGGAAGCACAGTCGACATCGATCAGTGGCCGCGCTTCTTTCTCCGAGCAAGAAGAGCAGATACGACGATTCGCCTGTGTTGGAGCCTCTTGATCCGTCCGGCTTTGTGCATCAGCTCAAAAGCCAGACCAACACCGAGCGATTAGCGCAGACAGCCGCAAGTCTCAAGCTTCTGTTGCGCCGCGAAAGAGTCTCCTGGTCGGACACCTTCATTAACAAAGGTGGGCTTTTACAACTTGCGAGGCTGGTGTCAGATTTGTGCATCAAAGAATGGCGCGATGATCAGGACGACAGCCTGCTGCAGCAGCTGCTTGGTTGCTATCAAGCTCTTTGCACTACTGAAAGGGGCAGACAAGCACTCAAGTTGGACGATCGCCTGCTCATCATGCTCGTTGAGCTCCTGTTTAGCGACAAGCAACCTGCGGACTACACTACACGAACACAAATCATGAAGCTACTCCATCAATTTGTCACAACCGACGCCGACTGCGAGGCGGAGATGAGTCTTCGAGCGCTGGTCATGCTTCAAGACCAAATACAACCAATACTAGAACGGCCACTCGATTTCCTCGCAGCTGCACACACTTCACGTCCCTATAAACGTTGGATGAGAGAGCTAGACAAGCCTGTTCGCGAGTGCTTCTGGATCTTTCTGCACGACAACAGTATACCCATTGTTCCAATGGAGGAATTCTGCATGATGGAGATGCGCAAGCCGATTGTTCCTCAGGGCTATGTCGGTGGCGTCGAGTGGATCGTTATTGAATACATCTGCTCCCATCTGCAGCTCATCAACACAATGCTACGCGCACTAGCATCAGAGAAGCGGTATCAAGTTAGGGTTGACTTGAAACAGTCTCATTTTGAAAAGATATTGAATCGGTTGCGACGGGCAAGCCAAACATACTATGAGTATCTGCACGAAGAGCTAATGACGTGGGCCAGCTTAGCACACGCCGACGGCTGGTCTACTGATGGCGCTGTTGGCGCCGATGTCTCGCAACGCCACCAGACGGAAGCCTTGCAGCCTGAGAATGACAACAGGGTTGCGAATTGCACAGACTCGCCCTCGCTGCCAGAGCTCAATTGGTCGTGATTTATCCGCCCAGAGTCAATCTCCCTTCCTTTGCATCCTTTGCAGATGTGCTGGACACGGTCTCTCAAGAACTTTCGGCGCGCCACTTTTGCGCGGTCTCAATTGTATCCTGCAGCTTCTCTTTGAAATCTTCGTCTTCTTGCGCCTCCCGCGAAGCCGTCAGGGCCTGCAGCTTGGGCATAAATCCCATCTTTATTTCGGTGTCAACGCCAAGGCTCTCTCCTGTAAAGTAGAGGGATTGCAGGAAGAACACCAACCGCTTCTGCAGCGCCAAGTCTTGTATTCCCTCCAGCTGAGCTGAGAAGACCTGCCAACCACCGATTGAAGCGAACCTTTGCAACGCGACATCACTATTCCGCAGCGTGCTTGTTATGGCAAAAAGCGCTTTACGCCGCACAGAGACGTCTGTTTCGTTGGAGAAGAGGTCGACAACTCTTTCGAGGCCATTGGCCTTGACAAATGCCTCTTGCGTCGCTGGGTTGTTCTGACAGGCCGCTGCAATCACAGCACAACCATTCTTGCGGTAAAAAGCATCCGACTTGTCGAGCTGCTTCAAAATCGGCGGCCACAGGCCAAGACTTTGCAAGTTCTTGGCGTTGTCGATTTGTTCCACCAGACCTTCAAGATTCTCAAAAGCAATTTCATGGTTGTCGCGCGACATGGAATTGTCTTCGATGGCCTGCATAGCCTGCATCATCAAGGTAGCATCATCCGGGCCCATGATGTGATTGAGCATCGCAGCGTCCAGCTTTGGCCGAGATGTTGCGGCATCTGACGACGCTGCAGCTTCGTCGGTATGCAAGCTGGTCGAAAGCTTCAATAGCTTCTGAAGGCCCTTTTGGTCCATAGGATTTAGTTTGTTGATCTTGAGAGACCATCACGATTGTGTAGGACGTGATGCGCAGATGGGCTTCTTTCGCGTTCTTTTCCCACGGCCTAATTCTTATGTAAGCCAGCTGGGGCCACGACCCATAGGGCCATAGCCAGTAGATGGAAGTGCTCAGTGCAGTCCTCAGGACCATGACTTGCTATTGACGCTCAGTGACGTTTGTGTGTAAAGCAGCTATCCTGACCTCAGCTCCATCAGCTCTCAAATGGCAACCACTCTGAGAAGGCACTTTTGCCACCATTGTACATGTAGCCTTGGCAAGGCACGCTGGCAATCCAATAGAGCTGGCCAGATCGTCGTAGAGGACATTAAGGATGCGATGGTGCGGAGATTGGAAAAGTTAGAAGAAGATGCTACCAGGCTTTCTAAGAAGGACCTTGCCGATACTGGCACACAGACGAGTTTTGATGCCAATCGCCTGACTTTTGCTGGCTCTTCCTATACACCCATCTCTCAACCATACGCAGACCAGGCTTTTGCCAAGAGAGATCGCAAGACTGCCGATCGTCTGCGAGTTGCAAAAGCTAGAGAACATACGTCAAGTTACAAGGCGAAGAAGGCACACGAAAAGTCAAAGGAATATCTGTCACTCGAAGAGAAATACCGTCCAGCTCCTTCATCTCTGGAAGGACTGCAGTCGCTTGCTGAAGAACGCATAGATGAGGCACGACGGAATGGAGCATTCAAAAATCTCGATGGAAAAGGTAAACGCCTCGACTTGGCAGAGGCAAAAAGCACAATCGATCGAACAGAGTACTTCCTCAACAAGATTATCAAAAAGCAAGGCGCCCTGCCACCTTTTGTCGATGCGCAAGTCAATGTCGACCGCTCAATCGCTGCCTTCCGCTATTCACTTCAGTCTCTTTGGATCGAAACGTGTTGTAAGCTGATTGCTCTATCCGGCGGCACACTGGAAGCACAGAGAAGAAGAGCTGAAGAGTACGCAGAAGCAGAACGTACCGGGCGAGATCGACTGAGAGATGCAAATTTCGTCAAACGCGAAACGCCCTTCATGATTGCTCAGGTCAATGCACTCAACGCGCAAATTCGGGGCTACAATGTCATTGCGCCATTCAATTCTCGTCGTGGCTATCTTTCCTTGCAGGCCGAGCTGGATCAATGCTATCGCAACGCAGCGCCAATCATACCAAGATCGCTGGTTGAAAGGGCCAACGCGCCAAAGTTCAAGGACTCGGCAGCCTACAAGGCCAAGTACACACATACACCATTGCTTGATCATCTTTTCGGCAAGCAGAAGTCCCAATTCTACGAGCGCAACGATGGCGTTTACGGTTTTTACGATTGGATACGCGACAATTTTGGCAAAGGAAGAGTACACAACTGATAGAACATCAAATAGCTTTCCATTACATCCTACGCAGCCTTCTTTGCTGGAGAACCATTACTACCAGCGTCTTCTCGCGCTCGTTTGACTCCTTGATGATGGCCGCGACCGCGACCTGGCTTGAGGGATCGACGCTTCTTCCTACCCGACCCTTCTTGCCCCAGCTCCGCCGTTCCGTCCGCTGCACTTTCCCCATCCAAGGCTGTCTCGTCTCCATTGTCGGCCTCGTCCTCGTCAGACTCCATCTCGGCCAATTGCTTCTCCAATTCGGCCACTTTGGCATTCAATGTAGAGATCTGCCGGTCCTTGGCGCCAATCTGTAACTTGACACGCATTTCGCCTTCCTTCTTGATACTTTCGTCTAGCTTGCTCAGTTTGTCTTTGAATTCAGCTTCTTTGGCGACCAAGGTGCTCTTCGCTTCAGCTTCCTTCTTTGCAATTGCCTCCTGCTTCTCGGCTTCCGCATTCTGCTGCCACAGTAGCCTCTGCTCTTCCACCTTTTTGGGTAGCCGCGCTTGGACAATCTCGTCAACGCGCTTTTTGGTGATCTTGGTCAAAGCTTCCTTCTTTTCGATCACAAAGGCCTCCCTGAGCTCTGCCTCTTTCGCGGCTACGGCAACTTGTATTTTGGTTGCAAGTTCATCATCGTTGATGGCGCCATTGCTGGAGGCAGCCATTGCTTGTGCATCTAGAGCCTCTTTGACCTTTGCTTGTATAATTTCTTCTGTAGGAATAGCTGTACCTTTCTTCGCTCGTTCCTCGGTTAGTGCCTCGTCAATGCGTTTTTGTATGTCCTCTTCGGAGACATTCGGTGGCGAAGCCGCTTGCCCAGCAAGCAAAACGGACAAGCGCTGCTGGACCTGCTCTTCAATTTGTTCAGCCGATGCAACCGATTGCGGCCCAACTTCAGTTGGCAGCTGAATTTTTGATTGAAGTGATGATTTGAGCTCTTCAATCTCTTTCCGATGAGACGCCTGAAAGTTAGCAGAAGTCCGATGAATTTGACGGCGCACCGCTTCTTCTTGAAATTTAGCTTTGCAGGTCTGCAGCTCGTCGACAAGCGCTTTATAATCCGATGAGGCCTTGATGTCACTGTTCTCTGCTTGCGATTTGGCGAGAGCCTGTAGCTGGGGCTGTACTTCAGCAAGTTTTGCTTCACTTTCGTCTAGCTTGATTTGCAGATCAATTAAGCGTTGAGCCTGCGAGGCATCGGTCTTGGCAGCACTAGATTCTGAGGCCCTAGAAGTTTCAAGCTGTGCCTTGAGGTCCGTCACCTCAGCTGTCAGCGCAGCAAGCTGTGTTCGCAGATCATCAGACTGAGCAATGAGAGCTTTCGCGGCCTTGCGCTCGGTTGAGATGCGAAGACGAGCTTGCTCGTTGAGCCTGAGGAACTTCTCTTGCTGCGCCTCTACTTCTGTCTTGCCAGATTCAACCTTGGCGGACATGTCTTGGATTTTCTCCATCCATTCTGTCTCCTTGGCAGCAGCCTCGGTGGCCAAGGTCTGAATGGCCTGTTCTGCGGAGGCAGCTTGGCTCTGAAGCTTTCGTAGTTCATCGGGATCGATCCTCTCATACTTCTCGAGAATTGATTGTGTTCTTTGCTTCCAGCGATCGTTGTCGGCCTCGAGAAGCTTAACTTGAGCATCTTTGGCGCTAAATTCGGCTTCTGCAATCGCCAAACGCTCTTGCAATGGCTCGATTTGTGCCAAGGTACTGGTAAGCTTGTTTTCGCACGCCACCAGCTTGGATCTCAACGACTCTGTCTCTGCGCGAAGCGTGGTGTTGCTCTCACGCAGGATATTTGATTCAGTTGCCGAGTGGCCTAGCTGAGCTGGCGCGCCAAGGCTGCGTTCTCTCTCAATCGCAAGCTGCTTCTCCAAATCATCCTTCGACTTTGCCAATCTTGACAATTGCTGCAACGAGCGCTTGTTCTCAATTTGCAAGAGCTCGAGTTTATTTTCTGCAACCTCTTTCTCACGGCGCAGGTACTTGATAAGGACTGGGGTGTTCGAATCAAGGTGCTCCTCGGTGCCAGTGGCTCGAGAGCCATCTCGTGTGCTTTGAATAATGCTGCTCGATTGGTATTGCTCGTGTAGAAGTTCGTTTTGCGCTTGCAATTCCTGAAGACGATTTTTGAGATCCACAATCTCACGTTGATATAGATCTCGCTGCGAACCCCAAGCACGCCTCTCTGCTTCAAGATTTTGGTCTGCGGAATCCACCGTCTGGCGAAGCGACGCAATCTCATCATGGAGGGAACGATGCGAGTCGCGCACAGCTCGTAAAGCTTGAGCTGCCTCGGCATGCTTGACCAACTCATTCTCATAATTTTGTTGCGCATCTTGTGCAATCTCAGCCTGTACGCGAAGATCGTCGCGGTAACATGCGCTGGCAATGTTGTACTTCTCTTCAATCTCACTGAGCGAAGCCAGACGCACACGGACGTGCGAGAGTTCTGCCTCAAGAGAACCTCGCTTAGCAGCTTCTATAGAGCTCAATTCACCGAGCTCTTCCTTGGTCGCGGCGAGCTGCTTTGTAAGGTCTAAAATTTTTTGTTGCGCTGCTTGCACTTGTACTTCTTGATTAGATTGCGCTCCTTCCACGTGGGTCTTGTACTCCTCAAAAGATTTGCTGAGAGCTTGCAGTGAATGCTCCGCAGCAGCAGCGATGCCTTTGAAGTGTTCGGCCGCCTCGTTGGACTGTCGAGTGGTGCTCTGAGCCACTGCAAGAGCTGCTTTCAATTCTGAGATTTGCTGAAGCAAGTCGTGCGCCTCAGCATCGCCTGAGGCTGTAGATGTAAGATGTGCTCTGCTGTGCTGCTCCGCTTCCAGCCTGGCTTCTAATTCGCTCACGCGCACATACAATGCCTGCTTTTCTGCGGCAGTATTCGCCATAGCTTCACGCATGTCAGCAAGCTGTGATTGCAATTGGCTCGACTTTTCTTGTACGTCTTGACTCGAGTAGTCACGCACAGAGGCGAGGCGCTTGACCGTCTCCCTTTCTTCCTTGAGCTCCACCTGCACGCGTTCCAGTTGCGTTTGCAGAAACTCTTGTTGAGAGGAGACGCGAGCACGGCCGTCGGTTTCCATACGTTCTCGCTCAGATTGGAGGGCCTGCAAAGTTGCCACGACCCCGATAAGTCGAACATTCTCAGACTTGCGCTCGTCGAGCTCCGACGATAGACGTTGCTCTATGCTCTTCCACAAGCTCTTTTCAGCACGGTAATTGAGGTTCTCCGACTGCAAGCTTTCTGACATAGATTTGAGATCCTGCATCTCCTCGCGAAGCTCTTGAGCGACCAGCTCCTGCTTGGCAAGAACATCTTGCAGCGCAACAGCCCTGTCCCGACTGTCATGAGCATCCTTTCGCAGCATGTCCACGGTACCTTGGACGAGGTCATGTCGCTCACGCGCAAAGTCAAGCTGGGCGTTTGCGCGGGCCACCTGAATTTGCAATTCGCTACGTTCCACGTCTGCACTCTTGAGCTGTTCAGTGAGAGTTTCGTGCGTCGCCAGAGCTTCCCGTCGATAGATGTCAAACTCCCGCCGGAGGTTCGCGGAATTGTCTGGTCCTTCAGTGAGCTGCAAAGCAGTTGGCGGACGAGCATCGCCGCCAGCCCTAACCATGCGCTGCAACATTTCCTTCTCCTGCGCGCAAGCTTCAAGACTTGATTGACTGGAACGAAGCTTCTCTGTAAGCTGTACGATAACAAGTTGTGCTTCAGCAACCGAGGCCGTCTCGATGTTTTCGAACTGCGATCTGGTGTATTCCTCTTGCTCTTCCATCTTAGTGCCGAGCTGTCGAATAACTTTGAGAAGCTGTTGGTTTTGCTGCTGAAGATCGACAATATTGTTGAAAAGAACGAGACGCTCAGAGATGAGGGAGTGCACCGCCGATGAGTCTCGTTCTTGTGTATTGAGAAGATTGTTGATTGCAGTAAGTTCTTCTTGGGTCAGAGCTGAAGCGCGAAATCCTTTCTCCTCGATCTCAAATAGAAGTTTCTGAACCTGGCGTGAAAGGTCGAGAACAAGTAGCTCAAGGGTCGTTGTTTCACTCTTGCTATCGCGCACCATAGTTTCCAGTACTTTGTTGTGACGACTCAGATTTTCCTTCTCTGTGCTTAATTCGCGCAAGGATTCCGACATGCTAGACAATTCGTTTTGCAATTGAGTGTACTCATCCCTTTGAGCTTGGATCTGGGGCGCACGCGACTCGAGTTCTGCGATCAGAGCATCGAAGTTGGCTTGCAGCTGTTTGTTCTTTCGCCGCTCGTGCTCTACGTTTTGCTTCGCAGCCAGAAACTGCGTGTAGAGATCGGTCAAATTGAGACCGGCTTTAGAAACCTCATTGAGAACATCAGCGGACGGCGAAAGAAGGCCTAGACCAGTCTTGGAAGACGGCATGTGGCGAAGACGTTCATTTGCAAGATCCAATTCGGTGTGCAGCCTCTGCAAATCTTCAAGCATACTAGCGTTGTGTTTTTGAAGGTCTTCAAGCTCAATGCTTGTGTGTTTTAGGCGGTCTTGTAAACCAGCTACTTCCGAGGAGCGGTCAGACAAATGGTGGACAACTGTGCTCTCCACTTCCTGAGCACGCGCTTCCGCGTCATGCGCACTGCGTTCCCAAAGTTCAGCAAGTCTTGCTTGTGCCGCTACTTCTGCACGGAACTCCTCTTCTCGCGTGGCGCGGTCCTCTTGAAGCTCTCTAATCTTGGTCAAGCTCTCCTCTACTTTGACTTCGAGCGAATTGTAGCGCTCAGACATGGTCGTACTCATGCGCTCAGCATTTGCTGCCCGGCTTGTTGCTGCATCGGCCGCCGACTGCAAAGAGGTGATGAGGGCGCCCTTTTCACGTCGATACAGAGAAAACTCTCTCGTTCGGGCCTCCACTTCCTCGACGAGTGACTCGGCTCGCTTATTAGCAAGCGAAAGCTCCTGCTCAACCGACAGGCACTTGAACTAGATCTTGTTAGTGATGACAAGTGACGGAAAGCCTTACGGTCGCCGCACTCTCTGTGAGCTTGGCTGCGCCTAGATCCCCTTCCAGCTTCGAGAAAGAAGTCCGTAATTCCGTGTAGCGGATATTTAGCTGAGCGTAGCTTGCTTCCGCGTTGCTGAGAGACTTGCTCTGCCTGTCCACAAGCAGCAAAGCTTGACGTTTCTCGTCGTTAAGACGCTCCACATCAGCCTCGCGAGCCTCGATGATCGAGTCGCGCAATTTTGCCTTCTCTTCAAGGGCCGCTACTTTGTCCTGCGATTCGCGAAGGGCTGTCTGAGCGGCGCGTGCTTGTCTTGCTGCATCCTCGGCCTGCGCGTTTGACCGTCTGACTTCGTCGATTGTGCCTCGATCACACTGCTCTACGTCTCTTTGCAAACGCTCCACTTCGACCTCGAGCAGCACCTTAGATGCCTTGATCTGCTCAAATTCGTGCAAACGGGCTGACAATGCTGCAACCAGCTTGGAGAAATCTTGCGCTACTAGCACACTTTCCGGTAGATCCAGCCAGCTCGCAAGCCGGGACTGGTCTTGAACTACCTCGGCCATGGCCGCGTCTCGCCTGAGTCGTGTATCTATCGGCGTTACTGGTTGGTGGTGGTTGCAGTTGGACTTTTGGGTGGATGCGCGCGACTCAAATTTCGCTGACCTGCAGAGACACTCTTCAAGGTGGTTCTACTATACTTACTCGTATGAACATAATGATTGGTATTTCTGTTGACACTGCTCATCATCGATGACTATCGCTGAGGCAGATGACTACACGAGCTCGGCATCACTAAGAATTTGCTTGACAAATTCTTGGCGGACAGATTCCGAGGCTACTTTGACCCCGCAGATGTAGTTGGCGATGAAAGCAGTCGTGAGGTTCCTACCCTGGCTGACGTCAAAGATGCCATATTCATGACCCTGTGGGTTAGCATCTGAGCACGAAGTTCTGTACTGTACATCGAGAGTCATTTGAATTTGACCACGGAGACCCTTTGAGGCAAAGAGCGTCATGACTGTGCCTTTCTTTAGCGCCTTTTGCGGATTTGGAAAGAAGTCCTTGAACTCCTTGAGGGCAGACTGATCTGGCGTTGACTCGCGAGCGAGTATGCCCCGAACAAAACCGTCGCGAACTAGCGTTAGAGAAGACGATAACAGAGTCGACCTTACTGTGAGCAATATCGGTATTACGCACTGGCACTATACGAATGGCAAAAGAGAGTTCTGGTATCAGTTTCTCGAGAAACAACCTGCCAGCTGTTGGATCTGTCAATGTCTTTAAGGCCGCTTTTTGTGATTCAAAGTGAGCGTTCCGGAGAACATCGCGCATCTTGGAGGCATCTTCAGTATCGATGTAGATGCCTATATCATAAACTGCGATCCCTAGAAAGGTGACGCGGCGTGTTCCGGTCGACACTAAGAGATACTCGCTATCGCCGCGTCGAAGACTGCTCGGAAAGTCATTCAGCTTGGGAGGATTGAACTCACAAGCTAATTTTCGCTGAGTGAGTGGAACTGGTAGGCCTAGTGCGATACTAGATATGGCGAGACCGGCGACTGGGGCAGAAAAGCGCCACATCGAAGCAGACGATTCTGAGAGATTCAATTTCAAGTCTAATGTCCTGACAGCATGTGCATTTCCTCAGATCAGCTTGGAATTCACACAGGTAGCCGTAGTTTTTTCGGATAGGGGCGAGCAGATCTAGAGACGCAGCCTGCTTGTCGTGCTGGGGTGTAGCTGACGTCGCGTAGAACTAGTTCTAGCCGTGCGACAAGCGACAATAAGTGGGAGTGCTACACGTACAATGAATCTGCAAGCCCATGCACACAGCTTGGACCTTGAAGTAGCCCAAGTCGAACGCATCAGTGCATGCGAAAAGCCTTCAGCTTGAGCCAAATTGTCCGCCACACGATGTCCACCAGAGGATTGGCCATTCGCCAAGGTCTTCAGACACCAGCCCCACTCAAGTTCTACGACTCGCTGCAGAAGTCAGTGCGTCCATTCGAGCCGCTATCCAGCGATCAAGTTACTTGGTATTCTTGTGGACCAACTGTTTATGATGCCTCTCACATGGGCCACGCCCGCAACTATGTCACCACCGATATCTTGCGTAGGCTGCTGCAGGACTATTTTGGCTATCGAGTCGTCTATGTCCAGAATGTGACCGATGTGGATGACAAGATCATCGTCAGGGCCAGACAGAATCTTGTGTTTGCTCAATATGTCGCGGATTGCATGGACCGAACAGGAAGTTACTCCTCTGCCGTAAAGCAAATCAAACAGTGGTGGAAGAACTTCGCAGCAGATCACCTCGTCTATCATGGGGAGCCTGCAGATTGGAGTCACAGCAGGCCTAAGCTGCGCGATACAGAGGGCTTCCCGAAAGACCAGATGTATATTGACGCCCTGACTGCTTCAGCCCAGGCTTTGTCAAACGGAAACGATTTCAGCCCTGGTTTCTTTGACTCTGTCCGCGACGTTGTTCTTTATGGTATTGGAGCGTCTCAGGTCATCCCCTCTGATGAAATGATCAAGGCTACAAAGGAGTTGACAACTTATTGGGAAGAACGCTTCAACGACGACATGAAGAGGTTGAATGTCGTAGCACCGACAAAGGTTACACGCGTCACGGAATACATGTTGCCAATCGTGGAATTCGTGCAAAAGATTATTGATCATCAATTTGCATACGTGTCTTCTGGATCAGTCTATTTCAATGTCACCGCATTCATCGACGCCGGTCACGCCTACGCGAAGCTCAAACCGACCTCAATGGCACAGGCAGATGATCTTTTACAAGAGGCAGAAGGAGTTCTTTCCACGCAAATAGGAGAAGCGCGGAAGAGCAAGCGAGACTTTGCAATATGGAAAGCGTCCAAACCAGGTGAGCCTGCGTGGGACTCTCCATGGGGCCCTGGCCGACCAGGATGGCACATTGAGTGTTCAGCAATGGCATCTGCTGAATTTGGTTCTGTTATTGACATTCATTCTGGCGGCGAAGACTTGACATTTCCGCATCACGACAATGAATTGGCGCAGTCGGAAGCCTATCACAATAATCACGAATGGGTCAGGTACTTCGTACACACGGGTCATCTGCATATCCGTGGACTGAAGATGTCAAAAAGCCTCAAAAACTTTATCACAATTGAGGATGCTTTTTCCAAGGAGAAAATGTCTGCACGTCTGATGCGTCTGATATTCTTGAGTGGTAAATGGCGCGGCCGCGTCGATTACAACGAAGATTTGATCAAGGGCGTCAAGGCTATGGAACAAAAGTACTCGGAGTTCTTCACCCAGATTCGTAATCTGGAACGAGCAGAGACTGCGAGTGCTGATAATGAGAGCAATGAGTTGGAGGCAAAACTTGTTGATACCATAGCAGCCGTCGATGGAGTCCTTGCCGACGACTTTGACACGCCGAACATGTTATCCTTGCTTCGGGAACTGCTCAACGTTGCAAACAAGACAATGCTCAATGACATTCCACCTGTCAAATCATTACTACGGGTAGCTCGTTATTTCTCTACAATGTTTGAAGTGGTCGGCATCGAAATCGCTCAGGATGGTCTGGGCTGGGCCGAGGCAGATGTGGATGTCGAACTTTATCGCCAAGTTCAGGCCCTTGCTCAGTGTCGGCAGCGATTACGAGAGACGTTTGCAACAAGCAGTCAATCACCTGGTGATCTGGATACTCTGGTCCAGGAACTGCGCGGCATCAGTGTTCAGGAACCAAGCTTAGCGACCTTCCGTCAGGAGTTGGCTGAGAGGTTGCAATCAAGACCCGTCAAGCAGGACATTTTGCAAGAGCTCGATCGCTTTCGCGACTATACCTTAGTCGATCTTGGTATCGCGCTTGATGACAGGAAGAATGGCTTTGTACTCAAGCCGGGTGAGCGTGATGAAATGGTAGCACGACGGGAAGAGAAGTTGGAGGATGTACGCCAAAAGGCTGCACGCAAGGAAGCTGCTCTAGCCAAAGAGGCTGAGCAGATGAAGAAAGGTGCTTTGCCTGCCAAGGACATGTTTCGGCACATTGACACCTTCACTCAATTTGACGCGACTGGTCTGCCAACACATGTGAAAGACGATGCAGGTCAAGAGCTTCCTATCAGCAAGAGTCAGCTGAAAAAGCTGCAGAAGGAGTATCAAGCTCAATCCAAGCTCAATCACAGATATGAAGATTGGATTGGACGGAATCAGGCTATCTAAGACTATGTAACACTATAGATGAGCCGGTGCTCGAGGCACTTCGTGATGCTAGAAGTGCTCTACCTTGAAGATCCACGTTCCAGAATCTGCGAGATAATCCACAAACTCCGTCTCACTCATTCTTTTCAAGCGGTCCACATGCTGCTGAAATCGAGGGTGCATCTTGTCCCGGATTGGCTGTCGCTTGTCCCTAGACAACGGATAGCATTGCTCGAGTGTAATGGTGGCTGGCACATTGAGACCCTTGCCTACAGCAGGCTTCATTTCTTCGACGGGGTAGACTGAGCACATCTTGGGCTCAAAAATGACAATTTTGCCAGCAACATCCTCGACTTGTTCCAGACTTGACAAATCAACTGGCTGATTGAAGCTCACTTGCCCATATCCACGGCGTCCGACAGTGAAGTCTTTGACCTTGCTCAATTCACCTTTTGACATGTCCATGAGTGCAGTGATGGAAGGCGAGGTCCAATAAGAATCAGTGTCCTTCTTTTGAGGGACGACAGTGACAGCAGCAGCTGAGGGCTTTCGGGCAGCCACTGGAGCTTGCTGAGCGGCCTCATAAGATTTTTCAGAGGCAAGCCGAGGCGCCGCTTCCATAGCCGGTTGGACAGCTACTTCTCGGTACGTTGTCGCTGCTGGTAAACGGGGTTGCTCTACACGCACTGTCTGCTGCTCACCACTTGTCGGCGGCCCTTCCTTGGCACCTTTGAGATCAAGTCCGCCAGAAAGAAGCTCCTGCTCGTCACCCTTGCGGTCGATGACAAGCCTCTTGATGTTGGACCTTGGAGAGAATGCATCGGGGTTCATCAGTAGATCTTCGTCAAAAAGTGTAAGGCCAGGCTTCTTCGGCGTACTCGCGGATGAACCACTCAAAGCCGGTTTCATATTGTGTAAAAGCTTTGGACTAGAGGCATTGGAACGAGGTGTCAAGTTGAAGCGTGGCAGCGTTGCAGACTTCTTCTTGAGCGTGTTTGTGACGAGAGGCGTGGCAAGAGGGCCGGGCGATGTAGTGGCACTGGCTGGCTGGACGCTGGCGAATAGCGGATTGTTGCCATAAGCACTGTTGCCAATGGAAGGTTGTTGGGATTGTTGACCTTGAGCATTACTTTGTCCGCCAAAGAAACTGCCACCGCCGAGCGTACTAGAGGTGCCCGCATTGCCAGTTCCTCCAAACAAGTTGGTTGTGTTGCTTCCCGTCTGAGATCCGCCAAACATGCCGCCCAGCTTGCCGAATACATTGTTGCCTGCCTGCTGCTGGGGTTGCTGTGTGTTGTTGCCGCCGCCGCCGCCGCCGCCGAACAGGCCGCCACCAGAACTGCCTGTGTTGCCGAACATGTTTTGAGAAGAAGTTTGAGCGGCGTTACCAAAGAGACTCGGGGCAGATGTTGAAGTGCTTGGTGTTGCGGAACCTCCAAAAGAGAATGTAGGTTTTGCTGCAGGCTGTGGATTGGACATGCCAAATGCACCAGGGGAGCCACTCGCTGCTGTCGAACTGCCAAACAGGGACTTTGGAGCACTGCTGGCTTGGTTGTTACTAGCATTGCCAAAGCTAAATTGTGCAGGCGCTTGCGATGGAGTGGCATTGTTGCCACCGAAGGAGAACGACGGGGCACTGGCAGCATTCGTATTGGTAGCTGACGAGCCAAACAATCCACCGGACGCAGTGTTTTGTTGAGCGGGCTGACCGAAAATGCTTGACGGCTGTGCATTGGCTGCGTTGTTGGAGCCAAAGGCGCCAGTGGACGAGGTTGTATTGGCGCCAAATGCACTCGTACTTCCACCGAAGGTAAACGGCTTCTGACCACCAGTGCTAGCCTGTGCTTGGGTGTTCAGACCGAAGGGGGAATTATTGGGTTGCGTAGCACCAAATGTGGACGCAGGCTGCGATGGCTGTTGGCCAAAGATAGAGCTGCTAGGCTGCTGCGTCGGAGTGCTCCCGAACCCTGTTGTCGTGGCGTTGTTTGAGGAACCAAAGATGCCAGCTCCAGAATTATTACCGAAGAGACCGGCAGACGGTGCAGAGTTGCTTGGTTGGCTCCCAAAGACGCTCGTTGTAGATGGTTGTCCAAATGGTGTACTTTGAGCAGGCTGAGCGGCGCCAAAGATGTTGGACTGGTTGCTCTGGCCAAAGGCATTTGGAGACTGACCGAAACCTGTCGAAGTGTTTTGCCCAAATAAGCCTGTCGACTGCTGACTAGGCTGACCAAAGCTACTTCCGAAGCCACCGGTCGCTGGCCCAGAGCCATAGCGGCGACCTTGAGCATAATCTTGCACGCGAAGTTCCTCGAATGAAGCATTCGTGTAGGCTGGCATGCAAGTGATGGATTGAAAATGGTTCATGCCGGTGCCGGTCCCTTCCTTCTCCGAGGTTACAGCGAACGGAGGATTAGCTGTGCCGTTTGGTACATTGCCTTGATTTGTATTCATGCTTTGTCCGAAAACGCTGCTGCCTCCAAATCCCCCCGTATTGGCTGGCTGAGATGAACTACCGAACAGACCGCCAGACTGCTGCTGGCCTCCAAAGGCAGAGGACGCGGTGTTTGCCTGCTGCGAACCGAGTAAGCCACCAGAATTCGAGCCGAACGCTGGAGCAGGCTGCGTACTGCCGAAACCAAAAGAGGGAGTCGTCGCCGGTGGCGCGTTGGATTGAGCTGTACTACCAAAGCCACCGAACGGCGTCGAGGCAGATTGGGCACCGAATGGAGTGGAGGTAGAGCCAAAGCCGCCAAAAGAAGTGCTTTGTTGCTGCTGTTGCGGCTGCTGCTGCTGCGGCTGGCCGAAGATACTCGATGGCTGCTGCTGCTGCTGCGGCTGACTAGCGCCAAAAGCATTGTTTGAGGGCGCGCCAAATGGATTCGCCTGCTGGGTGGTTGAGGATTGCCCAAAGTTGAACATGGCTGGCTGTACTTCTAGAGGCCCTGTGGTGCGCCGCTCCTGAGGCCTTGGGTCTAGCTTTCGTTGGAGGTGTAGCTGTCTGTAGGGTCGCTGTCTGGGTTTCAGCGCCGAGTTTTGCTTTCTCCTCAAGCGCGCGACCATTTCGTGACACGATACTCTGTCACCTAGGAAGAAGCTCTTAAGAACCGGAGTCAGGCCCAGGTTCGAAGAGCAAAGACCCATCATGGCCAGATACGGGCCTGCCGAAGACGAGGACGAGTCAATGCAGAGTGATACTGAAGCTCCAGGCGCACAGAGAAACACCAGGCATGTACAAGGGGCTGGCGCTACAGATGCTGTTGATGTGAATACGACACAGCAGAGCCCTTCACAGGAGATGCTCGATGCAAACCACGATGTGGACGATACATTTGCGCAGCAGCGGTCGCGGAAGAAGGCTTCGAGACAGCTCGGCGAGTCAGATCCACGCAATAGAACGCATCAAAGACCACCAACTGAGCGCATACCAATTCACAGCCTCGCTTCGTATGATATCGAGCAAGGCCAGATTTCCAGCAGCGACGGGATGGACGACACATTGATCACAATTCCGGACGAATCGCAATCAGAGAGAATGTCTGTGGTAAGTGAGGGCGATTACGATGAAGCCCTACACGACTCAGAGCCTTATGCAGATGGGGTCGAAGAACATGATGCTCTCAGCTGGCCCGAGCAGCTCTATAACCCCCTGCCGCGGCAACGCATTCTCGCAACACGGTCTGCCGTGCATCATGGACCAGATGAAGTCAAGCATATTCGCTACACACCAGCTGATTTGCACCAAGATTTGTTTGGTAAGCTTCCGGGTACAGGCAGTGACCGCGCACAGATGGGCCGTCGAGGTTGTGCGTTTCGCTGGGGCCATGACAACGCATTCTCGTGTTCTGCAGTGGACGACGACACTGTGCGAATTGCAACAATCTGTGGAGCAGGTGAGCGTGAAAATTATCAATCAAAACTGGACATATTCATGGCACATGCGCAGGTTTCTGCTATGCAGGCACATGCCGCACCTAGTGCCACCCTACGCTCAATTATCAAAGCTCAAGCTCTTGCGGATGTATCTACACCGAGCACAGCTACTACATGGCTGTTGGCCAGCTCTCTATTTGATGACCTCAACCTACCAGATTCCGCTTTTACAATGCAGGCAAGGGCGTCTTTGACACGCCGCATCCGGAAAGAAGCCTTTGGCCAATGGCTGAAGACGTCGTCGGCAGATGAAACTCGCAAAGATCAAACATCCGCTTCGACTGTTGCAGAACGTATCCTGGTGTTGTTGTTGGGTAACCAAATTCCACAAGCATGCACATTGGCTGCGTCTACGGGGAACCTGCATCTGGCAGCGCTTTTGACGGTCGGCAGTGGCGATGCGTCCATGCGAGCGGACATTCAGAAACAAATTGCGTCCTGGCAAGCCGACAAAACTCTCTCCAGCATTGACCCAGCTTTGCAATCTATCTATCAGCTGCTCGGCGGTAATGTCACTAACCTGCTCAAGTCTCTCGTTGCGAATGGCGAAACTGGCAATTTAAGAAGAATCATCCAAGGTCTTGATTGGCGTCGCGCTCTGGGTCTTTGTTTGTGGCACGGCGTATCAAACGAGGCTGATTTGGACTCTGTGCTGGATCTCTACGAGACTGCTTGGCGCAAGCAACCTGCCGAGAGTGCTCTCACGGGGCCGATAAATGTGAATGGACACCTAGATTGCCGATATCAGCTGCTTCGCATCTTCGGAGGTCATGAAGTTCAACTGCAATCTTTCGCTGATCCAGGAGCTTGGGAACAAGCATCCTTCGATGTTGTCGAAGGATGGCTCATGGTTCAATATCTTGTGTCTAAGAATGCGGTGAATTGGAACGATGCTGAAATGGATGCTCTGACTGCCGCATCGTCTGCGCAACTAGAATCATCAGGACAAGTAGAGAACGCCTTGTTTGTTGCTCTCTTTACAAACTCGCCGACAGCGTAAACTTTCTTTCATCTTCACAAGCGCTAACATTAGTCGACGCGTCCAGGTAATGCGACTCCTGACGAGACTGGCATCAAAGCTCGAGGCTTCTGCCGAGGCACGACTGCAAACTGTGATGCAGATTCCCCGGGAGTGGTTCTTTGAAGCAAAGGCGCTCCGGGCACGCCACGAACAGAGATTCTGTGACGAAGCCCATTTTTTACTTATCGCAGGGCTTTCGATTGATGCCCATGAAACGCTGGTCCGTCACGTCGGACCTGATTGCATCATTTCCGGAGATCTCGAGCCACTCGCAAAAGTTCTCAGAGCCTTTACATCTGTCGATAACATACCAAATTGGTCGTTCGGTGGACGTGTCTATCAAAACGCGATCGCCCTGGTAGAGGGCCAAAATACCGCTGGAAGTCATGCTTTTGCAAAAGAAATTGTGAAGACTTTGCCATCCATGTCGACTTCGAGTTTCAAGCAAAAGGTGGCGATCAACGAAATTGGTTCAATGTGCTTACAGGTGCTGCCATCGGCAGAGAACTTGCGACCCAAGTTCAAGCTTGCCAGTCATGACGCTTTCTCCGTCAAGGCTCACAGCGCGTTGCAGGCTTTTCGATCGCTTGCAGCATGACCTATAATCAAGTGCACAAAAAAGATGTTTTGCAAGTAGAATTGAAGAAGCAACATGCTCTTGCCTAAGATGCGCATTGAGCAGGCCTTATTTACAGCCGTGTCGCGCATTTACAAGATCGAGTGCCTCGAGCCAGACCGCTTGACGAAATCGCGTACGCGTCCTTTGCAATGTGGGCCAGGCAATATGTATTGACGGCCTACGATTCTCATGAAAGATCATCCATCATGAAAGACAGAAACTTGTCTTTACTCAGCTTTCGCTTCTGTCCTTGCTGCTGTCGATGAGCGTCAGCCATCAAAGTCCTTGGATTGTAGTTCTGGGCGATGTGCCTAACTCTGCAAATCCAAACAAAGAATCAGAATGCAACCGTTGAAGCTAGCCAGCAGAAGACTGTGCTTTTCTAGAGCGCTGGGTTTAGAAAAGGCAGCAAGATATAGCATGTACGATAGCTCTTTACCTTATTTGTTAAAAGAAGACCCCAAAACGAAGTAGCCGAGTCAGAGTCGCAGGACGAGTCTCTGGTCAATGCGCTCGACCATTTATCAAATTCATCAGTTCTAGTGGCGCACAATTTACACACATCATCTCAGCAATTTTTGCCACAATCGTCAACACTACCTAACAATCATGGGTAGCAAGGACTGTACAATCTGTCATACGCCACGATCTGTTCTGATCCGGTGTCAGATTGACGAATCACGAAGTTGGAATTTCGTATGTCCAGGTTTATGCTGGAAGTCTGTCTCTGGCGGCTTTGAGGACGCAAGAGGCCATGAAGCAGAGTTTCCTTGGTACAAATACGGTGGAATGGTATGAAATTATACAAGGAAGCGGCTGACAAGTAGTGGAAGGATAGGCACGCAGATGGACCAATAAGTGCAAAGAAACCTAAGTATGTCAAAGAGCGCCAAAAGAAGGAAGAAACAGCTCAACGGGAGTCTCGCAAGACCGAGCAAAACAGAGATGACGCATAGCTTTGCATTAATGATACAATGTCGAGCGGCACTGAATCCGATGTACAAAGCGTTGTTGAATGTCTCTCGCTAGGCAGGTGCCACTTGTCAGCTCTTGACAATGTCTACGACTGCAGAATGTGTAAAGCACCACCTCTCAAGTTTCCGGTCGATGCTGC